CAATCCAATCCGACTCGAGTCTACAGAATATGGGCTCAACTCGGCTGACCAAGGCCCTGCGAGGAAGGAAGTGAAGGACTCAGGAAACGGTGTTCAGAGCTTTCACCAGTCATATCCATCACGGCGCGCACTGATGGCAGCATGTGTGTGTTCATGTGTGCGTGTGTGTCCCTGTTTCAGCAGTCATATCCATCACGCTGCCTTGTCTCCAGGCCCGGGCAGGAGAGCTGGAGAGTCATTAGAGGGGCTGGGCTGCAGGCTGCCGCGCTGCACTTTAACTAAACATCTTTTCCATAAAATAAATGCTTCCAGGTTAGAGCGGGTCCCGGGGAGCTCAGGTCGATTTGCTTTTTGCTGCCACTCATCTGATCCCAATTACCAGATGGACCGGGTTAGAGCCTGCGGAGGATACATGGATACAGTCTGTAGTAGTCATTGGCCCCCAGTGACAACCAAAGTGTGCCATTCTTTTGGACTGATCCAACTAATAGCTGGGCCCAACATCCCAATTCTCCCTGTAACTGTGCGAGAAGTAAAGAAAAATCTACCAAAATAGTTCCCCGTGGTATCACAACCAGCATGGTTTGATCTCCTGGACTTTATCTGAGTTTGTGATAAAGGTTCAGCCTAAAGCCTGGATTGAAGACATGTTAGTGGGATATAAAGCTGTTTGAGTAAATTATCAGTGTTTGAAATCAAACCACATTAAAACCCATTGAAACAGTCAGTTATAGCAAAGAACTTTGACATGTCCTAATATAGATTAATAAGTTTGATCTTTAGTTTTTCTTAGCATTAATAACTAGCCGGGGGTGCACAGTCCAGCCAAGAAAAGTCAATATTTTTTGCGCGGTACCTTTAAACGAGGAGGCATTTTGGTAACGCTTTCTTTTACGGTACTCTTATTACCAGGTAATTAACAGGTAATTACCTAGTAACAACATGAAATTATCTGGTAATTACACGATAACTACTAAGTCAATACTGTCTAGTTTTTCTTTTTTTTCTTTTTTCTGTGCAGCTCCATCTCCAAAAGCTATTTGGGGTTCTTATTTTCTATGATTGACACTTGATACAGCCTATGGGTGTGCAAAGATTGCGTAGCGATACGCTGTTTGAGCCGAGCATTATCACAGCGACTCACCTGCCGAATGCGTACAATGCTACTGCGCAAGTGGTGGTTCCAGGAAGTGGAGAAAATCCTGGAAATACCAGAGCAATTCGGCTTCAAATTTGTATGATGATGGAAGGTTACCTACCTGGTAGCTAGACAGTATTGACTTAGTAGTTATCATGTCATTACCAGATAATTTCATATTGTTACTAGGTAATTACCTGTTAATTACCTGGTAATAAGTGTACCGTAAAAGAAAGCGTTACCGGCATTTTCAACATGCATTTCAGACAGTTAATATATTTGTTTGTTTTAAATAACTCAGTTCTTTGTCTTGAGTATTCATAAGATCCTGTGATTATTTTACAAACTGCTGTCACATCATGAATTCACCAGATCTTGTATCTATTAATTTCTGTTTTCACACAGTTTAAATTGAATTTTTGTCATGTCTGATATACTTTTTTCACAGTGAATTAGCCAAACTGTGGATGGCACAGATAGCTAAATGGCTCAAACAAACAGCTGGCTCTTAGTTGGAAGAGGACGGATTATAAGTACACTCTTGGATGAAGTCCCGCATCTGTCTATTAGCACTGATGTCAACCTTGAAATGTTCCTGTACGTTTATTTTTTCCAGACACTAAATATTAAATTTTTATGAGGAAATGTGCATGACATTGTTCAACAGCTTTACCCCATAACCAAAACACTAAAAAAACACTCAGGCTTTCCATGTTGTGCAGATCTTTAAAGGTTATTTTCAGCCAAAGTAAATCCACAGTGACTCACTGAAGCTGATGAAGTAAAATTGACCTCTGATAAAACAACTCAATAAATAAACAATGTCAACATGACAACATTTAAGGCATTTGGGGTACTTCACTACTTTTTCATCACATCTGCATAGACACCAGATCCTTTACTGGAATCCACTAAAAGTTTAATGACGTATAATTTAGTTGAAATAAGGAGGAAAACATAAAAAAAACTGTCTCACATGTATGTACGACAGAAACCTGATCCTGAAAGAGAGGAAGAGTCAATCATGGTGATATATACATGGCTGAGCGTGCTGCGTGTGTGTGTGTGTGTATACGTGTTTGTGTGGACACAGTGTGCATATAAGTCCATACATTATTGCATAATTGTTTCCTGATGCTCTTTCTCTTCCCCCAGAATATTAATTACCAAACGATGAAACCGCCTCTTTGGTCTGGGAGGTTAAGGTTAGAGGAGGAAATGGAGTCTGTGCATGTAGGAGGCCATCCTTTTTGATGGGGTTAACTCTCATTTTGAGTGGATGTATGTGAGGATGTACGTGTGCTGTGGCGCGGGGGAGGGCGAATCCGTTTAGATTCAGAGTTGAGTTTCATAGAGAAGCTTTTTGATTGAACACATGATGAGAACATTATGGACACCTGGAAATAACTTTTGTATCTTTGGCACAGAATCACAAACGATGAGACGTCATTTTAAGTCGTCAGATCATGTCTGAACGGCTTTTTTACCACCTGAATAAAGTAAGATTTCCTTAACAAACAAACACAAAGCACCCTTATTTATCTATATTGTTTAATCCACTGGATTATACCTGTTAATATTTAAGGAAAAATCACTATAAACACTGCATATTGCACTCCCATAATAATACTTTTTTACAATTAGATAAAGCATTATTAGTAATGCTTTAAAATATAAACATTCATGAGAAATTTCCTCTTTATTAAACAAAACCAAAAGCTATTCAAACTGTTTATGTATAACTAGTTTCCTCCTAAAGGCCCTTTAGATACAGTATTTCCCATCAGAGTGAATATCATTGCACAGCGCTCACACAGAGCCTGCATTTGAAGGGCGGTGGCACCATCTAGTGACGAATCTGATGAATTAACTTAAATAAGTTTTTTGTAGATATCATTTTGTAAAATGATAAATACTTCACCCGACCTGCCTTCTCCACCTATTGCATGATAATATTAAGATGTATAACATGTAATGGTTGTAATGATGTAAAAGCCATATTTATATTTGAAATGCAGCTGATAAATGAGAATAGATGAAAGTAAAACTACAGACAAAATAAATCCCTTAAAGTAAAACTATGTCTTTTGTACAGTTGGTTACACAGATTTTATTGTGTTATATGCTAAGTGGTGTATATTGCCTGGCAGATAATGTCTATCAGTGAATAATGTTATTTATCAGGAGATTGAATTCAACATGTCTCTGTTAAAATTCGGTCAATGACTCAGTATGTTCCAGACAGCCCACCTTTTCAGAATATCACAACTCCATCTGCATGATTTCTGACCAAAATCCTTGATTCTTTGGTGTGTACAGGGTTTTTTTTTCCAAATTTCTAATAAGCTATAGTGTATAACTAGTCAAGTAACCATGTGCTTTAGCTAAAAACAAATTCTCACTAACAGAAAACAATCAGAGGGACAGCCCGGACAAATTAAACACAGCTGGTGCAGCATATTAACAGATGTATCACTGAGCTAAGCAGAAAATCTCCAAAAAAATGAAAATGAAACTTAGCGAGTTCAAATTCTCACATTTACAGAAAGAGAAGTTGTCGATAAATAGCGCATAAAAACAGCCGATGGGGGGAAAACAGTTATCTTAGGAAAATACGGTATGAAGATTATCCTGTAGTCTAACTTTAAATCATTAAAGCTCCTGAGAGGGTTTTTTAGCTGATAATGCAAAAGAACGAAATTGATATTGTCTTTTTATAAACCTTAAAAACTAATGAGACCATCAGCAGCATTGATCATTCATGTATTGTTGCTATTTAGTCCTGAAACTGTTAGACTTATTCATGAACAGCGTGCTGCAGTGAGAGTACTTGTTTTACATCTTTCACAGCAGAAATCCACAGTGAGTGATGCATATGACTGTTTCGGTCAAAAAGCACAATAATAACGACAATCAGCATTATCAGCAAAAAGATTTAGATTACAGCTTTACCTATCCACAAGGGGCTCTAAAATCCCAGCAAATCTTGACCTAAGTTTAGTAACAATACTTGTTTGTGTATTTATTTATGAATAATTTTTAGATCTAAGGATTTTTCTTAGATCTAAAAACCCTAACCCTTGTGCATCACAGTGTAACAGAGATTAATCAGCATTTGCACGGAGCAGCCTCAAAAGGGAGGACTGTGGAAAACCTCCCCACAAAGTCAGCATTAAAATATCACCCCGTACAAAACTCATTTGGTCTAATAACTATCTGTCCACCTTATCTGTTCCCCGTGTCCTCTCAGAGATCATTTTTCTTCTCCCTGATGGCAAAGTTTCTTTACGCTCCAATAGACTTCTTAACCTATAACCTGCAACATATGCTGACTCCACTTCTCTGTTTCTAAGGTAAATGTCCCCCTGAATGCAGACATGACTAAACAATGAATCACATATGCTGACGAGAGGGAAACCAAAATTAGTCATTTGGTTTTGAAGATTCTTCAATTACACCAGCACAATAAAAAAAAGTCTAATGATCAAATGTTACTGGAATCAGCCGGCCCTCTTGTCTTGCCAGGAAAGTGTCTGTTAGTGTCGCTTCCCTTTTCTCTCAGCAGCAGCAGAAACGCTGCTTTGCTTGCAGTCTAGAAAATGACCCAGATGATATCCTTTCTTTTTCAGTCAAACTGAGAAAGCGGAGAAACAGAAACTACAGCGATGGTTGAAAAAGTGTGGCAGATTTTTAATCTATCAAAGCGAGTTTTTGGACGCGGTGCTGAAACCACGCTCAGGAGTTTCATAAACGTAAGGAAAGCAAAGGTGGATAACCGACTGTGGCGTGCTGTATCTCCAACTTCACAGAGGATCATGTGATAGAAAGTGCTCCATTTGAAAAAGATGACGTTCACAGCTTCTCTCAAAAGAATATAAAATATGAATTTATTGCACATTTTAACAAACTTTACATATTCAGGCATAGATAGAGCTGCATGAGTTTGGAAATATACTTGGGCATCTAAAAAATTGGTCTCCAGGATATAAAAAAGTTGTAAAAATATAAACATCATTCAAATGTCTAAAAAGTAAAAAGTGCTAAATGTTTTTTTTTTTTTGAACTCAGTGTGTCACAGACTCTGTTTGGAGGCTCAACACCCATCCTGTCCCAACTGTGTCCTTCAGCGATTCACAGTGTCCCATGCAGGCCATAACCAGCACCCTACATCCTTCCCGCTCACTCAGAAACTTCCTCACAGACTCGTCAAAAACCTGCCCCCCTTCTTTGTACCCATCCAACAGCAGCAGGGCCTCGCTGGACAGAGTCAACACCGCGGTCCTCAGCTCATCTGTTGACATCTTTGCCGTGAGAGAGAGCTGAGTGGCTATTTCCTCAAACAAGTCGCCCTTTGCTTTGCTGCAGTCCACATAGAGAAGCAGCCGAACCGCACTGAGGTCGAGGAGGTCAGGAAAGGCATGTTCGGGTCCTTCCGTCCAAGATGAGACCAGGATTTGGGCCAAAGTTGTCCTCCCACTCTCTGGAGGTCCCTGCAGGAGAAGAGTCTCTCCAGCTTCTGGGAGTAACGCTTGGAGTTTCACAGGCTGGCCCTCACTGAGAGGAAAAACAGAACAAGGAGAAAACACAGATTACAACTTCTGGATTAGCCCACACATCAAGTTTTAACTTTTAACTTTGTAGTTCCAGGAAAGTTTGCACAGTAGGTCAAATCAAGCCATCTAAAATAAAGGTATCAAAGCGGAAAGTTGGCTAAAAATGTCAAGAGTAGCATAAAATGAAAAACTTTAGTCTCAGTTGGAAAAAATCATACGTGTAGAGTCCTGCATCCTCATGACCTTTTATTTGGAAATAAGTGACTCACTTGTTTTGGAGTCTGTAAGGCAGCACCTCCACACCGAAAGCCTCCCAGTACTGTCTAGACTTTTGAGTGAAGGGAAGCTGAAGGTAACGTGCTTTCGCAAACGCCTCAAGATTTTCCTTTGTGCTGCCTACAGAGAAAACCAGACAAGAGTAAATAATGTGCAAAATTACAGAGAAAAAACACTGAAAAACCAACAGGCTTTTCTTCAGCAGCATGAGAAATAACATATGAGTAATATTATACTGAGATATTTGGTCGGTTAGTCACGGGAAAATAGCTGATTGGCAACTTCTGCCACAAGGTTAGGTGTCAGACAGCGTGATTAACTGCAGACAACAGAAACAGCCGTTCTTTGAATATTTTTAACAGTCAAAGTTCACAGTGAGTGAACATGGAAACGACACTGTAACACGAACAGGACAGAATCTGATTTGTCAACACAAAAATCAACACAAGTCAAATGATCCTCACAGGACCTTTAAATGAAGTGAAAGTAAAAACAACATTATAAACATTTGCTTCTTCATTTGTATCTATTATGGTACTAAACTGAACATACACTACAGGACAAAAGTTTGGAAGCAAGATCAGATTTGTACAAAAAAAGATCATAGTTTCATATATATAATTTGCAACACAATAAACATGACTACTGTGTAAAGAGTAACTTATCAGAAGACTTTTTGAATATAATTATTAGGTATTTGAGTTACTGTTGCTTAGACTAAGTTTTCTAAGGTATGTTCCAGGGATTGCATTCCAAGCTTTCTTATGTTTATCAAAAAGATACTGCTGATTCGTGGGACGCGTTTTTCTGACCGATCGATCCAATTCAATCCTCACAAGCTCAATTGGAGAAAGGTCTGGAGACTGAGGGGGCCAAACCATCTTTTGAAGAACACCTCTTCTTTTTTGTCGAGGTAACCCTGACAGAACTTGGCAGAGTGCTTAGGGTCATTGTCTTGCTGCAAAACAAACTCATGAGCCACAAGTCTGAGTCCAGATGGAACGGCATGGTGCTGGAGGATGGAGTGGCACTGTTCCTTCTTCATGATACTCTTTACTTCAAACAAATCTCCTACTCTATCACCTGCAAAACATCCCCATACCATGGAACTACCACCTCTATGCTGAATTGTGGATGTAACACATGGTGCTTTCAGATGTTCACCAGTTTGTCTGCGGACGTTGACTCTGTGTTTTGAACCAAACTGTGCAAACTTGTTTCTCATCATCATAAGTCCAATTTTTGTGAGCTTTTGCCCACTCATATCTCTTTCTCTTGTTCTGTGGACAAAGTAGTGTTTTTTTGCAGATACAAAACCCTTCAGACCAGCCTTTCTCAAACGTCATTTCGGTTGTCAGAGATATGGGTTTCGACCTTGTCATGTTGATTTCCTCCCTTATTTTTGGTGCTGTCTTTCGCCGATCTCTCTTGCTGGTGACAATACTATGTTTATCCTCTGATTTTGTAGTAACTCTCTTTCATCCAGGTCTTTTTCTATCATCATAACTTCCAGGTTCCTCGAGTCTCTTCAGAGTGCAGTGGACTCCTTTGTCAAACACCTTTAGGCGTTTTGCAATTTCTCTTTCTGTGTATCCTTCTTTCCTCGAAGTACAAATCTGTACTTTTGTTTCTTTACTCAGTTGCTTCTTTCTAGCCATTTCTGCAGTAGTTTGAACGCAGTTGAGATTTATTAGGATTTTTGTATGCAGGCTCTCAAAAGCCAAAAAGTTGAAGTGAATAATCCAACTGTGATTTGTTTATTTTTTTGTTTGCGCTGAAGTTGTGACTCTTGCAAATGTTTTCAACCCTAAACTAAGCCCTTATTATCTTTTGCTGACATATATTTAGCAATGGTCTGTTAACATCAACGTATATTTCAAGGTAAATGGAGTAAAATGGTGCATTTCCATGAAAGCAACATCTGATCATGGAGTAAATACATCCTAAAATAAATAAAACTCATGCTGGATTAAAAAAAAAAGCATTGTGAACAAAAACTTGAAGTTACTCCCAACTGTTCGGCCTGTAATGGCTCTGCTTCCAAACTTCTGGCCTGTAGTGTGTAAAACTAAAAGTAATCATGTGTGCAAAGTTATAAGAGTTATAAGAGTTACGCACCTTCATCATTAATCCTGGTTTTCTCCTCCTCATTTTCTTCTTCCATTGGCAGGACTAGTTAAAAGAAAACAGTGGTTTTTTTTAACAGGTAAATGACTGTTTTGGTATATCAACACACTCACATACCTCAAAATATTTTTATATATTCAACTTTACAGAAGTAGGATCTTTGAACTTCTCTATTCTTGAGAATAATATCAGTTTTACCCACAATGACATATATAGTAAACTCTCCTCTAGATGTATTTCGTGTGACCAAACACTTTTTAAAATAACTTCCTCAAGCAGCACATTTCAGAGTAAAGCTGCTTTGTGTTTGGCTTCTGACAATCAGAGGTTATAACTACACATGTGAGGTTAATTTTAAGGATCTGTTTAGACTTACAAAGAGCAGGTAAGACATCCCTGCCACCTCCATTTGCCAAAACATTGCTGGTGCCGGTATTTCTGCACCCTGTGGAAAAATCATGGCTGTTAGTTAAGTTTGTATTTTTTGTATTACACAAAGATGTAGAGGTGGGAAGTTAGTTTGCAGTGTCACCGTTTAAAAGAGTATAGTCTCTGTTTTAGAAGAATGAGCTGAGCTTTAGCGGACGCTGGGGCATCCTCGCTGGATACTTTAATCATCTTTTTGCTCTGATTAAGTTCTGAGCTTAACTCCTCTTTTATCCATTTTTTGATATCATACGTTACTTCTCTTTTCAAGTCATCAATGAAAATCTGATCACCAATATCTTGTTGATAAAGGGAGTACAAGTACCAGTGAGGGACAAACATTCAGCATCTCCTGCCATGTTTCCAAGTCAAAACTTTTAACCCCATACACTTGGAGTTAAGAGCAAGAGCTCCACAACCTCACACGCAACCTCACATGGCTCTAAAGAAACAGCTCATGATTTCTAAACCTGAAACACAAGTGAGACCTCTTATCACTTTCACACATTCATATGTTTAGAAATATGCTGTTTGCCTACTTCTGATATGACGGGGGCGTTTGTTATACTGAAAAACCACCCATGCATTGAAAATTTGCCGCAAATTCCCCTGTCGCAAAGACCAAGAGCAGGTTTGGTGTTTCCAGATCTGCTGGTAATAAAGGACATCAGATCCAAACAGCCAAGTCATGGTCACATGAGAACACCAGGGTCACATGCTGGTAAAATTCCCTCTAAGCAGAAACAGGCAAATCGAACACCTTGAGTCCGCTGCACCAAACACTTCCTCTTTTCCTCTTTTGACTGGTAATATTACTTGACTCATGCTGTTTTATGAGCCGTGTGACAGCCTCAAAGTTGAAATGTCACAGTTTTTTTTTCTTTTTTCACTAACAGGACACAAACGCTTCTGATGGTTTGACAAAATGAGGGTTACTGAAGGCTCTAACCAATGTGACAAATAGTCTTCCTAGTTTTTTCTGTCCTTAAAGATCACTTTTCTTTATATTTCTTATTCGTCCCTTTTGGATTATAAAGCTGAAAACAAACCAGTGAAAACACAACATATGGGACCCATATCAACAGCAGGATGATCTGCTTCTATTTCCTGCAGGTATCTGTGCACATCCTGATGGGAAATCCAGCCTCTGGGTGACCTCGCATGCCTTCAATCTGACTTGCTGGCTGCATAGTAAGCAGTAATCTTGAAACAAATACAAGTTACACTAAAGAGAGGATAAGTACTCAATGAAGACACCCTCAGCTCTATGCTACTGCTCTACAAGTTGAACTACATACCACACACACAGTCCCCCATAACCCTGCCATGAGGTTAGATGGGGATAGACTGGCATGGAGATACAAGCCATCATTAGTTTTATCATGTGGGCCCCTTCCTTTGTCAGGTTTGGCCCACGACACCTCGAGAAGGCTCAACATTATGCTCCAGCAGCCCAGAACCATGACCCCTCAACCTTCATCCAAACACAAGAGGGAAAGAAAACAGAGAAGACTCTGTAGTGTACGCAGAGCCATGATTGGACCACATTGCTCATTGCTATCAAGTTAGGCTGTACTCTTTACCTTCCCACTGGTCCACCAAAACAAGCAAATATCTAGAATTAGGGATTACATGATAGCTTGTCTGTGAACTGACTTGAAGCCGTGTAAAGATCACTGACTTGGGCAAGTATGACAGTAGTCTAAACAAGAAAAATTAAAGGTTTTTATTAATGCCTCAAGAGTATCGTTCAACTTTTTGCAACATTTCCTCACTGAAGGAAACAGGATTGGGCAAGCTTGATGATATGATGATGGTTTAAGGTCATTTATCAGTCAAAGATGACATGTTAATTTCAAACTAAGTGAGTCAACAGTAATTCAGTTTTGTCAGGGCTTAGATGAAGGAAATATAGACCGCTGGAAGACAATTTTAGAGAGACGGGAAGTTCATTCAGGCTATTGCTAGTTATCTAGAAAATGGGTTTGAGTGTCGTCAGCATAAAAGGGAGAACAGGATAGATCCGAGGACTGAACCCTGGGGAACTCCCAATGTACTCAAAGTAATGCTGTTAGAATTTTTCAAAAATGTTGTGACTAAATCATTTTAGGAGTAATTCAGTCACAACTTTTCGAAAACGTTTGGTTAGAAAAAGGATGTTTTGAGATTGGTTGGTAGTTCTCCATCTGATCTGATTCTACGGGGAATTTTTGAGCAGTGACTGTAGAAGCTTAAAAATAAAGAGGTACCAGAGCTGGATGTAAGAGACTGGATAACAATAGAGAGTAGGCAGGGGGCTAGGGAAGGGGAAAAGAGGAGGGCCAATGTATCAGCTGATTCTGAATCTCTGAACCATTAAATGGAAAAACATTCACTTCAAAGCCTGTTCAATAGCATCTCACTGCATTTAGGTTGATTTGATTTAAATCTAAATGGACTTTGGAGTGTCATGAATGTTTACCTCAAATCCACAGCCACCGTCTATGTACTGATATGTTTGTTGGAGTCTAAATTAGCTGGGAATGAGGAGAAACTGAGAGAAATCAAGACTTGATGGAAGGAGCAATGAGTTACCTTTTCGACGATACATGACAACTGCAACAGCGGTGACCGCCCCTATCACTGCCACGAACAGTATGACGATGAGAGCTTCGTTTTTCTCATGAGGAGCCGTTATCTCATCTGTTAAAAACAGGGAAAGACAAGAGTTAGTAACTGTAGTATCATACTGTATATTTAGGTAAGGGATTTGAGTTCCATGGTAAGTTGTGGCAATACAAGAGTTGCGCATGTGGCTTTAATCACTGACCACTATGGAAATAACCAAATCTACCAGAGACCATCACAAACTTCCTCTTTGTGGTTAAAAATTCAAATAAGCACTGCTGTTAAAATGACTCCTGCTTAAGTTTCTGATACTGTGAAATGTTTTTTTTTTTGCTGTTGTTTTTACCATCAAATTACTTCATGTAGTTTTAAGCTACGCTGTTGATGTCTGACATCATTACCTGAACTGTAGCCGGAAATAAGCAGAAGGACACTCGCACATTTCTGTCTGTCTTATCTCAGAGGAAATAGAGGTCTATCTTCTGTACGCTTGTGAACTTTAACATGAAGATATACAAACACACACCCTGACAGCAACATGTTTCCACACCTGTGATAATATCTTCCACAAAAGCACGCCTACACTGGTAAATACTTCAAAGATCAACTCTCAACACCACCCACGGCTCCACTGCACAACACGGGGAAATCTTGCTGCTTGATGCTCTCTGTTAGTAACAACATTTGATGTGGGTCGAACAATGAGTCTAAGTGAATAAGAAAATGTGAACATAACAGGAAATGGCAGTAGGTGGGGATTACTTCATAAAGGCATATCCTGTTTTTTCGGGGGATGAGAATGATGAATGCTTCGCCTTCACACTTGAAGGTGTCAGTGGTTGTTATGATGCATGTGAAGCGAAATTGATGACGACTGGTAGATCGGCGGAAGCCATTAACGTGGGTGCAATGAAGGGAAAAAGTCAAGACAGTGACACAAATGCCGGGAGGAACAGTCATACTTGTCTGTCTTACTTATAAATGTATTGTTTTTTCCCTGAGTGAGCCTAGATCGAATTCATTGAGGGGGGGCGATGTGATAAAAATAGTAAAGAGAAAGGTCAGCATGTCAAAGTTGTCTGGTTGACTCTTATCTGAAACCCTTTAATCAATCAATCAATCAATCAAATCAAATTGTATTTATATAGCGCCAATTCACAACAGTCGTCATCTCAAGACACTTTTCAAGGAACAAGAGCAGGTCTAGACCACGCTCATTGTTTGATGATCAAGAACCAACCTAAGATGGGTTTTGGCCCATCTCAACTAACATGAGTAGCAGTGGCAAGGAAAAACTTCCTTTTAACAGGCAGAAACCTTGGGCAGGACCAGACTCATGTTAGACAGCCACCATGCCGCTGCTGGGTTGGGGAGGAATGTAGAGAGAAGACAGACGTGTATACCTGGGATCTGAAATGTTGCAGAGGGCCCGTCTTTGGCAAAGCTACAGGTGAAGTTGTTTTTGTCTGAAGAGCGGACATGAATCTGGCTGGTGACTTCAAAGAGCTGCTCCGGGGTCAATACACTGGCTGTATCTGCTTCGATTCTCTGCATGTGTCCATCCTGCCACACAACAGAAGACTCAGGGTATCCCTCAGACTGGCAGGTTAGCAGCACCCCATCCCCCTCTGCAGACTTCTGAATGTGCTTTTCAACATCCTTGTAGCTCGCTGGAGTGAAAAGCAGACAGGAACAAGGTTATGGCAAAGAGATATTGCAAAATGGGAAGATCCTAGAGCATAAAGTTGAACGTTATTTTTTGTCTTTTACAAAATTGAGTAACACTGATCTTTGTTTCATTTTCACTATGAGGCGTGCTCCTTCTGCCCAGAAATGACCAGATGAGAGTTCAGTTCTCAGAACAAAACCCTCAAAGTATTCACTGATAAAAGCTGCAAAAAAAACTGTCAAACCGCCACTAACCTTTAACAGACAGAGTTATCCTTTTATAATCAGCTCCTTCTGGAGTCTCCACCAAACACTGGTACACCCCAGAGTCATTGATTCTGAGTCTGGAGATCTGCAAAGAGACATAAAAAGTGAATATAGGCTTTATCATCCTTATTGATATGAGCTGTACCTAAAGCTCATGTCAGCTGGTTTTCTGAAATTGATACTGCTGCCTCATTATGACTGAAAAAGTGAGCAAAACCGTCAACAAAGGAGAGTGATTGTTTCTTGGAGGTTATTTTAAATGCCTGTAGAGGCTGCTAAAAACAACCTTTTTTACAGTTATCAGGGCAGAGATTTGCTGCACTCGCAAAAGATAAGACTAGAAGAGATTTGTCTGTGAGGCAATAAACTCAACAGACCAAAAGTTACCCACAGGAGCTTTAAATCACAATCAAAGTCAAGGATTGTGTTGTGTAATCTTAAATATCTACTTTTACGTCATACTGGCTGAACTAAATGTAATGATAGTAATGTCAACTCATCTAAAACTCACATTTTGTTATATTTTCAAAGAATCAAGTGAGCTATAACAAAGAGGAATATGATTATGATGATAGTTTTGCATCAGCAAAGTATCCAATGTTGTTCAACCGTCATCTTACACCACACTGGGGACTTTTACCCCCACATCAGAAATTCCCAGCTGGATAAAAAGGAGACGACAAGCTAGAGCAAGTACTAAACACTAAAAGGAGAAGTTAACAGGAAATAATGCGTCACTGTAATGACCTGTAACCTTGCCAAGCCGTTCTTCAGCTCCTCAGTGAGGAGCTTCACTCGACCCCGGTAACCTGGATCCTGGGAGTCTAAGCGCTCCTTTCCATTCTCCAACCAGTATACATGCTGACCTGAAGGGGCAGCAGGGATCCGATGCCAGGTTACCTTCAAGCTAGCAGAAGGTGGGGGCAGTTTAGTCTTAAAACTGCAGCCCAACACAACTTCTCCTCCAAATTCAGACTCATACGAAGCTTGTTCAGCCTCCACAGTGAACAAGACAGCTAGAAAAAAAACAAAAACAAATTGGTGTCAAGATTGTATCAGAAAGCTCCATAGTCTTAAGAAAATACTTCAGAAGCAAGAGACAACATCTAACAGTGTTCTGCTGGTGACTTTTACTTAACAAATAAACATATTTCACATGTATTTAAGAAATACAAAGGTTTGATTATTTCCTATTTGTATAATCTTGGCTGGAAGAACCAAACCTGGTACTCACCCGCGAGAGCTGGCTGAAATATGACATGCAACAGTAACAGAAAGGCCAGGTCCATTGAGACCTGAGACAGAAACGAAAAGGGAGTTTAAGATGTTGAAATATTCTGGCAAAGTTACTAGTAGCATGAGTCACTTTATTCTGGTGAAGACCAGATGTGATTTCCAAAGTTTGACCTAGTTTACCTTTTAAGTAAGATGAAATATAACATGACCATGACAAAGACACCAAACACCCATCACATGTTGGTGACACACACAATAACTCAGATGCAGGCATGACTCAGCTCTGGTGCAAAACAGAAAAGCACTTCCTTGTAAGTGTTTCTTACTTAACATTACTGAATAAGTACTCATGAACAGTTAAAAGAGAGATTCCTGACTCTGGAGCTGCGTTTACACACATGCATCCAATTTCAAACATCCTTGTAAACAATAGCCTGGCCGGGCCATCCTGTTGCGTGAATCACTTATCATACGACAGTAATTCTTTGGAAAACATCTAGTCAAACATTAATATGTCTGAGAGTAATTTTGTCTGAGGTGCTTTAAATAGACATGCCTCTACACAGTTAGAAATCCCCTTATAACTAGGCTGTGCCTGCAAGGCAATGCAAGTTTTATAAATACAACATACTCATCTTTAAGTGCTTCAAGTTTTCATCAGGGTGAAAAGTTCAGTGAACAACATATTGATCTTGTTTTTTTTAATTAAAAATTCAACTGCACAGTAAAGAAAATCTGAATATGGGTGAAATATCTAATACATTTTGAGCTTAGTCTCCTATTTGACTTCCCACTGAGCAATAGACGGCCATTAGACGTATCGTTTCTTTTTAGACCTAATTTCAACAATCTAGATTCTGTATATTTTTAGACAGAATTTAGACGTTGCACTTTAACCCATTATTCAATAACTATTTATTTCAAAAAGCAACTGTGAGTTGCACAACTGATCTCCAAGTACTTCACCAAAATAATTATCATAACCATTAAGCAATATACAGTGTAGTATAGATATAGCCCAGATTTAGACTTGGTCCAAACTTGGTCTAAATTTTGACGTCTAGAAAACTTTCACACTGTATTAGACCTCTTTTAGACCAAAAAATGCTCAGTAGGTTTCTCAGTCTTCAAGGGTAAAAAAACAGACATATTCGGGTTTGTTATAAAAATGTTATTTGGAAATGTTTATCACCATATAGGCTAGTATAGTCCAGAGGTAGTAAAAGGACAAAATTGGCAAAACGATATTATAAAGCTCAGTCAAAGATAGCATGTCAAACCCAACAGGACATAAAACTGATGGAAAAAAAGTGATATGAAATGGTTAAGAGAGTGCATAACAGCACTAATAGTAGTATAAATTACTACATATTAAAAAAACTCTCTCACACACACAAAATGGCATTAACATGTATACAAGCAAACACAGATACATGGATAGTCATTAAAGGCATTGCACTGTGAGTAATGTCATTAAAGTGCATAATGCGAAGCTCAGACTGAGTATCAAGAGTTAGTTCAGCAGCTGAATGCTCTGAGGTTGAAAAGATCAATTTAAAAATAGGTATTCAGGCCAGAGAGAGTGCAGTGGGTTTGTTTAAATACAGGTTCAGCCCACAGATCAGGTCATGTAGATACTGCACATTTGTTTCCAAGTTATCTTGCTACCAGTTCATAAAGACTTTGCTCCCTCCAATACTGAATACAACACACTCTCATTCAAGCTCTTACAACACAGCAGTGTCAACATTCACTTTTTAAAGTCTGATTGAAAAGTAGAAATCTTGCACCAGTGTGGTGAAGATCTGTGTGTCAGTGAGGAACTCGTACCTGCTGGTCATGCAAATGTTGGAGGTATTGTCATGAGCTTTCCTTCCTTCTCTCTTCAACTTCACAACTCTTCTGGAGTTCGACTGTGCTGCCCGCGGGGTTTTTGTTCCTCCTCTTCCGACAAGGGATGCCCCTGAGAGACACACCCCCACGAATCCTTCTCTCACGTTGTCGGTGAGGTTGCTCAAATAGGTTTCCCGTAGCCCACGTGTCTTCTTCAAAGCAGAATTTACCGTTTGATAGAGCGGGAGTGTTTTTCTTAGTATCAGTTCGAGGATCGAGGGAGAGGACCTCATCACGTTTACAACTTTTACTATCGGAGGTTTACGCGGAAGTAACCTCAAAACACTGCAGCTTTACTGTCGGGAAAGGAGTTTTTTTCTCTAAAAATAGACTTACCGTAGTCATGAGTCACAAAATACACAAACAACAGGGGTCTGATGGTTTATCTTTAACAACAACTCGACTGTAAAACTTTATAAACATACCCTGTAGTTATTTAATATGCTATGATGTGTAGCTCATATGGTATGGAAGCTTAAAAAGGAGTATTACATGTCAGTACTGGCAGTAAATGACAATTTTCAGCCTTACAAATGCATTTTATATGTGTCAACTTATTATAATAATAATAATAATAATAATAAAAACAACCACAATACTACTACTACTACTACAACAACAACTAATAATAATAATAATAATAAAGAAAATAATAAAAGTAATAACAACAACAACCGCAATAATAATAATGACAATAATAAAAATAACAACAACAAAAATATTATTATTATTATTATTATTATTATTATTATTATTATTATTAATAATAATAATAATAATAACAATAATAATAATAATAATAATAATAATAATAATATTTATTTATTTGTTTATTATTATTATTATTACTATTAATAATAATAACAGTAATAATAATAACAAAATAATAATAATCACAATAATTGTACTATTATTTTTCATTTTTATTATTATCATTTATAATAATAATAATAATAATAATGATGATAATAATAATGATGATGATAATAATAATAATAATAATAATAATAATAATAATTTTATTATCTATTTTACCAATATTATTTTGGTTGTATTTATTATAACTATTATTGTTACTATCATTAGTATTAAACTTATTTTAAAATCGGTATCGTTATTATAAAAAAAGAGGTGATATTTCTTTCCACTGAAAAATATATAATAACAGTCTTAACGTTTGTAATTTAGTGACGATATTTAATGAACTAGACTAGCATTGTGGGCATACTCAGTGTTATATATTTACAAATATTTCACCACTGATGTCTCTTAACTTGTGCAAAAACTGGTTGTCAAACTTGATAAAAGAACTATTGATGTCCAATTTGATGTTTTAATTACCATCACTATTTGTCACCACTTGGCCAATAGAGAAAGTAAACTGGAGGCCGGTGTTGTTTTGTTTGACTTCTTTAGTCTTTATGTGTTTCCAAGAAATTTCCAACATCTGCATCACTGTCCCTACACAGGCAATAAAAACATTCTTGTTTCCGCAAGTCAGTTTTTCTTGCAGTTTGAATGGAAATGTGGTGGGACCTAAAACTGAAAAAGATAAGAGACATGTTTTGCAAACAATTGTTATTTCCACTCAAGAGGTGGGCATGCATGTAATTTGATCAGCAATATTCAGAGCTGGCACTACTGCATCTGCAAAATGACAGTATGAAACCTCTCTGGACTTTCCAGGTGTTCACTTTTTGGCTCCTCCGTGTCTCTTCTGTTCAGACATGGTTGAAAATACTTTTTTTTTGCGGTATCTTAGATTGTATCAATTGTGTTGGGCAAAAACTGGCAGAAATCCAAAGCATCTTTCAAAAACACCTTGGAAAATCTGAAATGCCAAAAGACTGCACTATCTTACCACAATCTGGAAAGCCACAGTCAAAAACCTCGTAGAGACAAGTTTTCTCCTCTCAGATATGTCTTTGCCAGTTATTTCCACAAATACCTACTACCTTATTTCAAAGTAGAGTTTCTGTGGTGACTTTTACGAGTGGATTTTGCCATGAACCTGGGATGGCATGTCATTCTTTCAAGAGAGTGAAATGCCTTTTATCGCATCAGTGACAAAAGAAACATTACTTTGCTTTTTGAGTTGTTTTACTTTCACTTATCAAGTCAGAACAAACACAAGCCAGTATGACATGATAAGTCTCCCATAAAGTTATAAGGGAGACTTATCATATGATATGATGGGTACTGTTTCAACCCATCATCCATATCTACTTAGGATTCAGTGCCAGTTTAGGTCACATCATTCTATCTATTATCATCCATACAGGTAAAGCTAAAATCAATGTAGAGTTCATCTAAAGCTTTGGTCAGATTCAATATAAACATTTACAGAATGAAATAATTGTGCTGCATGAATTTGTAACCACTCCTGGAGTTCAACACTATTGAAAGGTTTTATAAATGTAAATGTTCTTTATTAATACAGCCCTTTACAACAACCATTTTGGTGAACCAAAGTGTTTTACAATACATAGATAATACAATTGAATAAATAAAAACAACAAAAACAATAAAAACAAATTTAAAAAAAAGAGAAAGATACATATCTTTTACATATCTGTCTTATTCTATACGATAGAATAAGATAATACTCAGAAATTTTGTATCAGTTTTGACAATCGTACACTTAACCTTAAATGCAAATAAGTAGAGTCTGAAATCTAGAAAATCAAAATAATAAAAAAAAAAGATCAAACCTAAATGTAGCCCACAAATACCAGGAGATGGAGCTATTTCTCATCAAACTGTTGGAGGCTTGGGCCTGCAGTAACTGGAGGGTTCAATAAAAGCTCTCTGTGTAAACTACTTGTTTTCAAACCCTGTATTTTAGCCACTCTCTGTTGAGTTGAGGCCTATCATCAAAGTTGTGATGTACTTTTCCGAGGAGTTTTCCTTTTATTTTGAAGGGTTGGCCGGAAGTACCGTACCCAAGTGACGTCACTTACATGCTTTTTTGACAGAGCAGGGAAGCGGAAGCAGCGGTGCTGAAGGCGGCGGTGTGTTTTGATCATAGACACATGTCCTTGACAACTCTATAGCCCCGCTCTCGGAACAGTTACATGAATTTAATTAGTTAACCCCATTCAAATCACAGTAGGTATGTACAGGCTTTGTTTTAAGTAAGTCTAGCGACCAGTCAAGGTCGGGATCTTATTATTTGAAGCATGGGAGGCTATGGCTGTGTGTTAAAGTCATGTTGGTGCATGTTAACAAATAGAAAAGCCAAATCAACCCAATAGAGCCTTGGGTCAGGTTTGAGAGTAAAGTTTGTGACTGTCACGCTTTTCTAATGCTCAAAAACCTTCTCATTAAACTGTAACAGAAGTATTGTGATTTGTTAAACTGACAGCTGTGACAAAGTTTGAGTTCAGTCAAACACTGCAGCAAGCAAGCAAGGTGACACAATCACACCACAACAGTTTTAAATAGGTATTTAACTGTAATTTACCATAAACACAGTAATCATTAGACTATTAACGTTGTGCTGTCTCTCTTTTTTACACCTGATCAAAAGTTTTACAGGAGTTGTTTTATCTTTAGGTCAACAGTAACAACGCCAGCATGGGGTTTCTAATGTCCAAATCCATGGATGCAAACTTGAAAAAGCAGCAAGAATTCATGCTACATAATTCAAGACTGCAGGTGAGTGATGGTGCACCTATCTACACAGAGCTAGAAACGTCCAAGTCTGAACTTGCATTCTTGTGTTGGCAGATTAAATTTGGACATAAGATTGTTGTCACTTGTGTATAAAAAATTGAGTGTCTAGTTTAGATTTTACCTTTTATTTTATTTTTCTGTCACCTTGTCCAGTTATTGATAAACCCAAACAATAGCCAAAAATAACACTGTGAGCCAAGCAGATGAAACCTTTAGCTGTATAGACACATTTTAGTTAGTTATAATCTTCTTCAGGGGTTATAGAAGTTGCAGCACACTACCAGTTTCTCTGCTGCCCTTTATTCTAATCTAGTATACCAGTGTCAGAATATAGATGCAAAATTTAAAGGGATATTCCGGCATAAAATTAAGTTAGGGTCAAACACACCGTAACACCAAGTCAGATACCCCGCCGAGAGATGAATGTTGTGGACTGCTTGCTTCTCTAGTTATACCGACTTTAGTAACGACCGCAGATAGCGAAGTTCGGTGCTGTTCTGAGCATTATTTGTGGCTATAGAGTGTCTCTTTGGTTGAACGTGTGGCTCCTCAGAGCGCTGTGTATTGCTACCGTGCGGTCGTTACTAAAGTTGGTATAACTAGAGAAGCAAGCTGTTCGCAACATTCATCTCTCAAGGGGGTGTCTAACTCAGTGTTACGGTGTTTTTGACCCTAACTTCATTTTACGCCGGAATATCCCTTTAAGTTCAGTATTGGAGTTTGTTTTACACGGACAAAATGCATTTCCGAACAAGACAAACAGGAGCAAAAGTTTCATTGAAGGCAAACATGGAGCCTAATCCTGGGATAAAGTAGTCATTCCACCCGTGAACCCAGCCCTGCAAGACCAGTTTGGTAGTTGGGTCATGGGGACACAGCCTAGTCATCATTGTTTCAATATTATACACTAATAATCATGCTATGCTGTCTGTTGTGACTGGCTTTTGTCTTCCTTCCACAAATTACACCATGCCTTTTCCTAATCAATCTTTATCTATGAAGCGCTTTTCTTACACCAATTATACAATTCAAAGTGCCATTATACAGAGACCCCCCCCACACACACACACACACAGTCTTTCAAATAACTAAATAAGAATAATTGAATATATAAAATGTTTTCAAAAAATAAAAAAGACTTCTTATTTATTCATTTATTATTATTTATTTTTTCATTTCATTCAAACAGTGGATTGTGTTTTTCCTCTCCTGCTTTGGGTAAATTTGTTGTTATTCATTCATGTCTGGATTGGAATCAGCTGAGCAGCAGGTGGGATATGTGACTGTCATAACACCAATAACATTATCTGACTCGCACCCAAATGATGTGTTGTGTGATTGTGTTGTGTTGTGTTGTGTTTCTCCCCTTAATTTTCCCGGCCCTCCCTGCTGTATATGATGACATAGACGAAGACAGATAACATTCAGGGAAAGCAAAGATTTAGCAATTCGCAGTCGGCTTTTAGATGCACCCTATTTAGACCAGGACTGACTCACAGACCAATATTTTAAACAGGTAAGAACCCTGTACAGGATTTGCATTTTTTTCTGTATTATTCATACTGAGATTCACTTTTGAATACATCATAATTAAGAAGTTCTCTATCTGCTTAAAGGTAACAGACATCAAGTGTCTCATCAGCTTGTAATTCAGTTTTTACTGGCACGTTTACCTACAAATTTTGGCACAGAAAATCACAATAACATGTCAAACAGTAGCATAAATCTTGTGGGCTGATTATTGTCAAATGTTAGGTTACTGCCTGTAACAGTTTGAATGACTCATGTTCTGAGGGGTTGGTAAAACCTGTTCTTGTCTGCTATTAATAGGGTTGTGCTTTTCCCTCCCAGAGACTGACATTAGATTGATGTGTTTATTTGTACAGGGATAAGTATTGAGTATTTTTTCACCTGAGATGACCAAGTTTGCTTAAGTTGAGCCACAAAACTACATTGAAGAGTTTGTTTGAATTTGCAATATGAATGCGATGATCATAACTAATAGACAGTTGATCAAAAAATGCTGAAGGCTGATTAGATGTACAGTGGATATAAAAAGCCTACACACCCCTGTTAAACTGCCAGGTTTTTGTGATTTAAGAAAATATCAGCAAGATAAATATTTTCATAACTTTTTCCACCTTTAATGTGACCTATAACCTGTACAATGCAATTGAAAAACAAACTGAAACCTTTAAGGGGAAAAATAAAAAATAGAAAAGTTAAAATAACCTGGTTGCATAAATATGCACACCCTTAAACTAACACTTTGTTGCAGCACCTTTGGCTTTTATTACAGCACTCAGTCTTTGAGGGTAGGAGTCTATCAGCGTGGCATATCTTGATGTGGCAGTATTTGCCCACTCTTCTATGCCAAACCGCTCCAAATCTGACAGATTGCGAGGGCGTCTCCTGTGCACAGCCCTCTTCAGATCACCCCACAAATGTCGATGGGATTCAGGTCTGGGCTCTGGCTGGCCTTTCTAAACTCTCAATCTTATTCCGGTGAAGCCGTTCTTTTGTTGATTTAGATGAGTGCTTTGGGTCATTGTCGTGCTGAAAGATGAAGTTCCTCTTCATCTTCAGCTTTCTAGCAGAAGGCGGAAGGTTTTGTGCCAACACTGACTGGTATTTGGAACTGTTCATGATTCCCTAAGGCACCAGGTTCAGCTGAAGAAAAACAGCCCCAAAGCATGATGCTGCCACGACCATGCTTCACTGTGGGTATGGTATTCTTTTGGTGGTGAGCAGTGTTGATTTTGCACCAATTTACCTTTTGCAATGATGCCCAAAAAGTTCAACTTTGGTTTCATCAGACCATAACACATTTTCCCACATGTGTTTGGGAGATTTCAGATGTCTTTTTTGCAAAATTAAGCCGGGCTTTGATGCTTTTCTTTGTAAGATAAGGCTTCTGTCTTGCCACCCTACCCCGTAGCCCAGACATATGAAGACAGCGGGAGATTGTTGTCACATGTACTACACAGCCAGTACTTGCCAGAAACTCCTGCAGCTCCTTCAGTGTTGCTGTCGGCCTCTTGGTAGCCTCCCTGACCAGTTTTCTTCTTGTCTTATCATCAATCTTGGACAGAAGTCCTGTTCTTGGTAATGTCACCGTTGTGCCATATTTTCTCCTCTTGATGATGATGATGGTCTTCACTGTGTTCTATGGTATATTTGGGAATTCTTTTGTAGCCCTCACCTGAATGATATCTTTGAATAATGAGAACCCTCTGATGCTTTGGAAGATCTCTGCAGACCATGGCTTGTGCTGGAAGATGTGGCTTCATTTGACCTTCACAATCGCAGGAAGTATGGTTTCTGCTAGAAGACCAGAAACACTTAATGCTGACACCACTCCCCTGTTTTCCATGATTTGTGCACATGTACACACCAAGCAGAGTCTATGTCTGTTGCTTGACTGTAAAAACCTTCATGTGATGCTGCTTCAGTTATAGGTCGCCCTGGCACTTGATTAAGCAAAACAGATCTCAAGATGTGTGCACACATACGGGCTACCATGAGACAACAGTGTGATTACTTCAAGTGTTTACACCTGAAGTGCACATGCAGTATGGTACTGTGAGAATCAATCCTGGGATGAGGTAGATATTCCACCAGTGAAGACAAGAGCGGGTTCTTGTAACATCATTTTGAACATTATCTGAAATTGATCATGATATGTACAGATGTTACAAAAAGTTTTAAAGGGGGCCGGGGTTCATATTTTTAAAGTAATTTCATTCACTTTACCTCAATGAAAGGGGAATATTTCAAGCTTCTCATCTTGATTTTAGACTGTTTGGGCTTGTAGCTCATGAAAATTCAAAAATGGTTGCCCAAATATTCTCAAAGTTGAACCAAAATGAACCAAAAAGTGGATTTAGAAATGTCACATTTGCATAAAGTATGTTCAGTTTTACACTAAATACTTGATGGAGATGACCGGCCTGTGACACTGCTGAGGTGCCATCAAAGCTGGTAGGTTGCTTTGATAGTGGCCTTGAACTTAACTGTATTTGTGGGTCAGGTGTTTCCCCGTTACATAATAGTAATTTAATGGTCAGCAAACCATTTGACCGTAGTTTTGGTGCTGTGTTGTGCCAGAAAATGAAAATCAACACTTCCACAAAGCCTGTCAGCAGACAGAAACAATGCTCTGAAATTCCCTAGTATTTGGCTGCATTGATTTAGGACTTGATAAACATGTTAGATGTATGTCAACACCAGTCTGAATCCCGAATACTCACAGACTGTGGAAACTTCACATCGTACTTCAAACACCATCGATCTTGTGCCTCTTGGCTGGTGCACCAGACTCCTCGACCTTAAACTCTACATGAAATGTAGAATGGTGAATGGTCAAGCAGATATAATCAAGACACCTCAGACCCATGACTGTGTTGTGAATTGTCTCGACTCTCCTTGTTTTTTTTTACATCTCCTTGGAGATTTGTGTGTATCAGTTCACTAAGTACTGTTCCACATTCGTTTCCTTTCGAAATGTCAGTGACTTTCACGCGTATGCCTCTGCTCTTCTCTCACTTTCTCACCTTCAGGTAAGGCTCACCATGGCTCATTTCTTTCTTTCACTTTTTGTCCGCTGCTTTTTCCAGTCACCAGCTCTTTGCTGCTTGTACAAACATGCCCTCAGATGTATTTGTCATCTATTGTGAAGTCTTCACAAAGACATATTTTTTCTTTAGAAGTACACACCCAGCCAAAGTTAATCCCTCTTTGTTTTAGTTTTGGAGGTAACTCATCATAGGTAATTCAGTGTAAATCAGTACAGGAACTTTTTGTCTGTATTGACTTTGGCGCCCCCTTTGTGGACATAGCTGCAACACTTACATTGTGGCTGATTTCATCTCACTCTTGTGAAAATGGTGTTTATTGACAAAAGAAATCTTCTCATTTGCGTTTGTGCATCACAAAAACGTGTCACTGTTCATTTCAGCCTGACTCCTCACAGGAGCTTTAATTTCATAAATAGTCGAGTCGAAACATTTTCATTTCTCTGTTAACATATTTTAGTGTTGCAGAAAAGAACAGCAGCACCCATATGAGATAATGAGGAGTTTAAATTGTATATTCATGCTCATCATACACAGTTTGATAATCTGGTGGATTCACAGGATTTGACAGACGGGCTCTGCAATATAATCGAAGTCCACATGTGTTCGTGTCTGAGTATAGAGATAAAATGGATGATAATATTGTACTCGGAGGCTGTGATTCAAGATGTTTATTGTCACTGCGGTTATACCAGAACAACTGTGTGAAGTTCTTGAGCTAGACGGCTCCATTTAGATGGGTGAATAAAAGATATATAAGACATACAAAACAAATAGACCTGATATAAAATATTATTCGATTTGCAGATCAAAGACACGTTGAAATCCTCCACAATCTGCCATCATCCATACCCGAAGTTTACCCATGTTCCCCTTGTTGACATGGAGGGGCTGCTTTTTGTGCTATACTGTAATCTGTCCGTAGGTGGAGCTACTAGTGTTTTGGCCTAACTCCTGGGGAGCCTTTGAGTCACACTTTTTTCAGTCTGTGGCTAACACCGTGAAAAATTCCTTCATCAGACCATTTCCCATGGTTCAAGAACTGATTTTGGTCTCATAGTTGACGGAGAGGAGATAGATATTTTCTCCAACAGGAATAAGGTAGTTTCCAGATCCCCGATTTATTAGAATCTAACATCTAGTATCTCTGACCTACTTCCTGTTTCAGACGAGAGAGAGAGAATGACCTCAACAACAAGAGGTGACGTCTCTTTCTCTGTGTCACTAGAAACCCCTCATTACACATTTCTCTGGGGACGGGATAGCTTGATGAATAATGGAGTAATTTCCCCTTGCTGTTTTTTGGAAAGGATGCAATCAAAACGTGATTAAATCCCTTGACTCAATAACCGCACCTGCTGCATTTTATTGGAGTTTTCTTTGACCGTGCTGTGGTCAAGTCATTTTATGATTACAGATTAAATGCTGTTGTTTACAAGGGTCTGTCCTGTCATGTGTTTCCTTTAAAAATATTACACCACTCAGTTAACTCCTGGATTATAAATGATCGCCCCTGAGGCTTGTAAAGTTTATAGCTTCCTCCTTCCTGGATTTGGTCCCTGTTAAAGTCAGATCAAAGGTTTTGAAGTTTGTCAAAGACTCACAGAAATGTATCCTGGTAATTCCAGCTTGTAATTTGGTGAAGACAGCAGATGTTAGTTTTACCACAGTTTTTCAGTCTAAATGGATGGAGAGGGATTTAAAGGAGGTTTACATGAGGAGAAGTGTTGCCAACTATCTATTCTACATCAAAATTTCAACTCAACTGACAAATCTGCTTGATGCCAACCAGGCTTTATATTTCCTGACTTCCTTGAATGCATCAGATAATAACTAATCTGATCTCTATTGAGCTAACAAACATTATTTGTTATTTCAGCAAACTTAAGACCCATAAATCAAAAGAAAATCACTTTTTCTCTTTAGGCTTCATATTGCTGTAGTAGGCCAAAAGAAAAGCCTTTGTTTGGTTTATTATTTACAGGGAAACTGAGACCTTCCTAAGAAAAATGAACAGGAGCTCTTCCAGTGAACGGAATTACCAGGAAATGTTGGTGTTTATTTTGCTGGCATATCTGGAGAGGCAGATTTGGACTTTAAACTGATGAACAAATTGTTAACAATGCAAAGGAGTGTTTTTCAAATGTCTTCCTTATGAGCTTTTGGCTACCAGTGAATGCCTGAGGCTACATCCTTCTAAGACAAGGAAATAACCCTGAGCCAACCCTGGCATGATAAACGGTTGTAGACAAAACCCCAAAACTTTCAGGTTTTTTAAGTGAAATTAAACAAGGGGAAAATATGTACTTGGCAACAGAAATATGATTTGACTACGTAATCCGACTTTATTACCCCGGCGGGTCGCTATCAGAATGAGCCAAACCAGCAAAGGTATGTGGACTTACTCTGGAAAAACCAATATGACGCTGTTAACTCGTAGACTCTGTGATCTGTGCTCAACTTTGACTGTTTTCAAAATTTTTCCTTCCCTCGAGACTCGTCAGTCAGTCAGTCAGTCAGAAGCTTATTTTCAGTTTTAGACAGCTGATTAGTCACTCTGGAAAACTCCAACAGCTTTTCTAATTATACGGTTAAATAAAAGCACATATGCACCATAAATATTGTATCTAGCTGTGTGCTGTACTGTAAAAAACTTCAACCAGAACGAGTGTGACAGCATGCCTGAAAGTCACATTTGATCAGAATTAATGGTTAATCTCAAGAGCCTTTTATTGTAATTGGAACAGCCAGGGGACTTCATGGAATCATGATCTCCTCATTTTACATGTTTTCTTCTCCTGTTTCTGACCGTTATCAGAAACCAGCTACTGAGTGATCTAATTGCCCCCTTTTGATGTGCAGTCTTATTAACCACAATAGCTGTTTGATTAGTGGCACGCCACATGCTTATTTTTAGATTTTCACGCTGATCGGTTGAAGTGTTGTGTTCAAAAGCATAAAGCCTACTTAAGAACCCTAAACTCTTATATTCTTTGCAGTATTTGATCAACTATCTAATTTTATTTCCTGATTAAACTTGGTAGATAACGAAGATTATGAGTGTTGGAGGGTTTAGAGTTCATCCCTGTTTCTTCTTATCCTTCATGTTAAAAACATTTTGTGTTTCATATGATGTTCAATGTCAGCGTTATTTATGTAGCACATTTAAAACAGCCAGTGGCCTACCAAAGTGCTTTGCAGTAAAATAGCCAGAAACAATAAAAAACAATAAAAGCTATAAAAACATAAAACAATAAGATAAACATAGCAAATACATAAAAGACCCAATAAACGTTCAAAGTCAAAGCTGATTGTTTTAGTACCATACCAATATTGTATGTTGGGATAGGTTTTTACTTCTTTTACCCCTTTCATATGGTAAAGAGCTCTTATTTGTTCATTTTATTTTATTTTCTTGTTTTAGTCCATCAGGTTTTGGTCTTTCTTTTTACTATTTTTTATTTTTTATCTTTTCTCTCCAGTGTTTCCCAAAGGTAGCTCTTTCCCCACGTAATGTCTCGGTGTCAGGCCATGTCTCTTTAACAAATCTTAAATTCTCACTCTGTGTGTGCTTGTTTGTGTGTATGTATGGGTGAGTGAGGGTAGGTGTGTGTCTTTGTGTGTGTGGGCCCATGGGTGGGTGTGTGGGTGGGAGGGTCAGGTTTTATTGTTATTTAATTGTTGTTTTTAGCCTCTGTGGGGCACTTTGAACTAGGGCCCGACCGATATGGATTTTTTGGGGGATCGATACTGATTATTAGGGGGAATCATCCGTTTTCACCCCTCTGCCGATCGGTTTCTCCGCGTCTTAACTCACGTTACACATTTCCCGCCCGGTCTCATCTGGAGACATGCAGCTGCCTCAGTAAGAGAAGTATCTCGATCACGTAATGTGTACTGTTGTTTATTCTACCGTTACTGGCACGGTTAACAGTGTAGCAAGGCTAATAGCAGATGGCTAACTCTAACTTTAGCTTGCATATTACATGGTGCTTCACCGTTAACTCGGCGTGACCGAGACCAGCACAGCTGGGAACATCGTGAAGTGGGTTGAACTGAAACTTATTTACATATTGTGTATTTCACAAACTGGTTTATTTCCCGTTGAGGTGGACCACTCTCCTCCGTGCGTCCCTGAGCTGTCTGCTTCAGATCCGTCACTCTGCTGTGCTGTGAGGTAGTTAGTAGATGAAGATTGTCATGTGGTCGCTGCGCCATCTACAGGATAAGTCGGGGAACTTTTCAAACGGTGGAACATTTTCCAAGTGAAGCCGAATCTTATTCTCCACATTTTATTTCTGAAAATATCGGCGACAATCGGTGAGTTTTGGCCGTTTACCGATTAGCTAAACGGGCTAAAATTGGCCGATTTAATCAGCTCGCCATTTCCTACTTTGAACTACATTTTTTTTTGTCTGAAAAGTGCCATAAAAATAAAGTTAAAAGTTGAATTTGAATATCCAGGTAGATCGATGCTGCCTCGAATACTTGCATACTAACCATAATTTGTCAGCTGTTGATACTTCTGACTGTTCTCTGTTCGGTTAGCTAAGCAAAGTACAGCTCTGTTTTAATGCTCCTGACATGTTTCATTCACTCTTTTTTAATAATTGCTTCAAAACAGACCTCAAATACAGATGTTAAGATGTCTTTCAGTCTTTCTTTAGTTTCAGACATTAACAGTGAGCTGCTCTATTCATGATTGTGGGCAGGAAGATGAACTCAAATGCTTTGCCTCTGACATGTTATCATTTTTATAATCAAATCTCTCAATTGGACCTGTGGTCATTTATTCATCAGTTAGTTAGTGACACTTTCCTATTACGCTGCAATTAACGCTCATCTTTGACACTTTTGGTTTTTGGGAAGAAAGGCTTTTAAATGAGAGCGTCACTCGGTCCGCTCAATAGAAGCGGATGTTTCGGTACATTTGTCAAACACAAAAGAGCAAACGAAAATCATCAGCACAGAAACTGTGTTTCCAGAAACTGGACCGACTGTCTATCATTCCTTTCACCGAGTCTTTGTCCATCTGTCTCTCAGTTTTCTATTTCCATTCTCTGCTGTTGTCATTTTAATCAGAGGTATAAGATGTTATAATAAGATTTTACCCGGACCAACCCTCTGCATTGATCAAGGTTTGAATATGCTGTATAGTGAAATCATATATGATCAAATACACCAAAAAAAAGTAAAGTTGTATTTAAGTCGAACCTTTCAAAACTTAAGTTACAAAGACAAAAGAGCACCTGGATGTTTGTGATCAGGGATCCATTCATGAAAACATCTGAGGAGGTTATCATGTTTGGAAAAATCCTCTTCAGATGTTACTTTATTTTTTACAGGAATAGAAACTGAATGAACATCTTTTCTGTTGGTTTTGGTTCATAGTAAAATGTGTCCAAATAGAAAGTATAATCAGTGGAATATTTCACATTGTAAACTGTTTAGTACCCTCTAGTGGTGTAATTGGTGTAATTTGTATTAACATGTTTTTCTGCTCATTAAATATCTCGATCAATATTCGAGGCTTTGGACAGAGGCTTAAATAACCTGTAGTCTGACACTCTTACTCTCATTTTAGCGTCAAAATTCAAACATGATGTGTTGAAAAGCGCCGGGCTGTGTCCATATTTGGCTGTGAAGGTTTTTTCACTGCCTGATGACGTCCTCTTTACTTTTCTCCTGTGTGTGTGTGTGTATGTGGGTTTGTGTGTGTGTGTGTGTGTGTGCCTGCGTAGATGGAGCGTCAGATTCTGATGCAGAACCAGATGAGGGAGAGACAGATGGCCATGCAGATCGCCTGGTCCAGAGAGTTTCTGAATTACTTTGGCACTTTCTTTGCAGTGGCCACTGTGGGACTCACTGTGGGGTGAGTTAAGAGTGTAATGACTGCTTTCAGAGGTCATGACTAAATACCACGCAGAAATATTCTGTTCCAAGCTCATGTAGACTCTGTAATAATGCACAGTTTGGGCAACTACCAGTGTCAGCATGTTAAATGTCTAAGGGCTAATAATGGCCCCATTAATGGGAATTTATTCATAGCTAGAGACTTGAGAAAAAACAAGGAAAACAGCAAAAGTGTTTCATTGAACAGCCTAATAGACTGAAGTGGTTGTGATTCAGCGGTCATGAAAGTTTCAAGCTTGTTTTTCTTGGTTAATCAAAGCAGTTGCAGAGCAATTAAGTCTTAATGTTAGATTATTATTATTATTATTATTATTATTGTTAGAATGAAGCATTTCAACAACAAAAAAATGCAGAGAAGTATTTGAATTAAAACCCCCGCTTTTTTTTATTTGCTAAACTGCATAAATTTAACATCGATGAAAGAACATCATCAGGTTCTCCTTGGATAGATGAACTTTGCACTTTCAGAAAGTCTGAGGTCCTGTTTTTTTTATCACATATTGACTAAGTTCCTCTCTTCGGCCCTTTGATTTTCTTTAGTGCAATTAAAAGGAGGAAACCTGTCCTATTTGCTCCCATCATTCCTCTCAGCTTCATACTTGCCTTCCAGATGGACAGTGCCTATGGGACTCTTATCTATCGAATGAGAGGTAAGACCATGCAGAGTTGAGTCCTTCAGAGTTGTCAGAAAACCTTTATTTTCCTTATAAAATCAATATTTTCTATGTTAGACTGTACAACAAAATACTCCCCTAAATGTAAGCTACTGATTGCAAACAAGATTTTTTAAGTGGCAAAGAAAAAAGTTTTTTTTTTTTTCAATTTATAATCAGGATGCAAAAATAAGTACACACCAATCAAAGTTCTGGGAGCAAAGCTAAATTTTAGTGACCATATCACCCTTATTTTCTTCTTATGGTAAATCAAATGTTATGTTAAACTCAGCTTTGTCAAAACTTTGGAAATTGTACTTTTGCTCATCTAGATATTGAGTAATATGTTACTTTTAATAGGGGATGTACTGGCTTATGCCGGGCACTGTATGACTGTAATCACCCCAAATAGGTTAAAGTTAAATATCCATCTATTTGAGATTTTATGGGCATCACCTCACCTCAGTATCCAAAATATGAATTTGGTGGTAATAATGAAATAAAGATGCATACTCACTGACCTTAACACACTACACACAGCTCTACAGATGTTGTACAGTAGAATTAAACCTCAATGTTTTCCTTCAGAGCCGATCCGAAAAGAGGCAAACCCACTTTTCTCTGCAAAAACTAAACAAATGATCTAACCTGGCATAGCAGAAGTGAATGTACAGGACAAAAATAGCTGTTTTCACAGACAGCTGTTTGCCACAACTCAATGCATTGATTTCTCTGTCCCTCATTACACCCTCAGGGGAAGCTGAGAGTATCATGACGTCTGAACACGACCGCCTGGACTTGCCCCACGGGACCCCTTCTTTCGATAGCATAGAGAAAGCTCGCCGCGCTAGAAGCAGCCTGGCTTCCTTCTTGGAGAAATGAAGTGTCGGTATTTTTAAGACTCAGTCATCCAGTCGCCGTTTTGCTTTTGTGTAATTATGGAGATTTGAAAAATCTACTGCCTTGTGTCCTACATGAGTTCATGGTTTGCACTAATTTTTTATCATGGACTTTAAGTCATCTAAGTTAAGATGCTAATAAATATAATGATAAGGATGATTTGTGGGTTTTATCATTGGGGGTGGATGATTAACCAAAATATTTCTACTGAACCACTGCTCTGGGGAAAGAGTGGTGCAGTCAGATGTTATTAAAGCAAGTCCAAAAACTTTAAGGAGACCTGTGCTGCTGATCCAAACTTTCTTACAATAAATGCTACAATTCTAAATGTTCGCACAAAACCAGATCCATGACATGAGATACTATCAGTACTCAGATTTTTCTTGCTCTGCACTTTATTCGTTCAGTTTGTTTTGGACATTTGCGTATAGGCAGTCTATCAATTTACAAGCCCATATAGAATAAGGATGATTCTCATTTAGAGGTGTCCTAGACTAACTTAATAAAAGTTGAAATTGAGTAAAATAGGTCTCCTATAAGTTAGTAACATCATCTTTTAGTGTATTGTGAAATGAATCTAAATTGACTCTAACAACATTCAGCCATTAAAGCCTTATCACCTCAGACTGCAGCTGTGTCCTACATTTAGTCTATGTTTTTGTTCCTTTAGTTTGAACTGTTTCATCAAAGTGCCAAAAAATTAGTGTTACTGTGGCTGAAACAGTAAAAGCTAAAAATTGTAGCGTTCAAATAAACCACTTTTCTGAGCGACAAATTAAAGCTTTTACAATTAACTTATTTTTTAAAGAAGTTAAACCAACACCTGCTGTTGTTGTTGTTGTTTAGCTTTATTTCTCATCTATTAAAATAATAGATGAGAAATACAATTTTTAGGGGCTGATGCCGATACAATGATCAGTATCGGCCCTAGTATATAACTATACTTATTCACAGTGATGTAACACCTGTATTGTTTAGGCTTATATAAACAACATAACTTGTATTTTAGCAATGAGTTGCCAATTTGCACATAAAGTTCAGACAAATTGAGACAAAACTTTAATTTTAAAAAATTTGTTTCACAACATTAGTTTGGTTTGTATACGAACAGAGTTCAGTGTTTTTCCTGAAAGTGATTGAAAAAGTGAGAGATTGAATTGTTTAGTGTAAAAATGTAGAACATGGAAATGTTGCAAATATTGTTTTGATGACACAAGACAAGTACCTGAAATCTTTTGGGTTGGTTTCTGGTTGGAAAAAAAAAAGTTATTTACAAAGTTCAGTGAAGTGCTGAGAACCGCTACGTCAAAGCTGTAGTTTAAATCTGTACATTCAACAATTGTATTTTTATCAGCAGAGTTTTAATGTAAAGTACATGTGGATGTAAAATATTCCAAGGTGCTGATATTTATAAACAGCTAACTCACCATCTTTTCAGCTCAACTTTGACATCATGGATACTCTGTTTGTAAATCCAATAAAGAAAAACATTCATCAAAGACTTCTTCCTCTGCATCCATCTATTAAGTGAGGGGGCAGTTTATTTTTCACAGAGGGACACTGCAAAAAAAGACGCCTGAACCGCTTTCAATCTTTGATTTCTTCCCTGCAAAGTGCACAAAATGTCATCAATGCTTTTAGATGGTTTGAGTGAGTAATGTACTCGCTTGCACTTCACATATATGCACACAACCCTCAGAAAGCTTCAACAGAGGAAAAAAAAAAACACCAAGTACGTCATTGTCATCAATCTAAATGACGTGTGTGTGTGTGTGTTAGAAAAATGGGGAGGAAGGGAGGGAGGGTGATGGCTCGAGTCGTACACATAAGTTGATGAGTGAAGTAGTGACTAAGACTATTGAGGGTACAAGAAGAGGAAACCAAAGTCTGCTCTGCGACACAAGGTGGGAACAGAGACACGTCTTTGAGAAGTTCAGCAGCATTCAACAGGCTGCAGAGGGAGAAAAAAAAGAAGAAGAGGATTGAAGACTGAAGAGTGGGGTTCAGCTGACCCTCTTGCCTGCTCCTTTTTTTTTCTTAAAGACAAGCGCAAAATGCTGTGGAGATTGACTCTTGCTGTGGCTGTGCTGTGTGTTAGCGGCATGTGCAGCTTTGTGAAGGCTGATGTGATGAGCAAGCTGATGTTCCCGAGGGACTACGGGGTGAAACTGTGCGGCAGAGAGTTCATCAGAGCTGTTATTTTCACCTGCGGAGGATCCCGCTGGAAACGATCCACAGAGGGGGACTCAGGTCAGTGTCCGTACATGCTCTTCAATTACTTCAATCACTTCTCTCCTTCTGCACCTTTATCCAGTGCGTAAAATGTCAGATAAGAAGTTGAAGCTGTTCTTGTGTATTTTCTGTTTTCTAGCACACTTGAAAATATTAAAAAAAGAAGAAAAAACAGGGAGACAAACAGACATCTTTCTATCACTGTTCCCTAATGAAAATATTTGGATAAAACTGAATAAAATGATTGAATATTGTCAGAAAACCATCATCCCTGTTGTAGTCGTCCTTCAAAAACCACCTTTACTTTCATTTTGAAACTAAGATTTATTTCCCAGATTAGATTATATCCTGTAATCTTGCTTTTCAGGAAAACCCAGAGCGGTCATGAACTTTTTAAAATGAATCCATCTCTTGTCTTTCTCCAGTTGCCTCACAGTGGACTTCCCTCAGTGACATTACAGCACAGGAGCACCATCAAACCTGGCAACCCTCCACAGAGCTCTCAGCAGAGGACCCTTCTCCTCTCCGGATCACCTCCTCTTACTCGCTGGCAGACCTCTTGGCTTTCTTTGGAGACAGGCAAACTTTGCAGAGAGAACCAGAGATTGAGGAGAGGTCGCTGCCGTCTTGGGGCGACCAAGGTGGCTACCCCGCCGCGGACGACTGGCCCATACCGAGCAAGAGGAAGAGGAACTTTTCTCTAGGTGTGGCAGGGAAGTGCTGCAGCCAGGGCTGTACCAAAAATGATATTGGACGATTGTGTTGAGAATCAGGGGAGAAGGAGAAGGGGGGATGATGGCAGGGGTTGTGAGGAAGAAAAAAAAAAATTAGGAGGTTCTTTAAGCAGAGAAAGTTTCTATCTGCTGTTAAAGCCAGCACCACTCATGTCTAATTGCACAGAATTAAAGAAACACAGAGACGACTCAATCACAAAGTCTCATCTCCTCATTTCTTCTTTATGTCTCTGTAAGAATTTCTTTTCTTCTCCTCTCTTGTATATTTTCCTGTAAAAAAAAATCTGTATTTCTGCTTTTAATCATAGAGAATAAATTTTCAAAACGGTGTTAAAATTAAACGTTGTGTGGTTTCATTTGTCGTGTTTCTACGGCACCTATGTCCTCGCCTGCAGACTGAAGGCCGATATCACACAATAATGTCATTTAGGCTTCCATGAGCATATTACCAACCTTTGTTCACAAAGTTACGCCCCCGTGATCATTAAGCACCCTGAGGACTTTGCTGACATAAAGGGATTTCTTTTATTTTCTCTTAACCCTTTCTGAAATGTCTCAAGCAGACTTTAGCAACCGGCGTAAAAACAGGAAACACAATTAGGGGGAAAGAAATGCACTGTGTTGCATCTTTACATCCCTGTTTCAATAGTTTTATCAGTTCAGACCAAAAATAATAAAAGTCACCATGAAATGACAAAGGTTTAATATCAACACTTCAACAAACCAAAAAGACAAAATACAAGACACCAGTTTGTTCTGGATAAAACATCATGTAACAATAATTCAGACTGGCCAGTCACCAGGAGGAATAAAGCATATGTTTGGGTTTGTTATCAAGTCTGTTGACTCATTTTCGGCCATGTAGGACGCCATACAGCCTTTTACGGTAACCTTTGAGAGTTGTAATTTCTCTGTTTGAATTCACAAAAACAAACGTGTTTCAATATGTTTGTTATTGAAAAAGACAATAACCTGCTAATTCCTGGTACAATACTGTCAAAATGCAAATATTGACATATACGCACATGCAACACAAACATACAGTTGACATCATTTTAAGTACAAAGGGGAAAAAATACACAAACCAAAGTCGTATACTTTGTCCAATAAGAAAACTACAAAAATATTTCCCTTTGTAATTTTTTTCTTCACTTTCAGCACAAACTGTTTCACTCCTCACAACACAGCTCGGTTGTCTTAAAAACAACGGGCCTCAGCGTTAGAAACTCAATATTGAGTTCATAAATTAAATACTGGTAAGTCATCTTCACTTAGAGGTTCTTCTCAAAATTAAGAGCCACACCTTAAAAAGCTCATTCAGACATACCTATCTCTCCATGAAGAATTATTTCTGGAATGATGTAAACAAATGATAGATGATGACGTGTGAAGATATGTAGTCCCAGAAAACTTGAGGAGCTCAGAAAGGATTCACCAGGAAATAAAAACAACAAAATAATCCCCGTTTAGTCCACTGGCAGAAATCATCTGACTTCAAATCCCTTGAAAAGGCGTTCATAGTGCGTCTTCTTGCGACAGCTGCTGCTTTGTAACATGCTCCATGTTTCAGTCCGTGTAATGCCGAGCAAAATGAACCGGAAGATGTCCTGCACAGTCGTCCACACCACAGAGGTTTGTCTTCAGATGAACGGTGCAGTCATGTTCAGTTCAGGTGTGCGTTGAGATCACCTCCTTCCTCACCTCAAAGCTTCTATATTTACAAAACAATTTTACAAAACTGAAGAACTTCTTGCTGGTGAATCAATCATCATATTGTAACAGCACTTCCATGACTTTCACACTCACACTGAATCCAAACAGACAACTACAGATCTGTATAAAAGTATCTTACGGCTACCATCAAACACATTGTATGGCACACAACATGTAAAAAAAACACAAGTTTAACTCTAAGGCATCGGTGAAAGACTCTCAAAGACCTTAGAAATAACTTTCCTTTTTGCTTGAGTTAGATGTAGTGTACAAACTTATCGGATCATTTGCAGATTTGATGTGGCTGTAAAAAGAAACTGGTAAATGTAGATAGTGCTAATACTGTAGGCATCATCCTTCGAACGCTGTGAAATTCTTCACACATGTAGGCTTGTGGAGCGAAAAAAGAGTGTCCATCATGCTTTGCAAAGGTAGTCACTGTTCTGTTATCTCCTGGAAGTCAGCAGCTTCAGGAATCAAGGCTGCTTGCCTTCTCGCACCGTCTCCACGCTGAGGATCAATTTTTTGAATGTCGGGCGAAGTCTCGGTTCGCTGTTCCAGCACTCCGTCATGATCTTGTGAATCTGAGGGAAGCAGCATAATAAACAAAATAGATATAAAAAACATTGGTATTCTACTCACTTTTTATGATTGAACTCACTTTATGACACTGAATGAGACATTTTAAATGCAAAGTTAGGTTTTCTTCCCACTGAGCATTTTTTGGTCTAAAAGACGTCTAAATGTAGCCTAGACGACTGGTCTAAATCAGGCTACCACAGGTCTAAAAATGAAAGTTTTATTAGCGACTAAATTTAGACCAAATTTAGACCAAGTCTTAATCTGGGCTATATCTATACTACACTGTATATTGCTCAATGGCCATCATTATTCTTTTAGTTAAGTGCTTGGAGATCAGTTATGCAACTCACAGTTGCTTTTTGAAATAAATACCCACTGAGCATTTTTTGGTCTAAAAGAAGTCTAATAGACGTCTACATGTAGACTAGACGACTGGTCTAAAATCAGGATACCACAGGTCTAAAAATGGAAGTTTTTTGGCGTCTAAATTAAACCAAGTTTAGACTAGCTGGCTAACAGAGGCATAACTGTATATTGCTCAAAAGCTATCATAATTATTTTGGTTAAGTACTTGGAGATCAGTTATGCAACTCACAGCTGCTTTTTGAAATAAATAGTACTTGAATAATGGGCTAAAGTGAAACGTCTAAATTTCATCTAAAAATATACAGAATCTAGACGGTTGAAATTAGGTCTAAAACAAAACTAGACGTCTAATAGCCGTATATTTATATATATATCTCAGTGGGTTTAAAGAAGCATAATATCCTTTCCTGCTTTGGTCAAAGAATGATGTTTTCTTCTTTCTCAAACAATCAGCATTGATCTAACATTACATCTTGAGAGACAAACGCCATCGAGAAATAGTCCCCATCTCTCTAAAATAAATAAAAGACGAACCAACCTCCTGTCACAGAACAAGCTTTATAAATCTAAAGTTTTTCTTTGTGGCTTCTGATCATTCAGAGTTACTGACCTCTTTTGGACAACTATCTGGAGCGGGAAGCCTGTATCCTTGTTTGAGCAGGTCAATCAGATGGTAGACAATCATCTGACCCTGCTTTTCGTTTCCCATCTTCTCCATGAACACCTAAAGAAAAAAAAGGACAAAATAGTTTGTGTCGTGCTGCGTTAAAAAAATGCTAAAACTTTCCACAGTTGCCACCCCAAAAAAACAACGAGCAGTGTTTCCTGTTTTTAAGTGCTCAATCAACTGATTTCTTTAACAGCTCTAAATGAGGTCTAATTAAGTCAAATAATTATATCATTTAGTCAAACGGCTGACAAACCAATCAGGGGTAAAATGAGAGAATAGTTACTTCACCAAAAAAAGAAGAAATGAAATTCTGCAGTTCAAAAAGTAAGTAAAAGAAAGCCTAAGTTTGGTACCGCTGGTGGGCTGCAGTTCTTGTTGCTGTAAGTGAAGAGCTCATAGAGGACGACACCGAAACTCCAAACGTCTGACGCCACAGAGAATTTACTCTCTGTCAGCGACTCCGGTGCATACCTGAAAAACAGATCTCAACTTTAAACACTCAACCAGGTGTGCACAATACCAAACACTTTTTGAATATTATCATCAAACACGTGCAGTGTGTCTTCCTCACCAGAAGATGGGGCTTTCTCCAGGCTCTCTCACTGTGTAGTACTCTTTGTCCTGTGGCAGCACCTTGGTTAGTCCAAAATCCCCGATTTTCACTCTCGTCTCACTCTCCACGAGGATGTTTCGAGTGGCCAGATCTCTGTGGATGTACCGCTTCAAGGCGAGGTAGTCCATTCCCTTAAATATAAATGTAATGAGCTGAAATGAGCTTCAGAACTTCTCTTCCTCTTTCTGTTATGTTGGTAATTTTTTGCTTTCAAATAAAGAAGAATAAAAATCAACTTTAGTTTATGCACACCCTGTATATGACACACAACCCCACATCGGATCTGATCTGATCTGATCTGTGGGTGGTACAAAGTCACACTAGCTGCAATACATTACCTTGCAAATCTGTGATGCATAGTGCAGGAGTTTCTTAGAATCAAAGCGGTCCTTGTGTTTGATGAGATAATCTCTCAGGCTGCCGTAGGGGAGATACTCCATGATCAGCCGCAAGTTCCTTCGTCCTGCAGGAATAAAGAAGTTAAGTGCGACACTTAAGGGAGGTAATATGATGTGGGAGCAGTGGAGTGGAGGCCTCTGCAGAGGTACAAATGAGAAAATCAAGATTGATTTCTTTCATGGGCATGGTCATAGACACCTAAGGCAGCAAGTTTGGGGACTCTAAAGACATTATGGTATGTAGCAAAATCTGTCTGCGTGATAAAATAAAGGAACATTTGTAGTCAGGAAAACATCTCCAGATCCGTCTTTAGAGCAGAGGAGATGACGAACCTCACTTTTTGGTTGCTGTAACTATTTCAAAGAACTCAAACCGAATCATACCTGCACTGTAGCACACTCCCTTGTATTTGACGATGTTTTCATGGTGGAGGGATTTGAGGATCTCGATTTCCCGCTCAAAGTCTCGGAGGTGCTCAGCTGTGCTGTGCTGGAGCTTCTTCACAGCAACTACCTCCCCTGTGCTGTCCTGCAGGGGGTCGTACCTGCACATTTCCACGCTGCCAAAGTTCCCCTGCACACAGAAATGAAAATCAACAGATACGGTTTAAAGCTTCATTATGTAGCCGCTGCAGGCATATACAGATGTTCTGATTCTTTTACAGATGCTGTCCTCACGGTGTCATTAGACTGTTGGGATCCCAGTTCTTCATCAAAGTTGATGAAGTTTTGGTTCTGGGATGGGGTTATCCATTATTTTGTGGCATAGTAGTTATGCACCATTATTGGTTATGCTCTTTACATGCAATTATGATAAGGGGTGTCCCGAAACAACTTTTTACTTCCGATACCATACCGATATTGTAGCCTTCAGGATTGGCCAATATGGATATTAATCACATGACAAATTTTGCACGCAGCTGCAACATCTTTTCGGACTCAAACAAAAAAAAATGCCACACAGCCGACATCACTCTTACTCCTTGCTACTCTGTCTGTTTGTACCTTAGTTCACACTGTTGTTGTGATAACGTGGGCTCTACATGCTGGATCAGGGTGCTGCCAGATAAAAATGCAGGAGCGGAGTCTGAAATGGACGGCTTGTATCGGAGTGCTAATGCTAAGTTCAAGTTACCTCGGAAGTCAGAAGTCCGAGCTGGATATGACGCCACACCCGAATTACCAGCGTTTCAGTTACCAGGTCAGAAGAAAGCAAAATCTGAGGTGGAAACAAGATGGCTACGAAAGTTATTTTAACGCTTGCCTTGTCAGAATATAAGCAAGGACAAGGCAAGCGCTAAAAATGACTTTTGTAGATGTAGCCATCTTGTTTCCGCCTCTGATTTTGCTTTTTTCTGACTTGGCACTGGTAGCTCGGGTGTGACATCATTCCCAGCTCTGACTTATGACTTCTGAGGTAACTGAGGCCGATATAATACGATAATTATTTTTCTGCTGATATCGGACCAATATCTGGTATCATGACATCCCTCATTATGATAGCACATGATGACTAAGACCTTAACTGACTTTCTTTAAGCCAGCAGCTCAAAGAGAAGACAATAAGCAAAGAGAATCAGCAGCAGAGTGATAATCACAGTCGTGAAACTTTATTATCTGAAAGTATCGAGGCAATCACACCCTCATGAACAAATTAAAACAACGGCACATCCAGCACTGAACTGCTTTGGAGGATATTGTGAGAATGTGGCAGAAGTCACACATCAGTCTATCTGCTGTGAGCTCACAGCTCTGTGGCTCAGCTCTTCCCTCAGTTAATAAGGCAGCCGAGGAGATGAACAACCAAGCTTCACTAATTTCACAAACACCCTCTGTGATAAGAACTTCAAACATGTGCAACAACAGATAAATATACATATTTTACAATCACCCGTAAAATGATGACCACCTGCCCAGTAGCGTTTAGGTCTGCAGCTGCGTGTTTTGACACCTTTCTATGAGAACCAGGGTCCACATCCCACACAAGCTGCAGTCTTAAACATGCTCTGACCCGGTTATGAAGCCGCCACCATTTAGCCCAGGTCCCTCAAGGGATAATGTTCACTGCTCCCAACACATAGTCCACTCACTGTTTGATAATTCATACCTACTGACAGGTGCTATGGAAAAGATGATGTGGGTAAGTCACTTCACTTGTCGGTGGACATAATGTTATGGCTGCAAATTGTGTCTGTGAGTGTGTATGTCTCACTTTTCCAAGCTGCTTGAGAAAGATGAGGTGCCGCTCCTCGAACTGGGCCGGCTCCTGGCTCTCAGAAGCCCACGGGAAGCCGAAGCCCCTCATTCTGTTTGGTACCATATCGCTCTCCACCAGCAGCTCATAGTCTGCAACACAACCAGATGATTCTAAGTAAGAATGTGTGCATGTCCTGCATGCAAAATAGATAATTGTGAGTGAAGATATCTCTTCCTACCTGGTGTGAAGAGACTGTTGAGGTCTCTGATCACTGCTCTGAAGGAAGGTCGGTGTAACGGCTCATAGTCCATGCAGCTGTTAATCAGATTAGCCAGCTCTGTCCATTTAGGAGCTGGCAGCTGATGCCTATCCTCGTAGAACAAGATCTTCTGAAGATGAAAACAGAAAAAGCGAGACTTTAAAAAATGTGTACACTGTTCTTGCAACCAACACTACTCTCACACCTACGCAGGAACACTGATCATGCACAGGAAGTCAACATTAGCCACGTTTACATGGGCAAAATTTCTTGATCCGATTAAAAATTTGAGGGATCAGATCATGACGTGCTTAAACATGCGCTAGAAGCATTTGGACATGTGCAGAGTTGTCTAATTTCACTAAAACAACAGCAGAAGAAGAGTTGTATTGACGCCTGTGCTGTCAACAAACCAACAAACAAGGTAGTGATTCACTCCATCCAATTCAGGATGTTCCCCCCTGTTAAATGTTGTCACTAGATGGCGCCCTTTCTTACTTATTTTACTGTTTTGTCAATGGTTGCTCTGTGCGTGCAGATATGATATCATTACGTTGTATGTACGCCTTGTTATGTTACCGAAAGTGAAGACACGGCACCTGCGGTTGTGTTTTATGCCAGAGTGTTAATAATGAAACCTCCTGAACTGACCTCAATAAGTAAACCAAAGGCTAAAGAGTGAAGATAGGGTCAGGTAAGAGAGTCACGATTGAAATAAGTGTTTACATGGATGTGCTTCAGAATAACGGTCGGCATAATCCACCTCTCTCGATCAGAATATAATTTCTTTCCGATTGAGCCGAATTGGATCAGAATCTTCGGATCAACATGTTTACAAGACGCATTTTTATTCCGATCGGGCCTTTATTGCGATTATTTGTGCCCATGTAAACATGGCGGCTATCTCTCTACTGTCTGTGTCTGAGACCTTGGAGCAGTCCAGGGTGCTGAGAGGTTTGTCTCCGCCACTGCAGATCTCCCAAAGGGTCGTCCCAAAGCCCCACTTATCAGTGGCTAAACTCAGGCTTGGGGCATTTTCAATGCACTCAGGGGGCACCCACGGGATACGCTCCACAAGAACTGCAGGAGAGACATGAGGACACACAGAAACGTAGAAAGAGGAAGATACAAAAGTTAAGGGTCAGCAGCAAGGAGGTACACTTAAAAAAAACACACAAAAAAACATGTCTTAGTGAACATTGTTCGCACACATCATCAAACAGGTGTGACATCCGTGTCTTCTCACATCAGGTTAGTGCGAGCACCCATGTATCTCACCTTCTCTGGGCAGTACAGTGATGCTGATACCCGGGTCACTGAGTTTGATGAAAGGCAGACTGCCCGTCATCCGATCCTCTTCTCTGATCAACAAAACGTTCTTGGCACAGAGATTTCCGTGAATGAGGTTCTTATCCTCCTGTGTGCACAAACAGGAGGAATAACAGTCACAAAGATTTACTCTTGTCTCAGGAGGTCAGTAAAAAGCGTCTAAATAAGCTCAATGCCGATCTGCTTTGACTGTTTTCTCTCTTACGAGGTAGTGCATGGCCCAGGCAAGCTGCTTGGCCACCTCCAGCTTCCAGGTGATGTTAACACAGCTTTTGTTCTTCTTCAAGTAGGTGTCCAGTGACCCGAATTTACCGTATTCCTGCACCATCATATCTGAAAACAAAAAAAAACACACTTATTGACACTTTGTTAAACTATTTTGTTGTTTTCTGCAGATAAATCTCTGTGGATTCTAACACAAAGAAATCAAATTGACAACAGAATTAAGAGTTAATGACGCAGTCACCCAGAGCACCACAGTCCTGAGGGTGTTGGCTCATGCCCCCTTTTGCTCTGAGCGAAGACCCTCCTGTCACATTAATGTGAATTTACAGCAAGACTGTCACCGTCACTGTTAACCTCTCTGTTCTTCTTACATTCACCGCTTGCTCTCTGACACAATTTATTGCAGACTACCCACTGAGCATTTTTTGGTCTAAAAGAGGTCTAATAGACGTCTTAATGTAGTCTAGACGACGGTCTAAAATCAGGCTGCCACAGGTCTAAAAATGAAAGTTTTCAGACGTCTAAATTTAGACCAAATTTAGACTAGCCAGCTAACAGAGGTCTAACAGTATATTGCTAAACGGCTATCATAATTATTTTGGTTAAGTACTTGGAGATCAGTTATGCAACTCACAGTTGCTTTTTGAAATAAATACTTATCGAATAACAGGTTTAAGTGCAACGTCTAAATTCCGTCTAAAAATATACAGAATCTAGACGGTTGAAATTAGGTCTAAAAAATAACTAGATGTCTAATAGCCGTCTATTGCTCAGTGGGAGATAAAGGAAATGTTGAGTACAGCTTTGAACAAACATTAGTCAACATTTTTCATAGAACCACGGTACATATCTGAACTCTTAAATTTTTATACCCCTCCACTTTCCTTGAGGCTCCAACTCGTCATCACTTAAACTCATTGAAAAACCCACGGCGAACGAGCTTTCTCGGCTGTGGCTCCCAAATGTGGAACGAAATGCCACTTGAGATTAAAACATCCCCCACTTTTCCTACTTCTAAATCACGTCTTAAAACTCATTTTCATGAGAGTTGTGTGATCCCTGTCCTTTCATAACCTTTACGTCTTTCTATCAGTTTTATTTCTTTTATGCTTTTGTGTTTTTATTTAATTTGACGTTTTTTTACCTGCTTTTATTTATTGCTGATATTCTTTTTTTTCTCTTTTTTATTTCTGACATGTTTGTTCTTTTAATTTTACTGTGCAGCACTTTGGTAAACTTGAATAATGTTTTTTAAAATGTGCTATATAAATAAAGCGGATTGGATTAGATTGGATTCTTTTAAAAGAGACAAAGATACAGCAGCAAGAAAACAGTGGCAGATTGTTTTAAAAATACAGTTAAAGATTACTTTGTGTGTGTATGTGTGTGTGTGTGTGTGTGTGTGTGTGTGTGTGTGTGTGTGTGTGTGTGTGTGTGTGTATGTGTGTGTGTGTGTGTGTGTTGTCCCCTTACTCTCATCGCCGCAAACACACACACCATAGTTGAGGAGTAAGTGTTTGTGTGAGAGCTGGCTCATCATACTGGCAGCTTCAAAGAACGACTGAAAGAGAGTAAATCAGAGAGAGCAGATTTTAGCTCCTCACCCCGGGTTGTAGTGAAGCTCACACATTTAAAAGGAAGAAATTCATTCATTTGGATCCACACACTGACTCATTTCATCACTCGCTCACTCACTGACCTCTGAAAAGTTGCGGTGGGCCTTGTCCAGGATCTTGATCACGACATCTATCTGATGTATCTCTCCGTAGTCTGTCAGCTCCTTCCTCACGCCACAGAAGATCTTGGTGAACGTTCCTTGGCCCAAACTTTCTTTCTGGAAACACAAGTGTCATTTTGTTTATCTAATTTGGAGATGGAGTGCAGAGAAACTCACTAAACTGGGAGGAAAAGCTGCTTTTTGTCTGTGTTTTGGATTCAGGTGTGTAAACTGTAAGTTATAGCTCATCTACATTCATCTACATTCGTTTAATTGTCGCACAATATAATCACATGTCTAATCAGACACCACTAATCTTTCTTACTGTATACCTTGCAGGCTGATTTTCTTACCCCAAATAGACATACATTAATACATACATCATTGCAATTATCAAAACTTGAGTGATTGGGGGCAAAAGAAAGGGATTCATCCGTTTAGATCATAAGCCAAAATACCCAAATAAGGTCTTTAGACTCAGCCGGATTACCTTGTCTGACCACAACACTCTGACAGCTTAGGATTCAGTGATACAAATAAGGTCGGAGTTATGAAAGCTCTTTTATAAAAGCACAACAGCACTTACACCTAAATACAGAACCTTAATACCGAGCTAAAAATTAAAACCCATAAGGGGGAGGAAACACAAATATAAATGACAATACTAGATAGTGAGGAAAAAAAGGAATGCAAACTTCCGCCAGTGACTTTTCCATAAAAGGGATTATCTTACGATGACAAGGTCCTCTTTCCGGATCTTGTGGAAGACCATCTGACTGATGTTGTGTTTGTGAAGCGACGGGGACGGTGGAGCCTCTTCCCCTTGGTTATTTCTACACACCAGGAGGTTGGATTTATCTGAGGAAAGAAAAAAACACAGATGGGAGTCATGATCCAGCAAACTCTCACATGTACGCAACATTTTGTTAATGTTCCAATGTGAGGCACTGTTAGTTTTAAAATCGAATTCTTAGTGCCCCAGCTTTTAATTGATTAATTGTACTGATTAAGAAGAGTTCTTCAAAAAACAAAAAAAATCAGTCTAATAAAAATCCATTATGTTTTTTTTTTTTTTTGCTCTCAAATTTAACAACTTTGCTCTCTTTTGCCAGATCGAAACCGGGTGGAGTGATTTATGACTCATCAGTTTTCAACAGGAACTTGATCAAATCCCTACAGAGACGGAAGGGTCGTGCTGTGAGTCAGAGCTAAACTCATTTTAAAGAAGATACTCAATCTGCCTATGAATGAAAGTATACAGTCCAGATCAACATAAAATAGAGTAAATCACAACTTAAATAAAATCAATGAGAGGCCAAAGGTTCGAACCATAGACTATATACACTGTGGACTACTTGTTTCCACCTTCCACCAGTATAAAGATTTAAAGCCGAAAAGCTCTCGGTACTCCCACGATTTTTCTCCATTTCCTAAAACCAACATTGCGCAGTAGCGTTGTACGCGCTCCACCACTTGCACGGTAGCATTGTACGCATACGGTGGCAGAGTCGCTGGGAGTCTCTGGCCCAATTCCAAACCACCCCCTCACTGACTCATTGACTTAGGTGCGCGCTCATGTGAGCTCTGTAAGGGCTTGAGGGTTGTTCCAAATGAAATCGGTAAGTCAGCGAGGGCTCGGGAACGCCCCTTTCTGCACCCTTTCCGTAAGTCCGTACCGTTGGAGACTTTGGCTATGAAATTGCCCACAATTCATTGCGTTGTGGGCGTTACTGGAGGACGCCGACGCAGCCGGGGCCAGGATTTAAAAAGGAACGAGGGAATCGTCCGCGACAGACACCAAAAATGACGGAGATCATGGCGAAGAAGCTCAAGAAGTAGCAGTTCATTCAGGATCTAGGTGCACCCTTAATACTCTAACATGGATGTTCCGCATCGTGTATGGTGGGCGTGTGTGTGTGTGTGTGTATATATACATACATATATGCACACACATACACACACACACGCATGCGTTATTCTTCTAACAAAGAAAATTGATTTTTACCACAAACTTTTATCTGAATCAATACATTTTATCCTGAACTAACACTCTAAAGCAGTGATTACTTTCAGAATCTAGTGCTTCAACCTTTTAACCATTCAAAATCACTTAACCTATCATTAATGCTGGTTTTATAATTTATTAATCTAATCATTATTTACCAATTACCTGTTGTCTATGTTCAAGAGCAAGTGTGTGCAAAAGGAGCGGAACAATGTTGGCCTTTCTTCTGCAACGTCGCTGGCCGCGAAATAAATGCAGAATTAAGAGCCCAGAGAGGCAAGTGTCAGTCGCATCTTTGGTTGTCAACGTTGTCGTCTATCGTCAAGGTAACGTGGCACGTCACAAAGGGCTGTTCCATTGGTTTTATACCCTTTTGGAGCCCTTAAACCCTCCCACACTCAAGCACTTACCAGCTGACTTAACCTAAGCTAATGAGGGTGCAGGGCTTGAGGGCTTAGGGTGGAGTTTGGAATTGGGCCGCTGTGATGACGCCCGACTTAAACAGCATATCCACCAGGTGAGCTACAAAATCTTTGACACCTGTAGGCTGTATCAAGTGTCAATCATAGATAAAAATGAACCCCCTAATTAGGCCTGAACGATATATCGTTTGACTATCGTCATCGCGATGTACGTGTGTGCGATAGTCACATTGCAGAGCCTGCGATATTGGAGGTGAATGAACTCATTTAATTTCAAGGGTAACCGACTGAGATACACTCCATGTGACTCTGCATGTGCTGTGCAGCGATCCACCAATCGCCTTCGTCCTTAACTCAATTGCCAATCAGACTCACTTCTCAGCTGCCAATCAGACTACCCTGCCAGCTGTCAATCAAAATCAGGGAGGAGAAAACCCACCCCTGCACATGTTCTGCACATGGAGGGAGACGTGTGTCCGCTGAGAATTACTTTCGGAACTTTACTCATGACTATTAAGCCCAACAAATAAGAACTGTATGGGTTTTAAATTGTACATTTCCGTGGACCACTCTACTATAAGCAGTGCGCGTTTTGCGAGGTGCATGCAATTCTCGGAGGACATGCGTTTCTCGGTACAGCACCGCTAACAACAACAACAACGATCGCAAAATGAACAACGAACAAGCGAAAACCACCGAAAATGAAGATTTGTTGCCAAAAAGAAAAGGAAAGTCAGTTATCTGGAATTATTTCGGTTAAAGAAAGATGATGTCGACCAAAACACGTCTTCTGTGTTCATCTGTTTCCACAATAACGTCCCAGCACAATAAAAGCTAAAAATATCTCTGAGACAGACAGAAGCCGTTCTACTAACATTCACAAAAAGAGGTAAGATCAGAGCAGGTTAACTGTCCTCAAGATTTCAGCAGTGCAGCATAACATTAAGTGCTATTCAGGTCATCTAGTGAAAATACTGTATTTTTAATATCGCAATATATATCGCAGGGTTGAAAAAATCGCAATATTATTTTTTTCCAATATCGTGCAGCCTTACCCCTAATAACTTTTAAAAATGGAGCTATACAGAAAAAAGAGGACTGGAGCACAAACCAGACTTAAAATAAGTACATGTCAACATCGCAAACAGGGGGGGAGAAAAATGTATATTCAGTGTAATAAATTTCTAAAGTTTGTCCACAGCTCCATAGGGATTGCTGGAGGAGGCGGGATTTATGACCTATACTGCAGCCTGTCACCAGAGGGTGCTGTTCTCCAGATGGCTTCACCCAGCGAGGAGGCAGACGCTGTCCATTCTATATACAGTCTATGGTTAAAACATATATACAAAGATGGAGAGGTCTCAGTAGTTGAGGAGTGTATGTTCATATGTGAACACTTGCCTTTTGGGGTGGGGGGGCAGCACCTGGTCAGCTGGAATGTGTAACCATCAGTACGTAGCGCCTCCTTTTGGTAGCAGTGTAGAAGTTCCCGGAGTGAGCCGAAACTCCTCTTGGCACCGCTCAGGATGTACTCACCGGCCTCCGTCTTCACAATCTGACAGTGTTTGTAGTCCACCATGGATTCATACTGAATGTCAACACAGAAGTATTGCATTTAGTCGTGCCCAAGATGAAAGTCACAACACTTTGACCCAGCTAGTCTGAACTTTACATTATTAAAAACTACACAAACATGAACTTACCCCCACCACAAATGACATAAAGAATTTGTCGTAGTCCCTGGGACTGCAGCGGAGGATGTACAAGCCTTGGTGGTTACCAGAGCGACGTAGTTTCCCAAGAGTGAACTCCATCCTGTGATCAAAGAGAGAGTCAGAAGTTGTGGGAGTTCTGTGGTTGTTGGTGCGCAGTGTTAATGTCACGTATAGGTTTGCATAGGTGTGACACTCACGACACAGGGCCATGGCAGTAGCTCTGAATGCACTCAAGGAGTCTTGGAGGAGCCACTTCTTTACACAAGTAATGGTGAGCGTCTACAACCAGTCTGTAATACCCGTCAACCAACGACACGAAAGACAGGGCGCCTGAGAGTGAGTGAAACTCCAGTTCCTATATGATCAGACACAGAGAAAAAAGGAGTGATTGAATAGGAAGTATGAATAATTTAGTGCTTCATTCATAACTGCAAAATGATTCAAATCATTAACAGTTAATACTTAGGGTCTCTGCAGGTTTGGATAAGTTAAATTTTTGAGTTTCTAAGACTTTTTTAAGACTGGAATGAATACAGTTTAAGACCCTTTTAGCGACCATATGGGCAAAAAAAAGGAAAAACAAAATTTTACAGTACTTCAAATCAATCTTTATTCCTATGGCATTTTATTTATTTGTAAGCAGAGTTCATAATTTTTTTTAAACTCATTTAATACATTTTTGTGGGTGAGGATATGTGCAGGTATAGAGGGTGATTTTTGTTGGGTGGGCTATGAGACTGCATGAGTGTTATATGGATTTAAATGTTGTAACTGTTTACTGTGTGTTTTGGTTTTGTTCCTCGTGTTGGTGTACAAATGTATAAGGCTTTCATGTTATTCCGTCACCACCATGGACGAATGTCGATTGTGATAAATTATGTTATGTTATGTTATGTTATTGTACTGTTTGGAAAAAGGTTATGTACTCTGTGGTGGAAGCATGAAACTCAATTAAAAAAATTATAAAAAAATAAAAAGAGTTAATAGATTTTTAAGACCTTTCGAAATCGTATTTAAGACAATTTATCAGATTTTAAGAGAATTTTAGATATTTTTATGCCTTAAATACAAATTATTACATTTTAGACGTTTTTGAAACTTTGTGCCTGCATATACCCTGACGACAGAGGGGAGTTAACTCACTTATTTGTTCATTTAACTGTTGATATGTTTGACTCAAGTATGCAAAACCTTATGTACATCACCTTTGTACAGGTGCTGCATTGTGTATAAGGTTTAACACTATGTTTCCATCAAACTTCAGCCAGTCTGTTAAATAACAGATGTCTCATACAGCAGAAGAGATCATGCCCAACAGCTACAGTACAGACTTATTATAGGGTTGTACTGCCCCTCAATGGCTGCTATCAGAACAGCACCCATAAACTAGCCTCACTCTCGCTAGAAGACCTTTATAAGAATAAATAAAGATACGTTCTCCTGTTAACAATCTGTCTTTAATTAAAGCCAAAAGACAGATGTTGATAATGTATTACCAACTCTGTCATCACTGTAGCGTTCCTAAGATAAGACAGAAGCAGACCAGAGCTTCTGGTTTACAGAAAGAGGAGTCCAGTGTTTACTGTACCAGGATCTTGTTGTCCTGTGTGGTGAGGGTCACTACACGGCTCTCCACGGAGCCTTCCTTATTGGCTTGCTTGATGCTGATGTCGATAACCTCTGTGAAGTCACAGTAGGTCTGCAGCTCCTGGAGGCGCCAAAAAGGAACAAATGATGGTTTGCATTTGTATTAGATGAGGATTCATGCACACACATGCGGTCTTGTTGTTACTGGCAATTTCCAACCGTTGGTAAAATAAAGGACATCACACTGTTCCTGAATACATCATGAACCCCCTCTTTGCTCTCACCTCCTCTTTTCCCTCCTCCTTTTTCCCTGTTGACCACTGGATGCCCTTATTGCCCATGACGATGATGGTGACTTCCTTTGCGGAGTGGTCGGTGACTTGGAAGTGCTCGGAGAAGAGGGAAGGCAGCAGCATCTCCAGGCTCATCAGGTATTTGAGCCTCAGGTTGGACACTGTGGCCTTACACTCACTGAACTGCTGGATGAATCTCTTGAAGCGGTAGCGGATCCTCTTTCTGGTCAAGATGTTATACTCGCGAATGCGGTTTTGCACGCATCTTGGCAGGAAGGACTTGTAGCTGACGGTGGGGAAGAATAAACAATGTATGAGGTTTTTTTTTAGGCAAAGAGGGAGGTTAAAAGATTGGACACTTAAAATGCTTTCTGTGAACCCAGCTAGTGTACCTGCTGGGTCCACCGCTGGATAATCACATTTCACACCAGGCTTATTTTCTTATGCAAAAAGATAAGTACATAAACAGTTATCTAGGCTCACTGTGTGCTGACGAGTCTGTCACACTGTCCTAAATACTGAAAGTGAATCACAAGTTTTACCACATGCACACCAGCATGTCGCTGAGTTCTTTTCAGTGTTCAGGGGAGAGTTTGCAAGACAAGCATGAGACTGTAATCATCTAAAAGAAAAGTTCGTCCTGCTGGAAAAGGAAATCTGGATCTCCATGAAAAAGTGCTTCAAAGTGTTCCGTAAGACTGCAAAGGCTTAGTGAACATTTGCAGGTGTTTAAAGGATAGTAAGTGTGTTAGAGGAATAAAAAAAAACAGATAAGTAACTGAAATTTCCCACAATATTCCATTAGTTTTAGATGGTGGATTCATGATTTCTGTAAACTGTAAAATGAATTTTTTTTTAGCGTATTCAGATTTGTTGAAAAGACCTAGAATAAAGCTGGATCACCGCTGTTTTCATGCAAACTCCCACACATAAAAAGGAATGTGAGGAGTCAAAAGTTTGTTCTGGTTGCTGGGCTCACTGCATTCTTACAAACCGCTCCAGATTCTGATGGCAGGAGGTCAAAACCACCTCTTCTCGGTGCTCTCGGTTCTCACTTTTTATAAGCAATTGCCGTGTTCACAATCTTGTGTCCGAACAACCCTGACCGAGACAGGAAATACCCCTGATCTCAGAACAACACTCAGGTGTAAAGTACCTTTGTAAATGATTACTGTAGCATCTCCTGTTTGACTTTGCTCGAGACTATTCCTTATCTATGAACCCTGGGCTGTCTATTTTTTGGATGGGTTATTTTTGAGGTCGTTAGACAAGACAGATGAGGACAAATAGGAAATGTGAGGGTTAAAGAGCAAGGGAAACTGAACCAGAGCCAAGGACTCTAGCCTTTGTACATGCACTTGTACTGCTCAATGGCGTTTGTTTCTCAGAGCCTGTACTGCTGAACCCTTTCAGATCAGTAAAACAAGTGCATGAGGGACTACAGCCTACCTGGTGTCATTGCAGATGTTCACAGGTGACTGTCCACTCTCCTTGGCAAGCCTCATCATATCTAGAACTGCCATGCCAAGACACTCCTCCTGAGCTTCGTGGCTCACCGGAATATCGACCCAGCCGTTCAGAAAGTCGCTGCGCCACTGGAGGAGCCAAATAAAAAAACACAAGCAGAAGCTGAATTTCACAAAAGAAGAGGAAATACGAGATGTAAATTTCCTCACCACGAGCAAGACTGTGCGGTTTCTCCTGTCTGAACACGCTCGCAAGGTTGTGTGAGAACAAATGTAAACTCAAGAACCGTAAATTTCGAGGATATGTCGGATTAACCTCTTATCATCCAGATTAATTTGAGTGAAGCAGATTATAAAACATGTTTGTTTTGTTTAAACCTAACAACCCCTCCTGTTGTTTGACACTCCAGTTATGTAATAGCATATAAGAGCAGCATCTGTCAGGTTCACATAACAGGTGGGAGAGTAAAAAAAAAAAGCAAAACATTAAAACAAAAACACAGACGTAAGCATAACCCAAATTTCTTCCCCATTTGTACTTTTTTAACACCCTAAGACCCCACATCCTGTTTTCTTGACAGTAGAACGGCTCACGAAAAAATTTGCATATTTTACCTCCCATTGCTGAAAACATATCTGCTTACCATTACATGTTGAAGAAAACAAAGCCTTTGGGCTGAGGTTTGTATACAGTGCAAGGAAGTCTACAAGTCATCTAGACTGAGAAAATGTGCCATAGTTGAATAAAGATTCACATTAAGAGATCAACCTGGAAAAACTGGTAGGCCATGACACAGTCATCCATCACAGGGCTTTCTCTCCCTTTGGTCAGACCACAGCGATGGGCATACAATGAATTGCTGCTGTTGTACCAGCCTGGAAAATAGTATCTGTGCAGAAAAGGAAAGCAGACAGTTCACTATTAGAGAGAGACGCTTTCATATCAAACGCAAACATGAAAAGTCAAAAATGAGGAAATGAAAGAGGCCAAAAATACGAACCTGATTCTGAAGAGCAGCTTCTCACAGGCTGACTGGTCGAGTTTGAAGATGTGGTTGGGAGGGAACCATATTCGCTGGCTCTCACTCATCAGGCCAAATAAGTTGAGGTACACTGGAGCAACCCCTGTAGAGACATTCATTATTTTTAATCTCATCATTAATCACCTGTAAACAGATATTTCGAGTCATCTTATTCATGTCTGCGGTCATAATAACGAACAGGTAGAGTGAAGGGGTGGCTATGCAAACTAGAATTCTTCAGAGTAGAACAAGACCTGCCACTAAAGAGTCCTGTTCTCCCTGTAGAGAGTCTAATTTGCCACCCACTCACGATACATCACCCCCACTTAGTTATCTGATGCATTAAAAATTAAGTATAAGGCATTGACTGAAAGAGTTTGACTCAAAGCATGAGATTCATTCATTAATAATACTGAATTTTCATGTGGGGACAAGTGAATTATCATGTTCACACAAGTCAATATTTGCGAACCTTGTTTTTGGTCTGACTAAATGGATATATTTAACATCATGTAAATGTGGCTCCTTCAGCACGGTGTACACCAGATTAGAAGAGGAAGAACAGACAGATAAGAGGAAACCATAACAAACACTGAACCTGCTATAAGTGACGCACACACACCTCATCCTCCCTGTACAATTCAGGTTAATAGCACACTGTTTTGTAATACACTTTGCATCATTTGTCTGACCATAAACTTCCCTTACCAAAGTTATGTCTGGGGAGGTGAGTCATTACTCATTTGAAATGCTGTAGACTGACTACCTGAGAGATTATTATTTATCAGCGAGTTAGTGATGGTATGATTTTTTTTAGTGTCTGTTACAACTATAAGTTTAGCAAAATATTACAGCACCTATCATGGGAGATATTTAGGCTTTACAGAGACCCCTCTTGACTGAAAGGTTGATGTTATGTTATGTAACATTAAAATCTGATGTTTACTGTAGTTCAGTGAAACTGTAACATTAGAGGCATTAAAGTCCTTCAGGCTCGTTTGTCTCAGGGTCTCTGCAGGTTTCAATAAGACAAATTTAAGACTGTAATGAATACATTTTAAAGGGATATTCTGGCGTAAAATTAAGTTGGGGTCAAACTCACCGTAACACAGAGTTAGACACCCCCTCGAGAGATGAATGTTGCCAACCGCTTGCTCCTCTAGTTATACTAACTTTAGTAACGACCGCACGATAGCAATACACAGCGGTCTAAGAAGCCACATGCACACCTCAACCAAAAAGCCACTCTATAGCCACAAATAATGCTCAGAACAGCACCTAACTTCATCAACAGGACATATAGGGTCCCAGCCATAGTACTAGCCACCAAACTAGTCCATTACAGACTGCAGTGGGGTGATGCAGCCAATGGAAGAACATTAATGATTCTTCTGCCTTAGCGTCTCGTTAGCGTCGCCATTACTAAAGTTGGTATAACTAGAGAAGCAAGCGGTCAGCAATACTCATCTTTCGAGGGGGTGTCTAACTCGGTGTTACGATGTGTTTGACCCTAACTTAATTTTACGCAGGAATATCCCTTTAAGACCCATTTAACATCTGCACTGGCAAAAAAGTGCAAACAACATTAAAGTTAAATCGGATTATTTTACATTACTTCAAATCAATCTTTATTCCTTTGGCATGTTATTATTCGTTTATATAATTTAAGACATTTTATGAGATTTTCAGAGAATTTTAGACATTTTAAGACCTTAAATTCAAATTGTTAGATGTTTTAAGACTTTTTAAGACCCAGCGGATACCCTGTGTCTGCAAACTGCAGTCAAGCTCTGTCTGTGCAGAGAAGACAACAGGTTCTGTGGAGGACTTCATTAGTAAGGTACTATACACCTATAATGTCACTAAGGAGGGATTTTAGAGGACGTCATCATACCGACGTGCAAATTAAGTATCATAATGACCAATCTAGGGTTAGAGTTAGGATCTTATTGAACCATCTCACAGCCCTGCTCCGCATAGATGACTTTCATGACTAATCTCAAGACACCAGCCTGTTCCATCATCACTTCTGCTTGCACAACCACACCATGTCTCTGTTTGCTTTCTTAATGTCCATTCCCACGCTCTTGTGTGTTTTTGAAGCTCCAGCTCGAACCAAAGAAAAGTATTACACCAGTCCAGTCAAGTCGGCGATTGGCAGACCAAAAAAGTCGTCATACAACAGGAAGCACTCGCAAGGGTTAGGCAATCGAGGGAGGTTGTATAAGAGGAAGTGTGCGCAACCACGACAGGGGAAGTGATCTTTAAGTTGTAAGAGCGTCTACTTAAAAAAAAGTACAACCTTGTAGTATTGAATATAGTATCTAACCATACATAAACAATAACTGAAGAGTGACTTATTGTATTTTGAGACCACAGACTTTCACTCTCCATAGCTTTTTACTTGACTGATGTTAAAGGAAAGTGGATATCACAAGGAGGGCAGAGGTAGTAAAAACAAGAGAACAAAGGAGGCTGAAAAAATGGGAAACACGGAGTACAGAAAAAGCAGAAGATAAGTGAACAGAGAGAGGGGGTCTCGTTTTATCAGCACAAGAGGGAATGAAGTAAGAGAGTGTGGTGCGGAGAGATAGAGCTGAGGCCCACAGAGAAACTGATCCAACAGTTGGCAATTTCCTGATGTGAGTTTGGTGGAAAAAGAAGGCACAAAGTTGGACTGCTCACTTTTAAAGAGAGAAATGAAGAACAGCTCTCGTAACAGAAAATTTGACCCAGTTTCTCTCATGTTTACGTCTTGTAAAAACAGGAACAAAAAGAACGCTGTCTTGACCTTTCGTTGAAACAAGTAAAAACACACAAACAATCACCATGGTTCATCAGAAAAGTTTATGTCCCTGCCTATTTGATTTTTAGATTGCTTATTACCGAGAAAACAGAGATAAATACAAACCAAGCAGCACACAAATCCAAATTTAGATTTTCACTCCTACTCGATGTCAACAGCATGTTAGCTTTGAAGATCTTTTCAGTGTAAATAACCAAACACAGATACTTACTTTTTATAAAAACACAGATAAGGGACAAATTAATGAAGCATGCTGGCAGAAATAGCCTTGTTTGGTTCTATGTCACTGACTCTTTGCAATTTCTAGATTAAACTCCAACAGGTCATTGGCATTTATCCATTTAAAGAATGCTTCAGTTTTTGTCACTTCAAGATAATCACCCACTCTCCATGATCTAATGGACTCTTTACTGTTCTATGTAAAGAAAATTGTTTTAAGTAGACAATAAAATAAGCTTTGAATTAAAACAGTGATATAGGACATCAAAGTTTCCCATTTTTAAACTGTTTAAATAAATAAATTGGAAAATCTCCAACCACCACCACAAACCCAACCCCCGCACACTGGTGATAATCCAAAAAACTGTTCCCTGATTAGGTAAGGATATTTTAAATTGTTATTGAATTAGATCGTAAGAAAGCCAAATGTCACTTTATAAAAACAAACATTCTCGTGTTTTGTGGGGAGAAGACACATTCTTTAGGTCTGTGTATTTATTTTACAGATTTTTCCAACATCCAAAAGCATCTCACTCTTTTTTTTTCTCCTGTCTGCTGGACGATTTGATTGACATGAGAAAGTCCTCTCTACACTTTTCAATTCTTAACCAAAGATGGGAAAATGAATTCAACACAAAAAAGAGCTTTAGAGTCAATCTAATTTCCATTTATGGTCCAGTCAAAGACAAATGTAGGGATACCAGAATATTTTTTTTCTAGCTGCACAAGCCATGACGATATGATATTATATCATATATCATATCATTTTATATCATTTCATATTATATTTTATTACATGATATGATATGATATAGTATGGAATGGTATGGTATGGTATGGTATTGTATGTATTATATAATTTTATATGATGTATGATATTACATCATAAGAGATGATATATTATATTATATCATGTTATATATTATATCATATTATATTATATCATGTTACATATTATATTATATTATATTATATTATAAATTCTTATCTTATCTAAAAGACTTGTCTCATATTGCATCATTTTGTTATGTATAGCTTTAAATTACATCCTTTTGAATCCTTCTCTATCATGGGCTACCCTGGGATTCCCATCCCTGTTCAAAAGAATAGTAAATATAGCATTAAGGTGTCACACTGTAGTGTACTGTCATAGATACAAGGAACCATAGAGAAGAATGTAAACAACAGTCTTTATCACCTCTATTCTTCTAACTATAACCTTCCCACAATTCTTATGACTTTGTCAGTCATAGGGGGAAAGTTACCAGGAAAAGAAGCGGGGAAAGGTTTTCCACAGCTCAGAGGAAGTACAAACAATACATTACCATGGTGACAGCCTTGTGACATTGAAAGTTGGCTTTGGCCTCAACTAATCTGACTCACCCTGCACTACTGCTCTGTGAGCTACTACTATTGGACTTAAGAGTGTATCAGCATGGTCCGATCAGTGATAATGTCACAGTGTCGAGAAATCTGCTGTTTACTTCAGGTATGTAAAGAAATTGCCACCAGGAAGTGTTATATTTGAGCCTTTCTCTTGAACCTATTTTCATTCAGAAGCTTACTTTAGAGGGGTTCCCCCCTCCCCTTCTCATCATCTTGTGCATGCGTCTATTCTTAGCTCCATACAAAGCCCCATTTAAACTGCTCAAGTGTGAATCTAAGACAAATAAAATACACCTTATGTGTGTTTGCGTGGGATGAGATCAGAACTGAAATCCACTTGTGACTCACCACATGCTTTCGCTGCACTGATGCACAGTTCCTCTGCTATGTACTCCCCGGCCGGGAACGTGAGTGCACTTTCTGAATCACTGGCCCCGCCCCTTCCTTCACTCCCCTGACAGTAAAGGTGAACTGTGAGGCAGATGACGTCCTTTTCCTGCTTGGGCTGGAGAGTGGCTGCTGGGTCCAGGTGGCCATTGTGAGTTGCTGTTGGACTGGAGGTGGGTTGGTCCATGTTTGTCAGCACAATACAGGCCATGGGATGTTTTGTTCAAACATCAGACTGAAATGGAAACAAACAATGTTCAAACTACTAAAAGATAGCTCTAAAAAATGCTACTTAAATAGAAAAACATCGACAAACAAATAAGAGGTACTGTTATGTCCTAGGGGGTGCCGATATGGACTCAAACTAAGAGGTCGTCATGAAGCTTTAGACAAAATGTTCCTTTATTACCATAAACTGTTGGCATTATCATTTCCATTGACTCTTAATGAAGATGTTAATTTAAAAAAAGTTACTGTTGGACTATCAGCAGGTTTTAGCGTTAATGTTAATATGACGCACAGCAGTAGTTCAGGCAGGACACGGAGTCAAGCTAAAGGCTACAGTCAGCTGATCTTAAGCCAACCCTCAGTCAGCTGACAGCTCAGATGATCGCCCTCTACACATCCTATTGGCTAATTTCAAACTGCTTCTCCTGCCTACTTTGACTGCTGCAACCACTCTGCAACCCACCTCCACCCCAGCTCCTCCTGTTTGTGTTGTGTCTGATCTTACCAGCGTCATATGTATTGTCACTGATGCTTGCTCTGTTCTGTGGGGGACTTTAATTTATTTATCTTAATCATATTTATTTGCTGCTGCTTTCTCTGCCTTGGCTTTTCATGTCTGCACATGAAAAGGAGGGGAGGACCTCTCCTCTCTTATAGCCATGGCATTCCATGCGAGTGCATGGAAGGGCAGGGAACAATGTAGAAGTGTTTGCTTGTAATAAATAATTAATTTTGACTAAAGTTGTCCTGACTGAAGTAAACTTTTGTTGATTTTGAGCAGAATTAATAGATTGAGGTCTTTGTTCAGGGACAGATCAAGAGTAAACAGAGTTCAATTTTAGATTTTTGCTCACTTCTGTCCATTTCAGACTGTTTCTGCTTTGCTAAACACGCTCACTACGCTGAAATAACTCAACATTTTATATATTTTCTCTTGGGACTTTTATGTTGTTTTTAATGAAGAAAATATGGTGAGGAAATCTGAACACAGAATCACATAAAATCTTACCCTTCCACTTATCAGAAATGTCCCTCTTTATGGGGTTTTGGTTCTTCAAAAAGGGTCGGGTAAAAACTGTCCTGATCAAGAGTTAAATTTTGTTGTTTTATAAAATCCTTTAACATTCATGGAGTCATCTTTTTTTCATGTAAACCTTCAACTTTGGCAGAAGTCCCTGGAAAAGGTTATTGAAGTGTTTAATATGATCAAAAGGAAAGTCCTCAAATGAACCCTAAAGGCTGACGTGAAAAACAACAAGCCATAATCTAAACAACACTAGAGAGAACTGAGTTAGGGTTACTCATTAAACATCTACTTTCCCAGCAAACAGTGTTTGATTTGGCAGATAAAGAAGATTTCAACATTACTCTTTTAAGTCAGCACAGCGGTGTATACTTTCGTAATGTGGCCTAATATTTAAATACACTACAGACCAAGAGTAAATCCAGCTGAGAACAGAGCATTCATCCTTCATCTGTTCACTATAATCTTCTCCTTCATGCTAAAATACTTCTACTATCGAGCGGCAGTAAAGTTTGACACTCACGTGGCACCAGTAGGTTTAGGGTGACCACAGACATCCTGAGCAGAGTCTCTGTCAGATGCCTGAGATGCTATAATCCCTCATCTGCGACCAAAATTGCTATCTAACACAAGATAAGGATCACTTATCATGAAGTATTTGTGGTCTAACACAGCACATCATTTATCCAAAGACCACAGAGCGGCTGCACAGACTCACTTGGTTGGTATGTAGAGAAAAGCCTCATAATACACCACATGGAATCAAATTTGGCGCTTCCTCTACGTCAAGTTGTACATTTCAGTGACACCGCCAACTGCAGCACCATCATGTTTTAGAGCAGCTCCCCTCTTATTTCAACGTCTCAATTTTTGTGCTTTTTGTCAGAAAAATCATTAAAATGCAAATTAATTTGAATCAGTTCATGTCCATATCCCTCTACAAGACTCTTCTTCACATCACATTATTTCATTTCAGCTTTTCAATGACAGTTTTTTCCTCTTACATGCAGAAACAGTTTGGATGCAGGAGTACCCAATAAATTCATCCACAACATGGTCAGACTTTTTCCATTCAGAATAATACAGATATGATGTACAGCTACATTGATGAGCAACAGTTATAGAACTTAAGAGTGAGGGGCTTACATTATCCTGCATTTGCACAGCCCAACATGAGCGGTGTTACCAGCTGTTGAGCATGAAGCCGTAAAAAGGAAGTGAGGCAGTATTGGTACAAATACATAGACTGGAAGTCAAATGACAAAAACAACCACAATCTAAAACAAATACATGCTCTTTTGAAACAACAATCAAAAAACTTCCTACTGTCACATCAAACGTATGCACCTGTTGACATGATTTTACATCTATGTGGTTCATGGAATATGCCGGGAATGCAACCAGGTTTGAGGATTTCTTCAACTGAACCATGAACAGTTGAAGACAGAGTAGGATATCATGCTAGAGTAGACATGGATTGTGCTGTTTATGCAATAACCAGTGACTGTGGTTTTTCCTTTGAAATTGACCCACAGCACATTCAAGATGCAGATGGTTTAATTTTTTTCTAAATGTTTCCAAATCACAATGGCTAGAGACCAGAGTTCAGTTTCCAAGTAAACTAAGAAATGCAGATGAAGGCTCAACAGATGATGACATCGTCGACAACACTGGCACAAAAACGTCGGTGGTGTGGAGGCATTTTGTTTTTTTGAAGCAGAGTAATGTGCACTGCAAATGATGTCGGGTACATGTTCTCACAAAGTCGGGGAATACTTAAAATCTTTTACACCACCTGAAGCAGTGCCGCACAGCAGAGCACGCGCAATGCAAAATGTTACAAACCCCAAGCGGAGCAAGGAGCCAATGGCGCCTGTGCAGCCGAAACAGCCGACCATTCAGTCTGCTTTCTCTATTACAACGCCTTACGACAAAATGTCGAAGAGACTCAAAGACCTCACAGATGCATTAGCTTATTGCAAAAGACATGCTACCAATAATCTTTGTTAAATTTCATTGTTGTATATCATGATATATATCGTTATCGGCTGATATGAAAAAAATATATTGTGATAAACTTTTTCCCATATCACCCAGCTATAATTTGAATTACAGAAAATTATGGAAATATGGTAAAGTGGTGTAATGTTAACACAGACAATGAATTAAAAGATAATAAGGTTAAAGTTTAGAAAGATTAGCTGGCATAGGGTCACATTTATGGTCATATACTGACTTTATTGTATACAAGTTACAGTTGTATCCTCTAAGCAGTTTGAGCACACAGGACATCAGAAGGGACAAAACATCTGCTGGTCATCAAAAGCAGTCAATAATCTAGCAGTGGTCCGTATGTTGATCCCTGAAGGACGCCATAATCATTTTCATGCTCGGTTTAAAAAAGCTTGATAATGACGCAAATTACCCGTGATAGCAAGCAAAATATATGCAAATTTAAACTGCAGCTTTAGTTTCATGCATGATGATGTAATTCATTCTTTGTAAAAAAAAACTGCACAAAAACTGGAACAACCTAGAAGCAAACAACAACAAGCACAAACTGGTGCAAGCAGGAACTGCTTTGAGAGGCCTCAGCAGCTGAAGACGACAGGTACTGATGCAGTACATCAGTGATATAAAAGAGGGTGACGGCAGCCTGTGTATTAAGGGACAGAAAAACTCTGACTTTCCATCAGTATGTTTACACACCCCAAATGTTTATCATGCAGCAGACAGACAGAGAGTTAGACCAGTCCCTTGGGGGGGATGTCTTATCTGGAACTCGTTGCTAATTGAGGTCAGAGCTATCAGCACGGACACATTTTGCCTCTCACTTTTTTTTTGGGCTCCAACGCTGGCCACTACAACAACCTTTTTTAATCAGCCTCTGCACATGTTGCACCAACTATTTAACTGCTTGGCCTTATTTAAAGTTTGGATCAAGATCCATGCTGAGGGAACAGTCCCTGACAGTAGTCCAGGAATCCTTTTAAAAACTGGATTTGTATGTGGCTGTGGCGTTGAGTTTGGCTGGTTAAAGCCAAGGCCACAGCTTCCAAGTAAAATAAAACTCATGGACAGGCTTTGCCTCACACACAGGCATGGGTTTCAGTCTTACAGTTTGTAGTTGTATTATTAAAAGCTTCATTTAGCCAATCCATATCCCATGATTTTCTAATACGGCTGATTGTACTTGCCATTTAAAGGTTAACTGACACCAACTTTTAGTTTGACGACTGTTTTTAGGCAAAAAGTTAGGATTCAAGAAAATGTGATGGTCTTTTCCTGTGCTTTCTGACATTATACTGTCATTTGAAGAAGGTTTTTAAATACAGAAGGTTACAGAAGGACCAAAGATAGCTATGAAAGAGCCACACGTTTTCCAAAGCTCAGATAAGAGATACAACAGAGCTGTGTCTTCAAGGGCTTTAACTGTCACTGCTTTAAGACTAAAAGAGGCTCAATCTGATAGACTACCTCTAAAACCAAGCCAGAGTCAACATACCGGAGGAAACATAACATCCCAAATGAAACGCAGCACTGCAGCCTCTTGCTGTGGGAGAAAGTCTAAACACATCTTACTCTTGACTGAACTTGTGCAGTTTTGCAAAGAGAAAATGAGTGAAATTCCAGGGTCCAGATGTGCAAAACCATCCGATTCTAGGATATTCAAACTTGTTTTGACCTGCCAGGAAACCTTCCTTCAGTGATTTCCAGAGAACTATAAAAATCATCGCTCTATTTCAACTCTCATACTCATGCCAGAAAATCCATGACTCCTGCTAAATTCAACACGACCACATCCCTCAATGTCACACCCACCTTGCTTGCAAACAAGTGCAGTATCTTCAGTGACAACACTGACAGATACAGGAAACTGCCTGAGCGAAACTGATCAATAGATTGGATCTAGGCTGAGCCTGGTTAAACAGACACATATTACTCTGATTCAGACAAGTACAGATGATCTAGTTAAGCGTAGCGGTGAATAGTTCGTCTAAAAGAATGCTGGGTATGTGCAATGTTTATGGCACCTAACGCATAACAATACACTGACCTCTACCTGAGTCATTTATGATAAATGAACTGAAGACTACACACATCCTGTGGTGTTCCTTGCAATGAGTAACATTCCCATTTAGTTACTGGAGAGTTTTTCATGACAGTAATTAGAGTGTGTGTCATACTTAGTCACATTTTGTCAAAATGAAACCGTTGTAAATGTTATATTGCAGGCTCAAATAAAAGACTAAAACGGTGCAGTTACCCATTGCTCACCTGATTTGTGTTTATTTATCTAGGTTAAACAAACCACCTACATGGATCTGCCCTTTTGGGTATGCCAGTAAACCAAATGACGTTATGTCTGGGGTCATCACATCACCTTGTCAGAGTGAGCATGGATTCAGCCAGCTGCCTCTCAGCTTTAAACTTCTGACCAGTGCCGTTTTAGCTGGTCAGGCTTTTTGGTCTTCTCAGCAGTAGTCATGAGCTTTTTAATCACCCCCTTCCAATAACGGAGACGCTGTTAATGTTTCAGCGCTTTTTAACTTCCCCCAAAAAAACGTCTAAAAACATAACTATGCGACATACTTTGTTAAATACGACTATAAATCGTAGAAAATTACACTTTATCGTTCGTGTTACTTCCTCTTTCTGTTGGGTTAGATGCAAAAAGCCTTTCCAACCAACTTTGGCACTAACTCTTTTTGTAGCAACAACAACACACTTTTACCCACTTTTTTCTCATGGTATCTCCCTTTAATGGCAAACACATTTTGAGCTCAAAGTTATGTTCCCTCTGGTAAAAAAATAAGCCACACATGCTGTGAGACCACTGTGTGGTATTGTCCCAGCCCTTATCACACCATTCAGTCGTCCTTTGAAGTATTCCAATGCAATTTTACATCGCTCCATCAACATAAAAACTGCGACACAGACCACAGATTAATGCAATAGAAGTAAGATTAGGAGCACATGTTTCTTCTTGCAGCATTCTGAGTGCTGTTTTAAAGTATTTGCTGTTTTGACACATGACAGGCTATGGGGCTTAAATAACAGAAAAACTGCTTTTGTTATCTCCTCCTTAGATTACGCTGATCATTACTATGGCAACAATATGTCACAGTAACACAAAAAGCTTTAGCCTTGCAGTAGCTTTTTGATCTATTTTGCACAAGCCAAACCATTTTCTCCATAACATCTGCTGACTGTGTTCTCCCCTGTCTGTGACCTGAATAGATCTTGCAGAGTACAAAATGCATAACCCCTGAACTGAGAATAATGTACTTTCCCTATACCGTATATCTGTCAGTGGTTATGCTCTTCCAAGAAATACCTCCACCAAATTTTCTCCACTTTCTGTACATGTTTTAAAAGTAACTACTGAATCAAACAAAGTGTGACCCAATCAGAAGCAAATTGAGTTATGTTTTACAAGCACTTAATACCACCATTTAAAGCATGTCTGACATTTCATCACACTTTATTAAGGTGTGTCTAAATGAAAGAAGTTGATTCAATAATGTAACTGCTTCCTCAAAGTCTCAGGTTACATGATTCACAGTCAGTTTCAGAGTTCATATTAGTATATTGTTGGTTTCAGGATGACATGAACAATGAAGACAACACCTCATCCAAGCTCTCAACCAGAACCCTCCCCTCCCCTCCCCCCCGGTTACTTTGACTGGAAAATGACTAGGCAGCTCTGAAGAGAATTAACTTACCTGGCTTGTGGAATTCATTTTCAGTCCAACTATATCAACCTAAAAGTAACTTGACATCCTCTTCCTTATCATTTAATCTAATACAGCACAATTTAACGGAGCAGTCCTGCAATTAGCTGAACCTGCAAAACAGTCTCTTTTTAAATTAATACCATTTTCTGCAGCTGGTTTTGTTCTGAGCATGTTTTTTTAATCAGACATTTCCTTCTGCTTTCTTTGAACACTCAAATGTAGCACTGATCACGAATCTGTGCCGTAATCACTTCTTTTGATCTTACCCTGCTGCAGGGTAGGCGCCAATAATTTCTATTATTCACAGAACATCAATGACACACATCAATGTTATTTTCAGTATGTTTCATAAGACTCCAAATAGACTTAAAAGAGTTGAACAATGTCCTACAGGGTTATTTTTCTCTCTCATGTTTTGTCTGGACTCCACTGGTAGATGAGTGTTCATCAATCAGTCTGGTTCTGCTTGAGCTTTCTGTCTGTTAAAGACAACGTTTTATCTTGCCGCTGTTGCTTAATGCTTGCCCATTGTTGGTGGATGAAGCTGTATATCTGTAAATAGGTTATTATCACAAAAAGTGTCAGTGAAGATCTGCTCTATAAGAGACGTATAATTAATGTTGAAACAATAAACGAGTAGGGGAGAGTGGGGTAAGATGGGCCATTTTTCATATTTCGGATCACTACTTTAAAGCAATTATAGTTTTGTCTCTAATGAGTGTATCTGCATATATTTCAAGACATAGTGCATCCCTGGAAACCAACAGAAGGAGCGTAAACATATCTGTCTTGATAATATAGCATTCCAGAAAAGTGGTCTCTAATGGTCAACTTACTCCGTGTATGGGGTAAGTTGACCATAGAAGCGGGGTAAGTTGAGCCAAATCCCTACTACCCCCCACTCTCAACCCCAGTCCTCCCTCAACAAATATAAAACAAATTTAAAATGAGAGATTTCTTCGCACGCCTGGCCCTGTAAAGACAGCTCCGAGAGGAACGGAGACACTGACACCAAAAAGACAGAGAAATACGACAAAAGTTTCCTTCAGTATGGATTTACGAGTGTCATTGAGCGCAATGAAGAGAAGCCAAAATGTCTGCTGTGTGGTCTAATTCTAGAAAAAAAAGTGTCTCGGGGGTCCCCAGCAATTTGTGATGTCAAAATGGGGTCACGGCTCACAATAGGTTGGGAACCCCTGGTCTAACCCCTTCACCTATGCGCTTCGAACCTCCACAGACTCCATGAATTGATGCCCATCTCCTAAATATTTGGTCACATGATCAATTTCTTTTACCATTTCCAAGCAACAGGGGGTGGCTCAACTTTACCCCACTCTTCCCTATAATTAATGTTGAAACAATAACAGAGTACTTTCTTAGTGAGTTCATTAATTTGAGCTTAAAAAGTCCTTAAAAGTCAAGTTCATATAGCCCTATTATGGTCTGTTCAATGAGTTTCATGAAACCTACAACACGACTGTTGCATTAGGACCATAATAGGGTAGAGTGTGCATAGACTATGATGTAAACTGGTGGTATTCACATCTGTCTAAATGGTACAATATTGGTAAGCTTTTTATCCATGGGGCAACTTGTGACTTTGTTCCCATTTGTCTCCACACAAAAACATTGCACTTTGAAGCAACAGTGCCCTCCTTATCACTTCATGGGGTTTGTTTAAAAATGCAGAGCTCAGCACATCTGTAAAACATCATGAATCAGCTGTTTTATCGCCTTTAATTGTACTTGCTAAGCTAACTACAACAGGTGGCATAACAACGGCTACAGAAACACTCACACAACTCACCGTGGCCGTCGTCTTTTAGGGTCTTTTGGCTGCTTAACTTCCCCCCAAATCAGCACAGCTCGGTCGGTTGAACGTCCTGCTCGGTTGGTCGTAGTGGACGAGCTCGCGTCGTTTTGGCTAAACCAGAGACGTTAGCCGTCCGATGGTGCCCCAATACTTTCCCTGTCAGAGACCATATCCCCTAAAATATCTTCCTCTGACATCTTGCACACACTCGGCAAACTCCGTTATTTTATGCCCAACTCGACGGTTTGACCAGGTTAGGAAACGAAACTCAGGCAACTACTGCCCTACTTCTCCTTCTGTTTACGTCTTTCTAACTTATTGGTCCTGCGCACACAGTCTATGGTCTGACTGTGTAAGCCGATGAGTTTACTCTGTCTGATGATGATGATGATGGTGGTGGTGGTGAGGAGGAGGGCGGAGCAGAAGATCAGCTCAGGCTTTCTCTCTCATAGATGTTCTCTCTGACCTGGGTTTGCTTCTTCCGCGTTTGACACGGAAGCTTTTAATAACCACTACAGGATTCCCTCTCACGGTTTATTAAAGCCATAACCTATAAAACTCAATCTGTGCAGTGAAAGACAACATAATATCTGACTAAGTTCAATCACAGAGAAATCAGAACCTGCTTTAATTGTTATTTACTGTGTCATTATACCTGGGTAAATACCAAGGCACCATCCTGGATGACAGACTGTCCTTTGAGACCAACTCAGATCCAATCTGCCAAGGGCAAATCAGAGGTTATTTCATTTGAGGAAATTGAGATGTTTAAATGTTGACAAAAAGCTTGTTAAAATGTTTTACTCTTCTTTTATTGAGTTCATTTTAACCTTTTCTATGATATGTTGGCAGAGCCGACCCAAGCCTCAACAGGGCCCTAAGCAACATTTGATTTTGGGGCCCTCTATTTCTGCCAATAATATTGATTGTTAGTCATTCACACACCTACTACAGTATAAATTTAATGCGCCTGACATGTCTTTACACATTTAAGGGGGTGGCCTAGATAAGAACATAAATAATACCAATGCAACCATACAAATAGTACCAATGGATGATGTTCAGGGTGCCACATGAGGTTTTTAATCTCAAAATGTAACACATTCAGGATGCTCAGTGCACACTGCACAGCAGGAGGCACATAACGGTAGCGGAGCTTTGACGTATCGGGAGTAGGAATAATGGGCCTACATCAGCAGCAGCACTAAAATGTTTTTACTTTATTTTATGTTTTTAAATAAAACGTATACATAAAATACATACAATAATACAAAGTTTGTCCACAGCTCCTAAGGATGGCTGGTGAAGGTGGGATTTATGAACTGTACTGCAGCCCGTCACCAGAGGGTGCTGTTCTCTGAGTGGCGTCACCCAGCGATGAGGCAGATGGTGTCCATTCTATATACAGCCTATGGTTAAAACCACTAAGTATATGAAATGATCATTACATTTTCAGGGCTGCCAAGTTTTAGAAAATGACAAGAGTGAGACTTTAGTGATATGATGTGTCGCAGCGAAACATTTTTTGCCTTTTTTAACGTTGATTTATACCTTAAGACTGATGTCCTAGTTACCTACCGTCCGCTTTCAAGAGAGCAGGTGTACGTTGAGTGGGTTTTAAATGTCGGCGCTGTTGTGTGTGAAAGAGAGAGATTGGTTCTGATTGGTTTATATTGCATGGTGCCTTCCGTGGTTGGTTAGATTTAGGCACAAAGGACTGATTGATTGGTCTGGTATTAGTTTTCTCGGTCAGTCAATCTGAGTGACTCAGACTACGGCAAGCCAAGTTTATGATCATGAAAAAAATAAATACAGAATATTGAATGGGGAAACATAAGCTAGAGAAATGTCAAGTGTGGCGTGTGGTGTGAGAATGGGTCAAATTGCGTGACACTCAAAGCATGATGCTTGGCAGCTCTGCATTTTAGCTCATTTTGGAATTTTGTAAGACCTAGAAGTGGGATAAGTGACAGGGAATTTTATGATAATTGAGGGCTTTGGGGAGGATTGGCTGAGTTGCTGCTGGCTTGAGACTGAAATAATGCTATTGAGGAGGAGAAGAGAAGTTAGAGGAGTGGAGCGGTCGGTTGGAGTGGTGCTTGAGCCCAGTTGTGGGAGGCACACCACATGGGCAGCATTCATCCAGCATAATGGACGAGCAGGGCCTGTTGATTGTGTTATGAAAGGCAGGTGTCCAAGCCGGGAGCGCCAGGAAAGCCGCACCTAGCCTCTGAAAGATAAACAAACTCATACGGGAAACCAGACCACAAGTGAACAAAAAAAGAAGCAGTACAAGTCTTACAGAGACACAAACAAATATACTGGAACACCACACTTTCTGGCCAAAAAAATGACTCCACAGGCACCAACCATTGGATATCGAGGGGCAGATTTCACACTAGCAGTGCTACCCAAGACATGCATTACACGTATCATTAAAATGTCTTCAAGCCCGGTTTAGTCCACAGCAGTTTCCACTGTTTTACCCTCTAAACTACAGCATACAAAGACAACAAATTAGCTTAAAAACAAAACTAAGCATCACACACTGCAGAACACAGTGCATGAGGAGTTAAGTGTAGTCATCCCGTTCATCTTCAAGTTAAACAAAAGACTTCATTAAACTGGAATGTTTTACCATGTCCTGAACTTTAGCCAACACATGAGTACCAACATGGAGCAAAAATTAAGTCTGCATGGTTTTGAGTTTAATTTAATCAAATGAGGCTGAATGGTTTTGTTTGAGTGTTATTTTCTGGGCTCTTTATTGAATGGTGGCTGCCAAAGATCAGCTAAATGGCTTAAATATTGGAAAACAAATTTAAAATGAATGCTTTCTAAAAGTTGTCCTGATGTGTGATTGATATATGGAAAAGATCCCATGCCATCGAAGTGTTTGTTGTTATCCAAATGAAGCCTAAATTCTTCGACAATAACTCCTATTTGTACTTCTCTTACTTAGAAGAGTAAAAGTACTGTTTGGCATTATCATAGAGATCCTCTCTGCTACGGGGTTTTGCTTTGTTGATACGATTTGGGAGATTATCAAAATGCTTTCAGTAAGATATGGCAGGGCTCCAATTGGCATACCCCTTTTTGCTTCCACAGTGAATAATCCAGCTACAAAACACACTTGAAGCAGTTTGGCCTCTTGGTTAGGTTGTGCATCCCATGTACAGAGACATAAGTCCTCAAGCAGGCAGGTTTGATTTGAAAGCGAGGAATCTGTAGCAGACAGGAGTGTGGTTTCAGGAAACAAGGATCAACTGCTGACTTAAGTGCACAGCAGAGTATTGATTTCAAAAAGGAGCAAAGCGAATCAGAAATGTCACAACAGTAGGCCTAAAGTAGGGCAGAGCAAACACAATGCTATCATCAAATTCCACCCTTCACACAAACCTCAACCTGACACATACACCAAATTTGCATAACTGAAAAGTGCTCTCGATAGGGGTTCCCCAACCTATCAAACTGTCCTAAGATGTACAGCAAAAAGAGGAAACGAGGCCACTAGAAAGGTCACATATGAGTGTTTGTTATATTAATAAAATTATCCTCTGAACCATATTCTGTCCTGCTCAGCCACAGTGTAGCATTAAAGCACACCAGGTACAAAGTGGAATATGCCACATGTCCTTCTGTCATTTAAAGGCTTGACCTCAACTCTCAACTCATCTCCAAACTTTTTGACAAAAGTTCTCGAATCATTGATAAATAGGCACCTAAGTAATCTTCTATCTCCCAATATAATTACTTTGCTCATTGAGGATTTAGACCAGGTCATGGTACAATGTCTTCAATGATATAGTAAAATAAACCGACCAATTTACCCCTCTATGACCTTTGATGCAGTTGACCACTACATTTTACCATGTGCATCATCTTCCATTGGATTTCAAATATCTGGTTTTCCAACGCTGTTACTAACAGAACTAAAGCAACACCACATGTACTGTACAGTCATTCTCTATGGAGTTCAGAAAGGGATCTACCTTTGAACCACTTTTGTTTTCTTTAAGTATCAATGACAAAAAAAGAAAAATTCATCATTATGCTGATGATACCATGATATTTTGTTTCTGCTCTGCTTCGTCTCACACAAATGCTGACCCCCTAAAGTAAATTAATGACCAAATATTTCACCCAATGATATAAACATTAAATGTGTTCAATGGTTTAAGTATCTGGCTAAATCGGGATCTGTCTTTTAGATCACACATATAAAATTTAATTGAAAAGCTGTGCAAGAGTTAGTCATGCCAAAAAAGAGAGAAGTAGAAAACATATTGCTCAAGGTACAATACTACCAGTTTCTGATCACTGAGATGTACTCTATATGCCCGCAGCTGCTTTAGGACTGAATTGGGAAAGACGGCATTTAGGGAAATTATTTGGTAACTGTGTGTATCTTTGTTTTATTTTACTGTAGGGCACCTCTAGAGACGAACCCTTGGTGTAGATGGGGTCCTCCTTGCTAGGATGAAGGATAAACAAAATGAAGAAAAAAAAAAAACATATTATCCAAGCAGACGAAAGGCACAGAGTTCATGTGAATATGGAAAGGAACATGGCTGAGCTCCAGATCTCCTGGCCTTGAAACTTCGGTTTAGTTAACATTTCAGCCTTATATGCACAAAATGACAACAAGAGAGGAAAAAACAAACAAACACAAACAAAAACATTACAATGACACGTGAAGACATTGACCTGGTGAAAGTGAAAACAACAACTTGGTTGGTATCACGTTGAAACTGGCCTCATCATCCAAAAAAAGGGGTGCATTGCAAAAAAACTACTTTACAAAACGGTATACAAACAAAGCACATGGGGGGCAAAATCTAATCCTTCACAAATCCTCCTGGTAATGAGCTTCAAAAAGTAAGCTAAATTCAATACAACAGACCACAAACCTGGCATGATAATCAATAATCTCTGTTACAGAGCTAAACACCCGAGGCCCTTAAATCTCTAATCTTCAAATGTGCTGTATTTTGGCCCTGAGATAATTATTCGTCCTCCTCCTTTTTTCTTCTCAGGTACCTTCCTGCACCAATTTTTTTTAAACCAGTATTGTTAGCTACATGTCTTGGTGTCTAAAAGCAATCATCAATATTTTCATTTGACACCAAACTCACTGATTGTTGTAATATTTTATGATAAAAATATATATGATGTCCTCCCCAAAATCAGTGATTTATCAAAAATATTCCATTGCCAACACAACTACAATTTAAGCTGCTGTAGACACTCTAGATAAATCACTACATGTGATCACTGTATCATCATAATACATTTTCCATCTTAAACAATCTTCTTTATCTTTAACAGGCACGTGAGGGGTTAACTAGTTCATGTGGCCCTGCGCAGTATACACACTGCTGTTTAAATCTAAGAGGCTCAGCAGACAGCAGGAGTAGGCAGGGATATCACTGCTTCACCACTGAAAAGATCTATCTTATTCCTCTGCATGTGGAAGACATTAACATTTTTTCCATCAATGCCTGTGGTCCAACTTTCAAGTGAATAGAGAGCGCCTGTTCACCCAGTGCTTTTATGTGGTTCTGGACCAAGAGAAGCACCCTGGATCCAACAGCTCAGGTTGAGTCAGCAGTTGAAGGTGAGGCTGGGTCTTCATAGCTTGTATTTTTCTGGCATATATACTTGTAATCAAATCAAGAAAATATAATGATTGATGTTGGATCTATGAGTTGACTGTGGATCAGTGGGCCTCATATATGCAGGGGCGTGTCTTTGTGTTCTGACTTAGGTGGTCTGTCTGGGTCAGCAAATAATACAGGGGTGGCATTTGCGCACATAAACATCCTAAAAAAATTTTTTCTATTCCTTTTCCCTCACATTATATCTACTTTGAACTTTAATGGATATCGTCGGGTTGTAAGATATTGTAAAATAATGAGGTGCCGGTGTGTTTTTAAAATAATAATAATAATAATAATAATAATAATAATGATAACAAAACTCGCCCTGTCTCCTTTTAAAAGTCAATCATATCTGTTATTATGAATAATTTATGTGATTTTTTTGGTAAATAAGCTGTTCCTTCAGCATGCTTTCTCATTTAACACAAACCTTGTACACCTCTGCAGTGGAAATAGCTGTTTGAGATTCTTAGATACTGAATTATTCCTATTTACGTATGTAAGACTCTTAGCCCCAACACAATAAAAATAAATGAATAAATAATAAATATAAAGGCCACTGAGACCAAAAGTTTTTTATGTAACATGTTCTAATTTTTTATTTATCTATTTTTTGGTCTTAATTTTCAAGCTTCAAATGTTGCTGCTTAGTTTGAACTGTGGATCTGCTTCTGACAAGGCAAATATTTAGTCATAGTGCAATATTATTTGGTGGCACCCAGAGTTCTGATCAAATTTCTAGAGGGAGCATGCCATATGAGGCCACAGCGTATTTAAATATTCATCGCCACCACAACTGCATTTGTTTGCACTGAAGATTCTTTTCATTCCAGACAGGCCACCATGTCAAACTCCCCTGACACTCTGCTGTTCCGTTTCCCCGCCCACACTGACTCCATCCTCATGAGGATGAACGCTATGAGAGAGGAGCTCCGCTTCTGTGACATCACACTCCTCATTGGGGGTCCACCAGGGGCTACAGCCCAGCCTCTCTGCTTCCACGGCCACAGGGTGGTGTTTGCAGCATCCTCAGATTTCCTGCGGGACCAGTTCCTGCTCCATGAAGGACATGCCGAGCTGAACGTGGGTGTAGTTCCGAGCACGGAGGTCGGGAAGAGGCTTTTGCTGTCCTGCTACACAGGACTACTAGAGGTGCTAAATCATCTTAAGTTTTCCAAACTCATGTCAAATCCAGGAAACAGCCTGATTCCCAAATCTACTGCAGTTAAAAGATATTCCAGGGCTGGTTCCTGTTGCACCAGGAGAGTTTAAGGATGAATATTAAATGTGACATTACAACAGAAAGATTTAAACAAAAAGTGGCTGTTAGGTAAGAGGAAGGTTGTAGCTGTGATTTTGTTTTCGTGCTGAAGTGGGGCTGAGGCTTTTTGTTGTTTCTTTTTATCATTAATTTATTATTTGCTTGGCTAACATTAATAATTTGTTACTTCAGGTCCCGCTGACAGAGCTGGTAAGCTACCTCACTGCAGCCAGCGCTCTCCAGATGGTCCAGGTGGCGGAGAAATGTGCAGAGGCTGTATCCCAGTACCTCTGTCCCACTCTGGCCTTCCTGACAATGGACCAGCCCTCACGGGAGGAAGGAACCCGGCAGCCAGAAAGCAGCCAGCAAGAGATTATTTACAGAAATGAGGAGGAAAGCGGTGCAGCCCAACCTGGCATCATCAAACAGGAAGTTGATTTAGAGGATTGTACATCCAAGCCAGGGGTTAGTCAAGGCCACAATGCGGATATCCAAAGAATGAGGGAGGTCAGAGATGACAGGAGGGAAGTTTTAGAAACAAAAGACTTAAGTGAAGTTTCAGCTTGTTGTTTGGACGTCCTGAACTCAGTGGAAGGTGGAGAGATCCAGCCTGTTCACAAACTTAAGACTTCATATCAAGCTGATCGCATTGCACTTGGTCCAAGATGTAGACTGCACTTTCCTATCCAAGCTTGTCTGTCCCCCAAAACAGGAGGAAGCTCTGCCAATCATGAGCAACTGTTACAGAGTTATACAAAGCAAAATGAGGAAGGAGATAGGAGAGGAGATGAAGCAGAAACAATAACCCAGAGGCCTTATCTGTGCAGGAGGTGTGACCGAGTTTTCCAGGATCTGAGCAGCTACCTCGGCCACTTGAAGGAGCACAGACAATACCTGTGTTTGGTCTGTGGAGAGGGTTTTTCCCAGAAGAGCAGCCTGAGTCTCCACATACAAGTCCACACTGGTGCGAAGCTTTTTCGATGCCCGCTGTGCCACAAGACATTTTTTCACAAGGCCACGCTGCAAGACCACCTCAACGTGCACACAGGAGATAAACCCCACAAGTGCCACTACTGCGCTGTGCACTTTGCACACAAGCTGGGCCTAAGGCGCCATCTTAAGGGCATGCATGGGAAGGGCAGCCTACAGAACATAACAGAGGAGACTGTCAACTAAAGATAAGGTTTTTTTTTGGCATATGTTAAGATGATACTAATGGTTATATGAATTTTTGTAGGTGCATGCCAAAAAATTTACTGAAATTAAACTATGACACATATTACTGTTACTTGGAGAATAATACATTTCAGGTCTATGTATATTTTAAATTTGATTGAAGACAATAAAATGGGGTTTGCTGTAGAATGTAACGATCTGTGTTTGGTACACCACTGCTGCTTCTTTTAAAAATGATGGTTTTGAGTTTAGTTGATCTGTTTATCAGCCTAAAGAGACAAGTGTTCAATGATTCAGCAAGATAGTTTATTCAAAGTCTATTTTTGTCACAAGCATCTTGTGATAAATTATGGCTGATAAGAATTAAAGATGCAACCTGCACACAGAGGAGAAGCCCCATGGGTGTCACTACTGCGCTGTGAACTTTGCACACAAACAAGGCCTTAGGGGCCATCTTCAGGGCTTATAAGGTAAGTGCAGGCTGAGAAATGTGCTTGGACAGGCTGTGAACGCAATCAAGATATGAAGAATCAAGATAAGTCAGTTTTTGGCTGTTTGCATATTTTATGTCAGACAAATGCTAAAAACTTGAGGCATGACAAACACCACCCTGACCTGTATTATAGACATTAAGTATTTTATAAGCCTTTAAGATAAAATTTTTAAAAATGTACAGTTTGCTTTCCTTTTTCCTCAATATCTGCCTTTACATGTAGGTTAAAAAAAATTAACCTTACAACTCTGCATCTTACATAAACATCTCCTGCTGGTTAGCAGCAAGGGTCACTTAGTACCTGCTGCAATGTTTTCTTTATCTCTGTTGTTCACAAAGTTAAGTGCTGCGGTGTAAAAGTTTTTTCATCTGCAGCGCATAATAGCCGATGCAGTTTAATTGTTGGGTTTGGGAGTTAACTATAGCACACTCTGTTTTCATTGCAATTAAAAAATATTACATTCGGGAGTATGTATGGTTATGCAAATTAGTATCCTGACAGAGACAGCAGAACCTCAATGCAAATGGAGGGGTCATTATCCTATCATATGATGCAGACAAGTTGGAAGAAAATATTGATTCAGTTATTTAAAATGATGTTATTATGCAGCTTTATCGTCAGTTTATCCTACAGGACTTCTGTAGGAACTTATATGTTGTTCCTTCATCTTTGTGCATTGCAGTTGACCCACATTTGTCGTAGTAAATGTCACAACTTTACTACTAGAGGGGTAATCAGGAGTTCAGCTGTCTGTGCCTGGATTGCAGGACAATCTTGCTCCACTTTTCCCTTTCAGACATGGTCCAGGCCCAGTCGGTCCTCGGGCTGCTCAAACATCTGTGCGCACTAACTGTCTTTGTTTCCTTCCTCACAACATGATATGAAGTGTGTGATTAGAGTTTCTCTGGCATCACTTTTACTTTTTAGAATTAATCACTGTTTTTACAGGATTAACCAATCAGAATAAGTTTTCAGCACAGCCTGGTGATCAGTTTTACTGTAAAAAAAAAAAAGCAGTGCATAAGTGTGAAAGTTTTTTATGTTGAAAATATAAAACACACTGAACTTGTCAATGTTGTTGCAAGTGCAGCAACATATCATGAAGATATCTCCCGGATAAAATGATTAAAACGCCTTATTTCTTTTTAAAGGGGAGCTTGAGGCTTGTTCTGTAATAATACAGACAGATCTAATAGTACACAGATATAGATCAGTTGAATAAAAGCAGTGTGTCCATGTATTCAGGGCTAAATTTCACAGACAAGCATTGCTGTACTGCATGACCTGACTGTGATTCTTTGCAGCTGACTGAACATTAAGATCTAACTGAGTGGGTTCTCCTGCAGGGCTGAGAGGGTTTCCATGCTCTCTCACTCTTTTCTTTCACCCATCTCTTTTTTTTCAATCCTCTCGGCCCAGATATGCTAACATCACTCATCTCAGTGAATGAAACACTAGTGGTGTTGACCTCCTCCAGGCATCTGGAGCATCATTGAACTGAAATTCACATAATGGGGTATACTTCCTGTACAGAAATGACTTCTTAAAGAGCAGCTATGTTTGCGCTGCGTAACTAAATGTTCAAACTTTCATTGGAATTATGGGGAGTATGGAGGAGTAGAAGAAGGAGATAAAGAGTAGGAACTAAGGAATTTAGCAAGGAGTTTAGTGAGACCACTGGCTACTGCGCTAAGTTGAGCGAGGTAGCTCCAAGGCAACATCGCTCGGTCGAACTTGCTTCGTAGAACAGGCCCCTGGTGAAAGTGAAAACAACAACCTGGTTGGTATCCTGTTGAAACTGGCCTTATCATCCAAAAGAAGGGGTGCATTGCAAAAAAACTACTTTACAAAACTGTATACAAATAAAGCACATGGGGGCAAAATCTAATCCTTCACAAATCCTCCTGGTAATGAGCTTCAAAAAGTAAGCTAAATTCAATACAACAGACCACAAACCTGGCATGACAATCAATAATCTCTGTTACAGAGCTAAACACCCGAGGCCTTTAAATCTCTAATCTTCAAATTTTGGCCCTGAAATAATTCTTCCTCCTCCTTTTTTCTTCTCAGGTACCTAACCTCATAAGTGGATCCAGCTTTGCTAGGTCGAACTTGCCTCGTAGAGTAGGCCCTAGGGCTCAAGCCCCGGATGTTTTCTCAAGAGCCCTGGATCTCGGATTTGAGCTGGTCTGAGTTTAATATGCAGTACTTCAGTTCACCAGAGAGTGGCAGCATGTGCAGGAAAGCAGCACGTAGCCTTCCTGTTCAGATGAAGAAGTGTTTCCCTCTAGTGGCTGTTACTACTCCTCTGCTACCAGCCTCTAACGACGAGTCGAGCACCTCCACGGCAAATTTTAACACATTTAAACCAGGACAGCATGTACGCACCTTCCAAGCCGGGAGCGACGCTGCGCATTTCTACTCGGAAAGCCGGGTGCATGTAGGTATAGATCTTTTCACAGTACGCGGAAATGAGCAGAATGCTCATTTCCGGTGTTAGCGTCTGGAAATTTTCCGATGATGGTAACAATTGCTCTTCAGTAATGACCAATGAAACATAATTCCCGAAAAGTAAAGTACAAAATCACAACAGAATTTATTAAAACAGCACAAAGCATAAAATTTTATTTTACCTTTCAAAAAAACGAGCCGTGAGCTTGTTAATACCGAGAAAAATGAATGGCCGTCTATGGGCGATGCTAAGTGGCTCCACCACACGCTAACACCGCAGAATGCTCACTTCCGCGTACTGTGAAAAAGCTTTACTTCAACCCTTAAAGGAGAAGCGTGTATGCATATCAGCCTTCCAAGCCGGCGGCGCTGCTGCGCATGTCTATTCTTAAAGCAGGGAGCGCGGAAATGTCATTTTGTAACATTCTTTCTGTAGGTTTTCAATAATTTTTGGAGTCGTGGTGAATCAAATCATCGTACCTGTCTACCTCTGATAGGCTAATAAAGCTTAACAAAGCGCCCGGATTCATACTCGGATCTTGCTATGTGCTTCGCGAGTAAAGTAAACAATGTTAGAGGCAGAGAGCAGCTTCAGAGGAGAAACATCCAGTAGTGTAAACAACCTCTTCATATTGAACACTTTGGCTGAAACTCTGTGATTTCTGTGAGTGTTGCATGACTTTGGGTGAGCACAGAGATGTACACACTGTCAGCGAAGGCTGCACAATAAAAAATAACTAAAACACAAACAGGAGAGTGAAAAGAAGAAAGGGAGTCAAATGGCTTTTTGTTACAAACACAATATATTTGGATGTTTCATAGGTTTTATTTGTAAGTAGTTATTTTTGAATTTTAGTTCATGAGTGAATGAAGAGGAAAAGACAGGAGATGACCTATAACATTCAAAAGGAGGCATGACAAGACAAGAGGATAGCTCTGAAGTGTATTAAAAAAGAGTGAGGAAGACAAAGGAGAGGAGGGAGTGAAGATAAAGTGAGGGGAAAAAATAAACAGAAATGGAAATCACACAAAAACTTTCAGAGACAGCAAAGAGGAGAGACAGCAGATGAAAAAGGGTTGAGGATAAAAGATTGAAGAAAGGAGCAGTAAAGGACAGCAGAGGTGCCAGCCAGGATCACAGGTATAGTAGTAAGGAAATAAAATGCATTTTATTGTACTTTATTCCACATCTTTAGTTTATGATCAGTCTGAATAACTTTTTTGTTTTATATTTTCTTCTTTCGGTGGACATGAGGCATATGTGGACATGACATAAGACAGTGACTTCAACAAGGCTATTGGAAGGACATTTGCATCATTAAAGGGTCTGAATTTTTAAGTGTTCTCCTCCATGTCTTTTGCCGGCTTTGAATTGGTGGTAAGCAGAAGTTTAAAAAAATGTAGTTTTGTGTGTGTGGTCGCAAAATTTACATTTTGATAGTTTCATTTAAAAAAAATATATATATATATATCCTCCAACAACTTAAATATATATATTTTTTATGTCTTTTTATTTTTTTATTCAGCTCAACTAAAGACTCAAACAAATCTAAAGCCATGTCAGTGGCACAAAGCGAGTGTCCCTCTGGGTTTAATGCTTATGTGTGCTAACAATGCTAACAAGCTCTCACTGAAAATTGTCCCCAGCGAATCATGCAGCACAGCAACTCACTAAAGAATCCTCACCTGGACAAAACACTGCAGAGGTAGCAGGACCTCTATCTGTAAGTGTACATGTCTTCTGTATCAGCCCCTCTTCACTGGAAGACCACAAATCCTAAAAAATTTAATTTCTGACCTACAAAGCTTTTCATGGTCTAAATAGTCTGACACCATCATATCTTGAAAAGCCAGTGCCCATCGACCCTCTAATATTATGCCCCCGGAGTGAAAGCTTACTCATTGTACCTGAAGGCTCTCAAAATGGGAGGTAGAGCCTTCTATTGTCAGGCCCCCCATCCTTTGGTACCATACCGGTCAGTGTCAAGGAGGCAGACACCCTCTACCTTTAAAGCTTATGGTTAGAGTCAGCACAGACTTGGACCAGCCCTTATCCTGCCACAGACTCAAATCTTCATGTCCCATTGAAATTTCTAACTATAGGTCTTCATGGCAGAACTTGGACAACACTTTTTTGGCAAAGCACGTCGATTCGTTTTTAGAATTTTGAACAATTCAAGTGCAACAGCTGGGGATTTCTTTTCACAGTGTCTTTACAGTTGAACACATTAAGTGTACATAGAGACTGCAAGCACTCACACTGTTATGCTAATGTCTATCTGACTTTGCTTTCAGATAAACTTGAAGGCATCACTCCATTAAATAAAATAGAACAGTATTAGAAAAACTATACTACTCTATCAGAGCGCAACTAATTTTGAATGAACAAACAGTCCAATGCTACACAACCTGCCACTACATCCACTAGCAGAACAACTAGCAGTTGTCTAATTAAATCATGTAAATTTGTGCTTTTACTGCAGAATAACAGTCGAGCGTGCTGACCTCTCATCCTCATATTTATATCACTGACCGGCCTTTATGTTGAGGACTCATCTCTGACAATGCAAACAACTCTCTTCAGACAGTGAGTCTCATTTAAGTGAAGCATCTAAATAAAAACATTCACCTAGGAAGCTTTCATTTTCCACCTACTTTCTGTAGAGCCGTTATGTAACTACGTTTCAGTTCCTTTACCGCTCTAAATCCACCACTTGTTTCCAAGGAGACAGGTGGATATCCAAATTTTTCACACAGTAAAGCAACTTTTTCAAGTCAACAGACTGCAGATATGTACAGTGGGTGTCCAAAAAAAGACGGATCCAAGGTGTTGGTGACTAGGAACATCCTATCTCAGATTCGCTGCAGGAATATGACAAGAACACTCATTAAAATTGTCTCCAGTCTTCTTAAAACCCTCAACACCATAAAGGATAGATAAGATAACAACTTAATTGATCCCTGAAGAGAATTGTCTGTAGTATCATGTCTCATGTTGTCTACTATTCACGGAAGAATTAAATAGTCTGATGGCTGTAGGTACAAAAGAGAAGCTTTGACATAAGCAAGAGTTGTTGCATCTAACGTCCCCAAATCTTTAAACTGGCATGCTTTTAAATTACATTACATTTATATTTTGGAGAATAACAAACAGATGTTGTCCTTGAATCATGCCAACCTACCTCTTCCTCAGTTGAAATCATATGTCACCACGGTGGATATTCTGAGATGTTATTCTGAATTAGTATTACTGTATGGTGCAATAAAAAACAATAGGAGGAGGCCCACAGCCAATAAACCCATTTTACCACAACTGAGATGCCAGATAAAGTCCAATATAAGTTGCAAACTGGATGACGACATCCGCTTAACAAGAGTAAGTTCAATAGTTCATTACTTAAAGGAGCAGGGATGTGTCAGAAAGGGTAGTCAGTGGTGGCATTAGCCTCCTTTGAAACCTGGCCACTCCAATATTCTAAACCATGGTTGGCTATTCTGCTCATCAAAAGTTAGACTTGGATTAAGACTAACTATTGTGACAACATTGTAATAAGGTTACTAGTATATGGAGTCATACTTATAGCTTTCATTGTAATGATTGTAACCCATGATTTCCACCACATCCGGAACAGTGCTGATCTGGAACAGCGGCGATTTTTGCCATACGCCAGTTCCTATCGGTTCCGTTTGTGAAGCAAATATTGTGGCAGATTATAGACAGCAGTAATCGCAAGAACTCACAAGAACCCGAAGATTCACGTGCAATCACGCGAAAACAAGTTGTCGCTTAGATTGTGTAGAACGCAGTAGATTGTGTCTTTCCAGAAGAGGATATCCACCTCTAGACTTCTAAAATCAGCATCTCCGCATCCATGGTGTTATTGGGGTGAAATGCTGTCTATAAACCTTTCACTTTTTCATCTCCGCCCGTTTGCATGGTATGAAATACGATCCACCTGGAACACGGAGTGTTTTATTTTGAAAAGAAGACGGATGTTTTATCTTGTGTCTGTGCCTGACTTCCTCTCCAGCACGGGTTAATCTGTGCTGTAGTTATCTGGCATGCTACGGTGTCCGAAAAAAATAGAACTTTTGCGATCAGCTGCGGAGTCCGGCGATCCGCAGTGGAATGGAAAGAAGACGGTGGAAATTGACACATTTACTTGAATGGTTACGATCAGCGGATACGGCATTTTCATAGTCGTTTTGGATGCGGTTGAAATTGGGGGTCATTTTGGTAGTCCTTGAAATCTAGAAAAGTAAGCCACTTTAGGTGTCCATTTCATTTGGGATGAAGGAGAAAAATGACTCCATCAGGTCATTTAGTTGAGTAGTTTAATAAATTAAGCCCTGTCAAAGTGGAAGACCTTGAAGAGTGTTTAACTTAAAATTTTGTAAGTATTGATTCTTGGCACTGATGTAAGTTACTTGAGTACTATAACAAAAACATAGGACTGGGCGATATACTTTGTCATATTGTCCGATCTCGATTATCACGATTTTTTTTTTAACTGCCAGTTTTAAAGCATCTGTACTTAAAACTAAAAAATGAATAGATAAATACTAAACAAGACATTAAATAACTTTTCTTCTCAACAATAACATATTTGGAGGATGACTCAAAGTCATAGCTGACATCTATTTTACTGCCCTCAGCTCCACGTTTGGTCACTCTGTTTACTTGTCCAGCAACTTACAGAAGTAAGCAGGAAAAGCTCCACTCTGATTGGCTGTTGTGATGCACATTTTAGCTCACAGCTGATCACCGTGATCGGACTGAAATGTATCACGATCATTAATCCCGATCATATAATCGCCCAGTCCTACAATAACACTAAGTACAATGTCAAAATACCAGTAGAGGAAGAGTATGTCTCTTGTGAGCTTTAAATTCATGGTAGGCCTGATATTAAAACGTGAACAGAAAGTACTAAGGAGGACTTTGTGGCTTGGCGCGTGTTTTTCTTCCTGTTCTCTACTTCTCTTAACCCAGAGCTGCAATAAAGCCAACGGTTCCTGCGTGTGTTTGCATGTGAGAGGACTTCCTCCTGACAGGCGCACTTGCTGAAGCGCATCCTCTGCTGCTCACTGCTCAGCCTTTACGATCTGTTCCTTTAAAAGCAGGCAGCCCACGCCTCGAAAAGCGGCTTGTTCCGGCTTGCCCCTTTACATCTTTTTATCCTTGCTCACAACAATCAAATAGTGCCCCTCATCCCCCTGTCTTTCTACTACGCGCGGGCATTTTTTCCTCGTACAGTATCAGTTGTAGCTGAAGCTGGTCTCGGGAGGGAGTATGGAGGATGTGTAGCGGCGCTGGAGCTCTCCGCTCTTGCTGCCTCAGCCCGGCGGTGAAGCTGAGGCGCAGCTCGAACTCCATCATCGGCGGAGCGATACCACCATCTCCCCTCAGCGCTGGTTTGTCAAACGGAGAGTGTGTGGCTCACTGTACCTGAGTGTACGTGCCCGTCATATGCTCGTGGAAAGGGGGGCAGAGGATCAAAACTGGACCAAGGGACCTGTATCCAATGCTCTGAAATGCAGTGCCGGAGTACACCCTGTGCAAGAGTTGTCTCACTGGGCTGGCTGTTGCGGATGTTTTGCATCTGACGACGATTTTTGATATTTACTCTGATGGTCTTCTGTAGCTGAATATGATTATTGTGGAGCTGTCGTGAGGTAAGTGACTTATCCAGAGGTTTGCGCTACTTTCTCCTGACGATTTTGTTTGACATGTGCAAAGCCTTTGATATTTATGGGTCCAGATCAGGTTTCTGCTTAGACATAGGGTCCGCTATTGTAACTGGAGATTTCTGGAAAATATCGAACTGTCCGGCTGCAAATTCATCATCATTTATCTGCAACTGGTGCTGATGGAACATTTTAGAAAAAGCTGGGTGTCTACATAACTATGGGGCAATGAGCTCACTGTCAAATACAGGGTTCAAAGTATGTTTTAGATAGACTTTTTGCAGTGTGGCATGATATTAATAAATACAAAACTGTATATATTCTGGGTCACTCCAAACTATCTACCAAGCTGTTGATTGGATTCATCATTCCTGCACTTGAAGTGACTCCAGAGCCCATCAGAGCAACCTCGAAGTTCAGCTGTCACACATTATCCCCTGACACCATCATCATAAAGTTTAGGTATGCAGCAGCTTGTCAAGTCATAGGTTACTCTATAACCTGCTGAGGCAACATGATATTCAGACAATATTATCCAATCCTGCAACAAACTGGTGCCTTACGAGGATTGCATAACTCTTGCCTGCTCCTGTTTTCTGCAGAGACTCCTCACTGGGGGTAATAATGTGGGCCTACAATATACAGGATGTTCTCTGTATGTGTACAGCAGCTTGTGGGCTGCATGATTGTCCTGCCTCTCTTCCAGAATATACCCCCACACACTGTGATGACAGGCTTAATGAATAAATAATCAAACAGACCCACATACCCCCGCTGTGCACTCAAAAACAAGTGAGCAAGACATAGTGGAACAACTGTAGTAACCCCAGCATCAATTATGAAGTGAAACGTTTTCAAATAAGTCTCTAAACTCACTGCTCCAACCCCATGATAGTCTGATGTTTGCATACAGAAACAAAATTCTCAGTGATCTGCTCTGTAATGCTACTTTAGATTTGATTGTTAATTTCACCCTGGAAGTGAGTAAGTGTTAAGAATGAGGAGTTTCTGTGCCGGTTGAGTGTTTCAAAAGACTCACAAACATCACCCATGTTAAAGTTTAACTTTCTCTTCATGATTTACCGTCCTACTGTGGTTACAACAATTGTTGTCACTTAACCCTCCCTGGTTTCAGCTCATCGAAACAGAGAGTTTAGAGTTGCAGTTCACATAAACACAATCTGATGGAGTTTGTTTCACTTTTCTTTGAATAGAGAAGTTTAGTTTAATAACAAAAAGGAAGTGTTTTTGCCCTTATTCTGTTTTTTTGTCTTACTTGTAAATGCAGTGTGTAAAGGTACAGAGGTTTGGAAGGATATTTTAGTAATATCTAGGTTTTAGAGCTCCCATGCTCACCCCTTCTGTCAGTGAAGAGACACTCCTGTGATGCATGACAAGTTTTTCCTATCAAAACCATTTCAGCACAATTTATTTTGCACACAGCCACTCTCCTCTGCTTCATCTTCAAACCAATGCATTTCACATAGCCACACACTAAATTAAAAAAAATGTGTTGCGAGTTTGTGCTTTCTGTGCTACTGTAGAAACATGGTGGTGCTGGTGCATCTGTAGATGGAAAGATGGCAGCCTCTGTGGATAGGGATCCACTCCTTATGCAGATAGGCCCATTCTGACTAACCAAAACAAAATCATTGTCATATTCAGGTGGTTAAACACAACACTACACCTTTAAGATGCTTTTTAACAACAATGTGGAGGGTGCTCTTTCAGTCCCATTGTGCATTTTCCACTATGTTGTTGCAAGCATGCAGTCAGGTGTATATGAAAACTCTAGTCATTTTTGGAGATGACTTTAAAAAATGTTTTTCATGTTTCTGAGCCTTAATTTAATCCTTGAAAGTAGTCTGTGTGAGCTCAAACAACTAGATCCCATTTGTTTCTTGAGTAGCACTAACTATCATAAATGTAAGAGAAAATAATTACTGATATTTTCTCTTTACTTTGCTGATGTACTTCCTGGCTGACTGTCAGTCAAATTGCCTTTATTTTGTAAATTATAGTGATTTGATAAACTCTGCTGCCCCTGAGTAAGAACACCCACCCTGAGTTACTAATCTGGTGACATCATGAACACATGTACTTGCTCTATCGCATGCTTGTACACACACACACACACACACACACACACACACACACACAGTGTGGTATGTTCTAATTTTGGGGTGACACTGAGAAGGAGTCCAGGGGCCTCATATTACTTTAGATTCCTCTGCTTCGGGTTCAACTCATGTTCCGTGGTGATGTTTAAGTGTGTGTGCATGCACACTTGTGTGTATGTTTTCATAGTCCAGGCCTTTATTGGAATTGTCTTTGTGCATGCATGTAGTTATAAATGCTGCAGTGTAGTTTCAAGTTGATAAAAGCGTGATGATCATTTGCTCATAACATGTTTCAGGGCCTGCTTGACTACTCTGTGACAGTATTTCCCTTTTTTACTGATAATGGTTGTTGCTGATCTAGTTTGCTAGTTCAAAGTCATGACTGGATAAAAAAACATGGCGAGGGGGAAAGACAAGATAGGCAACACTCTCCAGCACCCCTGTGGTGTATGCCTGGGACCACTTGGTGATGAAGAGGCCTCAAATTTACAGCTTTTAGACATAATCTGTGGTGTCAGTTAAGGGGACATGTCCTAAAGGCTTTGAATTAAACTTTTTCTAGATATAAGGAGTGACATTTGGCTTTGAATTAGCCTCACACATACAGTAGATGATTAGCTGATGTTTTCAGGGGTAAAGTAGAGACAAGTGAGTGTGTTAGGTCTTCTGTTAAATATCATGGCACAGTGGCACACACAGTTAAATATACCAGTAATGCTGAAAAAGATGTAAAGAAAAATCAACAAACTAATAGCATGTTGAATGATAGGCTCCAAATTACATACAAAACCTTGTATTTTAATACTGTAACTAGATTTCATTGTTAGGGTGTGTTTCGAAAACTTCCCACTGGCTGATTTGTACTCAGCTTCCTTCTTGCCAAAATAGTTTGAAGGCCCCATGTGAAGTTTTATTTTTAAATGCTTATGAATAAGACTGAAACAAACCCTTTTGCTTTTTTTCTTTGATACAATACTATTAGTTTTCAAAAAAACTTCCAGAAAGTTTTATTTTTTTCCTAGGACAAGTTAGGAGTTAAATTAAGTGATAAACAGCATGGTGCTGAAACAGCCTTGATCTTGAACCACAAATGATACAAACAGGACGAGATTTTTCAAAACATCACTTATATCAGTGCAGGACAAGCAAGGACATAAGAGGTACTTTATTTTACAAAAATATGCCAAAATAGGAACTTTAAAAACCAAAAAACCTGCAGGTGTTTGGGCCCAGATTTCATGTCGATGGTCTACAGTCTATAGTTTAGGCTTAAACATAATCAAAAACATTCAACCTTAATTTAGCACAGCCTAAACACATTGAAGAGATATACCCGTAATGGAATATTGACCTTTATTATTGAATTACACTTGCTTTGTCCGATGTTAAATTGCATCATACACTTGAAGTCCTAATCTAATCAAGTCTGTTGGAAAGAGACAATGCCGACCTATTGTAAAAAATGTTCTCACCTCAGTGTTCTGATAAACAATCTCCAAACACACACTCTCTCTCTCCTTCTTTCCTTTATTTCTCGCTCTCTCTCTCTGTGTTTGAGATGTGCCAAAGGAAACTCCAGATGCCCCCTCCTCCCCCCCTCTCATGGAGGGGGCCAAGTGAGGACTCACTGTCCTGAGCCAGATGATAGCTTGCCAACTGTTGGCTGTAAAGACACAATGTACTTCTCATCCTCCCTCTGTGGAGTGGGTGGCTCAACAGGCCACTACAGCAAAACAAGGCTTGGGTTTTACAAATCCTTCTTCTAAGGACGTGCTACTTTGTTTTCTTAAATGATATCTGTCTTGATGCTTGTGGTCAAGTGGCTTTGTCTCACAAATGGAATAATATTTAGGTGGATTTCCTCATTTCAGTAAGAGAGGGTGGGTAGTCTTTGAGGAAGTTAAGGTCTCATGCAATAATACAACACACCCACTCCTCCCTGTCACAAGACTGGACTTATTCATGACTGTGGGGGCTTTTGTGTGTGTGCATACATGAGTAGTTATCCATTCAGGCAAGTAATGGGAGTCTTGTGTACCTCGTGATATTCTAGACCTCCCCAAGTGCTCTAATTTGGCCTACTTTTGCATATTATAAACCTGCAATACACTGACTTGTCTGATAGATGAATGTGCTTTGTGATAGACAGGAGCTTGGGTCAGATTTATTCTCTGCTGGGCTGGGAAACTTGGTTAAACAGGATGTAGCAGCTGCTCGGTGCAGGAACAGGTGGATGTCAACGTGACTCCAGCTTGTGAATCACGGTGGACAGTTGCCCCCCGAGTTTGCAGCACTCTCTAATCCGCGGATACACACACAGAAAGGGAGTTTTATCCGGGGGCTCATGCGCTGAGATAACACCCCCCGCCTTCTCCTCCTTCTTCTTGTCTCTCAACTTTCCCCCTGCCCGAACCAGTTTCCTCTGGAAAGCGTTTCCTCGCTCCTCACCAGACGGTTACTCAGTAGCTTGTGGGCTGCCTTTGTCGTAAGATTTGGTGTTATATTTGGGCTCCTCGCGGAAGGAAATATGACGCGTGAGGTCGAAGCGGAGCTGTCCACGAGGCCGAGGAGGCGATGCGGGAAGCGTGCGCCTCTGGCTGGATGGGGGGTGCGTATGACTGGCATTAAAGCTGGCACTGTAGCACTTAGGTAGCAGAAGACATTAATATTGGGTGTCGTTTTCTTTTTGCTTGAATTTTAAAGTACAACATGAGTAATTCTTGATGTCTCTCTCTTCCTTACTTTACCTGTTAATATGTTTACTTTGTAAAGAAGTTTGGTTCCTTTTTTGTCATAGCCTAAATGTTCTCAAGCCTATTTGAAATTAACCTTAAAAGTCCAAGTAAGCACCCGTTTCCTAGTAGGGGAGAGTGGGGTAAGTTGAGCCACCCCCTGTTTCTTGATAATGGTCAAAGAAATTGATCATGTGACCAAATATTTAGGAGATGGGCATCAATTCAAGGAGTCTGTGAAGGTTAGAAGAACAAGAGTGAAGGGGTTAGACATTTATGTACAAAAAGTTTAATCATTTTGTCATAAGTTTTATTAGAATTGTGTTCAGATTAAAAAAAAAAGTCATTTTAAATTTGTTTTATACATCAATTGTGGTATCTATGAGCTACAACATGAAGTACATACAACAACTTACCCATACACGGGGTAAGTTGACCATAGGAGACCACTTTTTTGGCATGCTTTATTCTCAAGACAGTTATGTTTACACTCATTCTGTTTGTTTGCAGGGATGCACAAAACCTTGAAATATAAGCAGATACACTAGTTAGGGACAAAACTATGATCGCCTTGATGTAGTGATCCGAAATATGAAAAATGGCTCATTTTACCCCACTCTCCCCTACCTATCTGTTTGTGATTTTTTTAAATAGACAAACGAGTGATGTTTCCGTCAAGACAAGAACTGTGCTATGGTGCTTATAAGTAAATTCATACATATTTCTTCGAAACATATAAATATCCTACTTCAGGGACAACTTTGTGTTGTTGCCTAATTGCTGCCCGGCCACCCACAGTCACACAAACTGATTCCAACATACTTTAAAAACCGGTAAAGTCAGTTAAACAAGATGCATTGTGCTTGCTTTTCTCTCCCAGCAAGCAAGTCAATGATTTTCACCTACTTTATCATCTTACCCTTTTGAATAGTTTTATTTTTGTTTGAAGTTTTTATGACACCTTCTCTGACAGTAGCAGCTGTTACTTTTGGTGATCAGTTTGAACAGATGGAGCAGTTCTTTGACAGCAACAGGTGCTGACTTTGTCCTTTAAAAACAGAAGCTTTTCTTATTGTCTTCATGGTTTCAAAATGTACTTTCTGTTTTTGCATTCATTTAATATCAGGGTTTGCTTTTGGTAAGTGGGACAGTGCAATAAATGGCACACAACTCTTGAGGTCTGAGAGACAGTCACAGCATCTTTTTGTACGGCACTGTTATGTAAGGAGAGGAACATTTCTGGTGTGAAAGGCTTTAGAAATCTTTCAACTAATAGGACATTTAGGACAAATAGATGTGTGAGGATAATCTAAGTAGGGCATGAGAAAACTCAGTGTTGAGTAGTGAAGGTCTAAAGGAGCTGTAGCTGTCAGTTCAAAAGGAGAGCTGTGCCATATCAGATGGTTTTCTTCTTCCTGTTTGTTTATTGGTTTATCTGTCAGTCAGTTGCTGCATATCTGTTGTGACCAGCTTTACCAGCCTTTACAGTTTTCCCACGCCTGTAAGAAACTTGTGGTAAACAAGTTTGTTTCATAAATAACTGAATTTCTGAATACATAATCATCCAATTGGCAATAAATATAGCGATGTAAGCAACATACAGCTTGGAATCTGTATTCTTGTGTTTCAGAACAATATTGTTTTTGTATAGAGGCATTGATTTAACATTCTGCATAATATTATAAAAAGTTAAATTTAAGTAACCTCTAACAGTAACCCATCCTGCTGTAATGTGCAGTTATATCTTCATCTTTGTTTTAATGTTTTTGTTCCACCTTATTGCAGTGTGGCCAGTTGAATACAGTCTTGAAATCTGCACCCGCAGAAATAAAAATCAAACAAACTATCTTGTAAAAGATAGGTAGGAACTGCTTACGTCAACAAAGTTTCAGGCCCAAATTTCCTGTACACAGGGTGCTTTTTTTGTTCAGCTTTATCAGCTCGAACTTGCAAGTATAGTCTGTGTTTACCAAACTGATCAGCACATTGAGCATGATATTACGATTCAACATGAGATTAGTATTGCCAGAAAACGCAGGGTTTTTCCCAAAGATGTTGTCTCAAATAAGGACATTTGTAACTTACCAAAACAGATTTTGGAAACCTTTCTCCTACAGGCTTTCAACAGTCACTTTTGATACTGTAATGAGATGATTAAGATTTACAAATGGACATAGTGCTGAAAAACTGTTTCCACCACAAGTCTTTAGGGGCTGTCTCTTAACGCTAAGTGTGCAGAGAATTTGGCAGCAACCACTTTATAAGAGATGGAGAGAGCACTTTTATGGCCGATATTACATCAAATAAATATTCAGCTTTTATGGCTAAGAGGCTGCAGATTACTGGTGTACTCAGCTAAATGTTTATGACACTTGGTAGAGCTCAAAGTACAAGTTTCATCTTCATACTGCCACCAAGTTTAAGAAGTGCTCTGCCCATCAGAAACCCCAATATAAAGTTAGTGGTTTTGCAGTTAATGTAATCTGAGGATAAGAAGGATTAAGCAATATTATGAGTGAAGGTGATGCACTAATTATCAACACATCTGTTTCAGTCACAGATATGAGTTTACAGGCAAAGTGTCAAAGATAGCTAGTATATCATTGCAATAAGTGAGCTATAGTTGTTAAAAGTAAAATTAGTTTTTGTTCCACTTGTAAAACTAGTTCTTGACAGAAACTGGACTACAACCCAAACATCCTCTCACACTCTTGTCACTTTATCTGTGTCCATGGTTATTGTAGACCACCTTCCTTGAATCACACATGTATTTATAGTTAAATTTAACATGCAACCGATGGAATAAAAGTCTATTATTTAACAAATTCAATGGTAAACAAACCTGAGCGAAGCGATTCATTAAGTATGGTGAACCTGATGTTATGCTCTGTATCAGCACTTAAGGAATGCCTCTTGTCCAATCAGATTGTTCTATTTGAATGAACTCTTGATTAATTAAATTTTTTAGAAAGAAGGTCAGGGTTAATTTACACTTTGTGTGAACAAAGTTGACAAGAGTCTTTCTTACTTCGAGGATGTTGTTAATATAAGGATCCTTGGAAAACAAGAACTCTATAAATCATTTTGTTTATAATAGTATAGATTGTACACAATCTGTACATACGTAGAATTTTTGATCAGGGTTTCCCAGGTCCCCCGATACAATTGTATTTAATATTTGATAGATTTAATATGTTACAACACTCACAGAAAACAAGAGTGAAGTACAGCGGACAAAGTTTTGAATTAAAAGAGTATGCATAAACGTACTAAATTGTTCAGATTGGTGCCTGTTTTGCTTCAAAGTTTTATATGTCCATACCATTGCTACCAACAGGTTATTTGATTAATGCTGAAACAAGTCAATGAATTAACAAGATAACCAAACTAAACTGATCAAGTATTTTCAGTATGTGTTGCCCCTTAAATAACTAAAAAGTCTTGAGCATTGTGTTTGCATATAAAGAAATAGTGTAACTCACTTTTCTGGTTACCTCTTCAATTATCTCTCTGCCTATAGACTTATAAATGACATCATGGCTTTATGTTTCTTGTTTTTTTTTCTTACAGTCATCACCGGCTCTCAACAGGCGCTGTTGTCAGGGCTTGTTGTCATGCATTCCCCTTGAGTTTGGTGACGCCTCCCTCAGCGGTCTGGCGGCAGGATGCCGGTTCAGGCCGCCCAGTGGACAGAGTTCCTGTCCTGTCCCATCTGCTACAATGAGTTTGACAGCAGCGGCCACCAGCCCATCAGCCTGGGTTGCTCTCACACAGTGTGTAAGACCTGCTTACACAAACTGCATCGCAAGGCCTGCCCCTTTGACCAGACTCCAATCAGCACGGACATCGACCTGCTGCCGGTCAACTGTGCCCTGCTGCAGCTGGTTGGAGCTCAGGTGAGTCAGGAGGAAGACGAAACGTATCAAAACTTTACCTCTTTCTGCATTTTTAGACCTGTTGTGTATGCTCATTCTCTGCGTCCCACAGATCCCCGATGTTCAGCCAGTGAGCCTGAGCAGCACGGCTGAAATTGAGCACTATGAAGCGTGCAGAGTGTGTGTGGAAGAGCTGGCTCTCTACCTGAAGCCAATCAGTGGAGCAAAAGGTTTGTACAAGCAGTACTGCATGTTTTTTTTTTTTTAAAGAGAAGTGTTTCCAAATTATGGGAGGAAATATGAAAGAACATGAAGCCTTTTGTACTAAATGTGTGGGAGAAGCAGTCGAGCTGCTTGTGTAACTTGTCATTCATGAATCTCACACTTGTCATGACGTCTTAAATCTGCTCTACTTCCATGGTACTGGAGGAATATTCAGCTGTCTGTCTGAGTAACAAGACAAGAACTGAAACTCACCACATCCAGTTGTTCGTGTACTCAATTCTGCGTGACAGTGCGGTGGTAGCATTTGTCGTTTTTGGTTAATATTTGGAGAACTCTCACTTATTATGGTCTGCTTCCTTTACAAACTCTTATGGGAAATAAGCTACTTGATAAACCTGCCCCATATTTGTCACTAGACATGCAAATTTTTACTTTATAATCAAACTGTTTTTCTAGTTGTTTTAATTGAGACAATGTTAATGAAGCTGATACTGTTTATCACACTGTACAGGTGTGGCAACCTTGAGTCCAAGCGTGCTCAGTCGACCAATGCAGAGGAAGCTGGTGACTTTGGTGAACTGCCAGCTGGTGGAGGAGGAGGGCCGTGTGCGGGCAGTGCGAGCCGGTCGGTCCTTGGGTGAAAGAACAGTAACTGAGCTCATCCTGCAGCACCAAAACCCCCAGCAGCTCTCTGCCAACCTCTGGGCAGCGGTGAGGGCACGGGGCTGCCAGTTCCTTGGACCTGGTGGGTGTTCGCGAGATACACAGCGCACAAACCTTTCAGTGATAAGAACATGATGCTGTTAGGCTCATAGATCTTTTGAACGAGGCATTACGTGTGATTTTTGAGACAATTGGGATATGATACTGGCTTTTTTCCATTTCACAGATTCTGTTATTACTGTAGCTGTTAGTTTTTTTGCTGAAATTACTCAGTAAATGGGCATTTAAATTCAAGGGATAGCCTCTTAGTTGACTGAGCTCATGGTGTCCATGAGCTGTCTTCTGACTAGTCTAAATTGCTTGATATGCTTGCCTCATCAAAACGATCGCTGTGTCCTGTGATGATTGCTCATAGGGCAGATTCTGACTGGGAAACTTTCTCATCATGATAACAGTATGAGTTGGTTCAAAGTCTGAGGACACCTGGTGAAAAAAGTTTTGCATGATCGCTGTTGTTTATTTGTATGCTGAAGATTATCCCTGGACTGTCTTTATAGATCTCTCTCTCTCTCTTTCTGTACACCTCCCTATCCCCAATTTCTCATCAGCTATGCAAGAAGATGCACTGAAGCTCGTCCTTCTGGCCCTGGAGGATGGCTCAGCTTTGTCCAGGAAAGTGTTGGTTTTGTTTGTGGTCCAGAAGCTTGAAGCTCGCTTCCCCCAGGCCTCTAAAACCAGCATAGGCCACGTGGTGCAGCTGCTCTACAGGGCCTCCTGCTTCAAGGTGCGAGCAACAGGAAAGAGCATGCAGAACGATACACTGCTAGGCTTTAAATATATCTATATTTAAGAACATGTGAGTGGGACGACGCTATCCGAAGCTCTTTGAATGGAACTAAAGAGGCTTAGTTTGCTGTTGTCGCAATAATCAAATTCATATAACATGACCTATTTAAATAGATTAGCTACATATTCCTTTACCACTTGAATACTTTCTCAATGCTATCAGTTACATACTCCTTCCCCCCTAAACTTTTTGTCTCAGGAGTTATCATAACATATTTTACACTCAGTAAACTTTTACATAAACTCAAGGGATGATTCCTGGAGAAATTCTGTCAGTGAGCTTCATAAAACGCTCCAGCTTTGGATTGTGCTCAATCTTAACATTACCCTGTCTATCTTAAAAATCTCTTACTATAGCTCCCTGATGGGCTAACTCATACTACAACATCTTATTCCGCCCTGAAGTCATGTCTGTAATAAGAATACAGGCCTCTGTGGGTAAAGTTTCTGTTTGTGAGTATATTTTTGGGACGGTTATCTAATGACGGACATCGCTGGTAGGGCAGATATTCCAGCTATCTGTTGTGATGTAACGACAGTCTATATTTGCCCCTGTTGCCCCACCAGGCCGACAGTACGGAGATGCTGCAGAAGATAAATAGATAAAAGTGGAGGACCAAAAAGAAACCTGAATAAGATGGACGAAAGGATGAAAACTGACTGCGTTATCTGACTGACTTTGGCGTTATTTTTAGTGTTTGCTCTGCAGAGACAGTGGATAGTGTGTTGGTGTCTTATGATGATTACTCATAGGGCAGATTCTGAGAAAGGGAGAATCCCTTTGTCTGATCTGAAGTTGAGTTTATGGGTCTGAAGACACCAGAAACAAAAGCGTGACCTGTAATACCTAAAAACCAAAATAAGAAAAAATACTTTGTAGTCCATCGATGCAATGCTCATCTTTATCATCCTTTTTCTCTGTGTCCTGACTCTCAGTTCATCTTTTTGTCCTTTCTACCTCCATCCTTACCTCACCACCCTGTCAGGTGACTAAACGTGATGAAGACTCCTCCTTGATGCAGCTGAAGGAAGAGTTTCGAACCTACGAGGCTCTAAGGAGAGAGCACGATGCTCAGATTGTCCATATCGCCATGGAAGCAGGGCTGCGAATTTCACCTGAGCAGTGGTCTTCTTTGCTGTACGGAGACCTTGTCCACAAATCCCACATGCAGTCAATCATCGACAAGGTACAATTAAGATTTAGAGGCTTGACAAGACTAACAAACTATTATTTATCACTGATGGACTCACTTTTGAAAGGAACATTTATGTACAACAAGCCTCTTGAAGCACAAGAGAGATGAATCAGTAGTATTCAAAGGCTCTCTCTTTTCTTCTTCTGTCTTCTGCTCCAGCTGCAGTCTCCAGAGTCATTCGCAAAGAGCGTTCAGGAGCTGACGATTGTTCTACAGAGGACGGGAGACCCTGCCAACCTCACCAGCCTTAGACCACACCTGGAGCTGCTAGCTAACATAGACCACAACCCGGGTACTTGGTTTTGTTCAAACAATTTTAATCTTAACTCTTAAAATATTGAATTGATTTTAAATTAAATTGAAATGAAGAAAGAGAAAATGAGAAAAAAAGACTTAAGAACTTGGTTTACATATTCATAAAGATGTGGGAAGAAGCACTACTTATTTAGTCCCACTTCCTCTCTGTATATCAGAACAAGGAATCATCCTTATTGACACATACTTGTCCATATTCTAAGAGCCTCTGACAATCTTCATAAATATTCTTATATATTAGTACAGTATTTAGAGAATTATACGGTAATTTGATATGGGTGACTTTTAGTAGAAAGTTTAAGGTGTTATAACAAGATAAGAAAACAAAACAAAAGGTTCCTTGTTGTGTAAAACGGACTTGACTGTCTGTTGTTTATCTGTGTGTAGATGCCCCGGCACCGTCATGGGAGGAGCTGGAAAGTGTGATGCTGGCTGTGAAACTGGTTGTTCACGGACTGGTGGAATTCATACAGAACTTCAGCAAGAAGAGCCACGAAACACCACAGGTGCTTCAATATGTAATATAAACACACGTTAAGAGTGCTAGTTTAGTCAGATTCAGTGAAATAAGATGGACTGTGTAAACATGAGCTTTTCTTTTTGAAACAATAAGCAGTAAGAGTCACATTTGTTCTTCTGTTGTATCCAGACAGTTTGACAGCCATCGATGTGAAAATTTAATTTCTTTTTTCCAGCAGGACGTTTTGTTCTTCCTGCCTCTGTGTTGGATGAGATGACATGACATAGTCTTTGGCTACCAACAGCAGCACAGTAATAATTTAATGAAGACAGAAGAAAATACCAGTAAAAAATCTGCAGAAAATGTTCCCTCTTACAAAGAAATCAGTGTAGTGGAGTGAGCCAGAAGATGTGTCTTAGGTCGCTTTCACACCAGAACTGTTTGGTCCGCTTTAAACGGACCAGAGTTTGTTTCCTCGGATAGTCCGCTTCATTTGGTAAGGTGTGAAAGCTCATCCGAACTCTGGTGCAAACCAAACAAGTGAACTCTGGTCCGCCTGAAAACGTGGGTCTCGGTTCGCTTGCAAGTGAACCCTGGTTCGGTTCGTATGCAGTGTGAAAGCTCACCATACTAAACACAGGACCAAATGTACGTAATGACGCTATGCGCAGTGCATACGCAGTGTCTCTTGGGTAGAGGAAGAACGGCGTCCCTTATTGCAATGGCAACAAGTTACCGCTGACATTAGCAGTTGCTATCTAGTGTAGCTCAATTGTCTGAACAACAATAACCCATAAATTCACAATTTGGCGTATTTAAACAAAATCAAATCACAAATACCAACAGTCACAGTCCTTAAACTCTGAGCTCATATGTCGTCACATGTTAGATCGTCAAAGTCAGAAGAATAACAGGATCAGTCCCTGACAAGCTACGATAGCATTATAGGAACGGTTGCGTTCACTAACGTTGTAGCATTCCATAAAATACAAGACGGCTAGTCCACCACTGTTTGTAATCCGTGAGGTTACATACCCCTCCTACTTTGTCCAATCGACGAGCGCCCCTTTCAACCACCGAAAGTTTGGTACGCTTTAGAAATCACAGAGTGAAAGCAGAACCGAAACAAGTGATAAATGCAACAATGTTGCAACTTTTAGCCCCCCAATCGAACTGAGTCCGCTTGGTCAGGTGTGAAAGCGACCTTAGTGTTGTTAACTTTAAAGCAAACAGGTTTATCTTGAAGGCTTTTATCCTAAAGATCTCAGATGTTTTTGGCTCATTGGTCTCTAAGTGCTACCTTTGTTATCTGCCCATACCTGTCTGTGCTCATTGACTTCTGGATTGGAGAAACAACTGCATCAAAATGACATGTTTTTATCTTCTCTAAACAGTCTCAAAATACAAAACCATCCCCATATATCACCATGGCTACAGATGATTTATTGCTGTAAACATTAACTAAGGTCTCATCATGAACTCTACACCTGTCGTAACTGTCCGGCATGTTTTATAGATCGAGTAAAAGTTGTTCCTAATTTATTTCAGTGTGTCACATTATCAAGAGTGTAACTGATTGTAACTTGAGTCTACGGCTTATAAAGCGATCAAGTGACAATAAATCAAGTATCTTCTCTTTTTGTAGCCTCAGGCCAACAGCAAGTACAAGACCAGCATGTGCCGAGACCTCCGTCAGCAGGGAGGCTGTCCCAGAGGAACCAACTGTACATTTGCTCACACGCAGGACGAGCTGGAGAAGTGAGTTTGCAATCACATGCACTTTGGACGACTGACTTTTCCTCCATTAAAGAGAGGAAGTAAATCCAGTCCTCCAAGTGAGGATGTATTAAACAGCATTCATAAAAGGAAACACTTGACTGCCTTGGGGAACCGTGGGAGTCACAGAGTGTTTTATAACTTTAATGCAACAATTTATAGCCGGTGTTAAATGATGAAACTGAATAATGATATGTGGAAAGTGCAACAATGACACATGGAATTGTAAAGCAAGTTAATTTTTAATTCTACTTTAGTAAAAACTTTTTCTATAACTCTTTTTTCTACTTTACACTTTTGTTTGAATTTAACAAAAACATCACACGATCTCACACATTCAAGCTCACATTGCCGTTTTCAATCACCATGCTATTTCAAATATTTGTACTTGATAACTACTGCCCCCTTTCCCCTACAGATTCAGACTAAGGAACAAGAAAAGCAGCAGTGTTGGCCGCGGGTTCCCTCTCGCACCAGGGGTTATGGGCAAAACCTTCACTATGGAGGGCAGTTCGCACTCTGACGTGTCTGCAGGAGTGGTGCAGGGGCTCAAAGGCACAGGGGAGAACACAGTCCCGTTGACAGAGGGATCCCCCGGCCGGAATCACCCACAGCTGATCTCCAGAGGCATTGACATGATGGAGGACATGAAGAGAGGGGTACCTAATGGATCCAGTGGAGCTCACGGGTCTGCTGGGCTTCTAGGCACCAACAGAAACACATCAGTGTCTAATGAACAGTAAGATTGATTATGAGTTTACTCGCTTATGTTTGTTGTATCTGTATCAACTAGTTATTCAGTATCTATGCAGGTCTTTCTACATTAGAATAACCCATCCAGCTAGCATACTCATTTTAGGAACAGACCACAGCAGAAGAATCATGATTGAGTTTCATCAAAAAAATGAGCAATACATGAATATAAAGTAGAAATTATGGTTCAAAACCTTTTTTACATTTGATTTAATCTATTCAAATCCACCTCTACATATTACCTGGTTGTGAATTTGAGCCCAGTGACTATTTGCACGAGTTTAGCAGAAGAAAAGTCCTTTAATAGGAACTAAAGAGAAGCAGGAGCACTGGGATGTCTATCTCAGTTTTGTGTTTTAAACGATAGTGTCTGTAAATGGGCTCGGGGAATAGTTACTGAGATTGGAAGAATGATTCGAGGTTATGAGTAAGTGTAAATTATGACCTCATCCTTTTTTCTTTTGCAACAGGAAGTCCATCTCTCCTCCCCGGACTCCAGTCAGCCACTCCTCAGCCTTGTCTCCCATAGCAACAGTTGGGCAGGGAGACAGCGGTGCCCCTTTGCCCAAACATGGTCCTTTTCTCCTGCGTGCACCTCATCCTTCACAGGCGTCAGAGCTTTACTACCAGGATACGCACTCTGCATACGACACAGGCCATTATCAACCAACCTGTGAGTCCATATTTGAATAACTTTATGATTGTAAAGGAAAAAAGCAAATATGTGTGCTTATCTTTTCCATTTTTTTCTCTCCAGCATGCTCCTACTACCCATCTGCTCTCCATCCTCCCCACAAGCCCTGCATGGCTCGCTTCCTTCGATCTTCCAATGTCCCAGAATCCTCGCTGCCACCCTCGATTGGCCCACCACAGTCCTCTTACTCCAGTGACCCTCAAACACAGCACCCACCTGTCTCTTCATCTTCAGGGTACCCACCACACCCGCCTCGAGATCGTATGGTGCCTCCTGCCTTCCACCCACACCCAGGGCAGCCTCCGTACGGGCCTCTGGCGCCCACTCATGGTGTTTATGCTCCTCTCTATGACAGCAGGAGAGTGTGGAGGCCTCAGGTTAGCAGGCTGTTAGTTCTATTGTTACTTTGTCAACCTGTCTTTCTGTAACCCCTCCTGATATGAATGTTTCTTTCTTCACAGCTGTACCACAGAGAGGACGCCAGGAGTAACTCCTTGCCTCCGGAAGTGCTGCACTCCTCTGTCTACCAGCCTCCACTCAGAGAGAGATTCAACTCTCTAGACAGCAACTACTGCTCTGGGGCTGAACATCGCGCAGGGCTACACAGGGTAGGTCAAAGAACAGATGTTACTATGAAGAATATGAGCTTCTGATTGGCTGAGCGAAGACCATTTCGAACCAAATAACCTTGACCATAACAAAAGTGCAGAAGTGGTTATTATGAACAGAATTTTTCTTTGTTTTTCTTTGTGCAAACAAGCATATGAACGTTTGCTATTTGAGTGTCTCTACTTAAATTAATTTTCTGTGACGCACATCCGTCTGAACCACTTACAATTACTTAGGAGGAGCCATCATTAAAGTACACTTTCACTTTATGGGAATGGATGTATATATTTTTTCACTAAGGCTGCAACAATTTACCAGGTTAGTCAACAAGACTGAAGAATTGATCGACTGATGGGATAAGTGCAAAATTACTTTTAATAGCATTTATTTATTTATCTGCTTTTGTAAACTCAATAAAAACTTTAAAATTCTTAACACAAGCCAAATTTTGTGGTTAGACTAATTCGTCCCATCAAAAGGCAGGTGATTTTGTTTATGTGTGGTTGCAACACTTACATGGTAAGCAACAGCTCCTCAAAAGCTCAAGCATCTGCTACGTCCTCCCACGACAAACAAGGTCTGTTTTACTCATTTTACTTTTAATAATTCATTGGGGGTGAAATGCTCCCAAATTTTGCAAGTTTTTGGGCCCAATGATTTTTGTTGAGATAGAGAGGAAGCAAGGTGGCTCAAAGAAATCAAGGAAACAAGGTCTGTTTACAGCATGAAAGATATATGTGTAAGGACATGATGAATTAGTTTAAACAAAAAAATCCAAGAAATATAATTTGCTCATGATTTTTTTCTCCAAAGTTAGTGATGGTGGCAAAATACTTAATAAAGTCATATATCTGATATAAAAGTGTATTCTTCAGCCTCCTTTGACTGTAGAACTGTTTTTTAAGGGCTTGTGTGCTGTTATATTTCACTGACAAATAACCATTTTATTTTGAACTACAAGATTTGCAACCAGTAATCTTTAAATCAGATAATGCATAGGCGATTTAGTGACATACTTACTTTGGTGTTAAATAGTATTATAATTGAATCCAGGTTCTGACCAGTTAGACGTTACCAACAAGAATGCAGCTAAGTCTAAGATGAGTCTGGGACTGTAATGAAAGTATCTTGAGACTGATCTTGGGATCAAGACTAATCTTGAGCACTACGACACCACCTGAAGGAATTATTTTCAGCTTACAATGAATCTCTAATGCGGTTGCTGCAATATTGTTTGAATTTAAGACGTTAACCTGCTGAAAAAGCGAACGAACTGGCTGTTACTTGGATACAGTTTCTCCCACTTGTTTGAGTCATGTTGTTTCTATCACCATTAGCAGCAGAGCAAACACGGATTCTATTTAAAGCAGGCATACTATAAGAGAGATAATCCATTCTGAGCCATGCAATAATTAAAAAATAATCTTCTCTGCCGAGGGTTATGTTATAATGAGATCCTTCCTGTTTTTCTTTTCTTAATGCAATGGAACCAGTAAACCCAGTGAAAACACAACGAATTAATTCATGCTGCTTTGTCTAGCATTGGACAGATTTATTACAGGTTTATTTTCAGCAACATTTCCTTTCCTTCGCTCTCTCTTTTTCCACCCACATATCATCTCACCTCTACCTTCCGTGCCAGCCACAGAGCTGCAGCATGAAGCTTCAGCCTCCTCTGTAGTCCTCCCACCTCTCACCCAAATACGTCTCTGCCTCCCCCTCAAACCTCTAGCCCTCTCACATCATCATGTAGTGTAACTTGTAAGACTACAGTAATACTATTATATATGTTGTGTCAAGATAAACTATATTAAAGTTCTGTTTTATAGGAACCTACTACATGGGTCCTGATTTACAAAAAGACTGTGTGACTGTGCACCCCCTAAACTTGTGCAAATGAGGCAAAAGATTTCAACTGAACAAGCTGCTCTTGCTTATTTAAAGCTTTGTCATATTCTGACCACAGAATAAACCACCCACTGAGCAATAGATGGCTGTTAGACGTCTAGTTTTTTTTAGACCTAATTTAAACCGTCTAGATTCTGTATATTTTTACGTCGCACTTTAACCCATTATTCAATAACTATTTATTTCAAAAAGCAACTGTGAGTTGCATAACTGATCTCCAAGTACTTAACCAAAATAATTATGATAGCCGTTGAGCAATATACAGTTTAGTATAGATATAGCCCAGATTTAGACTTGTTCTAAACTTGGTCTAAATTTAGACGTCTAATAGACCTCTTTTAGATCAAAAAATGCTCAGTAGGCAGTGAGGTGTCCCCGTCCTCATTTAGCTCATGATTTATGTTCTTGTTTATTTAATCTATTTATTTTCTATTTCTTGTAAGTATGATGTCAATATGTTGAAGAGACTGACTGTTAATTGAATATTGGAGAAAGGGTAGGTTTAAATAAGCATAATGCTTCATCCTACTCCTCTCCAGACATGTTGAGTTCACATTATTATTAGTAGTAGTATTTTTTTTTTTTGCTTTGATTATTGTTATTGTTGTTTTGAATATACTCATTGTTTTTGTTTGTTTGCTTTCAGTTTACTTTCTTGTGTTGCATGCACATCTTGAAAAAAATAAAATAAACAAATACAGATAAAATCTGTACATGGAGTTGTGCTCAGTCAGAGAGTATGAAGCTCTGAACTAACAAAAGGAATACCTGCAAAGAGCTGAGAAATTTCACCTGCTTGAATGTCATTAGAGTGAACAGCTTTGTAAGATGGACCTTAAAACTAAGCAGGTACAAAGGACAAATGATGCTCTATTTTAAGTGACTAGAAGTCACTTTTATAAAATTCTCTCAATAGTGCTTGAAACAGCAAAAACAACTTCGATACTTAAAACAATCACAACAGGAAACCGGGTGGTGTTGAAAAGCACCTATCTGAAAACATCTGCATTTTTACATTTAATCCAGTCATGTTTAGATTTATTAAAGATTCTGCAGTCAGGATACTGGTCAAAAAGGTTTGTTTCCATCACCTGTATATACATTAGGGGGAGTTTTCTGCTACAAGGTAAACTTAGTTGAAACACAAAAGCTAGTAATTGGTTTTCAGTGAAGAACCTTCTTCTCTTTGTTCTCAACAATACTGGAGTTATTGTTGTGCCTTACATTGTTTTGCTCATCTGTTTTATTGTTTCCACCCCCACATCCTTGGAAGAAGCCCTCTCTCACTACCAGATGTCTGGAGCTTCCATAAAGATAAAATGCTTACACAACACATACGTTTTCAGAAAACTTTGTCATTCTCCAAATCTGACACAACTGAAATGTTGCGCTACATTTCCTGCAGCCTGTTTTGAACGGTCCTTATGTGGTTCAATCTTCAATCCTAGAAAGATCTGTTGCATTTCTCTAACCTGCTGATTAAAATGTGTGAAATTTTCTCTAAAAATAAGTAATACTATTTTTATTTATTTTTTTACTTTTCCTCTTTTCACAAACACTCTCTTTTCAGGATTATGGCCGTGTTCCTCTGGGCTACGATGATCTGTTCAGAAGAAAGCAGGAACAGTGGGCTCACCATCACCACCATCACAACTCCAGCAGACCCTCCCAGTCCTCCCCCATCTTTACTATTGATTTTGGAAGTGAGGTAGGAAAGAAATATGAAGGAAAACCTAAGCACACACCCAAAACCACACAAGTAAGAGCATGAAGAACTGAAATGACAAAGCAAACATGAACGGTTTTATAGTTTCACTGCAGCTACCTGAAATGGGGACTGATAAATTGCATGTGTATTCTGCCATTTTTTAAATATATAGGATTTGATTCCCATCCCAAAAGCTGGCGCTTCCGCTGTGTCCAATGCTATTTAAGAGGGAGATAGTTGCCTAGCAACTGTGGAGGAAGATATCATAGCAATGCACAATTGTGGCGTGTGTGGGTGTGTGTGTGCGAGAGAGGAGAGACTAACAAGCAGTGACTCAGGTTTTCGACTGAGTAAAGCTTTGTTCGGCCGCATGTCAGATATGTTTTTACGAAGACATCTGCTTCAAAATTGGACTCTTCTTAGAATGACCATGAGAAGTTTTAAAGTGTTTCCTTATCTCAATTTAATTTTCTAGACCTCTTTAGAGTGAGCAAATGAGATCATCAGTGAGGACCAGCAGCAGCAGCACTGTTGTTTGTTGTTATCTGGAGCTTGTCCACAGGTTGGCAGCCAAGTGGCAGCACCATAAGTGCTTTTGTCGCCTCCTAAAGGGATATTCCGGCGTAAAATTAATTTAGGGTCAAACATGCCGTAACACCGAGTTAGGCACCCCACCAAGAGATGAATGTTGCCGACCGCTTGCTTCTCTTGTTTCACCAACTTTAGTAACGACTGCAGGATAATGATACACAACGGTTTGAGGAGCCATAAACAAATCTCAACCAAAACGCCACTCTATAGCCACAAATAATGCTCAGAACAGCACCTAACTTCATCAACAGCACATAAAGGTTCCCAGCCATAGTACTAGCCACCAAACATCTTTTTAACTTTGCCTAATTTCTTTAGCAAAGAGACTAAATACAACTCAACTACTCTCTTCCAGCAGCCGCTTGTATGTACAGAGACCTCGGGCCAGTCCATTGCGGACTACAGCGGGGTGACGCAGCTCAAGGAAGAACATTTATGATTATTTCTTCATGGAAATGCAATCAGACTGAGACACTAAGGCAGAAGAACTACCGCGTCTGCAGCGCAAAATGATTAATATGATGATTGTTACTTAAAGGAAATGATAAAGAAATTATCATAAATGTTCTTCCTTGAGCTGTGTCACCCCGCAGCAGTCCGTAATAGACTGGCCTGAGGTCTCTGTACAAACAAGTGGCTGCTGGAGGAGAGTAGGTGAGTTGTGTTTAGTCTCTTTGCTAAAGAAATTAGGCAAAGTTAAAAAGATGTTTGGTGGCTAGTGCTGTGACTAGGACCCTGTATGTACTGTTGATGAAGTTAGGAGCTGTTCTGAGCATTAAATGTGGCTATAGAGTGGCGTTTTGGTTAAGGTTTGTTGATGGCTCCTCAGACCGCTGTGTATTGCTATCCCGCAGTCGTTACTAAAGTTAGTACAACTAGAGAAGCAAGCGGTTGGTAACATTCATCTCTCGAGGGGGTGTCTAACTCGGTGTTACAGTGTTTTTGACTCAAAATTAATTTTACATCAGAATATCCTTTAAAGAAAGGAGATAGTGTCAAGGCAACATGTGTTTCATCGCATTAACTGCACACTATACTTTATAATACTATATAATACTTTATAATAAATACATGACAGTTAAATTTGATTTTATTTTGATTTCTGTCTTTCAGCACGTCGAGAACCCTGGAGGTCAGTGTGTAGGGTGCAGGTTCAGAGGTGAGGAAAGCTTAGCTCACTACTCTCCATGGTCCTGTGGTACCATCGGCCCTTGCCTCAGCCCCTTTGAGTCTGAAACGCTCACACACACCTCGGCTCACCCCTGCTCGGAGCACTCGGTGAGACAACAGACAACCTTTATTTTGCAGTGGTATGTCTCTGCCGGTGCTCTCACTTACTTTACAGTAAAAATGTACTTTTTCATGCAGGATTTAGACGGTAACAGAGGAGGAGGAGGCGTTGGCGTAAGCAGTGTCGGGAAGCGGTGGCTGCATTCTTTGGATCACTACCGGCGCTTGAAAGACGAGGACCCGATCATTCCCTTTAGTGAGGGTCCTATTATCTCCAAGTGGGGCGCCATCTCCAGGGCAGCTCGCACAGGCTACCACACCACTGACCCTGTCCAAGCTACAGCCTGTCAGAGCAGCGCCAGCACCACACCCATTGATTTTAAAGGTATGGGCGAAACAAATTGCAGTATAAGAAAAGAAAACAAAGAGATAGACAGACAAAAGAAAGATAGAGAACAAATAAAATACTTTTCATGATGCTTATCATTTCTTTACAAGGAGCTTTGGGACAACCTTTACGACTTATTTAATATGGGGGACAATTTCTAATATTCTAAGGTGAAGTTTCTTTTTCTATTTTTTCTCTTAAAGATTACAACCCACACTTGGATCACAGTGACTACAGGTGGAGCTCAAGAGGCTCAGACTCTTCCAGCCACTCTAGTTTCCTTGAGAGGTAAATGACACACGTAGACTCATACACTCACACACGCACAAACGAACACAATTTATAATCTCTGCGTAGAAATAAATAGGAATTAAACAGCAAACCTTGATTGTTTTTGTTTCTTTTGCTTACAAAATAATCTGGTTGTATTTCAATAATGAAAATCAAGATTTCAGCGAACAAACTCTCCATCAAAAACGTGTCGACATAAGAAAATTTTAGATTTCTTCTTCTTAGTCTTAGTCTCATGTAAATGTCGACATGCGGTTGCGATTAACACATGCTCCTTCTTTTATCTCTCTCATCCCTTTATTATTGTTCTGCAGTCCTTTCCTCTCTGTGGTCAGACTAAAAATAGACCTGCTGGATGGCTAGCATAACCCACTTGGCAGCCATAAAAGGAGTCAGGGAAGCCCTCTGCTGTCTCTGCAGCAAACATCATTTCTAATCGAGCGACAAACATGGCTTCCTTCCTTTTAAATAGTGTTTTAAATAGTGTCATTTACCATCAACATTGTGTTTAATAATGCCAGATGTTTGATATGTTATTATATTTTGCTTTTGCTGTGTTGTCTCGCAGCGAAAATAAATCTATAACTAAATAGATGAATAGTAAATCAACAGATAAATGGTTGTCTGTGTGTTTTTGTTTTCTTAGTGAGCTTCATGGCCGTCGCACATCAGTAGGCAGTGGAGAGAAAGTCGTGTCTGATCTTCAAGCCCCTCAGTCTGTCTACAGCCAGGATCGAGACCAGGCTGAGAGCGAATCTGACCCCGGTCGAGACATCGAGCTGGAACTGTGTGCACTTGACATGGAGGATTCAGACCACCAGGAGATCAAGTCTCAGGTTAGTTTGAGTCTGAACACCACACATGATGTTGACTAAGCAAACAAAAAACTCCAATATTTTGATCATCTTTTCATCTCAGGATCCCTTACACCTGACCCCACAGTCTCAGGATGCTTCCAACCTCCTCACGCCTTCCTGCTCCTCTCCCCTCCTCTCTTCTCCTGTGGAGGAGCACCCCCACTCAGAGGGCCCTTCCACAGAGAAGATAGACCCTCACCTTCTAAAAAAGATGGCCTTCAGGTGAATGATCATCGTAATCAGTGTTTCACAGGATCGCCCTCAGTCTTTGACTTGATAACCTAGCAGTGTAGAGCTCTCTTCTGCCTGACTCTTCTTGCTCTCCGTCTTTTTTTCCCATCATTTCTTTTTTGTTTTACAGGAAGTCTCTGTCTCCTGGAGGGTTGGTCTCCGGAGGTCTTGGCGTCGGAAAGCTGCTTATACGTACTGGGCCTTCTCGATTGGGGGACAGCACTTCCTCAAGGGCTTGCCCTGAAACACCAGTGACAGAGATGCTGCTCAATGGAAGCTAAGAGGTTTCAAAGTCAGTCACTGCGCTGCACCCAGCTGCTGCTGCTGCTGCTGAGTTGCTTGCCGAAAGCAGGATCCCGGTTTAAGGACAAACAGCTTACTCCCAGCCTGTAAACATGTCATTGATATACTTAACAGATATGATCAACAGCAGTTGCACCACATGGTTAGCAAAAGAAGAGAAAGAAAACACACTGTCCTGCCTTCTCATTTGTGATTTTAAACCAATCAACAGCTCTGCATTAGTGAAACTTATGACCAGTCTGCCCTCACAATAGATACTGACCAGGTCTATGTTTTTAGTTTCAACCCCTGATCAAAATTTGAAGGCTTCAAAACATCTCCCTCATGTTTTGAAAAAAATTTACTCATCTAGTTTTTCATCATTCAACAAAGCTGACAGACAAAAACTCAAGCTGATAGGCTTTTTAAAATCTAGCTGAAGCACGAGCTAAATGTTCTTCAGCCATGTAGAAGAACATGTGTTTATTCCATGTACATTTTCTCGCCACTTATTCTTCATATTGTTTAAATGTAGGTTTGATTGACACCTTGCAATCTCAACATTTCCCTTGAAATCCTGTCTTTGCCCCGCAGAAAGGTTTCTCAGCTTAAAAAAGAAGTAATAAGTAAGTTTCTGAAAGTTAGTTTATGGCTTTTTTGTGTTATTTTTTCTAAAATAAGTGTAATTGACTGTTTTTATTTGCTTTCAAGCTTGTTAAAGTAGGGCCGTGAAATACTAAATCAAAAGCTTTATTTTAGTAATTAATTGCAAATAACCTCATTTTTAATCCCATACTTAAAAATCCATTGTTTTGCATTACAAACAGTTTGTAAATCCTCTTTAACAACTCAAAGCAAGTCCTTCCAGTGTCTTGATCAGCTGCCAGCTATTTAGCAAGCACTGTTAACCCCTTTGGTGTAGTTTGATCCACAGGTGCGTGGTCATTCATAGACTCAAACGTAGCGCTCTGCTGTCCTTTGTTACATGATTCCCACTGACATCAGTCTGATTAGCTGCACCTGTATTCAAAGCACCTAGATGAAAGTCAGTTAATCCAGTTTGACACAAAGCGCGTATTACTTTTGACTCATTAACTGAGCTGAGAGCTTTTAAAGTGAAATGTGTCAGTGAGAAACACTGTGGAGGTGTTGTCCATGACAGAGGCAGCAGGAAGCAAGAAATTGATGCAAGGGCAGAGGGCTTAAAAGGGACAGTAACATCTGACTGAAAAATCAACATGCTATGCTCATGTCCTACATGAGGTCTTATTAGCATGTTAATGTTGATAGGTGGAGTTTGTAGCCATATGCTACATGACAAAAAATATGAAATAATATAGAGTTTTAGATTCTTTTGCAGCTTCCTGAGATTGGAATCTTTTGTTTACATCCTTCTATTTCTTTTCCTGCAAACATTTGCTTATGAGCAAACAAGTGAGCTCACATAATAATACCCTAATATAGCTAGGTGCAACTAGTTAACTTAATTCAATGTGTTTTGTTGATTCATCACATGTTTTCCAACAAAAAAAATCACAAAATTCACTTGAAATAACAAAAATATCTGTCTAAATACTCAAAAGATTCTGTTCTGAACCTTACCCATCAAAAAAAACGATACCAGAGGTCACAAGCTGCACTTTGATACTTTAACAGTTCTTTTATGGTCTTTTTCATCTCTTAAATGTTGACCTTTGACATTTATAGACTATCATGTAATCATATAAAACCAAGTGACACAGTCCTGACCCACACTTATGTGGGTCAGGACAGAAAAACTCCTTTGTTCATTCTCTGCTGCATTTAATATTCTTTAGTAAGCTGCTACTGCATCCCTAAAGATGACAAAGTTTTCCTTCTTTATGCAGTTTTTGTTGGAAATTCATCCTTTAAGTTGCTCCTCAATACACGATCCCTTTTAATAAGTATTGTTTCATCTGTGTGTGCCTGTAGTCTTAATGGTATCTAATTCCACTGACTGAGTATGAGTCAGTCCCACAGCTCTCTCACAAACCTAAACACAAAAACACAGTACAGATGTGCAAAGGCTGTCTTCACACACAATGTACACAAATTTTCAGTGGTGGCCTTGGTGTTTCTGCCATGACCTTTGACCGCACCCTCAAACGGACTTCCCGGACTCAAAACATGTTAGCTTTTACTGGAAATGGTTTTCTCTGCTTTCCAGTCTTTACACCTCTCTGTACTGGTGTCTACAGTATTCAGAGGATATTTGTAACAGTTTCAAGCTTAAACCTACAAAATCCACTTCTTGTGTTTTTTTTTCCTGCTTTTGTAATTTTTTTTTTTATTATTATTTTTGTCTTTGTTTTGTTATATCAATTGCTAACTTCTGTGAAGTTGTGTGTCAGGGTATTTTGTATCAGGATCTTTGTTACTCTTGGTTTTGTGCGCTTTATTTTGCATTAAGGAGACAAATCGTGTTGCCATGTCATTTGGTTTACTTTAATTGTGTTAAGAGGGAAGTAGGTCAAATTATTTTGAATCTTTGAACCTTCCCCGATAATTCCCCTTAACTAGGTTTTCAACAGCAAACAAAGATTATGAAGTACAGGTCATTTCATAGGATGTCAGAGTGGCTTAACTTTTCACAGCCTGTAAGACTGTGGATACGGTGGAATAGAAACATTTATGGGGAAGTTACTTTATCTTCCTTGTAAAGTTGTAAAAGTTTATTGAAGAATATTTTGGAGGATTCACTTGTATGTTAAAAGGAAAAAGCTGCTGCCAAGATCTGTTTTTTATAATTCCTTAAATCAGCTCAGCTACCCATCTGTTTACAACTTCACCTGTGAAGTCATAAGTGCCATGCTGTGTACAGTGCAGTACAATCAACCCCTGCTATTTTACCATGGCTTTTCATATTCTTCAAGTGTGAAGCATGTGAAGACGGCTCTGTCCAAAATACCAAGTGAGATACTTCTCTTGTAGTTCTGATTTGGTCCATTAGAGGGGGATAATTCCTTGTTTGTCTGAATTGCTCAGGGAAGACATAAGTTGCTCAGCTACTGTTGCTTTTCTATTTTCATCACTTAAATATTTTGTGAAGATATTTGCCCGAGTTTTACATTTGTTGATAACTGGCTCTTTCATCCAAAGCATAAATGGTTTGCCGCTGATTATATTGTTTGCCAGTGTTTACTTTGCCTGTGTTTTCCTTTGCCTCTCAGTATAAATATTGGCTTTGCTACTCCTGTTCTCATGGGAAAGGGCTGGGCACTACTTTATGTAAAAAAACAGTATTGTGAGTACTGAGCTAATGTGACAGTGATACTCCCTGTTTCCTTTCAAGTGTCTTTGGAGCACTGTTGTAGTGGCCATCCGCACTGCACTAATTCCCATCCCATCACTGCCAGCGGGCGCACTCTGCACCCTTAAACCCCTCTCCTTCACCCTTTTTCTTCCTGCATCCTGCATGCGATATAGTCCCTCTTGTGATGGCGGAGGAGTATTGATGATTCTGTAGTTGTGATACAACACTCCGTGCGCTGTAAGAGTTCTGCACATGCCCACTGTGTGGCCACGTCAAGTGCTGAAGTTTGCTTGCAGCATTTTACTCGTTTGCTCTTGAAAATTGAATATTGTTTGATAGAAGTTATATTGAAATTATGACTATTATTGTTACTACCACATTTATTGGTTGTTGTGGTATTTTTCATTCTAGGTATTTTTCTGGGTCTGCTTCTTTGTTTTGAATTTGACAATTTGCAGAATTTTTTTATCAGACAGAAAAGTGTCTCATTATTCTATATTGTATGAAAAAAAGCCTGTTTGTTAATCGTGAAACATGATGAACTGATTTCTTCTGACTATTCATGTCTGTATTAGACATTTTATTTGCAAATCTATTGTTCGATTGAATTGTAAATGAACTATTAAGAGATGGTACACATCCGTCATTGTATACAGTCTGGCACCATCATTAGATGGACTTATAGTATAGACGCTCATTTATACAACCTGTGATGATCAGATATATTTAAATGTTGAAATCATTGGGGCATTTGTGTAATGTTTCAGAATGAGGAAAATAAACTCCTTAAAGAGACAGCATATCTAAAACGTCCCCGTAATGAATAATACTGTTACGTATTCCATTTATTTCCTCGGAAATATCACATTGTGAAAGGTTTCCCTTTTTACTCACTGTAAGGGTAATGCAGGACTGGAGTGAATTTAACCTATGGTAATAAGGATTTATGTGCTTTTAATGATCGATGAAACTGTTTGAGTTGTATTTGACTGACTGACTGATTCTTGTGTGTTTTTATCTGTATTACACTGACTTACAGACAGCTTGGCTGAGCAGCATCCTGCTTCTGTGTTGCACTGAAAGATGGAAATATGAAAAGTACAATTTCAGCACATGAAAATGCATGCTACAATAAAAAACAATGGATATTACCTCTTTTCTGATACTTGTCATCATTTTTGAGTGTTGCGTGTCAGCCAATTGACCTTGGGGAAGAATTTAAGTTTCTTTAAGAAAGTAACCGTATTTTCTTGATGGTTCTCTTGGAAATATACACTTTAAAATCACTTGCTATGTCATGGTTACTTAAAAGAAGTGATTGTAAATAATGCAATAATCAGTATTTCTTCAACCAATTTCAAGTTTTCTAATTTACTAAATATATTCAAAGCTCCTGCGAGGAACTTTGTGTCTTGCCCCACCCTGTGGACAAGCAGTTGTTGCTTATGTCGCTCTCTACATGTGTAAGCAAATCTCATATCACTGACTTTTGATAGTCAAATGTGTTTGTTTCTTTCACTTCTCTGCTTACACCAACCCTTGCTCATCAGGTTTCAGGCATTATAAATCACAATATAAAAACTGTCAAACTTGTTACTGATGATCTTTTCTGCTTTTTTATATTATAAAAAGGTTTTAATTTGGGTTTCAGTCAATTTCATAACTGTCCAAATATCCTCACAGGAGCTTTAATTTGAAACTCTGGGTCAAATAGATATAATTATTAAAGATGGTTCAAATATAAACAGTCAAAATGCCATTGTGTGAAAATGCTAGTGCAGTGGTTACAGAAGGTGCCTCACAGCTGAAAAGTCACAGGTTCACATACCAGTCTGGCCATGAGTGATCAGGAAACAGTGTTAACAGAAAAGTACAACCTTATCTTATTTATCTACAATAATCACTGAAAAATAAAAAGTAAAAAGGATTGCAAGTCTGCAAAGGGTTTTATTTAAACTATACATGTATCTTCAAATCCTGAAACATTCAGCTTTGTAAGTATGTGAGTGACTTGATTTCAATATGCTAGAGAGGAGAAAAGGAAAGCTTTGTTTTACAAGCCCTGACTGGCTGGACAGGAAGGGCCAGCATGGCCACAACACAATGAGAGCAGTGGGTGTTTCCAACAGCTGACTGCTGCAGTTTGGTGTCTAATTAAACAGAACAGAGTTCAATCTCTCGAAATCTGCCATAAACACACAGATGCTTCCCCTATCAAATGATTCACAGTTCTAATATGAGGGAGGCAACAGGCTAAGGAACTCAGGAGAGAAGACAAATTGTAACTGTGTGATCTCAGTCACAAATCTCATTTGTTTTCAATCATGTTGGTGTGTTCGTGGAGCAGAACAAAATACAGTGGCAGGTATTAGATATTCAACACATGTTCAAAAGCCCATAAGGAAGTCGTAGTTCACAGCTGAGTCTATTATTAGTAAGACATGTAAATAAACCTGAATTTTTCTCAAGGAATCAGGCGTCTGGACTAGCGTTTTGGATCAAACACAAATCATATAAGACAACTTGAGGTGTAGATAATTTAAGTGTCAAATTTTGACCTGGCAAATATACAGTATCAAAAGAGTAACCAAGATTTAACCTTTGCACCCTGAAAGAAACTTTAAGTTTTAGCTTTATCATAGCCCCTGAAGGAAACTCTTGATTCATGTTGATTCCTATATAAAAAACTAAGAACTATTTTTGTCTCCTTTATGCTGTTTTTTCCTGTTAATGTGCAGTAGTGTTTTAAACACATACTAATGATTTCCTATTGAGTGAATAGGCTATTTAAATTAAACCATGCTGCTGAACTTACTTTGTCTGACCCGTGGTTGACTGTGACCACACAGTGGTTTTTGGCACCAAAATGGCTCTACAAAATTGATCAATCTACAGGCAAATGCTCTCTTTTGCCTTTTAGCCCACAAAAAGGCATCCGTATCAGTATCAGTATCAGTAGAAAACTCTGTTCTGTTCTTTAATTGATTTTTTTCTAGGGTATAGAAAAACTATAAATCTTGCAGATCACCACTAAGAAGAGATGAGTTTGTTATATCTTCATTTGTTTTGTATTTATTTATTTGTTTGTTCCTCACATGAAAGTGGACAACAGAATTTGCACAAGCACACAACATTTTCAAATCAACACCTCCATTATTGGAAAGGAGCAGCAAGAAGAAAAAAGACTCTTATGCATGCCTGCTCCTTACTTGAACAATTAAAAATAAAAGGGAGATGGTCTGACATCACATACAGTTGATTTTCAATAGCTATTATCAATAACATTTTGATTATAACAACAAAACAATTGATCAAAACAAATACAAGGGAATAAACTAAATTAGTCAAATATCCCTTAAAGTGTATTTTTAGCTCAAATCAATTTATCATTACCATCCAGTTTAAGTTTCAAGTGCAAATTGACATTTTATTTTTTGCATTTGTACATTTTTTAAATTGACGAGTATGAGTACAGCCTTTGGTTAACATGGCCAATCAAAAGCCCTGCCCTACCTGCAGAACAAAGCTTCACAGTTTGTACCCAAGAGTCATTGCCAAGGACCCAGAACTGATAATCAGGACTTTTAGGCTGGGTGAATAAAAAATTGATGGTTGAAAAATTAAGCAGGAGTTATCTTGTTTGTGTTTTCACATTTTGGAGGAGTTCACAGATGAAGACAAGGCTTGGCTTTATTTCAATGTGATTAGACCTAGAACATTGCTCACACCAATGAAATGCACATGGTTCAAGCTGGAGTTGAACCAGTGACTTAAGGATCACAGCATTTCATATGAGGAACATCCTACAGTCCTCTGCTCTACCAACTGAGCTATCAAGGTGCTCTCAGGTCACCAATGCAGAAAACATAGTAGCTGAGACGACACACTATGCCCACACAACTATTCGACCCACATGGTCAATGAAAAGCCCAGCCCTACCTGCAGAACAAAGCTTTGCAGTTTGTACATGCAGCATATTCTGGGCCTTAGGGCTCACTGAAAGGACTTTCATTCAAAACCCTTAGTAAATCAGAGGCCTTTTAAGAACATTTGTAATCAGAGGGCTCTCTTAACAGTATGCTCTCCCATTAGGGCTCTCCCTAGGGCCCCCACATAGCCAGAAGTCACGACCCTTAGCAGGGGCTTTCATAATCATAGGGCCCTGTGAAAGCATTCCCCCCTACTTCCTTGAACCCCTAGTTGGTAAACGTTAGGGCTCCCATAGGAGTATTCACGAGAGGCACTACAGCAGGGCCAGCCCAGGGGCCCTCTGATTGACGTCCCCCCGTGGCCCAGGGGCCCTCTGACTGCCATCCCCCAAAGCCCAGGGTCCCTCTGATTGCCGTCCCTGTCCCTCCCGCCCAATTCATATCACCCTTCTCTCTCGGTTCTCTTCAGATATGCCCTATAACATTGCAAGTAGTCATAAGATCCTAGAGAATAGAGGCCCTCTGACATCACAATTGGCATCGGCATTGGCATCTACATCGCTTTGGGCCCTTGGACCCTTGGGCCCCTGGGCACCGGCCCCACTGGCCCGGTCCGTAATACGGCCCTGCCTGGTATATGCCAAGCTGCTGTTAAAGCCAGAGGAGGTTACTTTAAAGACAGCAAAGTCTAAGCAACAATAACTCAAATACGTAATAATTATAGTCAAAATATCTTCTGATAAGTTACTCTTTACACAATAGTCATGTTTATTGTATTGCAAATTATATATATAGAACTATGATCTTTTTTTGTACAAATCTGATCTTGCTTCCAAACTTTTGGCCTGTAGTGTATGTATTTCCCCATACTTCTGCACAATAAGTCACATATCTCTAAGGGTCTGACACCTGCTTCAACGAGTATTGAGACTCGTGTAATTTGATTTGGAATTTTCATTTCCCTCCAAGACCCTAAGACATCTCTGAGCATCCTGTGTTTAATAACGCCAAGGCCTCCCCTCCCTCAGCACAGGCGGCAGAGGAACTGACAGGCGCATGCGCAGTGCGGGTGTCAGCGGGTTGGTTGGGCTTGTGTTTACAGCTCGGCTGGATGCTGATGTTGTTGGGAAAGTGCAATGTAGTGCCAACCGCCATTGGAATAAATATAACTGTGGGAATACAGGTAAGCTGTCTTACACTTGCACATACCTTAACACTCTGTGGTCAAAGTGTCTGTGTCCTCATTAGTGAAGGAATTTATCCACCTTTTTGTTTGTTGTAACTGCCAGGTTAGCATGGCTAGCACGAGCGTAGCTAGCTGGCTATATACAGTAATGGCCTGTATGAAAGCTTCTCCCAGCGACGGCCTGTCAGCGGGTTTCTTCAACCTATTCTGTTGGATACCTCTCCACAGCATTTTACCTTTATCAATTACAGTGTGTGTAGATACTCCGCCTCGTAGACACAATACAGTTTGGCATTATTTTCGGACTTTGACTCGATTACTGATGTGTAGCTATCTCAGCTAACGTTATAGGGAGGTTGGTAAAAAGCTAACGTTATAAACTGGGACAATAAGTTGACAGTAGAGCTAGCTGCAACTGTGCACGCCCATCGTTATCAAGCAAAACTTGTACCTTATAATCGTTTAAGATGCAAGGACGTTCAAAGTGTGCCATGGCCTACATTAAGCTTTTTAGACTGCATTAACATGTAGCATGCAAACATGCATCCAGATAAGTAGGTGAACCCGCTGCGATAAGAAAGCCTATTAATCCATGCTATCAGTGTATCCCTGCGTTAACGAGGGTTACACATCTGCTCCTTAAATGTAACACGCAGTGTATATGTGATTGGAGTATGGCTTTGAGATCCTGTGCTGAAAGTTAGTGGGAGTCTGAAAGGCTTTGATGGGAGGTAAATATATAAAAATAATACAGGTCATCTTTCACTGTGTGTATGAAAAGTATTTGATCACTGATAGAGATTGATAGAGATCCTTTGACTGGGCGATTATATGATCGGGATAAATTTCAATCCGATCACGGTGATCGGCTGTGAGTTTATTTACTCGATCAAACCTAGCGAAAACGTGCATCACAACAGCCAATCAGAGTCGAGCTTTTTCTTGCTCACTTCTGTAAGTTGCTGGACAAGTAACCTACCTAAAGTAACAAGTAACCCTACCTCATGAAGCATTTTGAGAAAACAGCAAAAGTTTGCAGCGCTATCAAAAAAGCAAAGGGTGGCTACTTTGAAGAATCCAAAATATAAAACATGTTTTCTTTTATTTCACACTTTTTTTAAAGCACATGATTCCACGTGTTCCTTCATAGTTTTGATGCCTTCACTGAGAATCTACAATTTAAAACTTTTGGCCTGTACTAATATATATTTATATATATATATATATATATATATATATTTATAAACATTTTTAAAAATGTTTTCAGATAGATCGTTTGAAAACATTCGTAATAACCATGTAAAGGTGTAAGTATGGACATCACAGAAGCAGTGTGAAGTGAGACGTATTTGTTTATTACAATAAATAAACATGACATCGTTATACATCAGCTGACTTTGACAGCTGGGCGCTCTGGCGGTATTGCGCAACACTAGCAAGAATGCATCGTCTCAAATGTGTTAACAGCCGTTTGTGTTCTCATCAACTTGGCAAGAACCTTCTCACAAGAACAAGTTGCAAGAATATTCTCTCAAGGCCACAAGAATGTTCTTTGCGTTCTTGTGTATTGAGATTTGCCCAGAGTAACCGAACGTGGAGCTGAGGGCAGTAAAATAGATGTTAGCTATGACTTTGAGTCATCCTCCAAAGATGTTATTGTTGAGAAGAAAAGTTATTTAACGTCTTGTTTAGTATTTATCTGTTTATTTTTTAGTTTGAAGTACAGATGCTTTAAAACTGGCAGTTAAAAAAAAAATCGTGATCATAATCGAGATTGGACGATATGCCAAAGTATCATCTTTTTGGCCAAATCGCCCAGTCCTAGTTCAAACCATTCATACTGCTGTGGATCAACCATTCAGTTTCTTGATTGTAGTTCTGTTATTGTCACATGATGAGGGAGGGACCAGCAGGGATTGTTTGGAGAAGTGTCTTGATGACCTGCACAGATATACTTCTGACACACTTTATACTTAAAAAAAGGTTGAAAGACACTGGTGTAATACATCAAGGCAGTTGTTCAAATATATGAATACCAATTTAGCAGTGCATTTTCTTTTTCTCTAGAGCTCTGCGCTCACATATTCTTCCCTGTTAATATTTTAATAATTAAAATACACCCCGAGTTGTAAGCTGTAATTCTTTCACTATAATCTTAGTGAGTCACTTATAGGATAGAAAACTTACTGTTGTTCATTCACTGCCTGAGGCTACTGGTATTTCCAGTAATAGGACTGTTTACAGCAAAAGATCATGTTAGTTGGATTACTTCCCAGTAGTGGAAAACGTGCAATAAGCGAAATGTGCCAACCGTCACTTTGCTTAACCCAGCTCTTTGTTCCTGTTCTGTTTCCTGAAACTCAAGCTTTAGTTTAAGGAAATCCTCATGCAGGTATGGCTGATGACACACATGCTGAAAAACACACTGCCCTGATTTGTGAACATGCAAATATTAGCTGTATTAACAACAATCAATGTGTGTTCAAAGGGAGAGGAAAGGTCAGTGTTTTATCAAATATTTTCCATGAATTTTCAAGCAAACATATAACCAGTATGATCTCTCTAGTTTAGTATGATTACACAAAAACACACAGCAGTCTGACGATTTGTATGATCTTTGAGGAACACAACTAAGTTATACACAAGAAAAAGAGTGCACTCTAGGGCTGGGCGATATGGCCTCAAATCAATATCACGATGTATTAAGCAGTTCACCTCGATAACGATAAATGGACGATAACTACTCCACAAGCTGCTCATCCCCTCCCACATTAACTTCGTCTACTTCAGCCGCCACTCCAGCCACTGCGACTTTTGAACCCTCCTCCATCTGCTCACCTGTCTTTCCCTCTTTGTTACGGACAGGATGGGGTGGAGTCACGTCTCTGATGTAGGACAGCGTCTTAAAGGGACATGAGACCAAAGACTACCTACACACATCCAAAACCAACTTTTATTTATTAATTTTTGACACCGAATATACCGATATAGGCAAAGTGACGTTGATTATTGTCGTAAATTTCGGTATTGGTAAATTTTCGGTTTATCGTCCAGCCCTAGTGCACGCTGTTACTTATTTGTATGTTATCAAAAGTAACACGATTAAAACAACTACCAATGTTAAATTAAATACAACTGCTGAACTCCAAATGCAGCCTCTCAATGCAGAACTTATAACCACATATACAGGAGAGATTTATCCTTCTCACACAGACGCAAAGACATCATAATGCCAAACGCTCCTTCTCTTTAGATTCACATTCCACACATTTCCTCCTAATGTGTCCCCCCCTGTGGTCTTCCTTTTATAGCTCCATCTGTAACTGCGTTTGAATTGAACCCCGGATGTTCTGAAATCCTAACAACGCCCCTTTGATGCACCTGTTATTCAGTGGGGGCTGGTGCAGACTGAGCGGTGGGGAGGGGTCCAGCTTCAGCAATGGTGTATCACTGTGGCATTTCAGTTAGTGTTGAAGAAAAGGAGGCTGAATTGGATTTAAAAAACTTTCTATGATACTCAGTCACATTTGTAAAAACTCTTCTCATACGGCTAACATAATGCTTGTTACAGATTTAACTTCAAAAAGTTGAACTCTTCTTTGATAGTTAATCTCCGCCTCAGAGCAGTTCTTTGGATAAATAACGAATGTTTCAGTAATTAATTAGACCAAGATTAGTCTCGACTCCACTCCTGATCAGTTATTAGTGCTGTTTATTAGAAGGTACATTCCTAAATATGCAAGAAATCTTACTCCTACCTTGAGGCCTTAATTATCACCATAAAGTAACAGACTAGATTACTACCTTGCATGTTTTTTGGCTGTGGTCATGTCTTGTGTTTCTTGTGTAAAAATTATTTCCCCCTAATTTTTTTCTGGGAGAAAAAAAACGGTTACATAATATCCCTTGACTTCACTTTTCTTTTAATAGCATACCAAGCAAGTGACTGTGATACTCGCATCGTGACCTTTTGAACTGTTTGTGGTGGAGCGAGTGCTTCCTAAAGTTACAGGTGTCGAGTGTTCTTCAAAGTTAAAGACGGGTCTGTGGTTTTTTACGTGACTGAAGTTGTCATAAGGGATAGTTTTGTTGCTTAGTGTTGGACACGCAGAGGTTTCATTCATGGGAAGTAACAGGAAGTGTTGGGCTGAGACGACTTCTGGACTCTCACACAGCACAAATAAGATGTAAATTAGGTTATGCATGCATGCATGTGTCTTTCTCTTTTTTGGTTTTACAGTTCATGCTATAAAGAGCTCCTCTTCTGTTCCTTTTTATGGACTGCACTCTGTGGCTCACCCCCTCATAATTCAGCCCTCTCTGTATTTCAGTCTCCTTTTCTTCTCTGCCTCTCCTTTTCTTCCTGCTATCTCTGCCTGACTGAAATCACTGCTGTGAGGCGAGTCAGCGAGAGAGGGACTGTGTTGCAAGCCTGAATGCTCTCTGCCTGTGTCTGGCTGTGTCTTCCTCTCCCTTGTGAGGTGCACGCAGGGCCCAGCTGGCAGCCCAGAACAGCCCGTTCAGCTGGAGAGTAGTAGAGAGAGGAAAAAAAAGGAAAAGGGAAAAGATAGGCACATATTCACTCACAGACTTATGTGAGGTAAGCTTGTCTAAATATATTTTAACCCATTTTGATAAACAGCTAAGTGAGTAAAAGAGGGAGATGGAGAGAGCATTACAGGTGAACAAAAATGGAGGATGAGAAGTGGAAGGCATGGGTATAACGTTCAAATAGGGCTGGGTGATATAGGAAAAAGTTTATCATGATATATTTTTTTGGTCGATATCGATATCATGATTTGAAAAATGAAATTTAACAGTGCTTATTGGTAGCATGTCTTTTGCAATACAATAAGCTACTGCATCTGTGAGGTTTTTGTGTCTCCTTCACGTTTTGTCGTAAGGCGTTGCGCTAGAGAAAGCAGACTGAGGCGCCATGAGCTCCTTGCTCTGCTTGGGATTTGTAACCTTTTGAATTGCGTGTGTTCTGCCGTGTGGCACTGCTCCAAATGATTCAAGGTCTTCCCTGACTTTGCGAGAACATGTACTTGACATAATTTGCAGAGCACATTTTACTCTGCTTCATGTCTGACCTCAAAAAAACAAAATACCTCCACACCACCAACGTTTTCTTGCCAGTAATGTCGCCGATGTCATCAACTGTTGAGCCTTAATCTGCATTTCTGCCGAGGGTAGCACTCATTTTCTTCTTTTCTCACCGACAGTGCTGTCGGCCTCATGTGTTACAGTGCTATGGTTGTGTGGAGCTCAGAGGATGACATTTTTCGGGAATTCTTGTGGGTCACGTGAGTCCCTTGGGAATCCCACGGGATGGGAGTCATTTTTTATTTAATCCCGTGATCAGGACGGGAAGGGGAAAAAAAAGCAACGGGATTGGTTAGGAGCGGGAACAACATTAATAGATGATCATTTTCAGTCGCGTTAAACAACCAGATGAACAGATGCGTCCATTTTTGTAGTCATCTCTCAGTGAGAGCCAACACTCTTGACCGCGCTAGCAACACAAAAGAACTACGACAGTGGTTTGACTTCCTGTCACCACTGGAAGTGAAAAGCGACTCGAAGCAGCTGCCGGTGTTGCCGGGAGCGACTGCCGCTACGACTTGGCTGCCACTTTTACCTAAAATGTTTTATTTTTTTATGCATATTATGCACTGCCCTTTTACCTAAAATAAAAAAAATGCAAAGTTTTTTTACCATGTTTGGTTTTATTCAAATGGGTGCAGGACAGGAGTGGGAGTAATTTTGAGTGGGAGCGGGATAGGACTGGGAGTAATTCTATGGAGTCATTTTTTACTCTGGTCCGGGATTTTTTCTCTGGGAGTGGGACGCTCACGGAGTGAAAATCCGCTCCCGTGTCATGCTCTAGTGTAGCTGCAGCCTCACTGCGTAGTTGTTTGCTACTTGGTTTTAATTCAGCACATGATTGGTTCAGCACGAAGCAGACCCGGAGCAACTCCCCTGTTCATTGGCTATTTGTATAGTCTACCAAAACATGGCAGAATGCAGACTATCGAAAAGCATATTGACCACGTTTTATACTGATATTGAGGGAAATTTTTTTTTAATATATATTGTTATTGTTTTATCGCCCAGCCCTACGTTTAAATTGTTTTTAGTGATGCCAGTCAGTCTTTTCTAATTCACTAGACCTATTACAGAACACTGCTGCCACTACATAGGCATTGTGCCATATCTTCAGTGAAAAATGACAAATTCTGTACCATTACTTAACTCTCACAAAGTGAAGTAACGGTTTCATCAGATATGTTAACTTCTGCCTAGGTGTGCTGCTGTTTGTGTGACACATTATGTGCACACAATGACAGTCTACATACGCCAACAAAAGAGTAACAATAAGGTTTAGGTATAGATACTGGAGTTTGAGCATTTTAAAAAATCCACTGTAGTGTAACTCCATAAATAGTGTTCCTGAAGGAAACACCTGTAAAAAAAAAAGGACAAGGGCAGGAAACAATTTGAACACTTTCTGTGAGAAGTAAGAGAGCACATGAGAAGAAAAATATTTGCCTGAGTATCACTCTTTTGGCCAGAGGGGGTTTGGAATAAAAACACTGTGGATGACAGGGCCTTGTTGTCATGGTGACAGAAACAACAGCTCCCTATCAGAGGGGCCTGCTTCCTGCTTTCTCTCCTTCTCCTCATCACCCTTCGTCTCTTTTTCCCAGCTCCTTCACATGCTGGTTTCTTTTAAGTCTTCATGAAAAGGAAAAACTGTCAAGAAATGAGAAGAAGGGTGTGGCTGGAGGAGAAAAAAGGAGATGTACTCTACTACAGGATTTGTCTACAGAATATATTTCAGTGCATCTCAAACCGTGTCAGTATTCTCGCACAAGCTTCATAAATCCCTGCCAGTGTAAACATTTTGGAGCCTTTTGAGCATGTAGGTGGAAGATGCTGTTGCTAATTCCGTCACAATCAGTCACATGGCCGTCAGTGGATTGTGTGTGTGTGTTGTTGGCAGTATAACAAAGCACTGTAAAGGTTGATGAAGAACAGCGTAGCGTAGCAGGAGCTGGCAGAGGGCTGTTGTTGAGGCAGCAGCGGAAAGCAGGGTGACAAGGCTTCCATTATATGCCTGTTAGAGCCTCCAGCTAGTCAAAAGACAGAGTCAGAGAGATGTGTGTTTGTGTCTGTGTTGGTGAGTCCTTATCCTGTTCAAAAATGGCTGCTTTTGTGTGTGTATGTCTGCGAGGTATGTGTGCTCCATCATGAAACAGTACTTTCTTTTTTTGCTTTTAGCATGTGTGTGACGAGGCTCCACTGCAAAGCCTGATTAGTAGAGAAACAGGAATAACTGGAGCCGATTATTTTTTGTCTCCTGCAGAAAACAACTAGCTGTAAAGTCTTTTAATTACATGGAGCTGACACTGGCTCTGAAAACAGGTGTGACGATGCGATGGTGCTCTTTGATTTGTGTACCTCTGTTTTGATTGAAGCCTGGATTGTCATAAACTGAGTCTCAGCATCTTCTTATTTTGATCCAGTTGTGACTATATTTTGGCAATAAGTTGGATATGTCAGGGCTCGACACTAACTTTTTTCACAAGTTCAAGTTGAAAAAGTGAGGAGCACACAAAGAACTTTAGGGGCACAATGAAAATTGATCAAATAATATGCGTCTTATTGGTCAACATTAGTACTATTATTTGAAATCAGTTTTATGTCAATTGGTCACATGACTTAGAAGCTATTGAAGGATAGGTTTAAAATTTGCCTTTAAATTTAACAGAAAATTTTAGAAGACAAATTAGGGAAATAAAGAGGTGTGTCTATTGTCCAACCTTAGTACTATTATTTGAAATCAATTTTAGGTCAATTGGTCACATGACATGGAAGCTATTGAATACTTTCTGTGAGAAGTAACATCAACCGCTAATTTATTGATGGTCCCTTATTCAACACCCGACGTTGACAGCAAGGATGCCGAGTCGATTTAACTGCACTGCTGTTGCTATTACGGGTTATGGAGAGCGAGAAGACACCGGTAGATCTGCAGTGAATGTCCGTCGGATATCCAACCTAAAACTGACTTCACCGCGTTATTTACATCTGACTATTTACACATCTATTTGTATCGCAAATGCTAGTGAAACGGTCGCACTATTAAGCCCTGTATGTACTGTTCTATCTAAGAGATGGTAGGAACTTAGCATGACCAAAAGCATACCTGGCTAGTTGCGTATCCTGCATTGAGTAGTAGGGGTGTCCCGATACAACTTTTTAACCTCCGATACGATACTGATGCTGAAGCCTTCAATATTAGCCGATACCAATCTTGATACGATATTTGCACAAACTTTTGCATGACAAGTTTTGCACGAAGCTGCAACGTTTTTTTCGGACTTTCATGAAAAATACTGCCACAGGGCCGACATCATTCTTACTCCTTGGTACTTTGTTAGAACCTTAGTACACACTGTGGTTGTGATTACATGCTGGATCTGGGCACTGCTAGATAGAGGTGCCGGAGTGGAGTCTGGAATGAACTGCCTGTATCGGAGTGCTGATATCGGAGATTTTTGATTTGGGCGGATATAATCTGATATTCAAATTCTTGCTAATTTCGGACTGATATTCAAATTCTTGCTGATATCGGACCGATATCCAATATCAATATCGTATTGGGACATCCCTATTGAGTGGGACCATGCCCCTCAAAAGAAACATCTACTATAGAGAACATGAAAACTTGTGAATAAGAAAAAAAAAGTTGTATGTAGGGTATCATGAAAAGAAATAAGATTGTTGAAAAACTTGATTGTGATTGGTCAAAACCTCTGTGGCAAAAATGACAAAACAAATGACCACAACATGAAAAAAAAAAACCTCCAGTGTTCATCAACACTCAGTCTGAGGCAAAAGGGAGTAGACTAATCACTCATGAGACAAACGTGCTAAAAATAGAAAGCAGCTCCCTTTGGGCCAAGAGTAAACATCTGCAACGTCTGCTCATGATTACAAACCTGAAGATAAGAAGGATCTGGGGAGTGATGCGAATGTTCCTCTTAGATTGCCACAGAGTTAGATGATCTTTTTTCTTTAACTTGTGAATTTAATATTTATCAACTATAGACTTACTGTTTTAAAATGTCCCTCTGTTCACTGGTTTCAGTCTAAATTCTCAATTTTTAAAACTGAACAGTATTTAAGGCTGCTTTATGCTTTACAGCTGATGTGATAAATCATAGCACCTTATGATCACACTGTTTTTGCAATACAGGAGAAAAATTACACCCCAAAGTGACAAGAGAAGAAGGCAAAGCTGTCTTTATAACATTCATATCAGTAGTAATTTTAAAAAGCCTTTCACACAGGAGCAGCCATGTCTATTGAGGTTCATTCTGGGTTTGTAAAACAATGTTATCATTAGTTACACATGTTATTAACTGCTGTGACCTTTCCACTGTAGACCTTTTTTCTCATTTCGCTCTCATTAAGGGCGAGGACAATGCCTATTTGAGAGCTTTAATGGCTAAAAGAATAAAATGTTATTTGGGGTGATAAGGCTGGCGTTGAGAAGAAAAGAGTTGTAAAAAATATGAAAAGGAGAGGGAGGAGGGAGGATGAAAAGAGAGTGGAGGGGGGTGAGGACAGAAATAGCTTGTTTTGGTCCTTTCCTGAACCTCTGCCAGAACCTTCTGTTGCTCCTTTCTTCCTTTGTAACGCACACTGGCACCTCGCTTTCTTCACCCTAACAATGGAGGTTTGCCTTTTTTTGCCTGCAGAACTTCACGTCTTCAATCCCTCCCCGTTTTGCCACATATCAAGGTTCGATTTCAGATTGTTAGAGCAAGATTGAAACTAAAAAACAGGTCTTTTTCCTGATTTCCTGGTCCCAATTAAAAATGTACCACCTCTCTTCAAGTCTTGATCTCATCCTCACTGTCTTTGATTAATGACAATTTTGAGATGACTAAACATTTTGCATTTGATGCTGTCACTGCTGCCATTTCTTATTTTGATCATTTCATTGATAAAAGGAGCTGGAGTGAAAGATGGAGAGATGGATGAAGTGAAAGTGTTGAGCAGTGTTTCCCTCTAGATCCCAGCTCTGGTTCTTTGTGGTTGTGGCAGCAGGCCTGCAGTACAGTCATGCAGAAAGGACCGCACGCCATGTAATAAGCAGATTCAGCACATCTTTTGTTGTGTGTATGTAGGTGATATGTATTAGGTGTAGTTGTGTGTTGGTGGAGAACCCCAATGAAGCCTTGAAACGTCAAATAAGTTAGATGATTGTTTTTTAGTCTGATATCAGCCTGAGAAGTTTGTTCTTGAATCCTCACTTGCATGTTTCCTTTTCAAAATGACACTTGCATCACCATGGCCTTGCATTGCATCAAGTTATTTTGCAAATATATGTACTTTATTCTGCTGAGACAGAAGTATTAGCTCAACTGACCCACAGATTGTCCTTTCCTGTATTCTCTTCTTCATTGCAGACTTCACTTTCACTTAACTAAGCTTTTTGTTTGACCTTTCTTTTGCACCCTCTTTTTTCTCTTTTTATGCACCCACACACTTTCCTCTAGGTGTTTTATTGACCTCTTAGAGGTAATAAAGGATACCTCAGCATTTTCTTTACAGTGAGTTTTCCAAGATGGGTGAAAAAAGCCACATTTCTGGTTGCCTTAAAAGATGCTTTTCATGACTTTCATCACATCATGACTGTTTTCTGCTTCTTTTCTTTATTTACTTTTCTTTTTCCAGGTGATTTTGCTCATCATCTCCCACCACTTCCTCCTCCCGTCTTCCATTCATGAGCAGCGTGGCTGAGTTTAAACAGCGGCAGCCATGGATGACAAGGGCTCGGTGGGGAAGATTAGCGTGTCTTCGGACTCAGTGTCCACTCTCAACAGTGAGGACTTTGTCCTTGTGTCCCGGCTGGGGGACGAGACACCCTCCTCCACTAATAATGGTAGTGATGACGAAAAGACAGGACTGAAGGTAAGGATGGTTGGGTGTAGGTATGGACGGAGGCACGAGGCAGACTTCAGAGCTGCACTGATCACATTAGATATTAGCTGTTGGGTATGACCTGTCTCCTCACAGTTCCTTGGAAAAAGCCCACATGGGCGTAGTAAGAGAGATACTTCTCAATTCAAACATGATGAGTGTGCTCATAACGGATAACCCCAAACTAGAAAACAATCCTTATTTTCCATTAGCTTATAACTAACGCTTTACAGACTTAATGTTGAACTCCCTATTTGTCTGTTAGAACTGATTTAAGAGATCACAGCATCATTTACCGAAACATCTTGACACACATCTCATCTCTTTCCATTTGTAGTGAACGTTGTGCCTGAACTGTTCTTCTGTGTTGAATCTACATGCACTAAAGGCAGTGGCTTTGAAGTTGGCCGTTTAATGATAGTGTAGTTTATCCTCGGTGGTTGACCATCATTGATCATGGACCGTTAATGACTAAGTGTAGCTTGAATGATCTTGGACTCACCCTGTTTGTCACTTCATTTCTAAAGATCAGAGACACGTCACCTATATATGCCAACATGGGTCTAAAGTCTAACTTTGTAATCTGTGAGAAAGAGAAATTGAAAGTCTGTTTTCTGCTCATAGTAAGTTATAAGTTCCAGCCAAGCTTAGCTCCTAATACCACCACTGATGATTAGGTAGGCATCGCCACACAGACTGCTGCAGTTACGTTTGGGTGACTGTTATGTGATGAAGACACTGTCCAATCCAATCCAATCTGCTTTATTTATATCACACATTTTTAAAGAACATAAACACTATACATAAAGCTTTCCTGTAAGAGCTCTTACAACCTACAAAAGAGGATTAGGTTCACATGAAGAAAAAAGAAAAATAAGGAAGAAGATTCAAGTCAAAATTTTGAGATTAAAAATCAAAAATATGTCAATAAAGTCAAAATTTTGTGTTTAAAATTGAAATTTCGAGATTAAAGTTGAAATTTTGAGATTACAAAATGTCGAGATTAAAAATTGAAATTTTGAGATTAAAGTTGAAATTTCGAGATTTCGAAATTTTGAGATTGAAGTCAACATGAATAAAGTCAAAATTTCGACTTTTTAAATTCTGACTTTTATCTTGAAATTTCGACTTCAATCTCGGAAATGGAAATTAAAAAAATATATATTTTTCTCTATTTGTGGACCTAATCCTCTTTCATATACAACCTGCTGAGTTTGAAACAGCAGCAAAAATTTATTCAAATTATACACTTACCCGTTATACCATCTAGTGGCCAATCTAATACAGCAGCTTTACCACGAACTCAACTGTTAGGAAGCTTCTATATATTCAGTCTTGATCAGGTGATCACGTGATTATCGTACACACAAGGCGTAGTATGAGGTGTTGATGTGCTGGAGTGTGTTAAACTGAAAAGTTTTCCTTATATTTTTGTCAATGTCATTAAGAACACGAAGGGAGCGAAATATAAGGAACACCTGCCAGTTTAACACACCACAGTACATCACCATCCAGTTTGCTTGCATTAGATAGCGCAAGTTTACATAGCATTATAGCTGGACCAGTATGTGGTTCAGTTCTGAATCTGAGTTAACCCCCTCACTACATGATTAGTTATGTTAGTTACCATTCTTTTGGGTTCACAAAGACGCTGGATCAACCTCAACTCAAACCCTAACTAGCGTACAGTCTCTGTAACAGCCAAGTGGAGTAGACCCACACGCACAAATGTGAGTGCTCACAACGTCATTGATCCTTATTTAGGTTTGGTGTCGATTCAACGCACAAGTAAATCAGGCTTGACTTGTTTTAATGACAGGTCAGGGGTCTCGGTCTATACATACTCCATTGTTAACGGTTGTGTTCATCACTCACATGCTACGTCTCACACTAACCATACGGCTAACCATTTCTTATTTACCTTTTCCCCCCATTCTCTGTCTCTCCTCTTCTCATCTGTGGTCTTCGTATACTGTGTGGTAGTCATTTGTCACTTCTCACTAACGCTCAGGAAGCTTTTAAATCTTGACAGGATTTGAAGTGGAAGTTGTCCCGACTTCACGGCCCGTAAAGAATGATGTTTTTTTGTAACATGAGTAGAAAGGTAAGGTGGAAAAGAAGGAAAAAACAAAACAAAATGAATGAGCTGTAAGATAAGTGAGCTTGTATATATATTTTCACCAGTTTTTAATGACATGTCAGCAGCTGTGGTGCTTTCGAGATAGTGGGTAGTTTACTGACACACAGAGTGTCCTCTGCAGTTTGTGTCAGGGCTACACTTCGCACTCAGTCAGCAGATATTGGTTTGCAAACAGTGTGGTGCGGGTGCTTTAAACTCACTGTCAGGAAAAGGATTGGTGTCCATGACCTGGGTGTGTCTCCACAAGGACAATCAAGACTTTCTGAGGACAAAAAAATACAGCCATCAAACTAGTCATTTCCTCTCCTCCTTCCATTTCCCTTCTCATCCCTTTTCCTTTTCATTGAATACACTAAAGTGCTGGCTGTCTTGTGTCCCTAAGTTTACATCATCGCTCTCAGTTTGTTTCTATCTGTTGCTGTAATGCTGCAAGATTACCAGCAGATGGCACCAGAAGATCACAGAAGTTGCCTTTTCAGTTGCTAGGAAGATGCCTTTTTTTCTCTCGTGTTTGGAGAGTTCATGTTTGTTTTGACGGAGAGCTGAGTTGAGGTCTGAGCTGTCTCTCTGCTATCAGACGTCGCTGTTGTAAACACACCTTCTCTTTTCAGTATGTAGCCGTTAAATCACTCCATTCACCGACACTTGGCCATCCTGATATCATGTATTGGTTTTCCGTGCACATCTCCCTCCCAGTCAGTCCCATCCAGTCAGAGAGAAGTCAGTGTGTCTAAACTTGTTGTTTGTTATGCAGGTGATTTCTGAGGAAGGGGTCAGCTTTAAGGTCAGTCTCTTCTCTTGCTATTTTTTCCTCTCCCTCTCTCCTCTCTGTTACCTCTCTATAATGTGATTTTCTCCTCCTCTGTGATGTGATTCCGTGGTGATTCTGTCTGTGATTACTGTGCTTTATGTATTTTTGCCAGCTGTTGAGTGATGGCCGCAGCCCTGCCTTTTAAAACTGAAGTTTTTTGATGATGGTAGTTGTATCCAGAAGTTACATTTGACTACTTCTTTAGCTGTTCACACTACCTGCATTTAGAAGGCCTGCTACAATTGCTTAGACATGCAGTTATGAAAGATGTGTGACCCTAGATGTACAACTGTTTGCTGCTTTATATTGGCACTAGTTGCACATTGGCTGTAACAGATATCTGCTTGTGTCCAACAGCAATGGAGGAATTTTCTCTATACCTTTAAGGCACAGATAGCAGTCATGACTGTCTATACATGGAGAGCCTGTGTGTTGGTCCTCATGCCTTATAGCTCAGTACAGCTGTACCATCTGCAGCCTCAGTTTGCTTTCAGCAGACTGTAAAATAGGGCCTCCCCTCCTTCTTGTGACACCCCATGATTTGTCCACATCAGGCCTGCTTTTTGATCGCTACTCGTTAGTTCTTTCTCTGGTAACATCAGTGTTGGCATGACTCTTTGAATGTCCTGACACACATATTTCACAAAATAAACTCACCTATCCACTAATCATTAATACGGGATTAAATGTTTGGAAAGTATAGCTCTGCATGCCAAAATGAAACCAGCATCTTTCTTATAAATTGATGTAAAATAAAGAGCAAGATCACTGCTTAGGAAAGAAACCACTGCATGCTCCTGCAGGCTACAAAATGCAATTGTCATGCAGTAAGAGATGGTCTTAATTTAGCTCATGTTTGAAGTACCATGGTGATTACTGCAGTGATTTTACAGTTAAAGAGTTTCTTTTCTGACTGTTTTAAACTGATTCTTAATATGTCGTTCTTCTTGCTCCTTCCTGTGTTTCTGTTTGTGTGGGTATGTTTGCGTCTCCTCTCCTCTGTGTGTGTTAGATCGTGGGAAATGGAAGCGAGCAGCAGCTCCAGAGAGAGTTAGAAGATGTCCTCATGGACCCGTCGGTAGCTGACACCGGGCTGGGATCAGAAGCGGGGATGGACAGCCTCGGGGGCGGCGACCATGGCCTTCAGCCCACAACAGCATGCCCTGTCCCCCCAGGCACAGACCCTCTGAGTGCGCCGACACCACCCAAGCTGGATATGGTGCTCCCTGTTCAGACGGGTCAGGAAAGTGAGCTGAATGAGAGGTCGTACCGAGGTGAGCTGTGATGTAACTTTTCTCATCCTCTGTTTTTGTGTCTTTGAAAGCTGAGAAATGGTTCCGACCTGTGTTTTAAAGATAGGCTTATAAACTATTAAGGGTTATATCCATCTACCAACTGTGCATAAAGACAGAGGACACGTCTCCATCTACCTCTGTTGTATGAAAAGTGGAGCCAAATCCCCCATATTGCTTCAGAGCCTGTGAAGTAGGGACTGTCTACTGCGGAGCACAGCCACAGTTTTCATCTCCTTCTCTTTTCTGTACTGAAGGTCAGCACAGTCTGCAGCGTAACAGCCTCTGGTGACAGGAGGCCTTCATATCCTTCTTCTTTTAGTCGCACTTTTTTTAGTTGTTGGCTATATCACAGGAAAACAAATTGAAAACAAACTTCTTTCTGTGCAGAGATTTTCTTACAGATGTGACTTTTTTTCTCCAGTTGAATTTAGTTATAACTTCCTATCTCAGAGGAGTAGTCCCAAGATTACAAATCTGTTCTCCTTCCCTTTCTTCTCCTTTTTGTTGATAATTTCTCATCACTCTTTAAATCTTTTTTCTCCCCTTTGCAGCGGATGAATCATCATCAGAAGGCAGTCCTTGCAGTCCCATTCCAGATGAGGATAGCGTTGTGTTCAGCCAGCTGACATATCTGGGATGTGCATCGGTCAACGCCCCCCGCAGTGAGGTGGAAGCCCTGCGCATGATGAGCATCCTCAGAGGGCAGTGCCAACTACCCCTGGATGTCATACTGTCGGTGCCAGGCGTGTCTGAAGGCACTGTCAGGTAAGGAGGAGCATCAAGTTACGAGACTCACCTTATAGATCATTCTGTGGGCTTTATAATGTAGTGTAACACAAACACACTTAGAACACACAGTCTTTTTATGTTTTAGTGGTTATTTGTCGTACTCTCATCAATCAAACATGAAAACTTCAATCTAAATACAGGGACTGTGAAGTTTTTAGACTGCAATATATTTCCATTTACAGGTTGCTGGACCCTCATGCCAATACAGAGATCGCCAACTACCCCATCTATAAGATTCTGTTTTGTGTCCGTGGCCATGACGGCACACCGGAGAGCGACTGCTTTGCCTTCACTGAGAGCCACTATAATGCTGAGATCTTCAGGATCCACGTGTTCCGCTGCCAAATCCAAGAAGCGGTAAGAGTTGAATCATGACTTTATTGACTGCTGTTAAACACACTGTATGAGCTGAATGTAATCACATTAAAGACAAGATTAAAACTTTATACCTCAAAAAAGGGCAGGCACCCATGTCAACTATTGTATGTTCTCAGGGGAATTTTTAATCTTGCTGTTTAGAGGTTCCCTGCAAATGCACATCAGTTTAAGAGAGGGCTACAAATTCCTCAGTTCTGTGTTTTTTTAAGTTTTATTGAATTTGTCTTTAATTAGATGATTTGACAGCATATCAAAGCCCTTTTATTCTGCAGTTACTTTCATTTATTACTGTGCCTCCACGCCTAATTGCTTCAGTGATATATGAGCTCTTAATTCAAACTTGAATGACTGTGAAACCCCTTTTCAACACACAAGTACACAAATCAAAACAAAGGGTAACCTGCAGTGTTGCTGTTGTTCAAAAAGTGTCCTGAAGGGGGAGCAAAAGCTCCTCTTGTAACTGCGCTGTATTTCACATTACACTTTTTTTTCTGCTGTCTTTTTTTCGCACTCTTTCGGTCTCTCCCACTCACGTACATACATGTGCACACATTCATATTGAAAGCAGATTTCTGGCTGACCTTGTCTTAAATTATTGATCCCCCTGCTGCACGGGCGTCATGGTTCAGCGTCTGTATTAAAGCTTCCTTGGTGGTCCTGTAGAGATTATGTCATGTATGGAAGGCTGCAGTGTGCTGTGTACATCATCTAAAACAAAGCCAGTTTATAAAGTATTTTTAAATTGCAGTGGTAAAAGAGGGGTTCCTGTTTTTTTTTATAAGAGGGTTCAGCAGGAATATAAAGAATTCACACATAAAAACAGAGTTAAAGTAGACCTTCAATGTTCAGTGACCTGATTCCTTTCTCATGGAGGCACTCTCCTTCAATGTCACAAAGAGTCCCCAGACAGACGCTACTTTATCAGACCAACATCATCCCCCTACCTAGATTTCCCAGACTCCCTACTGTAACATACAGGCTTATCCAAAAAACACTGCACACACACACGTGCATGCACACACAGCATTATACTTTTTACCCAGCAACTAGACATCTCTGCCCTTGTCTCCCTCTTCCCTCTGCCTCATGCCTGTCTTCCCTCCAGTTCCCCCCAGCAACAAACCAAAGTACGATGCCTCTAGCTTTTTTGGGATTGTCATCATCACTCTAGAGTAGAGTGAGTCAGTTTGTTTTTTTAAAAATGGCTGCTTGGGTCATGAGCCTAACATAAACCTAACAGTATATTTTTAAATTCAATTAGTGAATTATTTCACTTTTAAATACACAGACTTTAAACACATACACTCTCAAACTCTCTGATGTGGGCTGACTTTATATTGTGAAATCACAGCTGGACTGAAACTATCCACTGCCTTATTTGGTATACAGCTGTGCAGATCAAGTGACCCAGTTATTAATGAAATTGTGTTGGTTTCTAGCATGTTTTGTTGTAGTGTTCGATATGATTTTTCTCTCTAAACAGATTAGCCAATTATGGAGTAGATCTGTTCATGCATACAGCAAACCACCTCCCCTGTACTGTCCTGCCTCCAATTTGCCAGACCTCCCAGTCAGGCCCTGAGGCTACTCTGAACAATTCCCAGTTTGCTGGTGTCGATGTCGAAACGCACCAATCACCTCCCTCCCTAACCTACAAACTTGCTGTTCCCATCCAGAGATGTACATCTAATGTGGTTTGATTCAAATCAGTGAAGCTTCACTGGATATATTCCGCTCAAGTGATTTGAGCTACTATCACAAATTAAATTAGTTGTTTGAAAAGACAAACACAAGTCAGGCTTTGCAGATTGAAAGATTGTTGCCATGATATTAAATAAAAATGTCCTGAAGCTTCGTGTCAGTTAGTGTTTAAAGGCAAAGCTGCCAAGAAAAAAACAATAAAAGTATCCTGGAGGGGATGTAAAAACAATATAACAAGTTCCAGATCTTTAAAGGCTGCAGATTTGTAGATAAAGTCTGATTCCAAATCCAAATTGTGTTATGTAATTACCTTTCATAAGAGCTCTGAGGGTAAAAACGGTAAATATTTCATTTGCAGCTTTCTAAAAACGAAATGTTTTAGACCTTGAAATATTTGTGTGTAAGGTAGACCAGCTCTCCTGGTTTCAAATTGAACTGAGTTCATTAGAGAACTTTTTAATCAAGTTTTGGTTCTGGATACCAGTGCATTACTTCAGCATATTCTGTCTTGGGTTGAATAGTTTTGTCTAAAAATGACTATTTTAAGAAGGATGGCAGTGTCTCTTTTTAATGCCATAAAGAACACCGTAAAGGTAGTAAATGAAAATGAACTCATCTGTGATGAATTTAAAGATTAACTCCCTTTGCAAACCTTTTCCTTCATCTGTGGTTTCTGCAGAGGCAGAGAAAGCCTCACTGACATTATGTCCTTCCTGTTAATGATAGCAGTGCAGCCTCTCGTCTTTGTTTGCAGGCCTGCTCACGCTGTTGTTTGTTTTAGGATAATGTATTCTTTCAGATACTTTACACCAATGAGTCCTCGCTCTCTTATCTTAACCACAGTTACACAATGATTGTAATGGAAACACAACTGAATGTAAACTGCGACCTGACTGATTACTGAAAGAATATTCTACGACATATATGAGTACACAGTCTTGGCCTAATGGACTTGTAAGGATGATCATTTTGTAATCCACCTGTCCCTGTCCTTACAGAGCCTCTCTGCAAAAAGGACATTTTCTGACATTTGAAACTGGTCAGTTTTGTCTCCAGCATTGGTTGGATCTGCAGAAAACAACATTTCTATTGTTTTATGTGTCATAAACTAAGGTTACAGGGGGGGTTACCCCCATCAAACTCTGCTTGTTTTCCATCTCTCATATCCAGTCCCCCCCATTGTTTCTCAATAAATAAACCCCCTGCGATGCCCCTAACATGCTTCACAGTCCCAAGTACATAACAAAAGCTCTGTGTAGAAGAGGTTCGGAGCTGCTTCAAACCCTGGCCTCAAAAAAGGAAAAAGATCATTGTAATTTATTGATAACAGCAGTTTCTACGCCATCTCTCACTAACCCCCAGGCTCCGCTGTTTACCGGAATAAAGGATGATCCAAAACCACTGTGCTGTGGGCCTCTAGTTGGGGAACACTCTGTTTATTACCACACACACGTCTGTGTTGGAAAAAATTACAGATACAATAGAATACTTCATCATGACCAAATGTAAGTTTAGCAAACCTGAAGCCACGTGATTGGAAACGTACATTCATTTAATGTAAATAAATTATCACCTCCCACTTTCCCACACTTGGCAGTCTTTAGCCTTCCCCACTCTCTTCTGCTCCTCTCCCTGAGAATGCTGCAGACTCTGAAAAGCCTTAAATGTTTTCCTATAGAATTTAAATAAAACAAACGCTTTTACAATATGTATATTTAATATGTAATTGGTTGGCTGATTAAACTTAGAGTATTAATTTGTTTGGGGAGTTTTGTAAGCTTTATCACAAAATAGCAATGACAGTCATGGCGATGTTTGTGTGTGTGTTTTAATGAATGCTAATGAGTTGTAATTACAATGTCTAGCACTGATATTTTTGGCATCTAAAACTCTCTTTTATTGCCCCACAAGGTATTTCAGTTACAGGAGCTGCCAAGACTTGATGCCAAACAAACAAAAAAACACTCTCAGAAGTTCTCGCCTTGTTATTTTGTTTGTGCCCTATGTTGAAGTTTGGTTTATTTTGCCTCTGATTGGCTGAAAAACTTGTCACATTGTCTTTAAACTGAAGGCAAATTTGCAGTAGATTAAAAATTTCATCAGTGCTGTTGCAATCTTTTTGTGACTTGAATATGAGCAGCTCAGCAGAGATCACGACAGCCTTCACTCCCTATACTAAAATGTAGGTTTTTTGTTCAGATGATCTGTTGATTTGAGGAATCATGGGTAAAGATTTGCTGATACTGTTGAAAACACAAGAAGATGGAGAACAGCACTCAGTGTGTGTACAGGTCCAATCTAGGGCTGGGTGATATGGCCTCAAATCAATATCACGATGTTATTAAGCAGTTCACCTTGATAACGATAAATGGATGATAAATACTCCACAAGCTGCTCACCCCCTCCCACATTAACTTCGTCCACTTCAGCCACCACTCCACCCACTACAACTTTTGAACCGTCCTCCATCTCCTCACATGTCTTTCCCACTTTGTTACAGACTGGATGGGGTGGAGTCATGTGTATGACATAGGACAGGGTCTTAAAGGGACATGAGACCATAGCCTACCTACACACATCCAAAATCAATTTTTATTCATTTATTCATTTTGACACCGAATTTATTGACACGGGCAAAATGACGTAGGTTATTGTCGTAAATTTTGGTATCTGTAAATTTTCGGTTTATCGCCCAGCCCTAGTCCAAGCCTTATACTGCCATCTTTGAGTCTACAAAGCTAGTTGAAAAGAGGCCGTACATCATGGTTACATCCTCCTGCTTGTTTGTGTTGGAACACTTTCAATGCTTAACTCTAGATTTGTCATAATTGAAGAACAATAATGATGCGGTGTTGTTGTTTAACACTGCAGTTTATTTGATACTCTAAAGTCCCTTATCTGTATTCACCTCTCTCCTTCAGGTGAGTCGGATACTGTACAGCTTTGCCACAGCGTTCAGGCGGTCAGCTAAGAAGGCAGCTCTGTTGTCTCAACAGGCTGCACCGCTCACACCTGACAGCGACTTGTTTACCTTCACTGTCAGCCTGGAAATCAAGGAGGATGATGGGAAGGGTACTTTCAGGTGAGACATCCCGTAAACGCCAACAGAATATATTTTAATGTTTGGTGTGTGAACCTTCTCATTCCTCTACTTTGTGTGCAAATGATTGTTGTCAGTGTCACCCTGCACCCTAAAAAAGTAGTTTTATGAGGAGTCTGGTCCACACCAATCACCTGCTGTAGTAATTTTATACTGCGTGACACATTTCTAGATATGAGTTATGAAATTTGCACGTGTTTGGAAAATGCTCTGTTGAGAAATCTTACCAAAAAATTGAGAAACTGTGGGAGGCGGGATGGGACGCACTGCTGTATTTATGAGGAGAGGAAAGCTTCAGATGTGGTGGTGAATGATAGAACTGAAAAAAGTAAGTAGTATAAATTCAAGTGATTAGTAAACACACACTTAATGATAATAACGTAGGATAAAAGAGCTTAACTTCTCTAAATACTAACCCAATAAAGGTGATGTATTTTAATGTAATTCATTTAAACAGACACATACAACATCATGCTGTATGAGACTCTGCATCAGCTTATTGGTTATAACTTTTTAAAAAAGGAAACAAATTTATCATAATGCTAAACTGTATATAACATAATTGAACAGAATTAGAAAATGTTCATAATTGGGTCTTTAGAGGCATGTTTATATGTAGAACCTGAATTTTGTGCAAAACCATGACCCAGTCAAGTAATGTAAGCTGTGTCTGGTACATGATGTCCATACTCATATGGAGTTTTTGCGATCAGAGCACTTCCTAAAATCATAGCAGGTTCAAGTGTTTACAAGATCATATAGATTAATGCACTTTTTGAACCCTAAACCTCTTTGTATAAATTTCCTCAGGAATTTCTGTCAGTGAAGGTTTGGAGAGTGTTGATTACTTTTCCTGTCTCAGACCTCTGCTTTCTTGAGCAGAAAAGAGGACCAGCGCCGGAGAGGGAGCATTTCAAAACTGCTATTAAGCATGCTTTTATTAAGATGAATGGGTCTATTTCAAACATGGGCCGCTGGGTTTTCACCTTACATAAGGATTCAAATGATAGTAAATCTGCCTTTTTGGTGCCACTGTCACTGTATCTGCTGCATAATTCAGCTCTGCTTTTGGCACATCCTCTCTGTTTTCTTTCTATCAATGATCCTCTTTTTAATACATTCCTTTTTTGCATATTTTCAGCGCTGTAGCAAAGGACAAGGATAAGCAGAGCTTCAAGCTGCGTGCAGGAATGGACAAGAAAATTGTCATCTATGTCCAGCAGACCTCCAATAAGGAACTGGCCATTGAAAGGTAAAATAAAGCCGATAAACAAGCACATATACCTACACACTCAACTGGAGTGTCGCTCTAGTGCAGAAGTCTGTCCAAGTAGATAGATAGATAGATAGATAGATAGATAGATAGATAGATAGATAGATAGAGAGATATATAGAGAGAGAGAGAGAGAGAACACATACATAGGTACGTACATAGGTACATAGATAAATAATAGATAGATAGGTACATAGATAGATACATAGATAGACACTTAGTTGGTGTTTTATTATTCTGTTCATGAGTAACTCAGGTAAAGCCATAGCATCTATATCTACACACTCAACTGGAGTGTTGCTCTAGTGCAGAATTCTGTCCAGATAGATAGATAGATAGATAGATAGATAGATAGATAGATAGATAGATAGATAGATAGATAGATAGATAGATAGATAGATAGATAGATAGATAGATGGATGGATAGATATTTAGATACACACATAGATAGATAGATAGATAGATAGATAGATAGATAGATAGATAGATACATAGATACATAGATATTTAGATACACACATAGATAGATAGATAACACATACATAGGTACATAGATAGATAGATACATACATACATACATACATACAAAGATACATACAAAGATACATAGATATATACATAGATACATACATACATACATACATACATACATAAGTACATAGAAAAATAATAGATAGATAGATAGATAGATAGACACTTACTTGGTGTTTTATTATTCTATTCATGAGTAACTCAGGTAAAGCCAAAGCTTCTACTCAAAATGCATCACAGTCATTTCTGCCTGAGGCTATTGAACTCTTCAACTCCTCTCTGTCAAACACTCTTTCTATCTCATGGACTTATTTCAACCACAGCTGTGGCCCCTTTTTAGTTTATTTTACCTATCAAAAACACAACCATGCAACACTCAGACATCAATGCTTGATTATCACCAGTTTGTATGTGAAGTGAGTGAGTTAAGCTGATAGCCTCACAGCTATAAAGATTAATGCAGGCTGATCTTAACTACTGTTCTTGTAGCTAGTAGAATTACAACCTCCACATGTTAAAAACAGGTGGTTCTAGAAAGAGCAACACAGCCGCACAGAAACTGCACCTTGTGGACATAGCCAAGTGTAATTGAAATCTATGTGCAGAAAACAACTCCAAATCACCCAGAAAAAACAGTTTGTTATTGTATGTGACTTAGCCAGAAAAACAAGACAAGAGCTGTTGTATGAGGACATGTCTATATTAATAAGCCGGTCAGCCCAGCCCTTTTGTTGAGATAAGCAGCCAGCAACAAGCTACAAGTGGGAGAACAGGAATGTGTTGTATGTAAGAATAGTGCCGAAACAAAGGGACTCAGTGAGAACAAAGTAAGCGCAGGGACAAGTACTTCATATAACCCCTCTGAGAAACAAAAGAATTAAAACGGCCCCCTGTATAATTGATTTTTATTCTTGTGAAGAGCACTATTTTAAGAGGAGCAGCAGGTCTATCCTAAAAAAGGATAAAAAATATGATTTAATGATTGAACACATAAATTATGCAACACAACATTCATATCCTGATGCATTCCATCACTTGTAATCCTTGAGATATGTTGCTTGAGACTTAGCCCGACATTCATAGGAAAGGAAACACCCAGTTGTAATTGATCAACACACAACCTCTCCACATCCGTGTGTGTTGCCCCGTGTCAGCTTGAAAGTATTCCGGCTCAGCTCTGGGATGGTTATTGATGGGAGCCTGTCTTTTCCGAGGTCTAATAAATCGGTTTAAAATGTAAATACTCCATCATTTTTTTTACGGACTTCCATTTTTACAGTGGTTTGTTATTGTTTGATGAACCCAGAGGAGGTAAGGATTGAAGAGCTGTGTTTAATATTCTCCACGATCTGGTCTGTGTTACAGGATCAGTCCAGGAAGCTATTCTCAGTAATATGCGATGGTTAACAAGTGGTTTTAGTCTATAGGGAGATTTATTGTTCTGCGTCTGGTTCCCGCTCCTGCTCTGTTCTTTTTTCACCCTTTCTTCTTATGTAACCTTATTTATTTCACTTATCCCTCTCTCATCTCTTTGTGTGTGAGTGTGTGTGTGTGAGAGAGAGAGTGAGTGTGTTTCTGTATGCACGTATTTATTTATTTCGTTATATTGCTTCTCCTCTCCAGGTGCTTTGGTCTCCTGCTCAGCCCAGGTAAAAATGTGAAGAACAGTGACATGCACCTGCTGGATCTGGTGGGTAACTATTTTCATGCATGCCTGTGTGTCAACATAAATTTATGTGTGTGTGTGTTTGCTTACCTCTCCCAACTTGTGCCCCTTCAGGAGTCAATGGGAAAAAGCTCTGACGGGAAGTCTTACATCATCACAGGAAGTTGGAACCCCAACACGCCTCAGTTCCAGGCTGTGAATGAGGAAACGCCCAAAGGTAGCAGCCAAAAACCTGCCGAAAAAACACATAAAACAATGATTTTCAACCATGAATTGTTTCCTCGTTACATGTTTCCTTGAGAAGTGTTTTTTTAAATCCACTTTTTCATATTCACACTTATGTTTTACACGTTTCCTAGTGTTAGAAATCATTTTCTCGTTGTCGCACAGTTCCTAAGATAAGCTGCGAAGACGCAACCTACACTGAAAACTCAAGAGCTGGTCTTTTGTTAAAAATCTAAACCTAGTCCTGTTATTATCTAGTTATTACTCTAGGTGATTAATTAGTCTCCAGAAACAATCATTAAGCTCTTATCTCATTTTTTCCCCCCCAGATAAGTTCATGTATATGACGACAGCTGTGGACCTTGTGATCACTGAAGTAGAAGAGCCGGTCCGTTTTCTGCTCGAGACAAGAGTTAGGGTGTGCGCCCCCAACGACAGGCTCTTCTGGCCCTTCAGCAAACGCAACTACACTGAAACCTTCTACCTTAAACTGCGACAGGTGATGTTGGGACTTAGACTAGATTTGCAGCGTCAATATTTCCATATGCTTTGGTTTTATTCATGCAGACTGATCTGATGTTTACTTGATTCATTTCCCCTCAGATGGAGCGTAAAGAGCGTAAAAGCCCCGCCTCAGACACACTTTATGAGGTGGTGAGTTTGGAAAGCGAGACCGAGAGAGAGAAACGCAAGACCACAGCAAGTCCCGGCATCGTGCCCACTGGGCCGGGTGGCATGGTTCCATCACCCCCTGAGGATGATGAAGAGGAAGGTGAGGAGATGCTGTCTTAGTCACTTATTTTTTATTCCTTTTTAGCGACTCGCAAAACAAAAGAATGGCAAACACCTAATCAAATGTATAAACTCAGGTAGAGTAAAGGGTGTTACTTCTGTATAGCAACTATTCAAAAATATTCAACAAATATATAACCAGATTAGACCACAGAAGAAGTCTGACAAGCAGAACTCTATCAAAAACTGTTTGCTCTTAGTCTATGATATCAGACAACACTTCAAAGTAGCCAGCTAGTCGACAAAAGAACTTAAGAATGACCGGCTGGCTCTGAAATACTGAACAATTGAGGTGTCCCAAGACTAATGCTTTACACCAAAAAAAAATGAACAGTCTACCCCGCGAGGCTGTACCTGACATAGACTTGTGGCCCGCAGGAGAAAGTATCATGTGGGAGATTAGACACTGTGTTACAGAACTGTTTGTTCTGTATCCCCACAAGGTACTTAGCACCCAGTGCTGTGTATGTGTGTGCTTTCTTCTTTCATGTGTCTGAGCAATGTGTGAGCAGTAGCAATGAGAATAAAGAGCAGAGATAATAACTTAGGTACTTTTTGTATCTGGATTTGAGTTAGACTTTGATCTGCTTGCCTCTGGCTACAGATTGGCCTTACTTTTGGACTTTTTGTCCGTTTGATCGCTACTTACCTACCGTTATGAATATTAAGATCCTACAGCGCTTGGGGATCATCAGTTTATCAGCTGATCCTTTTTAAAATGAAAGGAAAAATGCCACTGGAGAACATCATTCCACTTCTAATTTGTCTGCGGTTTTTCAAATGAAGAGTAATTAATTTGAGGAGCTGTTGACTGAGTTTAAACCAAAAGTCATTTCAAAAATGATGTCATGAATTGTCATACACTTGTAAATGAAATGCCCTCAGGTGGAGTAGGTACATACTGGTGTCATATGAGTCACGTTGTTTGACAGAAAGTCTGAGGTTTACTTTAAAAACATTAAATTCACTCTAGTTGAAGGCCACATTTAAATATGTAAGTCAGATTAAGTATAATAGCCTTACTTGCTCTGACTTTGTGTGTCTAGATAATGATGAACCTTTACTAAGCGGCTCAGGGGATGTGTCCAAAGAGTGTGCGGAAAAGATTCTGGAGACCTGGGGAGACTTGCTATCCAAGTGGTAAGCCTTTGTTACCTTGCTTCTTTCTTTGCCTCAACATCTACTGCAGCTATGATAAAAAAATGATGTATATTTGTGTGTGTGTGCGTGTGTGGTGAAGATGTGGCGCTGTATGTGTGAGGGGGAGACGCAGACAGGGGGCTGATAAGCAGCTTATTATGATGGCTTTCCTCTTCCATTACTGCATTTGTTTTTAATTAAGAGCTGGTGATGAACCGAGTAGAAACTGCCCAGCTGTGAGTTAGACCCAAACACTCACTCAAACACACACACACACACACACACCCACACACACACACGAAAAAGCACGCCTCTCTGTCTCCATGTGTATTATGTGTATTTCTCTGTACGTTCTCTCAGGGGAATAGTCTTATTTAAGTAAATCTGATCAGGTACATTCTTTGACATTCTTCTCGCTCCTTTATAAAACCCTGTGAGTCTTTGCCTAACACTGTTGCCATGGTGATGCATTATTCACCATATAAAAGAGGTAGTTTCTTAGAGGATTTAAAAGTCTTTCACAGTCGTCAGATAAGGTCGACATGAGCCCAACAGAGAAATAAGGCTTCAGTGAGGAGGTGTGGCTAAATGGCTCAGTGGCTCCCCCTGACATAATGAAAAAAAATCAGCACGCTCAGCATGTTGAACCCGAACAGCAACCTTAGATGTCGAAAAATGAAGTTAAGGCAGAAGTGGTAAAACCTTGTTGTTTTGAGTACTCAAAGCTGGCTCAGAAAGACCCCATTGACTCTAAAGCTCTTACTGGGATAAACTCACAGCTTGCTACAAGAAAGAGTTTAGGACTGAATTGTGTATTTCTCTTTTCATACACACTGTACAGGAGGTGGATTTTTTTCTAGTCGTACTACCATTTCAATTTTAGAAACATCAAGGTTACGTGTTCAACAAGACGTAGTTAAGGGTGTGGCTGATTTGACCAGTATACTTAGCCGTAGCTGTTTGTCAGGAGGCAAAAGGTCAGACTCCACCTGTTTGCTTCATGCTAGTTTGACCAAAAGTCAAGTTCAATTAACCCTTAACTCACTGCCGTGTTTCACTTCGAAACTCTTTAAGTGAGACTGGTGGGTAACATCAATAAGACTACTTTGATGTTTGATACAGTCTTTGGGTCAAACTATAAATTTGAAGTTGAATAGGCTTACGTAACATTTCTTGATCTAAGATAGAGTCTCTTAAACCCATATTGTGAATCCAAGACATGCGCTTCACCTCATTAACTCTGCATTCAGACCTTCACCAAACACAACATACTATTCCCTCTGGTGTACACCAAACCTTTGCTTTTTGTTTGCACCAACATGCATAAGGAGTACGTGCCTGTTCAGCACGGCTTCCCGCCCTAGTTTCAGTTGTTTGTTGTACGTTAGTCTATGTATTTTTTTGTAGTAAATCAATTTTCTGCCCTCCTTTCTGTGTTTGGGTCTACTCAGTCCCTTGACGGTATTGAAATTGACCTCCAAAACGCTGAATGCTTTGGAGGTATTTTTCTCACTTCCCTAATAAAAATAGTTCTAAAAGAAAGGAATCATAAGACTAGCCTTTCATAATACGAGGCTTTGTGCAAGTGATCGGTGTTTTTTTTGTGTGCTGGCCAGAGTGTGTGTTGTTGCATTGTGGGATGCGGCGCTCCGGGAGCAAAGAGAGGCAAATCACAGAAAGCCCTTTACAATTTAATGCCCCTGAGGACCAGGCCTGGCATTACTTACATCACATGCACACAAACACACTCACACACACACACATGCACACACACACACAAACACAGTATACTTTTGTTTCCCTTCTTAGTCCCGACAACAGAAAATGTCACATATTGCGTAACCTGACGCCCGGAACAAATAAAACCAAACAATCTGAGAAAATAGAGAGAGGGATGAATTGAGAACAGGGAGGAAAGCAAGAGAATCATCAGGGATTCTGGGGTTTCTTAATGTCGGCCCCAGCCAGGAGATAGCTAGTTGGAGAGATACAGCTGTGCTTCCAATTTTACCTTCCTCATCCTCGTACCTCTATTTATGTCTCTTTCAGGGTGAAGCCTATAGTTAATCTTACACAGGATGGTATTGTTGGAGTGTCTCCCTAACTTAAGTCGTGAGGATGAGGAAGAGAAATCTTCATAATGCCACTGTGTACTGCTGCTGCATGAACTCAGCTTGTTGTCTGCCACCGTCTTTTGTTTTTACATCCTGCTAAAAATAGTGCAGTGTTAAATAAAGCAATACTGACGTTCCGATATCAGGGGAAGGAGTGGCGTGATGAAGCTGAAGCAGAATCTCAAGCATAAATCACACTTTCCCAGTGTAAAAATAGCACATCTGAGGCCTTGATTGATCGTTTCCCTTGTTTGAAGTGGAAATGGAAATACGAAGAAGAAAGCTGCTCATGTAAATCATTACACCTGTGGTGTTAGGTGATATGACCTCTCCTCAGTGTCAAAATATTGGCCAGGCAGAGCTGATGATGGCTCTTTTTAGACACTACGAAAAGCCTATGAACACATTATTTTGGAAAGACGTGTTTGGCAGCTGTGATCAGAAAGATTGCAGATGAAGAAATCTAACAAGGAATTACTGAGTGTACAATGCTTTTAAGATTGGTTTAACAAGCAGCACTAAATAATGTTATTATGAGTGAGTCTTTCATGGCCCGCCATTGTTGACTCTTTCTCATGTTTCTTCTTTCAGGCACACAAACTTATCAGTACGTCCCAGGCAGCTGCCAGCTTTGGTGCGGAGTGGCATTCCTGAGGCGCTGCGTGGAGAGGTGTGGCAGCTCCTTGCAGGCTGCCACAACAATGATCATCAAGTGGAAGAGTATCGGACTCTAATCACAAAGGTAGGACTACACTTAGGGTTGCACAGCTTTCTCACCTGCCAATCCAATCCTCTGCAAATGAGCCCAAAAGATATCGCCCAATTCACACATCATGCACAGAGTAAACTGCTCCACAAACTCCTCTGCAGAGTGAATCATGTCAGTTTGCAGCAGTGATCTTTGCAGTGATTTGATTAAGACATTATGTATTCATTTGGAGCAAAATGTGCCCTTTTTAAAGCAATCAAGCCTCATTATAAAAACAACAACATTTACTTAACTTGCACTGGTGCTAGCATTCCTGCACAGTTAGACTGAAGACCATGACAATTAAATCCACCTCTGGATGACCTTGAAATAAAATATCTGTTTCTCAATATTACCTGGACTTTCTATCTTTATAACAATGAGGTCAAATCTGTCTGTGGCTCTCTGTGTCGAAACCCCCCCAGGCTGTGCTAGACAGAGTTTTTTCGATATTTGAATGAGCTGCTTTTTCAAGCTTGATATGAACTTTAAAGAGGACATGAAACACTGACCCAAGTTTTCATTATTTTTAAGAATGCCTCTCCACTTCACAAATCACTGTATTCATGACTCTAGAAATGTAATACATTTCTAGAAAACTGTGACAGAAGTTCCACTTTAGCGACACTGCGGGAAACCGTAAAGCAGCGCCACTTCGTGTGACGTCAGCGGTTGTGTAGCCCGTGTATTGACTGAATTGAGATTGATTGAATGAGAGTAGATTAGGATGGTTTGAATGGCGAATTGAGCGCCAAAGACGAGTAGACTCACTAGAGTCACTAGCTTACACCAATAAACAGGTAAGGAGTGTCCCTCTCCACCTAGCTTATCATTTACTGTATGTGGGTAGAATTTCAGGATGGAAGCGCAGCTCTGTGCAGCTGGGCATGGAGGATCTTACAGCTCATCTCAGTCACAGTAAAATGCAAAATTAGGGCATACTGTGCAGAGAGCTGCGTAACTTGACGGGTGTTTGCGACATAGCATTGGCGCGGTTTGTTCTGTGGAGCAGAGAGTGGGGTCGAATAATGTGCTGTTCTTGATGCTATCAGCAGACCCAGTTCATTCTTCCTGAACCAGGCCCTCAGAGGATTGCCTACGTAAAGATGGCCCCATGATCATCTCATGTTTTACTTTTTGGGAAAGCTGTCCTTATTACAAGATGACTCATACACCGGTCCTGACTTAGTATGTTTATTTTCAAACATAGTTAAACATAGTCATTTTCGTCCATCTGAAACTCGTAAAGTTTAATTTTTGTTTTAGTGTGAACTTTCCGGAACATATTTGCTGCAGTTTGACTATTTTGGAAGCACACCTTGGGGGCTACTGATGACCCTGACTCACAAGTTTCCTCCTCATGTGGTCCAAACTTGTGATGGTAACCACAGTCGCCCTCTAGGTCAGAGCAGCTGATTACTTGTTGGGTTATGTAAGTAAACGACGTTTATAGGTTCTTCTAGAAGAAATTCGTCATGGGTTAATGGTGCTATCAGAACTGGATCATCCATACCTTTATTTATACTGCATACTGTTTAGCAGCCCACAGTGTAAGAGAAAGCTAACGCAGAAGAAGAAGTAAAAGACAATGAGTGCTAAATAATTTTGATGGTTAAAAAGCAGGATCATACTAATCTAATTGTGTTTATCGTGTCTCACAGCAGCTTCTTGTCCAGTAAGGCTAATGTCACTCCTATATCATGGTAGAGAAGAGCAAGAATGTTTAAATCATGAATCTGAGTGTCATAAAATGCTTAATATTCCCATTTCTATGCACTGGACCTTTAAGAGACAAATGGAGAAATAAATAAAGACAAAATATATTTACAACTTTTAAATTTCAGTTTTGCAGCTTCGGCCCAGAGCTAAGCCAAACCTTTCCCACTTTTAGCTACCTGCATGCTTTGTTCTGTAGTGATAAGCTGCACTCACACATGCAAAAAAATTCCTACTTGCAAAACGTACAGAATTTTTGTTGGTCGAGCAAACAACCAAAATTTCAGCGAAGTCAGATGTGAGAGTGCAGCAGGAAATGTTCTGCAAAGTTCCCTGTGAGTGAGCGAGTAGGCAGGGTTGATGATGTTAAGGTCACGGAACCAAGTGGACCTTAAAGAGTGACTGAATAAGGATGAATAAAAACATACAAAGTTGATGAAGGAGAACAATTTTCAAAATGAGAACAGTAAAGACATGTCCACATCTGTTTACATTGATAAAATGCAAGAATTAACACCATTGAGCACAAGTCTACTGAAAATCTAATTTAAAGTATAAATCGGTAGAAAGGCTGTGCGGTTATTATTGTTCAAATTTGGCATTTCGTCACCCTATTAAAATAATGGCTCATAAATAAAAGGATTATGGCATGATCCTTTCAAACAAGGATTTAGGCGATTGGACCAGAGATGGCCAACATTATCAAGAGATGAAGTAGTCTAAAAAAACTCGTTTTCGTCACAAAACGACTTGGGCCATTATTTTAATAGGGTGACGATTTTCAAGTCAGCGTAGCCGTTTGTTATTGTTTTTGTCTTTCAGCATCTTGTCTGCACACCTGTATCGGTATGGACATCACAGTGTTTCTCTGTCTGTGTGGCCATGCATTCAAAGATGAGAGTAGACTTGCTATCCCTGCTGTAAATGGTTAGCCCCCTGATGTGCTCAGAACAGTGCTAGTTTATGTCATGTGTTTTTTTTCTCGGCTACAGCCCGGTCCACTGTTCTTATGTAAAGGCAACATCCCCGGGCAGCAAGCTGGGTCCCAGGTGGTGACAAGATGTTGGTGTTGCCCATTCCCTCCCCCACCCTTTCTCAGCCCCTCTACTTGATTTTTTTTTTCACCCTCCCAGGGAGTATTTCCCTCTTTTTCTCTTTTTTTTTTTTAGCCCTGCCTTTTCCTGTATTTTTCCTCACATATCTGAAATGCAATGACAAAATTTGGATCCCTCAAGTGGAACAAGCAGGATAAACTTTGTTTGTCTCTTTACATGAATGGCATGAATGGAATCCCAACTTTTACTGAGACAACAATAACAGTGGATCACAGTCCCCGTGTATTGATAGTCATTGGACAGAAACCTGGAGAGGATTTTTATTGCAGAAGCACTAAAGCATTCCAGGTTTGTGCACTGGCCAACAAACACACACAGAGAGAAGTGTGGAGAACACGTGCAGACATATCTGAGTCGGACAGAGGATTTTCGTTTTTTATTTAGTCTCCTTGGAGCAAAGCTGGAGAAGGTAGCCAAGAATGGTTTACAGAAAATAAATGTCTTATTAAACACAGCACTGAGCGAGAGTTTTTCTAATCTTAGATGCAAAAGGTCCCATAAAAAATGAGTGCTCTCAAAACATGTTAAACAGAGAAATAATGACAGGAAATAAATTGCATAACTGTACTTTTGTTTTAACTAGGAATGAGTTTTCATTCATGTAGTCCATGTTGCTGCCACTAATTATAGCCTATCTTCTAATTTGCTAGCTCTTTCTTTCCCTTTTTCAGCTCCTGTTAAAATCTTTGTACATACCATACTCATGTGCCAGCTCTTTGTTTGTTTTGTGTCCTTTGTGTGTTCATTTTCTGCTAGTGTGTCTCTCTTTGTACTGTATATACTATATGCACATCATGTCCCAGCTAGTGCCCTCCTTTTGTACCCTGAACCCCAGCTGAACTGGACGTACATCCATACATATGAATGCAGGGCATTGATGAAAGTGGAAGCAGGGCTTCAGGTCTCAGACACTCGACCTATTCCTTCCATATGGAGCCCTAATGAATTCTCCAATACAAGGGTCCCTGCTGCCAAGTACTTGAAGTACCCACCCAACACTGAAAGTAGACTCATTAACACTCCACCGCTAACCAATTAAGTCATTAGGCTGTTGCAGCGATGGCCTTTTGCTCTGGTTTCATGCATCAGAGAGAGTAGGAGCTAGGTGACTAAAGTTTGGCGAATAAGTGTTTTCTGCGTGGTGATTTAAAACAGGAGGATGTCATATGAAGACAGCGTGACATTATCGGTCACTTTGTCATGTGCTGAAAGGCAGGACATTTTTGACAGTATAACAACATAAAAGCTCACAGTGTAACTCCGGCTTTTATGTGCCAGTAAATTCTCCTGACGACTATTTACTCTGGAAGTACTGTTTGTAATATTTGTCGAAATTCTCTTCACATCCCAACAGCAATCAATAAATGAAACGCTCTGGAGGAAAAACTGAAATAAATCCAGTGTCTGTGGGCTCCTGAGCACTGCGATAAGCCCATCCAATCATTACATTGGAACTGAATGAAATGACTGAATAGCTCGCCTGTCTGTGTTCCTACCTTACAAGATGTGACGTTTCTCTAGATGGGTGCACTAAAAAATGTCGCTTATTTCTGCTGTTTACCTCTGAAACTGCCTCACACAGCTTAAAGTTTAGCTAAACCTTAAGAGATGATATTACTGCTCCAGATATTAGAAAGTCTTGCTACAAAAACCCTTCTCTGTATTGATCAAACAAGAGACCATATTTGTATCCACACTGTGGTTTAGTTTGCTAGCGATCACGCATAACTGTGCTCCCCCCTTCCAGTATAAAGGACAAAAATATCCACATTGAGAGTGTGACAGACATTTTTATAGTTGCGCATGAGTGGGTGGCAATCGGCTGAATCCCTTGTGTAAAGAGGGTTTACTTTATAATCATTTTCACGTTGTTGTGGGTGTGACAAGGGCTGATAAGGAGTGATGTTAAGTTATGTAACTGTCATTATTTTCCTGTCACTGTCACATTGTTTTTCATTGTCAATTAGTAAATAATAAGAGGCTAGCTGTGCCTGATTATCTTGTTAGTTTTTTTCAGTGGCATTGAGCTGTTGATACTGTGTTAGCTGGCGCCGTTGGAGTAGTTATAGATGATATTTGAAGGTTTCTCACTCTTCATCTACCAGAATGTGAGAAATGTTTCCTGTGGTGTACATGTGAGCACATACTCACATCGATGTCTTTGAAGACCTGCTGTTCAAGCATCCTGTGGAGAGTAAAAATAAGTGCTCATGACTTTCTGCCTGCTTACCTGTCTCTGCCTGACCCACATAATGACCTTTATGCTTTTTTTCCATCCATCTGTCTTTATGATCACACTCAGAAATATGGCTTTGAAACTATATCACATTATTTCAAGGACATAAGATGATATAATAAAAATATTATCCACTGTTCAGTGTTTGCAACTTGCTGCATTTTTAGTGCAACAAAGTGAAGAGGTATTTCTAACTTTTTGTCCACCTGCCACAGTGCCTCCAAAGTTTACCTTTCAATTCTAAACTCCTTATTTTTTAAACATAACTTGTGGTATTCAATAGGGGTGGGAGAAAAAGTCGAGTCACATAAGTTTTGCGATTTTTTGTTTCACAATTTTAAATCGATTTTTTTTGTTCAAAAATCATTTTTTTTCTTTTTTTCAAAATTCAGAATAAACCTTAAAAACTGACTTACATGTGATGTCAATTTTTTTTTGGCAAATATTGTTCCTGGAATAGTCGGTAGACAATCATAATCATTCAGCTGTTGTTAAAAATGCAGACCGAAAATCGACAATATTGTGGAATTGCAAATTAAATTGAATCGACGACCAAAAAATCGTGGAAGAATTGAATTGGGAGAAAATTATACAGTCCCAGCCCAAGTATTCAAGCAGTTGTATAGAGATAAATATTTCAACTTCTTAATAAAACACAGTCATGCTCTTTGCCCACACAAACACATATTTATTTGACTTTAAAACATTTCAGCAATGTCCTTCAAGGTTGATTTATCTGTGACTAAAGAAATGAGACAAGAGAGTCATTGCACTATTTAAAAATGGTGTCAGCCTGTCGTAGGCACATACTGGTAGATTTCTATGTTCTTGTTGGATTCTTCATGTTTATGTTGTGTCATTCTAGTGTATAGCTGATGTTAAAGCTCAGAAAAGCAGGACGCTCTCTTTGCTTTGCTGTTATCAGAAGGCGAGTTTACCCGATGACTGGGCCTCCACGTGCTTTTCCTGTAAACATTCAGATCAGATGTGATGTGAGGAGGAGGCAGTGCTCTTCTACGGTCAGAGTGTACGTCTGTTTGGCTCTACTTTGAAACGTATGTTGATATCATAAGAAAGTATCCCGGTATGATGGTGGACAGTATGATATAGTACAGCAGCCCTACTTTATATCTACTTTTATTTGTGTACACTTGTCTCTCTGACTTCTACCCAGACCCGTTTGTGTTCCTGTCAGCTCGTGTGTCCTCCTGCTTCTCCCTGTCTGCTCGATCACTTGTGTTGTGTCACACTTGTCTGCTCGCTTCTTTCTCGCGCCTCTCTCGCTGTCTCGTCGCAGCAACATGTCTCCTTCCTTTCTCCCATGTGCCGTTAAACCTGACTGTCTCTGCGCTGAAGGTTTATGTGTATACCACTGTTCCGACTTGAGCTGCAGAAGTGGAAAGTTCTCTGTCAGAAACCAATGTCCCACATTAAACAATACACAGTGACTGCCAGGAGGTTCAGACAGTCAGGTGGAGGAATTTTTAAGCTATCTTTGGAGTTTGATACTAACAGACTCTTCTTTTTCCCGGCGTCTCATCTTATCTTCCGACACTGATGTTTTTGTGTTTTTGTCAACTATGTAACAGCTTGCTCGCTGCCTCGGTTACTTTCTGTACTTGCTGTAGGCTCATCTTTTAAAGATGAATATCACAGTCTCTCGGACCACACATAATGACATTGTCTGTGCCATCCAGTTCTTTGAAAGTCCTTCATTGCCATTCCTACCAGGCACATTTTTTTATAATGAAAAAACCTCGTGTGAGACATCAGCCCAGCAGTTCCTTTTAATGTTTTGTTATGTCACGCTGGTACAAAGGTTGGCACAGTGTTACTGTTTATTTTTATATTTATGTATAAACAGAACAAAATTGTCGGGATTACGAGCCACCAGCTGGGTTGTGATGGATGTTGTGTATTAACAGTAATCAGGAGGAATTTAGCCTGAGAGGCAGTTGAAAACTCTCATTTTTAACGGTGATAAACTTGGTTTGTGGAAATGTTTGGGATATTTTGGCTTCCATGCATTTATTTAAAGGGAGGAGACAGTTGACAGTGACATGCAGCAAGGGGATCAGAACTGTCCCCGGGCCACCAGCTCTAGAGAGCTCCAGCCTCTATACACGGCTTCCAGCTAAACAGACAAACTGACGCCCAGACAAAGTTTGAACTTTTGGGGTAAAAATCCCAAAACAAGATGCATAAAGATTTGATCAAGTGAGTTTTTATATTGAAATAGTCAAGAAAAGAAACAATTCTTCAGCTAGATCCTGTCTTATTCAAAGAAAATCATTTACTGGAGCTTTCTTATCATTCTTTGGTGGCACTGTTATGTTAGTATCTGACTGCCTTTAGTCTGATAACTGTAGGTTGCTCAGTTTTGGGAAAAAAAAACACTTCACATTCAAACTTGTACATTATTTTCAGGGGTAAGAAAAGGTCCTGTTAGTTTCCAAATATAAAGTAACCTTCTATCGTGTCACATTTTTTTAAACTCATAAAAACAGGGTTCCTACACAGTTGGAATTTCAATACTTTTCCATATCCTATTTTTTAGAATTATTTTTGGAAATACCTACTTTTTTATTTTAGGAAACAGTTTTTTATAACTGTGGTAATATAGTCTGTTAACAAGTATATTTTTCCATACTTTATTTTTCATTTACCATTTTTTTTAAGACCTGGAAATTTATCAAATTACCTCCATACTTTTTCATACTTGCGTAGGAACCCTGCAAAAAGAACCAATAATTCATGTTCATGTGGGAAATAACATCATTCTTTAACATACCGAGTCAAAAACATTATTATTCATGGTCAGTAAGTCAGCAGCACTGCAGACATTTGGATGGCTTAACCACCCACTCCCACTCCACTCTGAGAGGTTTTGAATGACATCCAGTGTGGCGGACCCTCCACGTGAGCATGCAAACAGAGAGGTGTTATGTAGGGAGACGGGCGAAGGGGGTGGAATAAGAAAGACTCACAGATGCTCTCCCTGGAAACCTTTTCATTTCCTTCTCCTCTCTCCCTCTTTTCATCCTCTTTACCAGTTTTAGTTGCGGCTCTCCCAGTGCACTGGACAGACACTGCCACTGTCATACAGATAATGCTGCTGGGAAAAGACAAATTCACCAAGTGCTGTCTTTAAAAAAGGGTTCCTTGTAAAAACACCTGCGTGTGGCTGTGTGTGATTTGACAGAGCAGCAAAAACACCTGATTATCAGTTTAAACAATCCTACAATTTGACAGGATTTGATACAGAAAATGTGAAGTTACAACCTCAAAACAATCTTAGCCGCCACCCCAAATCATTTTCCCTACAGGAGTTAAGGAGCGCTGTGTTGCGTGTCAGCTACTGTAAGCGTGACCTTCAGGTGTTGACAACCTGCGAGGAAGCACAAGTTAGACAGCTTGCAGGACTAAGTTGTGCTCAGCTGGGCGACCAGGTGACGGTACATCACGCTCTTCTTTTCTCCTCACTCTCACAGCTCTTCTTTCCTTTTTACTGTTTTTTTGTCCCCGCGACATCGTATTTCCCCGTCTCTCCTCCGCCTCTTCCTCCTCTCATCCTTGATGAGCTCTGCGCTTCCTTTGACTCCCTTCCTCGTGCTTTTTCCTCCCATTCCTCTTCTTCTCCCAACCCCTTTTCGTCGTCGTACTGTCGTCTATTTTTAGCTCCTCGTGTGGTGGGCAGAGGAGATGCGTGAAAGCATGGGAGTGTGTCTGGATTGCGGGGGAGAAAGGTGCAGGCTGGTGTGCGTGTGTGGGTAATGTTTGGGTCTCCATCACGCTACACCAAATTGCCCTGCACGAGACACACTGCAGTCCTCAGAAAGTCATTAGGATGCAGCACGTAATCTGACAGTGATTACTACCCACTGAAACTTCTAATTTTAGTGCAGGATTCTGAGTAATTAAATGCAATCATCACATCATGTGGTCTAAAAATAACTCACTGGGTAATTACACATGCAGAGATTCAGCAGGATCTTTACAGAACTGCTGAAAGGGACTTTAAGAGCTAATCTGTTCAAGGAAATAATATAAGAATTGTTAATCTGTTTTCTAATGACTCTTTAAGAACCTTGGCATAAAAGCTTGCTCTTGATGTATCCACACGGGAGATTGAAAAATATCTGGTGGGGTTATCCTGCCTGGATATAATTGACTGTGCGAGAGCAACTCTCTTCTTGGCATCTATTGCTGCATGCAGAATCAGGAGCAGGGTCATGTTTTTTAATACTCTCTAATAGACAAATCAGACAAGCCTTAAACTACAAATACACAAGCGTATAAAAAGTAAAAATGCACCGATCCATTTTTTTTCCGATCCAGTCCGATACCGATACCTGGGCTGAGCGTATCGGCCGATATCTGATACTGATCCAATACTACTGTGGAATGAATTAACTGTATACCTCCCCTTAGAGTGAAGGCATCAGGCTTGACATTAGCCTTGTTAAAAAAAAAAAGGTAACAAATTAACACAGATATGAATTTACTAGATGTTGTTTATTAACAAATAACAAATTGCACATTAGCACACAGCAAAAAAAAGTAAGAGTTCCATGTAAACATTTAGTGCAAAAGGATAGACAGACATAAAATATAGAGAGAACAGAATCGCTGTGTTGCTGTGTATGATATCGATTAAAAGAAAAAAAAAAAGACTGGATCGGAACGCTGGATCAGCATCATTCATCAGATATACGATTAGGGATGTGCGTGGTTATTCGGATATTCGTGTAAACGGGGCTGTCCTTACTATCCGTTCAGTAAATAATATTTGTTTATTCTATAAAAAAAAAAGAACACACTAAACTATCATATAATGCCGATGACGCAGTAGGCTGCTTGGCTAGAGCGCAGCGTAGAGGAGCTTAATTGCTTTGATCTTTCACGTACTTTATGTCATTCTCCAGCGCTAAAATAAGATTCTGTAACATATTTTAATATTATAAGCATGGCTTTCGTGTACTCTTAATATTTATTTCAGATGATATCTGGCCATATAGATCGACATGTGCTCAATTTGGGCTATTTTCTTGGAGTTAATTAATTTTCGTGTATTTGAATATTCAGTTTCAAAATGGTCATTTAAACATCCGTGAAATTAACCGCTGGGAACATCCCTATATACGATCTAGTTAATTTGTCAATATCAGAGCCAATATATCTGATCCAAATATAAGATTGGTGTATTTCTAATAAAAAGTGCTCTGATTCTGAAAATGCATAAATTCTGCAAAAGGAGGAGTGTTCATACAAAGGTACACGCACAGATGACACACTAGCCTTTGCAGCCATGACAATATTTTCCCCCAATATTTAAATATTTGGTGATTGTAGCTGTTTATATATCTGGAGTTCCTCTCTCTTTCTCTCCCTCGCTCTTTCAGACAACCATGAGTAAAGTTATCGAGTTCAACAGAAAGCAACAAGACACTCTTATATCCGCAGTGACCCTGGAGACAACTTGCCATTTGTCTAATTATACGTTACATAAGTGTCATTGTTGAACTGAGTTTACATTGTAAACAAGCAGAACTAATTCAGTGTAAGCGCAGATGTGCGGAGCTTTGCATGTTGTGTTATCTACAAACATTCATGTGATGTGAACAGTGATGTCACTTTATCATTTTTTACATTACTAGATCACCTCAGGATACTCAAGCTGATGAAAACAAACTTGCTTGTAGATGCTTGTTTGTCACTAAAGACCATCACTCTTAAACCTGCCACAGAATGAATGTTACCATGATCCCTCTCTGTGTTTTTGCATGTGATGAACTCGTGTTTCTATGGCTGTATTTTTACACAAATGCAGCCTTGCAAAATCCCTCTTTATTTACTTATCTGAGCTTCTACCATCCGATATCACCTTTTAAGCTCTCCTTCGCTTGCGGCCCGCTTCTTGAAGGCATACGCTGTTGATAATTGCATAATTACTTGCTGTGTTGGTGAATCATCTGCTAATTACACACAGCTATGAACGCAAATTGAATTATTTGCGCTGTGCTTTCATGTGTTTAATTCTGTCCCTCAGTTTCTCATGCTTTCATGTCACTGCACTTTATTATAAGAAGAATACAAATATAAAATGAACCAAAAAGGGATTTGAAATGCTGTTTTATACAGTGAGGTTTTCTGTGAGAGAACTAAGAAGAAAAAAATGATTCAAGTTTGGAGTTTCTGCGTTGACTCGGCCTCACTGAACCACTCACTCACTCATTGGAGCTGATTTCCCTATTGTTCTGGATTGAACACAGACTGCTCCACAATATATTCATAGGAGTTTCATCATGCTAGGATGCACAAAGCTACAGCTGCTGTCCCCATAAAGGACTTTGTGCCCTTAGCTTACAATCGGATTAATGCTAAGAATGTTCTCAGTAAACTGCAGCCAGTCATGCAGGAAGTGTGTGAATACAAACTAATAGAAAACCTCTTGTGCAATGTAGAAAGAAGACAGTGTGGAGACTCTTACAGCTCTGATTATCTCATCTTTTTGAGAGGAAAGAAAAAAAACAAAACAGAGCAGCTGCAGAAACGTTATTGGTCCGAGCGTTCAGAGTTGGGTTAAGGCTGCATGTTTCTAATTTTAACAGTGTGAAACTGTATGGATGAATTTTCTTGTGGTGATTTTGAGAAACATTGGCATAAAAAAAGGGAGGGTTGCTAAGGGTGGGGGAACGAGGCAGCCTCGTGCCCTTCCAGTTGATCATTGGTTGGAGCCACGGGAAAGGGGAGGGGCCTTGGTGCCACTGTTTCTGTAGAGAGAGGCAGAGGGAGCAGGAGTGAGTGAGAGAGAGTGAGAGAGAGAGAGAGAGTGGAGGAGACACAGTTAAGAAGGATAAAAGAACACAGGGGGTTCTCCCAGCATCGGTATGCCTGCCTACCTCATTTCCACTCCAGACATAGCTGCTGCTCTTCTGGATAGAAACAACAGCTGAGGTGTGCCTGTGTGTCTCTATGTGTGTGTGTGTTTTAAGTACCAGTGACCCTGCGCGCTGCCTACATCCTCTCAGCTCACAGCAGTCTGCTGTGATCTTACTGGGAAGGACCAGACAGAAAGTGGAGCGGACAAGGAAGAGTGTGTAAGGAGGGACAAGAAAAAGAGGAGAAAGGAGAAGAATCGGCTTGAAGGACAGAATTATCAGAAGGAAACTCTCCTCATTTTTTCCTCTCAATTAATGTATCCAGCACATGACACAATAATGTCTTTTCACTGGAACCTTTGTCTGTGACTCTGTGGACTAGAGAGCGATAGGAGCGAGTCTCAATCCGCACCTCCGGCAGCTGCAGCAGATGTTGAAGACATCTCTGACTTTATAGGGGACAGAGGTATTTCAAGCGTTGATTTGACTGGAATTCCTTTGAACGAGTCACATTGCTTGTTTTTGTTTTTGTGCCTTCAGCCAGGAATTTTGCTTTACTGGGAATAGAGAGAAGATAAAGGATACACACTCCCATGTTTTATCTGTTGTTATCGTGGTGGCTGTGTGTCCTCGTGTAAATTCATGACAGCCTGCGCTGAGGACGAACTGAGGGGGCTCATCTCCGTCCTTTCCATCTCTCCTGCTTTTACGATGGAAGATGACGGCTGTCTCATCGTGGAACTGCCGCATGGGGCGCTTTGTTTGAAGTGAGACTGTACAGCTACCGATCAAAATACTGGTTTCTTCGGTTCATCTTACCCTTGAAGGGCCCCTCCGACAGGTTGTCCTGCCCAAGATGATGAATTCCTCCCTGGATTCTCTGAACCAGAGCTTTACTGAACCTTCAAACTTATCTGCTCCCTTTTGCCTACTCGAGATAGGCTACTCGCAGACCTTCTCCACCTGCCTCCTCGAAGTCACCATCATACTCCTCCTCACTGTTTTGATTATTTCTGGTAACCTGGTGGTCATTTTTGTGTTCCATTGTGCCCCCTTGCTTAGCCAGCACACCACCAGTGCTTTTATCCAGACTATGGCGTACGCTGATCTGCTGGTTGGGGTCAGCTGTCTGATCCCATCCTTGTCCTTACTCAATCATCTCCAAGGCATCGACCCTAAACTCACCTGCCAGGTGTTTGGGTACATGGTGTCTGTTTTGAAGTCAGTTTCAATGGCATCGTTAGCATGTGTTAGCGTGGACCGCTACATCGCCATCACCCGGCCTCTGACTTATGCGTCTCTGGTAACGCCCTGCCGAGTGCGCTTCTGCATCGCTCTTATATGGATCTACTCTGCTCTGGTGTTTCTCCCGTCTTTTCTCGGTTGGGGGAAACCCGGATATCACGGCGATGTGGTGGAATCGTGCGCAGTGAAGTGGAGGACTCGTCCAGCTTTCACAACCTTTATCGTCGCACTGCTCTACGCCCCTGCTGCTCTCACTGTCTGCTTCACCTACGCCAACATCTTCAAGATCTGTCGGCAGCACACTCGCGAGATCAGCGAGCGCCACGCACGCTACCGTCCCCAACAGCTACAGGGCCAAGGACTGACTGCGGGAACTGTGGCGAAGGACAGCAGTGCGAAAGAACAAGGACAATTTCCTCACCTGTCTCAGCCTCAAAAATCCCAACAGCAGTATCAGCAGCCCACATCAGCGTACCCAGACAAACGATACGCTATGGTACTGTTCCGGATTACCAGCGTGTTTTACATCCTCTGGTTGCCCTATATCCTCTACTTTCTCTTAGAGAGTGCAGGGATCTACCACCACCCTGCAGTCTCATTTCTCACCACATGGCTGGCCATCAGCAACAGCTTTTGTAACTGTCTCATCTACAGCCTTTCCAACTCTGCCTTCAGGAAGGGCCTCAAACGCCTCTGCTCCTTCTGTTTACAGCGCAGCAGCACCGGCTTCGGGGTTAGGCACACCAAAAAAGCTTTCGTTGGCTCTGTTGAAAAAGGATGCTTTGGGCCGGGGTATGGATACGGTCATGGCCAAATAGGGATTGGCACGACATGTCATGTGTGAGGCAGACACAGAGCAAACGGAGCTTGAACTTTATAAGATGCCTGGTTTGATTGCTGTAAAATGTCTCCTCTTTAAAGCTTAAACGTGCTTTAAAGAGACAGGCGGAGGCGTTGATCTGCCACTGCTGTTTCTGTCGCTTTCAGAGGTTACACAGGCATCCTCTTTGCACATGCCACAGCTGGCAGAGACAGGAAAGAGGAGTCAGGCAAAGTGATGAAGAGGGTTTGAAATAGAAATGTTACGGTGTTTTGAAATGGCACAAGGAATGGAAAAGGGCTGCTACCCGGGATGGCAGTGAGAGAAAACTGTGTCTGATAACATCAAGACGTGAACATTTTTGACTTTGAACATTTTTATCCTTGAGATTTCTTCGATGAACAGTGATTCCTCAGCTTGTTTTACCAAAACAACAAAATGATTTGAGAGTTGTGTTCAAATAAGCTGTGTGTGAACCATTGTGACCATCGTTTAACATGATAATCAACAACACAGTGTGATTTAATGAATGCAAACAGAACCCTTCACCTATTCATTTTCAACACGTCGATTGAAACCAGTGAGTCAAAAAAGTTCAGAAAGAAATGATGTGAAATGATGTATTTTGTTTGCATTAAGACATCTACCCGTAAACTTGAACTATTTACTGATGTTGTGTAAGACAAGGTGTTACGTCTTCATCTGAGTAAATAGTTCACACATTGAGCCTGCTTTTTGTAATGTATGAACTGTTACCCAGCTGTACAACTGTTACTCTTTAAATCCTTATCACATTCATTTTCAAAAAATCTTTGTTGCACTTTTATCGTTTGGATCATGTAAGTCTTTCATAACTGTGTGTAAGGTAAAACAAGACCAAGAAAGGATGTATTTTCGCACTTATTGTTCACTGACTTTGGTACAACTTGGGGCTGATTTTTTTATAAAGACTTGTGATTGATGGTTAAAAAAGTTTAGCATTTAGATGAATGAAATCCTTGAACTGTGATGCTTGAACCTTTTGGGATCGGCTGTGAGGGATAATGTAATAAGAAGAAATTCCACAGTGATGCGTATCTCAACAAATAACCCTGTTAAAATTCTTGACGTATTGTGACTACATTTGGAGACTTGTACAAGCTCAAACACACACATATAGAAACACAAGAGGATATACGTAAACAGAACAGACAAAAAGCCCATTCACTGGCAGCAGGCTAACCTCTGTGCAGCACCATGAAGAGGGGTCTGACCTCTCACCCCCATGTGTGTGCGGGTCTGTGTGCACACATGTGTCCAAGTCTGTTCCTGTCATCTTGTCGCCATGTGTTGTTCTGTGGATAGTTTTCACTCCAAAGTTGGAATTTAATACAAACTGATGAAGACCAATAGCAAACCGAATCAAATCCAAATGTACATATTGTATCATAAACTCGAAACATGTGAAGGAGTTTTTTTCCAAACCAAGGAGGCGTGTGCCACAGCTTATTTAGGTTTATTTAATCTAGCTTTATATTCTTCATCTAATCTACCAAAGAAAGTTCAACAGATAATCTTGGTTTCAAACTTTTCTAACATTAAAATTTTAAGATCTAGATCTGTTCCAAGTGCGTTTTACACAAAGTTAGTGTAGGTTTTCACTGCACTGTGTTGGCTCAGTGATGCCTTATGTGCATGATTACGACTGTTTCTCAGTATATGTTGCCTTGTTAAATCAATGAAAAAAAGGACTGTTGGGAAATTCTTTTCCTCTACCATTTCGAGAGGGCTCAATTTTTAGGCGTGTGACTGTTTTTAGGAGGAATGACACAGACTGGAAAATGTATCTTATGTGTAAAGACGAACAAGTATATTTGCCAGCCTTGATTACACAACATTCAGTTATTAAATGTGACTCTTCAGTCAGCTGCTCCTTATATATTTTTTAACCTTTGCTCCTGACTTATGTAAAGGAAAAAAACAGGAGCAAACACATGACTCAAAGTGTTCGGGGGCTTTTTTTTTTTTCCCTTTTTTTTTTTTTGCATGCAGTGTCGGTGTGTGCATAAGTGTGTATGAGTGTGTTCTCATGTGTGAGGATTCGACCACTGGCTGAATTGGACTGTTTACAGTGTTCTAGTAGGGTGCTAACAGAGTTATCACCTGTCATGGCTTTATTAGCGGCACATCACTTCTCTTCAGAAATACTGTACTTTGTGAGTTTATGTGAGTAAGGCGTGCACTGGTGGTAGTTAGATTAAACTGCTGTATTTAAATATTTTGGCTGTAATATGTGAAGCATTGCCAAATATTGTCATCTTTCCTATTTATACTTCTATTTGGTGAGAAATGGCGTGTATAGTTATGGCATGTACAGAAATGGCATATTGAATGTCTGATTGTCAAACAACAGAACTTTATTTTTGTAAAATGTCTTTCTGTTTATTCACTTGAGAAGTGATAAATGTTTCAGATTCTTCAGAGGGTTTCGAGCGTGCTTGCTATTTGAAATGACCGAAGCTGTATCTTAATGAAGATTTGTTGTATTTAACTTGGACAGCTCAGTTCACCACGACTATTTCCCACAGTAGTTAATGGTACAGTTTCTCAGACATGTTTTGGATTGAGGGCAAAGTGTCTTGGGAAATTATTTTGCCAAAATGTGATCACATTAGCATTCACACACACAAACATACACACACAAATACATGCATTCCATTTTTCCTTTGGGAAAACAATCAGCTCTCATGATCTCAGGGGAACAACACTCTGGGTGTGTGGTAGAGCAGTGCCATGGGAGTGGGATTAGAGAAAGAATGAGGGAATATGGACCTGAGAGCTGCATAAGAAAGTCATTTGTAGAATAAATTGCATTTGTCCCTTATGTCAGAGAGGGATAGGTGTTGATGAGTTAGAATCATTTGTGACCTTGTACTACAAGAACAACTTATTTGTAATAAGTGTAAATGAAAAGACCCTCCTCAGATAGTGGTTTCCAGATATGAAAATGTAAATGAAATATGCAAAAGGTGCCAAACAGGAATATTAAAATGGTTTCTATCTTCCATAGTTAATGGCTGTAGAGTAATTCCTCATATTACACACTGTTATTTGTTTTATCACATTCCATCTTCTACAACATCCCAGAAACACGAGAGAGTTGCTTTAGCTTTTTCTTCTCATCTCACTTTTCATGCAAAAAGCTTAAGATGCATCGCAACTTTGAAAACTTAGACTTTCCTGCTGTTTTAAAGCCGAGTTCTTATGTCAGAAATGCAGTTCGAATTGTATTTGTGACTTGAACCACTTGGTCAATAAAGATGTAAGAACAGTTTCTGGAAATTCACATGATTATTGGAATCAAACTCAAAAATTCATGTTGTGGCATAAACATATTGCTTTCTCACTTCAGAAAAAGTAATAACTTCAAACAAAATCACACTAACTAAAAAGCAGTTGGCTTTTGTATAGAAGTGAAGAGATTGTACAGTTCTGTGCAGCCTCACATAGCGCACTTTAGCACACAAACACACATCCACCCACCCATCCAGTGGTATTTCCTTATCCGTCTTTTAATCGGTATTTGGTTTTCTTTGTTTTCAGAAGTCTGTAAATAGGCCACACCAAACCCCCGCTAATGGCTGACTCATGACCCAGCTGGTCTGAGAGACAGATTATTCTCACATTAAGATCAGACTGACCACTGTAGCTGCTCTGTCTGCAAACACCCCTCCCTGACACTACACACACGTTTGTGCCCACAGTAACTGATGATTCTTTTCTCTTGTTAGTTTAGATGGAGAAAACAAGCCATTTAGATCTTAGATCATAACAACCACCAATGATAAACTTCAAACATCAGGGCTGTTGAAGTTGTGATGAGGTCTTTTTAACGTGTATGCTTTCATGATGAAGAATTTTGGATGATGGTAAAGGTCAAACATGTTTAATTTCATGATCATGAAAGTGGCTATTTGTGACGAATAAGATATTTTCATTACATGATGCTTTGTAGGTGTTAGGCTTCTATGGTGTTCTACGATGTACATGTGTATCTGTAACGAAAGCAAATAAATGTGACGTTATTTCAACGCATCCGTTCTTTCATGCACAAAACACTTTCCTTTCTGGGGTTATATGAACAGGAGTCGGACAGAAGGCTTGTGTTTGTTCTGCTGGCTTGAGGGCAACTAGACTAGATAACAGGCAAAGGAAATTTCTACAAGCACAGATTTAATAACGGTTTCCTAAATCTGGTGTGTTTTGGTGAAGTTTTTAAGAGATAAATGAATAGTGGCATTATATTCCCGCAGGCTCGGCCGAAACTAAATTCTGGAAAACCTTTCTTGAGAACGTTTATGGAAATATAAAACCATCAAATTTGTGGGTCAGTCTGATTAGGGATGTGTTTGTAGTTCATGGTGCTGTCATTTGATTTATACCGCCTCTCCCTCTGTCAGCCCTGTGCCGATCAGATTCATAGTTTGCATGCTCTTCTTGAGCTGAAGCAGTATATTCAGTGCACAAATGGCACAAAAAGTAGGGCATGAGACGGTGATTAAGATTTAATGATGGATGATGCGAAGGTGAGGAAACAGAGCTATGGGTTGCCAGAGCATGTGCTCTGTTAATCACTGGTTGTTGCAAAAGAAACGCTGAAAGCGATAAATCACAATAATCACTAACTCTTTTATGTTAAAAAATAATTCTGTTTCAACGAAAACACACTCAGGTACTGCTAATTAGTTTCAAAGCTTTGACTGGACTTCTGCATTCATTTTGCAGATCAGAATCTTTGCATGTAACAAGAGGATCATCTCTCAGGCTGTGGAGTTTCAAATCAGCTGTAACCACCTTAAGTTTTCAGTATTATTCTTATTACCCGGCAACAAATCTAAGAACAAAGGTCGACACTAATGCTGCGTTCGAGTTACCTCGGAAGTCAGATTTTCGAGCTAAAAATGACGTCACACCCGAGTTACCAGCGTTTCAGGTACTAAGTCGGAAAAAAGTGAAATCAGAGGTGGAAACAAGATGGCTACATCTATGAAAGTTATTTTAGCACTTGTCTTGTCTGAATATAAGGCAAGTCCGTAAATACTGATTTAATAATGATGAATTAAAAATGATTATTTGCAACTACTATCGCAGATCCAACTGTCTGAATCATTGCAACATTAACGGTACATTCTCACCAGTGACTTGCATATAGATTTAAAGCGAGCATCTTTCACACAAGAGTGTACACATCAGACTTTTTCTGTGGGCTTATTTTCAATGGCTGGATGAAGGTTACTTCTCTCGTACCTTTCCTAAGCCTGTTGACATTTTCCTGTCATTGAACCAGTCCTTCAGCGCTGTCAAAGCCCTGTACCATGCTCTGTGTTGTGTTTGCAACCAACATTTTTTTTGCCACAGTATCAACAGAGAGGTCAGAGGTAAATGTCCTCGACTATTTTCTGTCTATGGATTTGATTTAACAAGTGGGATCAGATTGTATAAGAATTTTCCATCAAGAATTGAAACGCTGTTGCTATGGGGTTTTAACCAATCAGAATCAAGTATTTCCACACACAGCCGGAGTATTTAGTCATTTTAACTTTGAAATAACAAAAGTGTAGCTCTCAGGGTTGTTCAGGTTGAAAAGCAAAGCTTCATTCCAGCTTGATAAAAGTTACCACATGTTCCCTCTGCATGCTAACAGAGTCCTTTTGGAGTAAAGAAAGAAAAACAGAATGACATGTCCGCTATTGTGTTGAGTCAGAGAAAACCAGGGACTAAAACAATAGACGGCTAGCTACACAGCCTTCCCACGGAAGCCATACTCTGGTACCTTATTCCCTGCTTCACGCACACTCATACCCACACACAGAGTCACATTTTCAACCACACACACATGCACTGTAGCTTTTTCCATTTTTGGCTTACCCCCAGCCAAGGCTTTTTATTGTTTGTCTGTAAAAAAAGAACATGCTTTGTTCTTTGACTTCAGTTCAGTCGCTGCACTTGAATGCCCCTTAGTCACTTTGGAGCAGTTGGTACTTACACACATGCACCACGTTGGCAATGTCCCTTAAATGTAAACCTAGCATAAGTGGAAGTTGTGGATGCAGCCGGTTTGATCACAACAAAAGTAAAACAAACTTTTGGGGGGTAAAGTGAAGAGCTGGGACCATAAAAAGAAAAAAAGAAACATTTTCTTTTGTGTCAAATGTGATGTTGGGTGTTAGTGGAATGTTATGCCACATTTCTTTACCGTCACTGATGGTCAATTTGCACAATAGGTGTTTGAAAAAAAAGGGAGTGTCTGGCATTTAAGATGCAATCCTATGGTTTATAATAGAACTGAGTTTTTTACTTTTTAAAATAAATTGTATTAGAATCAAGTTTCATTAGAGGTCGTATGGTTCTGTGATTTTTTTCCACCTCTAAGTCCTGAGTCTTGAGGAAAGAGTCGTAGTTGAGGACTGAGTATGCTGTCATTTTAATTCATCAGATACAGATTGAATCTAGTATGCTTTTTCCACTCAGCATTGTCTACATTGGTTCAGTGCTGAAGTGTCTCATAATAACAGCATTACAAAAAAAAATAACAACAGCATCTGCATTGGTCTGCTTTGTCTTGTTTCTGCATTTGTGTCTACTCTGTTGTCTCTCTTGTCTCTAAAGTTATTGTTTGAACTCTCTCCAACACTTCCACCTACTATTCTGAGACACTGGATGTGTTTTCTGTCCCCTCTCACGCTAACCTCATCCCAGCCCTTGTTTCGACCGATCAGACGGACGGACAAAGTGGAAGCTAATTGGCCGTTATGTCAGAGGTCTTTGTACATGCTCTCAGCACTTCAGATAAGTATCGCTAAGTGGTGCTTGAATAAACATGGATCCTTATCATTCACTGAGAGACCGAAGCCCGATGTAATGGGCCCTTCACAGTGGAGCTCTGACCCCGTGATCCAAAAAGCACCAATACCAATCGATTTGATCGTGAATTTAAATATTACCAGACAGCCTTAGTGCAAGACTGTATCATAATACAGTTAAACTTCTAGCCTCCTTGTTAGGATGAATAGACAGAAAAAAAAGGTAATGTCAAAATGATAAACAGTCACTTAGTTTGCTAATCATTTTACTCCAACAGTTGACAAGGAAGCAACAACACTAGGACTGCAACGATTAGTCGACAAATTCATCGACACGAAAACGAAGCGTCGACGCGTCGTGTTATTGTTGTTAAGAATCACATGCCGGCGCCTCATGCTCATCTATAACTGCAGTGCACTACATGATGTGCTGGGGGCAGTAGCGCTCGCTGTTTACATCCCGCGAGCAAACACAGAAGAAGAAAGCACACATTATGGCGGAACAAACGGAAAAAGACGCTCCAAAACTCCGACCCAAAACTTCAAAAGTTTGGGAACATTTTACGGAGAACAAACCAAAAAAACACGTTGATCAAAGCTCAGCTTTCCTACCATGGCAGCACCACGGCGATGCATGAGCACCTGAAACGCCGAAACCCCGGAAATAGGTGTTTATAAATAAAGAAGATAGTGATTAATCGTGATTAATCGGACGACTAGTCGATAGATTAGTCGACAAAAAAACAATCGTTAGTTGCAGCACTAAACAACACAGATTTTGGTGTGTATGGAAACATACCTAAAAACAAAAGCATCCGCAGGTCACTAGATTAAATATTTAGAACAATCCACATTATTTAATCTTCTATCATATCTAGTGTAGTTCCTTGCCCACACACACTCGTATGTTATAGGGTGTGGTGGATGTTGTGGAATAGACTTAAAAAAGCTCTCAGTTGTTGGTCTCTGATCCCTCTTAGCTCTATTTTCATCATTCTGTTCTTCCTGTATTTCTTCGTATACCGGAATTATTTTCGTTTCTCTCTCTTCCTCTGTGGAAGCTGGACCAGAAACCTTGGAAAAAGGGAGAAAGAGGGAGGGAGTTAATAGTTACACAAGCTGATAGACTAAGAAGGGTTAATTAGCGACATAAAAGACAGCGTTTTTCAAAGCACTGCTGATCACAATTAAGGGATTTGTGAGGTAATTTATATCTGCTCTGACCTTGGGGTGGAAGAATGGCTTTAATATTAGGGATTTTAAGCCCCTGCAGGGATTAAAGGTAATCTTCAGTGCTTAAAATTCGACTTTGAGAGAAGCGCAGGATGCTGACAAACTCACTCGGTACTTTCTGGTGTAATAAAAACAATCTGTGGATTATTGACTTCAAAATTGAGAAGTTGCCCTATCTTGTATTTGTACTTTGCCCTACATACAACCCCGAGTTTGGAGCCATCTCACCTCCCAAATAATAAAAGGATTAATCTTTGAATTTGTACTTGACTTTCCATGTTTTGCCCTTGGTGTCTTAGACCTGCATTACTTATTTGGAGGCTGTTTGTTGTTCCAAATACTCTGACCATCAATAATGAATTGGGTTTTGATTTGTCTCTTTTTTTATTCTTTAGTCTTTTCTCCAGTGGAAATAGTGACTCGTGTGAAAGTGCGTGGTATTCCCTCGGTGTATTACTATGACATCAGTGTGGAGGGATATCCCAGAAAAGTATGTTGCCGCAAGCGTGTTTATGCCCTGTGTGCTGTCGGGGTTAAGAACACGCCTCTGCTTGTTCCAGTTTATCCTAAACCTGAATACTTGTGTTCTTTTACTTTTTTTTTTTCAACAATCTGTACAGTTAATCCCTGTGAATCGAACTGCTGGAGTATGAATACCATATGGGCCTTGAAAGTATCGAATTAATGTAGATGAAAATGCACAGTAAGCACAGTGAACAGGTCGATATAGAGGAAATAAAACCAGATGGCTGTTCCAGGTCTTGTCTCACTCTTAAGGAGTCCAATGAAACTGTTCTCTCATGGACCACCCTGATGGGGTTTTCTCTGCTGAAAAAACCTTCTTGCCATGCAGAATCTCTTACCTATAATCCTCCCATATAAACAGAATAGACGGTATACGTCACAATACATGGATATATGGTGAACCAATGTTTCCTTGGTGATAAAAAAAAACATGTATTTATTCAGCATCTGAATGAACTTTTCTAGTTAATTTGTCAATTGTAATGAGACAAGTGATGCTCCAAGCAACTAATACCTCAGAAGACTGGAGTTCCACCTTAAAGTCACCAATCTTAAGTCAAGAAAACAGTCAGTAAACAGTCAGAAATAAGTGCAGTCAAGTTTATCTTCAGTTTGTAGATCAAAATTTTGCTTAACACCACTGGGCAACAAAATGCTATCTGTCATCTATGCTTGTTTACCTTTGGATAGTAGAGTGTTAGACATGCCAATTGTAGGCATAGGAAGGTAGTAATGCTACATGTGCACAGTTTCCAAATATAGTATAAGGTTGTGTGTGTTAGTCGCTTCCAGATATTACCTGGTTGACTTTTGACAAGAAATGATAACTGATCTAATTTTTGTTCCTTTGTATTGTTTCTTTTGTTGTTGTTGCTGTGACTGAGCCTCTTAGAAGCATGCAAATATAGGTTTATTACCATGTCAACAATTAGCTCAAGCAGGGGTATCCTGATATGCCTTTTTATACTACTGATGCAATACCGATATTGACCAATACCAATATTGATCTGATATTGACACAAAATTGTAAATGACAAGTTTTTCACTCAGCTGCAATGTCTTTTTCAGACTTGAACAAAAAATACTGCCACACGGCCAACATCACTTGTTTGTACCTTAGTACACACTGCTGTTGTGATTACGTGGGCTCTGCATGCTGGATCTGGGTGCTGCTACATAGAGGTGCTGGAGCGGAGTCTGGAATGGACTGCTTGTATCAGAGTTTGGAGATTGTAGATGCAGGCCAACATAATCCGATATTCATTTTTTTTTGCTGATATCGGACCGATATCTAATATCAATATCATATCGGGACACCCCTAGCTCAGAGCATTGCTGTTTCAAGTATAGCTCCATAAAGTTGTGTTGTTGATCTGCATTATGTTCTGAAGATGGTAAAGCAAGGTTTTAAACAAATACTAAATTCAGTTTTTAAAATGTAATATTATGAAAATGTGCTCACATGTCAACACAAACTTCAAGATCGGTAGAGATTAAATTAGAGATGATTAATTCACACCCACATATTGCTATGATCCATTCAAACCTCTTTACATAAAGTCCTTATTTATAGTATTTTAGATCACATAGCACAAGACTCTCCGTCTGTTTGTTTTTTTCTGTCTGTTTTTGACGCCAATCTAACAAGTCTAACAAGATCTCATCAGTTTTTACCGAGGTACTCGAACACAGACAAATGGCACCTTTGATTTCACAAGAATGGCGCTGACGGCTCTTTCCCTGCTCAAAAACATTTTTATTCACACCTACACACATCTCCTGCTCTGTGTTTGAGTCATCCATCTCTCCTGCCCTCCAGACAGAAGGTCTTAGAGTTGATTTAGCGTGTTACAGGTTAGATTGGTGGTGGTAAAAAGTGTTAGGATGAAAGCATAGACCCTTTTATCAGCTTGATATTGGAGTGCAGCACGTGAGCCTTGAGCTTGTATGTTCTCTGTTAATATCATTTTAAATACAGCGATGTTTCGGATTTCGCTTGGATTAGTTAGAAGAGTGAAGGGCAAAATGTCAGAAATGACTTTCATTTCAATGTGGTCAAGGAAATTAATTTTTGTAGTATCACTGCTGGCGATAAGAGTGTGGGTTTCCAATTCTTTCTCCGAAACCATGTCCGATAATGGATTTGAACTTTCTTCCTTTTCAAATTTGAGGTTTCTGAGTTCCTTTGCCCTTTCATAGACTTAATAAGCACAGTTAGTATTACCCGTGGCTTTTATAGCATGCTGTTTTTTCGTGTTTTCATGTTTTAAATTGATTAAAATTAGAACAGAGATAAACAGAGACGGACAGCTGTGCACAGTCTGTCCTGGAGGAGAGAACACTCTGTGCTTCCAGTAATTCATCCTGCTCCATACCATAAATCTAACAAATGTGAACACTGACCACTGCTGGGCCTCTGTGGAATTAACTCCCGGTAGTTGTCCTGTAAACCTTGTTGTGGAATGTTTTAATGGTTTGATCGCTCTATGGCACACTTTCTATATTTATCGAAGCCCCTCTTGACCTTACTGTCTGCCCCCTCCCTCCCTCCTGTCTCGTTGTTAGGAGTCCCCTCAGGACAGTGCCATCACCAGGGACATCAACAGGACATTCCCAGCTCACGACTACTTCAAGGACACTGGAGGAGATGGACAGGACTCCCTGTATAAGATCTGCAAGGTGAGAAACAAAGACGCAAAATAGGGGATGTTTGATCGCAGTTTGAGGATCAACAGAGGGCCGCTCGAAAAAAGAAGATTGATCGCATGACCAGTATCAGCTGACTGTGTGTCACAAGAGGCACGAACCTCAGCAGCATGTTTCTCCACCTCCATCTGCTGCTCTTTGCGCTGCGATTCGCTGAAAAATGTGACTAGAGATCATCTGCTTGTATTCAGATCTTTCACAATGACATTTTTCTGCTGTTGACAGTCGCTTTGAAACCTTTACAAGAGGCTAGCATGACATGACAAGGTTTGGCAAGAAATCAAACAAACACAGACAGGACATATGATCTAAAATTAATGTTAGAATATTGTGTCTGCTTTTCACAGACTCAAGCGAATACCCATATTGTGGTGTTATAAAATTAAAAGGGATTGGACATATGAACACCCCTCCCCCATTTAAACAAGACTATAGTGTCAAACCCAGATCACGCTGGCGTATGAGAGCAGAGATAGATGTTGTTTATAAGTTACTGTGGGTTCACTTCTCAGAAAGCTGAGTGTGTGTCTGTGCTTTGAAAAATCTTTTATTACACTATTAAGTCGTGTGAAGTTACATTTCCTGGAATGGCTGTTGCATAATGAAGGTACTTGAACAACATAATAACTCGTGAAGAGTTTGTTAGATATCACATGTTTTTCATCAAGCAGCTGAGTTTTAGCTGAGCTACAGTAGCAGTGATTTTAAACCACACTGTAGGGACTCAGTGTTCTGCTGCTGATTCCTTCTCAGCCTCAGCTACAGTCTGCTTCTTTTTAAATCCATGTCGTTGTAAATCATTCTGTAAATCATTCTGATTCTCTGTTTTTACTTACCTGCGTGGCTGAATTGTGCGTACACCCTAAAAGGAAACATTTAGATCAGAAAACTGAAGCGTTTGTTAAAACCAGTGTTGATACTATCTGAAAAATCCATGTTGTGGTGGAATGCGACACTGAACCGCCCACCTCTATACAGTCCCAAACACTCCAAATAAAAGATGTTCTGCATGAAGAGAAACAACAGATAAAAACAAAATGTTGCAGAGTTATTTCATCCCCATTCACTGGTTACAAATATCATGTTGCCGTAGTTTTTGGTGATATTTAAAGTTATTGTTCTTCTGTAAATTTAAAACCCTTTAATTGTCGAGATTGGTGCTGTTTGTGAAAAACAGCACCTGGTGATATTTCATCTGCATTTTCACTGGTTAGACATAGACACTTTGGTTAGGGATGTACTGATCCAATACTTGATATCGGTATTGGTCCCAATCATAGACTGTATATACATTGGACAACTTGGTTCCGCCTACCGCCTGTATACGGATTTAAAGCCAAAAAGCTCTCAGTATTTCCTCAATTTTTCTTCATTTCCTGAAACCAGCGCTGCGCTGTAGCAATGCGCGCATTCGGGCACGCAGTCGCTGAGAGTCGCTGTGATGACGCTCGGCTCAAACAACGTATCCCCCGGGAGAGCTACGCAATCTTTGTACGCCCATAGGCTGTATCAAGTGTTAATCCTAGAAAACATTAACCCCCTAATAAAAAAGAGGACTTGAGCACAAACCAGTCTTGCAATAACTACATGTCAACATCACAAGCAGGGGGAGAATAATTTATGTTCTGTGTAATAAATTTCTAAAGTTTGTCCACAGCTCCATAAACTTTGCTGGAGGAGGCGGGATTTATGACTTATACTGTAGCCCGCCAACAGAGGGTGCTGTTCTAGGAGTGGCTTCACCCAGCGAGGAGGCAGACTCTGTCCATTCTTTATACAGTCGATGGTCCTGATACTGAAGAACATTCTAGATTGGATATCGTGACAATGGGCCCGATGCATAGGGGCCGATCTATTCAGTCTAACTCTATGCTGTGACTGGCATCCACAAGTAAACACACTGAGCGGATGCCCACATTGTTTTCAAAATGGGGCGAGCAAAGGGGTCTGCTTTCTTGAACTTTATCACAATACCTCAGCCTACAAGCTAGACGGCCACTTGTAATACCTGTGCAGTAAATGTTCCGAGGGGCAGTGGTAAAACTTCAGGTTACAACAAAATTCTGTATCAGAATTGGATCGATATCGGCCATTACTAAACTGTAGATATCTGTATCGGTATCAGAGGTGAAAAAACAGTATCAGTGCTTCCCTAGTTTTGGTTGCAGAAATGCTCATTGCCGGAACCTCTCGGAAACAATAGCAATCCCCATCATGTGCCGCAGACTCACATTTCCCTGTAAAGCCGTGTAATTACTGCGCTAATGACTATCTGTACAGTAGGTCTGATGATAAAGTTAGTGGAGCAGTAGTGAGAGCTGTCAGAGCTAAAGGGTGCTGATCATTAATTAACTCAACAGCCACTCTGTTTCTGGGTGGTTCAGCGAGTTCAGTGCAGTCTCCGCCTGTCTAGGAAAAGCAACAAGTTTTAAATCGAAAAAATCCCACACACCCTTCGATAACGCTGCACAGCTGACACACACACACACACACACACACACACATTTAAACACAAACCAGGGAACTAAACACTGTCGCTAAACACTCATTGATTTGGACCCGTCAGTGTTTTTCGCTCTCATGAGTACGGACACGTGCCTTTGCACTGCAGACACACACATATGAGCAGTTTAGCTGCAGTTTGCTCACAGATTTTTTTTTTCATTACATTCATTATGTATAGCTCAGGTGAAGACATCCATCTCCTCACAGACAGGCACCTCCTCAGGTGTGTGTGAATTATTCAGTGAGCTCCTTATTTTCCTGTGTATGGATTGATCCACACTTTGTCCATTTGACTGTTTTTTTTCCCTCAATATTTGTGTTTGTAGCTCACTAGGCCAGTGCGACCTTTTTTCCAAACTCCTGCTTTCTTTATATTTACTCACCTTCACCTGCAGGAACACCTTTCTCCAAACCTCTACTCTCTGTTTGCCTGTGCTCTGTGCTCATGGTCATATTTCCTTTATTTTCCTGTACTCCACACACACTCCCTTCCTTCATCCATTTTTCTAATACCAGTAAAGGGCAAATTCACAATACAACCACGTGTGCAACCTCCAGGAATATGGATTTCTAAATATAGAGACAAGGACGCAGATATCTCTCTTAGCAGATTGTACAAAATAACTCAAGTGCTCTGTATCCAAACAAATCTGGAGTGGGATAAGAAATATTTATACAGTTGTATTTGGTTAAAACCGTGGTGTGTGAACAACAGTTGTCTTTATTTCTGTGTGTGTAATTCCTAAACGTCTCTTCCTTTTTTCTGTTTAATGCTGTTTAGCTTTCAGGATTGCTCCAGGCTCATGGGCATCTTCTTCACCACCTGTCTTCATTCCTGTTCAGTATTTGCTGCTGCTGAACGAGCTCTAGGCCTGTTTTGCCATCTCCTAAGACAAGAGTTTTACACGTATTATTAACAGCTGTTTTTTACTTACGCCCCACATCAGCTGTTCATCTCACTGCCACAGTGCAGCCGACCTGTTGTTACAGTCAGAAATGCTGTTTTACTGTAACTTTCACTGTTGGTTTGAATCAATTTTAGCTGCGAGCTGACTGCAGCATCTGAAATTACATTATGAATAATAAAGTTTATTATTTGCACTCACCAAAATATGAGCAAGGTGCCTTAGCAAGAATGTGAAGTACAAGAATAACGTACACGGTTACAGATCATAAATAAAACACTAATAATAAACCCCAGCATTTACATTTTTCTGGACTAGCAACCAGCCAGCACGTTTTCTCCTCCTTTTTGAATCCTAAGTGAAACACATTTTCTCACTGTCTGCTATTTTGCCTCTGTCCTCTCCTCCAGGCCTACTCTGTTTACGATGAGGAGATTGGCTACTGCCAGGGACAGTCCTTCCTGGCTGCCGTGCTGCTGCTGCACGTGAGTTCAACGTATCAGCAAAAATCCTGCCTTTCAAACAATTTCAAGAGCTCAGAGGGACTGTTTTGTTTTCATTTGACATTGGTATCTTTTATGACATTCTGCAATGTGGGGAGGATTGGCCTCGCTTCTTTTGGATTTCTTCGAGCCTTGTGTGTGGTGTATTCAGCACAGGATATGATCTGCAGGAGAAAAAAAAAAAAGATCTCACGTGCAAGGTGGCATCTGTGGGATACTGACATTTTATTTTTATAAATTATGTATTACATGTTCCTGTTCATCTGCCACCCTGGAGCCTGCAGTTGCAGCACAGGGCAACACTGCCCCCTTGTGGACCAATAATCTCTCATAAGAAACAACACTAAAGGAGATGTGCATGCAGAGTAGTTATTTAATATGTACAGCTTGGTAATTGATCTACAGATAATCATTTGAAAAGAATGTGAGGAACTAATGTGTCAGCTTAAATATTTTTTGTTTCTACTATTTCTGTTGATGTTTCTGTACCTGTCAGTTCTCCGTCTCAGGGCTTTGCAGTTGAAACAGATATATGATATAAACAAGGCAAATGTCACAACTTTTAACAACGGTGCTACTGACACCGCTGCCTTAGACAATGCTTTAGATGACTTTAAAGGGATCTGAAACTCACCAGCTTTGCTGCTACCTGGATTGCAATACAGGATCTTACTCTCTTCTTTGGGCCCAGATGTCAATGTCAACGTCAATGTCAGCTTTATTTATATCGCACATTTAAAAACAGCCAGTGGCCAACCAAAGTGCTTTACGGTAAAATAGCCAGAGACAGTAAAAACAATTAAAAAACTATAAAAACAATAAAAGCATAAAACAACAATATAGGTAAACATAGCAAATAAATAAAATACCCAATCAAAGCAGCTATACTTCCCCAAAAGCTAAAGTGAACAGGTGCGTCTTCAGAAGTGTTTTAAAAGTGGAAAGGCTGTTCGCAGTGCTCACTGTAAGGGGTCAAGCGAGATGTATCTCATCCTGAAACTAACGTTTATACCGCAGTGTTAATCAGTTTCGAGTGCCACAGTGTCAACAGGCAGAGAGGAAATGTGTGTGATCATGTTGTTCCTTGTGTCACTGCAGCCATTGGGAGTTATTTACTACTGTGACAGGGTTTGGACCAATCAGAATCAAGTATTGAGTTTCAATATCCGTATGTCTTTTTCTTCCAGATGCCCGAGGAGCAAGCTTTCAGTGTGCTTGTCAAGATCATGTTTGATTATGGGCTTCGGGACCTTTTCAAGCAGAACTTTGAAGATCTGCATTGCAAGTTCTTCCAGCTTGAGAGACTCATGCAGGTATGTGAGTCCCAAAGGTGCTTTGCTTTGTAACACAGAATAGGACTGAAGATGTAATCTCTGGTCAGTAATTGGTCTGTTTATTCTCTCCTCCTCTTTTTTCTTCTCTTCAACATTATTTCCTCTCTGCTCTCCATCCTTGTGTTTCTCTCTGTTAATTCCTTCTTTCTCCTCTCTCCTTTCCTCTCATCCTGAAACAGGAATATATCCCTGACCTGTACAACCATTTCCTGAATGTGGGTCTGGAGGCCCACATGTATGCCTCTCAGTGGTTCCTCACCCTCTTCACAGCCAAGTTCCCTCTTTACATGGTCTTCCATATCATTGACCTGCTACTGTGTGAGGTCAGTAACACAAGACAAGATATAAAGATATAATATTCATACTTACTTTCAAAGCAACTTGATTTTAATTTCTGTTACAGGTTTAATTCTAGTTTCAGCTCATTTTACTTCATTTAAGTTTACTTTGAATTTGAAGATTTCCTTGCGTGATAAAGAGAAATTTAACATTTCAATACAAGCACTGTATTTATCCCCAAAGGGAAGGTCATTTGTCTTGAATCTCAGATAAACTGCAGATAAACCAAGTTATAATCTGACCTGCCCAGTGGTGGTAAGGCAGTGGCTCTGTAAGCTTCTTAAACGTTGGCATACAGCAGATCCAGGGTTTTGGTTTCTCTGGTAGGACAGTTAACAAACTGCGTAAATCCAGTCAGGTGAGAGGAGATGATAACATGATTGAAGTCTCCTGATATTATTACAAGTGCCTCGGGACGTTGAGTCTGTATCCTAGCAACAGTAACACGGAGAACATTACACAAAACTTCAGCCGTTGCCTTGGGTGGGATGTATGCACGTGTTGTTATGATGTGACTGGACTCCCTTGGAACATAATTTGGCCAAAGGGCAACTGCCAAGAGTTTAATATCTGGACAACACAATGTGAGGCATCGAAACAGTCCTGATGAATTAATCTCAAAAAACACTGAAATGAACTTTGCACACTTACAGTACAAACTGGGCTCACATGCCTTGTTTTTATTTTGATCGGTTATTGAGCGGCCTTAGATGTTGACTCACTAGATGTTGTGTAAAATTCATGCACCATAAGCGCTCTGGAATCTATAATTAAGTCATAAGTGAGCAGTATGACGCAAGACCATTTTAGGAGGATAACCGATCCTTAGGAGCTGCCAGCTCTGCCCAAATCAATAAAAATGTATCTGCTGAAGAACTTAGATACGACTGGACAAGAATGTTCTGTCTAAACTAGTTTTTCTAGCAGGAACCATGTCCAAGTTATTGACTGAAATATACCGTCTCCATGGTGATGCATGGCATAAGATACTGTAATGGTGAATCACAGAAGCAGGAACTGGGAGAATGTTCAAGATTTAGAAAGTGATTGTCAGATGTGACTACAGAGACACTTTTTGCTTCAAATCACGTACTTTACCTCTGATTGAAGGAAAGGTTGACCTTTCAGCAGCTCTCCAGGCAAGACAACTGAGAGGTCTCTGCACGACTTTAAATATGCCACCCTGTTTCAAAGACTTCTGTCAGGACTGTAGACTGAAGTTTTTTTAACTCCATCCCACAAAGTCTGACAGCTCTGGCAAGGAAGAAAATTTTCCAAATGCAAACCTGCAATTCACAACCTTTTCACAGCACTTAATAAAAGCATCCTACCATAAGTTTTGTGTAGTTCATTTGTAATTCTCTAAATTTTGCGTCACTTAGACTATGTTTCTTTGTCACTATTGAAAAATCTATTGACAAAATACTGTATCTTTCAAAGTCATAATACAGTCACCCTATATTGTTTGCATCGTCTCTGTCATACATTTGTCTTTTAAGTCACTGATTTCTCAAACTCCTGAATATATGTTTGTATTTTCAGGGCATCAGCGTGATCTTCAATGTAGCTTTGGCACTTCTGAAGGTAAGGTGGTGTAATCATTACCACACAATCTTAGACAACTCCACAGTCTGATGTCGTGAATAAATCCTGTTAAGTGTAAGATTAGTTGGTCCTACAAGTTGTCTCAGTTAATCTTCACAATAAATCTCTGCACAGCAGCCAATGAAGCTGCTAAACTGTGTGGCTGAGGTCCTTTTGTGCTCTTTTCTTTTTGTCTCAGACATCCAAGGACGATCTGATCCAAACAGACTTTGAGGGTGCTCTGAAATTCTTTCGTGTCCCTGTTCCAAAGAGGTATCGTTCTGAGGAGAATGCAAAGAAACTGATGGAGCTAGCCTGTAGCATGAAGGTGGGTCTGCAGTTAAAGACAAGCAATTATTTCCCCTTTTCATCTGTGTCTTCTTCTTTGAAATATCCGAGACTTCCAGTTGGCTCTGTAGCCAATTCAAAATCGTGTTAGTAACCTAGAGTCTGGAAAAAATAAAATAAAATTTATACCAGTCCTGAAAACAGTCCTGAAGGGGTTCAGAAAACCTCTCCCAGGTATAGTTTTATAAGTAAAGACACAGGAAACGTCTGAAAGTAGGACTGATGCTCATCAAACAAGCAAGTCAGAATGAAATGTAGTCAATAAATTGATGTAACACATCCTGCACAACTACTTTCATGCCACTGGGGGTCACTTTTGAGTTTGAATTGAACAATGAACGCAAGCAGGCCTCTCCTTCCAGCTCTGTCTCATAAACACACACACACACACTCGCTCGCACCTGTGCCCTGACCTGCTTTGAGCAAATTTCCCCAGTTTGGAAGGTCCTACTCTGAGGGTAACTTTGAGCAGGAATATTTATCAGCTCAAACCCTGAACAGGAGCCAACGTTGTGAAAGAGTTGAGGTTTCTTGGTGCCTACTTTAACAGGTGGGGACACACAATGAGCTCCTCTTAGAGAGAAAACATGGAATAACTCGACATGAGAATTTTAATCTAAACAGCTGTAAAAGCACATCTATTATATTTGTGCCGCCCTGACTTCTCTACATGTAATTATTAGCAGCTGTTCATGTCTTTTGAATAAAAACCCTCTACCCAGTCCCGTTGGAGCCTCTCCCCACTATTTGCTGCATGATTTCATTTCTGGCACTTTATTTGGCAAGAGAAAGTAGTTCCAAGTCATTAGACAAATTGACCTCGGTGAGACCCGTGGTGTTGGATCTGGAAGTTAAATCTGTCTGAAGGTAAGCTAATCTGAAGCTTGGATGCCACTATAGAGGGATTAATAGCCCAGATTACTGCTGCCCGCATTGACGGCTGATACTGACTTCTGATTAGAGTACAAATCCTTTTGGGTTTCCACGGGGACCGGCTTTATTCCCTGGTTTACAAATCACAGACGGATATTTCAGAGTGCAATTAATAGTTTCTTTTGCCGTTGTAAAGTCATGAAGTTAGTACATTTATTTTTAACTACAATAACAGCAGTGATGAGCGTGAGTCCTGATGAAATGAAGAAGGAAACTCTTTAACAACTTTAAGTTCTGCTGGTTAAAGGTCATCGTTTTCTGTAATTGAACATGTGACTCATAGTTTTCATTTTTCAGAAGGTCAAAAGAATAATTCTTATGAGGTCAGATGACGGTCACTGACATTGTCAAGGTTTGTAGTCATTCAGCCCAGATTTTGTTCTTACCTGTCATCCTTTCTGACCTTCAGACTTAATATATGCAAATTACAAACTCAGTAGATAACAAATTCAGTGGAGTTTCCCCTCAGAATGATGTCGTACCAGTGGCTACAGGAGTGTACAGGGCATGTCTGTGGAGTTATATTGCATAGTGCATAATATTAAATTCTAAATTCAGTTACCTAGCGTAACGTAATTGTGGCTTTTTTCTCCAGCGTCTTTGACAATTGTTGTCAAGATGGCAAAGAGAGACACAGGGAGAGGGAAACAGAGGCTGGTGTTTTAAAATATGCATCCCTTTGTTCCTAGATATAAAAAAACCAAAAACAAAACTGATGATACTTCACAGGCATTTCGCTTCTTCATAATTGATGCAAGACTTGTAAGATGACAAATATTTCATGTCTGTCCCTGACGGAGCCGTGGTTGCTGTGTGGTCTGAATTGCTACTGGCTTGTAACTTGTCTGTAAATGCTGTGAAAGAAAGCAGCGATGAAGGATGAGGCGACACCTGCCCTGAGTGACCTCTTGTACTTTTTCTCCTTGTACATTGGCTCCCACTCACAGAACTGAAAGTGCAACCCAATACACTCAGGGAGCATGCGAACTCACGAACACACGCAGAGGGACATTTAGAGCAGGACAACATATGGGCCATGTTGTCCCCGTTCTGCCAACATCATTAGGTAGTGAGTGGAACCCAACTGATGTATCTGTTGGCTGATATTATCAGGCTGATATCAAATCCGTGTCGGTTTCTGAGTGTTTTTTTTTTCTAACGGGGTCTGGCATGAGCCTTTGAAGTGAACATAAACTGCTAAAAATAGCGTTTGGTTTGATTTAGAGATGATGTCTTCACTGAGTTCGTCCAGCAGGGGATGCTCCAACTACACAGTTAACAACTCGAAACACTGTCAGGTACACAAAGCAGAGCATTGCAGATGAACAGACCCTGGTCTGCGCTGAAAATGGTTGAGAATGTAGAATAAATCAGAAACTCATCCATAAAATCCTTTTTTATTTACATAGTTATACCAAACAATCTTTTTCTATTTCGTTTCAAATATCATGTTATTGGCCATAATTAGTTAATTTTCCCCTCAGTTGATTTTGCTAAACTCAAGATTGTGACATGCAAGTGCAGCCGTGCTCACAGAAGTATTTAGGCCTCATTGCATACAACATTTTTATACATTTGAATGACTTAGATTTAACATAAACAGGCAGATAAACTGTATGTGCTGCATGTTTGTCAGACAAATGTTAATAAAACAATTAAGAATTAGATTTATGTGATAATACGAATAAACCCAATGTGTTCAGAGTAAATAATAAAGATTGATGTAATCATCATTGATAACTCCAATTTGTCCCTGTCTCATATAATTGAACTAAATGAATCTTAGTTAATCTACAGTTTATCATATTTAAACTACATTTATACATTTTAAATGATTAAATTGAAACGTTTTCAGAATAATAGATTGATGCTGATTTTAAAAAGACTTGAATAAATAATTCTAAAAAATGTAATAATTTAGATAAAATCAAATACTTATGTAAATGCTTAAAACTAAACTATGCCATGATTCATTTTTCTGAGTGCATGTATGCAAACAAAAAAACACAATGATGCTGCAGCCATAACAAGGTTTCATTTTAATCCACGGAGTAGACAACTGAGTCTCACTTTAATACGGTGCTGGTGTCTCTTTCATACAGAGGATCAGGCACATAGTGTTCATTTCATGGTGGCTGTTCCTTTTAAAAGCCCAGTGTAAATCTGAGGCCGAGAAATGAAAGGCCTGTTGATGAAATCGACTAAATGCAGTGAGTGTGTGAACCGCGACTGTAGGCATGAAAGTGAGCGTGGTTTGAAGTGAAACACAGTTTTGTGTGTGACAGCACTGAACCTGTGTGTACAGAATATTGTGTCTTTCCCCTACAATAAAAGTAAGTGACACAAAAGCTGGATTTAGACCATTAAATCCATGATTATAAAATACAGTGTTATGTCATCATCCCTCTGAGTTCAAAGACACATGTGTGCTGCTTTTGGGTACAATTCAGCCTTTGTTGAAATGCTTCATTTTTGTAACAGGCTGATATAACAAACTCATATAATATTGATTACAGCCTTGATGTTCAGTTTAGCATAAAGCTTCAAATTCTACTTAAATTCGAAGGTAGCGCTCGAGTTATCCTGGATGTTGATTTCCCAGCGAGCGAGTTTGTTGGACAGAAATTAACAGTAGCAGACTGAGCCTGTAATCTCTTCATATGTTCCATCGCATCGTCATCAAATTCAGATCAAAGACAGCCACAGTCCAGCAAAGATTTAAAAAATCATGTGTCCTTGTTTACCAAAGATTGAAGAAAGACCGCTTTCTGGCTGCCACCTTTGGTAGACGAGCCACAGAATATTATTCTGGCGAAAATCTTTTTCATTGTGTGTTTCACTGCAGCTACTCATGTTACTGTTTGTGTGTCTGACAGAATTTTTAAGTACCAAACATTTGTTTTCTCTGCTCTCTCCATCCGACAGATCAGCCAGAAGAAGCTGAAGAAATTCGAGAAGGAGTACCACACAATAAGAGAGCAGCAGGAGCAACAGGAGGCTCCCATTGAGAGATATGAGGTACAGATGAGCACACATAAACTCAATCTTAAAAATTAAATGAGTAACCCATGGCGATAAAATCAACTTGATTTAAAGTATTACATATTTTTTTTTTATAACAATCTGAGCTGAGGCAGTTCACATCCTTCAGCTTCAAAGTAACCTATTGATTTGAATATAAGACAAATACATGTGAAATACATCAGACACAAGTGATTCAGAGTGTCTTATAATCTAGGTCTAGTAGAAAGCTCATTACAATCGCACCACTTATCTGTAAAGTGAGCGTACCACTCAAGACTGAGGCCAGCTCTCACTCATCGCTGCGGGGCCAGGGGGAGGAATGATGGTGAAACATGGTGACCGTGACAAAACAGCTCAAAAGTAGGCCAAGTTAATCAACAACAACTGAGTCAGAGTTAATATGCGCTTTTTTTTTTTTTCTTAAGGAGATGCTTATGAATGCAACAGACTCATTAAATAACTATCAAGCAGCCAGGAAATACGAGGTCACGGAGTGTAAAGTCTGAAGATGATAACAAAAAGACTGATTAAAATGGGTGTGTGAGAATGCGAATGCAGCTAAGACAAGAGGATTTTATTTTGAAGTGGTTATAAACAAAAAACTTCCTAATGTTGATTCATCGTTTTATCTCTCATAACTGGGCAGCTCAGGTACAAACATGAAAATTATGCTCCACAGAGTGAAATAACCTCCATAAAAGATTTTTTTTGTCTGTATTGTAGACCTTGTCGGTCCTTACTGGGTAGAAAAATACTACATGTCTCCTAAAAGCCATTAATTGTGCACACTATACGTCTTCTCAAGGGTAGCAGGTTGGTTTTGGACACTACAAGATCATCAATTCCTGTGACCGGACCTTCTTTCTGTGTACTTTTGAAAAGCTTTGAACCAGCAAATCTGTTTTTGTGTAGCAGAGACCTTGGGTTACGCGCTCACCGTTCAATGACAAATTGATGTCAGCTTATTATGGTTTGCATCATTTCAGGATGGTCGAGTGCACTTTAATTTGTTTTAATTGCAGTTTAGTGTCAGCTCTATTCATTTCATCTGTGCGGACTGAGTATCCAAAGGGATTTGTTTATTTGGATCACAAATTTAGGATTCTGTTTCTCACTATTTTCTCATGATCAAAAGTGAGCCGGGTTTTGTTGATGAAAGGCGTCTCCTCTAAGATGAGAATGGCCTCATTAGTCACCAGGAAGACAGTTGGTAAAACTACAAAATGACATCTTATTAAACCAAGCACTATTTGTAACTTTTGGTTCAGGCTGTCAGGATTGTTCATCTCTGGTGTCGCCCTCAACCTCTTCTTCTTCTTCTTCTTCTCTCCTCTGAGACAATGTTTTCTGTCAGTTTTGACCACAGCTGTCTGTTTCTGTTAATCATGTACAAACAGGTTACGTCTTGTTAAATATTACAGCAGCTCTGACTGTGTAATTACGCTCTCACCTGATTGCAGTTAACTTTTACGCCCACATATTCTCGCTCGGTGCTTTGTTTCATTGTTCTCGTACTTCTAAGCCAGAAAGAAGACATGCTTACTCATTCATTTGCAACCATCCATGATTCACTCCTTTTTCCTGCTCGGTTATCTTTTACCTTCCTTCCTCTTTCTTTCTTCTCTCACTCCCCTTCCCTTACGCACTCTTTCCTTTTCTCTGTCCTACGCTTTCACTTGTTTCAACAATCATTCTCGGTCTTTTTCTACATGGAAATTTTTAACTCTTTTTTTTTCTCGTGCTGTTTGCTTCCTTTTCTCCTCCTCTTTATGAATCTCTCTCTTCCTCCTTCCAGCGGGAGAATCGTCGTTTGCAAGAGGCCAACATGCGTCTGGAGCAGGAAAATGACGACCTGGCGCATGAACTAGTCAGCAGCAAGATAGCCCTGCGTAAAGACCTCGACAATGTAAGACACCCAGAACACTTATATATTATATATATTCAGATATTGCTTTGTCACTTCTTAGGTATTACTCACAAAAGGCAAGGGTGTTGTGTGTTTGGCAACAATTGTGCAACAACTGACATAGTCTGAGTCAGGGCAACAAAAACATGTGTTGCAAACCCTAATTTAGGTTGAGCCTTCACACAGACAGCCTTAACGTTCACAGTCATTAGCTAAGACTCACCTTGAACAGAGAGAAGAAGGAGAGAAAACTAAGTTAAAAGTAGGACAAGACTTACTTCTGTGACCTCACCAGTGTTGGTTATTTTGGTGTGTGTGTGTGTTTGTGTGTGTTAGGCTGAGGAGAAAGCAGACGCCCTGAATAAAGAGCTCCTGCTGACCAAACAGAAACTGGTGGACTCAGAGGACGAGAAAAGGCGACTGGAGGAAGAGTCTGCACAGGTTAGAGCTACTTTCAGCCCCATGTCTATATTCGAGCCATCAGTCCTGCTCCTCCTGAAAAATCCCATGTGGCCCCACAGGGTTACAGATAGCGGAACAGGTCAGCACTATTGCATCACAAATTCTCAGGTGACGGAAATTTTGGAGTTATCGTGAAAAACGCAGCTTAAATCTGCCTTCTGGGAGTTCAGAGGGAGCCTGGTAGGAAGTTTGCAATATTAATGTGACAGGCTGTGACTGAGCGGTCTATCTTACGGACAGAGCCAAGAGCCTGCAGGTTTTCTATCAAACTAAACACTGCCGCAACCGTGTCAAGCTCTCTGTCTATAGAAAAGCTGTGTAAGGGCACTTTCACACCAGGTGATGCGCAGGTTTTATCCCCAGTGTCCATCTAACACTGACACAGAGAGCTGTGGCTCTGTGTACCATTACATTTATTGGTGAAATATCTAAACAGCAGGAGCTGTGTCATCTTTGCGGTTCATATTTCTACATTGTAGCTGTAGATATATTTTTCACATCAGAAAGGGGTATGGACATGTCACAAATTCAATGATTTTAGTTTCCCAGACTGCACAACAGGGCTTTTTGTCCAGTTGTGAAACACACAAGAACCTTAAGAATATGTTGTATCTATAGCTCTATAAGTACGTTTGTCATCAGTCGTCATCATCACAAACTTCACTTCAAAAGTGAGGAGCGTACAAAGAACTTTAGGGGCACAATGAAAATTGTTAAAATAATGTTTGTCCCATTGGTCGACATAAGAAATATTATTTTAAATCAGTTTTAGGTCTTTTGGTCACATGACATGGAAGCTATTAAAGAAAAATGTTCAAAATTTGCCTTTAAATTTAACACAAAAATTTTTAGAGGACAAATTAGGGAAATAAAGAGGTGTGCTTTATTGTTCGACTTTAGTGCTATTATTTCAAATCAATTTTAGGTCTTTTGGTCTCAAGACATGGAAGCTATTAAAGGAAAACAGCCTTTTTTGAGAATATCAACCGGTAATTTATTGATGGTCCCTTATTCAACACCTGATGTTGACAGCGAGGGTGCAGAGTAGATTTAACCGCGCTGCTGTTGCTGACCCCGGCTATGGAGAGTGAGAAGACACCGGTAGATCCGCGGTGCATGTCTGTCAAATATCCAACCTGAAACTAACTTCACCGCGATATTTCCATGAAAAAACATTTGTTGCCTCGGCTGATTTTTTTATGCGCACATGTGCCCCTAAATACATTTTACAATTCGCACACATCTATTTTTAGTCGAAAATGCAAGTGAAATGAACACACTGTCAATGATTGAGACAGACTCTTGTCACTGTCTGCCCTTTACATCTGATAACTGGCGGCGTCTGACTCCTTCTTTTCAGATGATCAGAGAGAGGTCCTTTAATCCTTTTGTCCTGTTAAGCCATTCATTTGAGTGTGATATCTGCTGTTGACTGTTGAATCTGTCCTCCTCTTGAAGGGGTAAAAAATTATTCCTCAGATGGTATATAGACATACACAGCACAGCCATGAATTAGTGAGTTTATCCACTTTTGTTGTAAACATCATAAGAAGAACCCGAGCTCCCTTTAAGACACACAGACAGATCAAGCTCACTCTCTCTGTCTCCTTTTCTGTTTTTCTTTGTTGAAGGTTTGCGTCCCTCTGTCTTTGGAGTACTATCTTAATCTGCTCGAGTTTTATCAGTGTGGTCCTGAAGAGCCCTAAATACATCTATTGATGTCCATGTAATACTGTAAAGTACAGTCCAGACGTTATTAAGGCTTTCTCATCTTCTCTGACCCGACTCATTCGCTCCACTCTCAAGTCCTAAATGTCAGGAGATGTCAGCTCGTCATCTTTGATGTTGATATCTCAGGCTCAGTGAAGACTCCTCCTGCTGCAGAGGACAGACCTGTCTGTTCCCATGTGTGTTCAGCTGTGTCCTCCAAATGTCTTCTGTCTTGTTGAGTGTGTAGCCGAAGCTGTGAGTGATTTATTGGTTAGCATAGAGGTTGTGAGGAGACTGTGACTTTGCCCTGAGCCTCAGGTCTGCCAATACCTCTCTCTGTCTTCTGTACATGTCATGGCAGTCACACGGTCTCAGGGGGGGCCTGCTGCTGTCCTTGGTCTCTGCCATGCAACATTCTGACAGTAACTATGTGTGTGTCTGTGTGTGTGTGTTTTCACAGCTAAAGGAGATGTGCCGACGAGAGCTCGATAAGTCTGAATCAGAGATAAAGAAGAACGGCTCCATTATTGGAGAATATAAGCAGGTAGGTTCTCTACATTTAAATTGTTTTACGTGCAGAAAAGACTCACACTCATAACAAAACAGGGTTCGTTACTCCTAGTTTCCATACCCAGCACTTACATCCTGTTGACAGTATATTTTTGAAGTGTTTTATTCCTCACAGGCATATTTTAGAGAAGTGAAACTAAACGGTGGCAGAGCTGCCCGGGTTCCCTGATTTGAATGCTTTATTTACGCTTTAGTTTAATTTTGGATTCAAGATCATCACCTCTCTGCTTTGGCTTTACCTCTCCACCACAACAGTCCGAGTCTAAAATGAAATGTAAGCAGAGAGGAACAGATAAGGAAACAAAACATCTTGGTGGAGTTTTTCCTCACAGTTGAAGCGCCCTGTTTTGTGTTTCTTGTTTGGAAGTGTTGAAGCTCATCCAAATATCCCTGATGTACAATTATCTGATAACAGGGATAATACCATCAATCGAAGTGAACGTATGAGTAGGTGATTATATGTTAATACGTTTTGGAAAACAGTGTATCAGTTTTTTGTTGTTGTCACGTCTGTTTCATTTCTGTGATATCTGTCTGAGAGAGCAGTGTCATCTGAATTCCACTAGTGGACAATCTTCCCTCATTTTGTCCCTCATCTACCTGTTCGTTCTGCTGTGTAGAGAGAGAGGTCCATTTCCCCCTACAGAGAGAGAGAGAGAAAGAGAGAGAGAGAGAGAGACAGAGAGAGGCTGAATGAGTGAAATATCCTCTGGTATTACGTTCCTGCAGTAAAGATATGACAGAGAAAATCTGCTTTTCTCTCACGGCCTACTTATCCTGTCGTTTTGTTTTTCAATATATGTATGAAAGCTTTATAGGACGCCAGCGAGTACATGTGCATGTGCACAGAGGCTGTAGCCCTCCTCCCACCACACCCTGCCTTGAACCCTTGCTCCCTTTGCTGCATGTCGTCCCCTTTGCTCACCTCTCTACAACTGTCCTTCACAAATGAATATGTGCGAACCTCTTTGTCAAATTAACACCGAACATCACATTTTGATTTATCGTAATTGCTTGATAACATTGTGACACATTATCAAGTGCTTGCTCAAAGTGTATTAATATTAGGGGTGGGAGAAAAAATCGATATAGCATAGTATCACGATATTTTGTCTGGTGGTATATCGTATCATCTCATTTACCAAGTATCAATTTTTCAAATTAATTGCTAATATGAAGTTAAATCTATGATAATGAAAAAATAACATCAACTGTTTGTCCAGTGAAGTTGGCGGAGGTGACATCATAGACTACATGATAATGAAATACAACGTAGATAAGCGAAAGCAAAATGCTAAACAGGCTAAACACTTGAAAAAATTGTGTAAATCGCAGTATATTGTATCGCAATACTCACTGTATTGCAAAACGTGAAAAAATAGCAGTAATATCTTCTCGTGGTATCGTGATAATATCGTATTGTGGTGCCACTGGTGATCCCCACCCATAGGGTCTACACCTGCCCCATAGACCATAGATGACCTGTTATAATTGGCTGTTCTATAATTAAGGATGAATTAATTAAAGTTGAAGCTGCCAGTAGTTGACAGTCTCGTCATATCAGCAGCTAATGGTCTGAAAATGTGTAGGTTTAATGGTTAATTTATATTTTAATTCACAGCATAAATGATTGAGTGCATTTCAAACCTTTCTGCCTCATTCAATTCATTTGGCCAACCAGGCATTATAATTAAATCACTCCTCAATATTCTGCTTGAGCAGCATCCATTGGTAAAAGAGACCGAACCAGATAACGTTTCAATCAACGTCGTGGATTTGTTGCCTTTACTGTAGCTCGTGGTTCAGTTTTCTCACCGCTGCTTTTGTCTGTTTTCGTGCCTCACGCTGAAATGTGGATATTTGTGGAGTGAGTCTTTCAGCACCTCTGCTGAGCTCACCTCTCCTTCACTTATCTCTCCTTATTTGGCTCTTCTTTGAAGATCGTAGCTCTGATCGAGCCATAACCAGGGCAAGAGGAGCCATAAATATTTTAAGATAATATTAGAGCAATCTGATTTCAATCATTAATCTAAAACATCTAATTTTACGAACTGTCCCCAGGCTGAACTCGGAGCGCTCAATGACTGCGCTTGAGAGCATATTTTTCGAGATGTCTTCTCTGCAAATTTCTCTTTTAGTGATTTTCATCCCCTCAGATCTCGTCCTGTCACTTAATGCTTAAATATAAACCTATCCAGATCAAGTACTATTACCATCGGCGTAGAGGCATTATGTAACAATCCAGCTCCTTTCTCCTCTCTGTGGGGGCTGTCAGAAATAGCAAGAGTACTAATTTAAAATCAGACCTGAGCTTCACCTGAGTCTAAAAATACGGACTGTGGAGAGGAAACTGACAGTGGATATGAAACCGAAAACAAGATCTGATGGTCCAGCAGCCTTCAAATTGTCAGAACAGAGTGAAGTTTTGTGCTGAGCAGAGCTGAGTGTGAAAATGGGGCTCTGACGAAAATAGTTCTTGTTTTGTGACAAAGAGGAAAGGGGTGATAGATGGAGAGAGGGAGAAAAGGAACTACAGAAGGGGGAGGGAGGACGGCGGCGTTCAAGCCCGTGGGATTGACAAGTCGAGGAATGCTCCAAAATAACCTGCATTGTCTTCCAACCCAGATAACTCCAATGATTCTCCAAATACTGTTTCAACTATTTCACTGACTGCAGATGCCAAGTTTTTTTTTTTTTTTTTTCTTTTTTTGTGGGATTAGAGCCAAGAGAGCTTTGTGCGCTAATTGCCCCTTCAGCCCACGAGGACATAGAAACGTCTGTTAGAGTCGGAGCTAAAAACGGTGTCGAGTGGTGTAGAGTAATCCCTCTAGTATGAGTAGAGGCAGCGAATGGAGATGCGCTCAGGCTCGCCGGTACTTGGCAGGTACGGCGACATGTGCCGGAGCTGAAGTCTCTAAGGCCTTGTTAGCGTTACATTTGTGTTATTTCATACAGCCATAGAAGGTTTCCACTGTCGACAACAAATTATACACAATAGGATTTGATTGTGCGCCTCTCACCACTGTACGCATTCTGCATATGATTATCACTCAACAGGAGCAAGTAAAAGTAAAGCTATAGTAGAGATAGATGATTCATCTGAGACAAAGATATTCGACTAAAGTAAAAAGAATAAAAGAAGCATGAAAACAAGAAATGACCCACGGGGTTCAAACCTGAATCATCAAAAAAAAAAATCAAACTTTAAAAACTGAACAAAAAATGAAATATGAATGAGGCAAGTTTCCGTCAGCTAAGTTGTAGCAAAGTGTAGTTTTATTGGAGCTCGGCACAGAAAGCTATTATTTACACATGACTGGATTCGCTGGGAGAATAAAAGGGGTTGTGAACTGGAAACAACACAAGCCGTCTCGGCCATCAAAACCATTTGTGGTGGAAATATTGAGGGAGCCCCACGAATTCGTTTCTCTTGAAGATTTAAAGGTCTTTTCATGTCACTTGGCACAGCGTTTGAAGACAAAATCACAAGAGGGTCCTATCGTCAGCGCCGCTCACTTTATGAGTAATTAACCTCTTTTTACAGATTCAGTAGAAAAATGACTCAAAACCCTGGACTTGAGGTCTGAATAACTCAGATTGTGGTACTGGCAAAGATTGATTACCTCTTTAAACAGATTTTTTAATTCAAGTACAAATCAAATCCAAAGTTTCATCTGCACAGCACTGTGTGTGTCACAATCAGCCAATCAGGGACCAGGATCTCTGACTAGATTGTTTCAGAATTAATCCATCAAACAAATAAGTTCCTTTCATCTTGAAGAAAAAAGCTGAAACTTTTACAGCACATTAAAAAAAATTGCATCATTGGGGCGCACTGATGGCCGAGTGGGTAAGCGTGCCCCACGGTCGCAGGTTCGAGTTCGGCCCCGACCATATGCTACCATTTCACCCTGTACTATCAATAAATCACCCCAAAAAATACTTGAAAAAAAATTCATCACCATGCTGTTATTTTTAGCAAATTTAAAACATGCGTGTTGTAAGTAAATCAAAAGAAAATTCTGTATTTTTTCAGGTTTCTGTGTCGAAGCCTCAGTGTAATTTACTACCTACTGTCAGAGTGACATCTACGTGATACAGACGAACAGGTGACACTCTGGGAATCATAATGGACCAATAAATGATGGTTTTTATGTCTTCAACATAAACGACACAAGGAAAAAGAAGTGTTGAGTGGAAGTCTTTTACTTGGCAGTAACCGCCGGCAACACCCGGATAACTAATGAATTGCACATTATTCCCAAATGATGGGAAACAAAGACTGATGAGTTAAATGTTCACAGCCTCAGAACACATTAAGCTAATATTTTTCATATTTAGATGAGCTCATTTACTTATTTTTTGTCTCAGTAGGGCAAATGTTAAAGGTTTAGTCCCAGATTTTCTTGTTTGCTTCACTGGCTCACATTTGAGGCATCAGAATTACTTTCAGTCTGTTTCATAACCAGCTAAAAATCCCTTATTGGAGCTTTATATTCACAAAATAATAGTCGACAGCTTGCGTGCAGATGGAGCAGCTATAAGGACTCCTTACTGCAGACTGACATCTTCTTACATGGGTTCAGAATCCCAGAACAATATGTCCTCTTCACCTCTTCTCTCTCCTGGCTTTTCTGCCGAAATAAAAAAATCTATGACTCTAAAATGTTCTTCCATTCGGTTCAAAAAAGACAGATTAGTCCTCACACAAGTCAAACCTCCTCTGGGTAAAAAGAGACGTAGCTCCAGGATCAATAGGGATGAATGCTCAGCAGAGATGAGGGGGAGATTAAAGATGGGGATAGTAATAGGAGAGCAAATGAAGGTGTAGATGATGTTAAAAACAAGAAGAAAGACATGTAGGAGGGGAGAGATGGATTTCTTCTCAGCTAAAGATACACAGATAGATGTATGGATTGATCTCTTAAGGAGGAGGAGGAGGATATATACAGTAAATGCAACAGGGACTCAGAGATATGCAGAGCGCAGCAGCAGCTGATAGAGATACAGAGTCTGTCTGCAGAGAGGTGGGATGACCCGATGTTCCTGTTAGGATGACTCATGTCACATCGATCTTTCTGTTCATCGGCAAGCTAGAGCACAAGTGTGTGGGTGAGAGTGTGAGTTTGTATGTCTGTCAGCATGTTTGGAGCCGACTGTTATAGGTGCACTGCAGGAGGGAAAAAAAAAGAGAGAAGTGATGGGGAGATATAGTATATGTCAGGATGCACATGCAAACTCAGCAGGTGTTTACACGCCCTGAGGCCCGCAGGAAAAACAGGACCTTATGACATCACTAATGGACTTAACTGTAGGAGTAAGAGGATGAAGACTGTGCCAGCGAGACTGATTTACAAAGACGCACAAACAGAGGTGGGAGAGAGAGAGAGAGAGCGAGAAGGTGGTGCAGACTCGCGTGGTAAAGAGGCAAACATGGTTGAAAACGGTCTCTCTCAGTGAAACAGTGAAACAGTGAAACAGCACCCTTCTCTATCTGCCCCTGACAGCAAGCATGCACTCGATTTGATGTTCATTAGATGTTATTACATCCTGGCTCTTCTTCTGGACAATACTACAAGCTTGGAGGGTAGAGGTTATAAGTGGGTGACTGAGATCTCTTTCCCCCAGTTCAAGCTTTTCATTCCAGTTATGCTCTTATTTTTGTATGATTTTAGAACCTTCTGCAGTCAGTCTTATCTTTTTGCTGATCCTGTCCTTTAAAATCTTGGTGTTATATTTTCCACCTCACCTCTTTATAACTTTTGAGCTTGTCAATCCCAGTGAAACCATCTTAAAGGCTTTTTTAAGCAGCTTCTTCAGGACGAGCAGCGATCACAGACATTAAAAATCTGTGTAAAATAATATCTGTCGTTTTTCCGTTGTTTCTTTTTGTATTTATTTTGGTCTATTTGATAAAAAAAAACACCTCTAATAAACCACAAGTATAACAGCTCCACAGATCTGTGTATTATATTTCCACACAGTGAATTTCGGTGATTTGCTGGTTTAACCGACAGCAGGGGTAACTTCAAGCTTTCTCAACAAACCCTCTCCTCTGCTTCTTATAGATCTGCTCCCAGCTGAGTGAACGACTGGAGAAACAACAGACGGCAAACAGAGGCGAGCTGGAGAAAATCAGGGTGAGTTTTACACTAAAAAAAATCAAAAAGTGTGATATTTCCACTGTGTGTTCTCATGCATACAGTATTTTTATATTTTTACAGCAGCTTTAAGGATTCTGGGTATTTTCCAGACCCTCTATGACATTTTTGGTTTGGTGGTTCCTTTTTTAAATTTAATCCCTCTGTTTGCTGGCTGAAGGAATTGCTGGCAAAATCCTGTTTTTTAGCACTTTTCGGTTCCTGAGTTTGCGGATATGTTTGGTACTCATTGTCTTGACTTGGATCAGGCCCAAAGATCCTTTGGAAGAATGGGGAGTTGGTCCGTGGAGCCGCAGCCTGGCATCACAGCCCCGGCTCTTGTACACTTGGCTCATGAACTGTTTGTTTAGACTGTAACTGGGAGAGAGGCCACTTTGGCAGAGAACTCTCTCAGGACTGCCCAAGGACTCACAAAAGGACACATAAAGGTTCTCTGCAGCGAGGACAGGTCCTGTTAAAGATGCAGCGGCGGGTTTGTGTGTGTTTGAAGTGTGTCTTTACTTCTGTCTTTGTATTTGAACCTGAGCTTCTTTAGTCGTCCCTCATTCTCTTTCAACAGAGACTAAACTGTCAGTGCAACTAAGTGATTTAGAGGGGAAAAAGGACTGCGGCGAGTGATGTAACATATAATTGTAAGTTACAAGAGAGTTAATGAAAGATGTTGAAATAATACGCTGACATATTTATCGGCTAAAACTTGATTTGAAGTGACAACGGACACGATTTCACCGCTTTATTAACACTCCCATCCGGTTCTGCTGCGACGAGACTGAAACAATCTAAGACTTCTGCTCAGCGTCGACACTTCAGTCCAAATTAAACGTCAAATTATCGTAAAATATTCATTCAGAGGATCATCTCGACTTACTTACTTGGCTACACAACCCTGACTCTGAGCTGAAGACAGTGCTGCTTTTTACCGCAATCTCAGGCGGTAATCTGTCTGCAGCCGTCTCAAAGGGCTCAACCCAGTAAAAGTACCTGAATGGGGTGTTGTGTAGCAGCCCTGTCTGTACCCAATAATAAATGCTCTGTGCCCATTAATAGCTCATCACACATTAGGGCACTAAAAAGGAGCTCTTTGACTAAAACCAAGAGAAGAGGGGAAGAATAGGCGGCCTGTGTACGACACTAATGAGCTGCAATGCTTCAGTAAAACCAAACAGAACGCCATCTCTGCTCAAAACGTTGAAAAAAAGTCTCCTCTGAAGAGAATGGGAACATTCAGAAGGACATTAATGTATTTGCATCGACTTCAGACATTAGTCATTCTCTGCACCAACAGTTGGCACCTTCCGCTGGCACATTTTATTCTTGGACCGTCTTTGTTATATTTTCGAATCACATGCAGACTGATAATAGACTTAAAACAGTCTGAAAATAGTTTCAGCTGAAGAAGAAAATCAAGGTGCTCACAAACTTTTCATTCTCCTCTGAACGGGTCACCTTAAAAACTTTCAAACAGATCCGCTGCTTTGATTTCGTTTCATGGGTTTTGAGGTCAAAAGAGTCGGTTTTTTTTCTATTTTCTTATTTGCACGTCTTACCTCTTCAGCAGAGGGAAGCTGGTAATAAAAGCTGTTTGGTGTTTTTTTATTATGAGTTTGATTTCAAAACAGGAAACGGCATGAATGTGGAGGTCAGCAAAAACAATATTATTAGATCAAAAGTGTGAAGCACGGATTGGAGAGCAGAAATGTTGCTTTTTCCTGTAATGACACCTCTCAGGCTGGACACATCTATTTTCTAACATCAGTGTGTGATGGAACAACAGCAACAGTACAGGCCTCCTCACATTGTTCTGCTTCCTCATATAAAGACATTTATCATCACCTTTTTTTCTTTCCTATCTCGTTCCAGTCCAAAGTGGAGGGCTGTGAGAAGTGCAGCAGTCTTTTCAACAAAGAGGGACGTGTGCGGGCCGCTGTGACCTCCACGCCCGCCGGTGGGAGCGAGGAGACCGATGAGGAGAAGGAGGGTTTGAAGAATCAGCTGAGGGAGATGGAGCTGGAGCTAGCTCAGACCAAACTGCAGCTGGTGGAAGCCGAGTGCAAAATCCAGGTATGCGTCAATGTCATTTCCTCTGTGGTCAAAAACACTGACACTTTTTCATCTCAATGTGTTTTTAAAAGACACAGTCTGCTAGGGCTGGGCAATATGGCCTCAAATCTATATCACGATATATTGAGCAGTTCACCTCGATAACGATAAATGGACGATAACTACTCCACAAGCTGCTCACCCCCTCACACATTAACTTTGTCTACTTCAGCCGCCGCTCCAGCTGCTCCAACTTTTGAACCGTCCTCCATCTCCTCACCTGTCTTTAACGCACAGATGGTTCCGATTTTAATGCTATTATTGGAATATGTTGTGATCTTTGTGCACAACCCACCTTTGTCACGTGAGGTTTGAGTATATGGAACTTTATGTGAGTGTCTATTTGTGGAAAAGGTTGTTTGTCTTACCAGTGGGTCCAACCTTAGACACACCAAGTCCATCTGTGCTTATTTGAGACAGTGTGAAGGACGCGCGCTGCAGCGCTTACAGTGACACTTGTTGAGGAGCTGCTTTCTGTCACCATCGTGTGGCATTACTGTCTTCAGACATCTCTTGATCTCTTTGACTACGCCACGAAAATTGTAGTATGCCTCGCCCGTGGCGGATTTAAAGGTGAGGAGAGGAGCTGATGTGATTGGTCAATACGGGTTAAACCCACTCCACGCCCTCTCTCCTCCCTTCCTACGACTTAAGCCGCTGGGAGGAGCTAAGTTAGGGAGGTGGGATACTTACGCCGGGCTGTGCCACTCACCAAAATACCAAATTGTGCTTGGGAACGCCTTGTCGGCGCGGCGGACCTGACTTACTCCGCGCCTGCGCCACGTTGCCGGCGAAGCATGAAAATAGAGCCCAGTGTCTTAAAAGGGACATGAGACCGTAGCCTACCTACACACATTTAAAACCAACTTTTATTTATTTTTTTGACACCGAAAATACTGATATGTGCAAAATGACGTTGGTAATTGTTGTAAATTTCAGTATCGGTAAATTTTCAGTTTATCGCCCAGCCCTACAGTCTCCTTTTATTTTACAATTGATTGAATAAAGAAGGTCTAAAGCTTAAAAAACTAGACCCACAGTCACATCATAGTGAGTCTGAATGACTTCATCACCTTTTTACCCTTTAAATAAATGGCCGTTGTAAAAAGGTTATGAATATGAAATCATAGTTGCAGTCATTGAGGTTTGGGGCAGCTGTTTGATAAGGTCTCTCCAGCGTGTGGGTCACCTGCGGTTAGTAAAGACCATTTTTTACTCCCGCCTTCAGGAGCACAGCTAGAGCAGCAGAGGCTTCACAAATCCCTGTTGAAATGTTGCTATTAACAAGATGACTTAAAGCCATTTGGAGCTTTATTGGTGAGCCTGACTAAATTACTAACTGATTGATGGCACTGCAGGTTCTGAAACAACATTACGGTGCAGTGGAGCCAGAGGAGCAGTCATAATAGAGTGCAGCCTTTCTGCTGTTTGGATGTTTTCACAGTGCAGAAACGGTCTCCGTTTTATCGTTTATTGGCAGACTTGTTTCAGCCCCCTGTTGTTCCAGACAGATGAGTGACAGATCTTTTATTCCCCCTCTTCCATCAGGACCTGGAGCACCATCTGGGTCTGGCTCTGAATGAAGTCCAGGCCGCCAAGAAGACCTGGTTCAACCGAACGCTCAGCTCGATCAAGACAGTCACCGGGACCCAGGGAAAAGAGACCACCTAACTGGATCATCACCACCCATCATCCAGTTTTTACTCAGATCATACCTGGAGTTCAAACTGACACTTTGGGACGCTTAACCGAAACCCAGCGGGTCATAACTTTAACTCAAACACTGACCGTTAAATCCCAGGATGCCCGTAACTACAGACTCAGTTTTTTTTTTGTTTTCTTAAAAATGTCCTCATATTTCCCACCTGATCTAATCAGCTCTGTTTATTCCTCCTCTTCTCCAACCCGAATGACTACAGCTGACAGCTGATGAGAAAGGGTTGAAAAAACACAGTGGAAGTCCAGCGGTACCACTTTCCCTGAGAAACAACGTGCTTCCACGGGTCACAGAAAGAAAAGCATTATAAAAAAAAAAGAAAAAAAGCTTCATTTATCTCTGTCTTTGTACTGCTGATGTAAAAGCCCCGCAGAGGGAAGGTAGGACATCTGAACTGTGTCTGTCCTGACGGGATAAAGAAGAAAACACTCCGTCCTTCCTTACTTTTCTGCGCGCTGCCCTCGAAAACTACTGGCACAAACCAACCAGTCCCTGTACAATGTTCGTTTTAGGTACGAGAGCTAATAGACGCCTTTTGGAAACTGATCTTTTTCTAATTTACGTTGAACAAAACCTTTTTTTTTCTTATTTCTATGTATGTACATGAATGTGCTTATGTAAAGAGGATATGTGCGCGCGTGTGTGTGTGTCTAAGTGTGCATGTTTTTTTTGTTTAGTCTTGACTGTGAGGCGTTCGTATGAGTGTGAGAGTGAAAAATACGAGTGGATGCATTAATAATTGACTGAAATGTATAAAGGAAGGAGAGAGAGAGAAAGAAAGAGAGAGAGAGAGAGCATGGAGGTCCATGGGAAAGAAAAAGCACTAAAGTTCTGAGTGTGTGCATGCATGCGAGGGAATTTGTCCCGGTTGTCTCCTTAAATGTTGAGATGTGTATATGAATGATGCTAAAGAAACGTTTGCTGACAAAGCCTTGATGTAAAGGTCGATAAAGATGAAACTATTGGACTACATGACTATATCATTTACAGTAGAGGAGTATCACAGCCGTTCAGATTTCTTTCCTGATGTTCGACGTGCTTCGGCTTCGTTTGGTTTGGATCTTTCAGCACAAAGAAACATACAAAAGGTTCAAACCACACCGAGCTCTAGATGAGGACACTGTCGAACCCCAGGGTGGTGCAACCCGTCACAAACCATAAGACTGACTGTCAGGTGAATGCAACATGGAAAACACACACACACACACACACAAATGAAGAGCAATGGCATTACTGCACGCATGTGAGCACACCCCCTTAAAAACCCCTCTCCCCCCCTTGTTCTGGCGCCAGCTTCACCTGACCCTTGACCTCCGGTGGGGTTATGTTCAGATCTTTTAAGAGCAGGTTTGCAGGGTGTGTTGCGTGAACTTTCAACAGTCTGGTGTGACATTTGGAAGCTTTTTACACCCCCTCAAACACACACTGGTGTATGTAGAGACACTTTATTAGGAGAACCTGCAGGTTATAGTAGAATTAAAATCAGCCTGACCAATAGTGTGGTTTTTGGTGCTAGAAGAGGATGGTCTAGAAGTTGGAGGACAACTGCCCGAGGAAAATGTATGTAAGGTGGATGTAGCTTCCTAGTTGAAGTTTTAAATCTTAATGTCTCTGATGGCCAGCAGGGGGCGACTCCTGAGAAGTCAGAGTGTAAATATGTGTGATCCCATTGAGAGAAAAGTGTGATATTTAGACGTCTTTTCTTCGTCAGTCAAGTCAGTTTTGTCTCAATATCACCATCTTCTTCCTTGAGATAACAAACATAGTCCACAAACATCAGAGTGGTGCTTTCCACTCCTCGTGTTAGCCTGTCAGAGGGTCACAGAGAAGTACGGGGACTTGTTGAGCCTGGTTTAGGTTGAGGAGATGTAGCAACAACATGCTGGTGAAAGCCAACAGCAAGTGACTTATGACAGAAAAAACTCTAAATAATGCAGCTTCACAGTTTCTGTTTTCATATCCGCGGTGCTCTCCCGGCTTACATCAGGGTTGTTGTGAACGTAGGGGGCCGAAAAGTCACACTCATAAACCACTTAGTCTGCTGACAGGCGTGAAACTCTGCACCCTCAAGTGTGGATCGGTATCACCAGTTACTCTCTTTGAGTGATGTCACCAAAGGGTACACCGAGGGTTAAACCTGGAAGTGGTGTAAATCAGTCCGGAGGGGTTTGAGGGGTTAAGAAAGTGTGTGTCTGTGCATGTGTGTGTGTTTGTGTGCAGTTTCCATTCATACTTTACTCGTCATGTTAGACTGAGAGTGCGAGAATAAACTGAAACATCTCTCCTCTCAGTCTAAAACAAACCGTTGCTGTAAATCGCATCAAACTTGAAGGTTGAATCTGATTGGCTGGAATCTGCTCGTGATGTCAGAGGTTAAGGCACTGGGTTGTAAATAACAAAACATGAAGACATGACTATTGAGATTTTCGTTGATGATTTTTCTACTCTGTAACTCTAACTAATGTTGCCTACTTGTACCGACCTACCTGCTGCCGTGCTCCAGTTTAATCCACCGACGATGTTTTATGTTTTTAATGTTCTTCTTCATCTTCTGCTCCCAGCTTCTCCGTCAGACTGCTGTTTGGTTTATTAAACGCCAAAACGTAGCTTCATCATCCGACAAGAAAAACATTATCAACGTGTGGGAATTGTAATAGTGTAGGATGCATTGTGTATACTTCATGAATTTCAATATAAAGATATCAACACGAGAATACAGCGGCCTCTTTCTTATTTGTTTATCTGAATGTGTCTGTCAGCTCGGGTTACTTCTCTCTCTCTCTTTTCCTCTCTGTGGGTTTTCTCTGCTTTGTTCTATATCATGGTGAGAGGTATTTTTAGGCTTGGGGCATCCGGTTGAATTAAGTATGATGAGCCCTGTTCAATATCACACACTATAACTCGTGTATAGCAGTAGAATATGTGTTTGTGAATGTTTTATTTCCTCTCACAAACTCTTGATTTAAACACTTTAAAATTTGAGATGCATCCAGGGGCGTTTCCACACTTTTTGACTGGGGTGGCCCGAAACTGACACCGCACAGGCGGGGGTGGCCGTGGTATGTATGAGTACATAAATAAACAGCATTCCTCATCTGGTTGCAACGTCTATTCAAACAGCTGTCAATGTCAGTCAAGTATCATGACGCTGGAATATTCTAGCGAACAATCTTTTTGTTTTTACAAGAAAAACTACAATTGTACTACATTTATCTCTGTTTACAATTAATGCTTCAGCATAAAATACAAACTTACTTTAGAAAACTTTAAATGATTACTGTCACAGTTGAAGACGTTAATAAGAAAAATGTCAGTGAAAACTTACTGCATTTATGTTAAAATTTTGGAGCCTGTAAAAACATCCCGCAAAGTTAATTCGGTAACACTTTATGTGACATCTGGCTCTACAACGCATTATAGATTTATTGAAAACGCGTTATAATCACGTTATAGCACTGTATGAAAATAGTTATAAACACTCAAATGATCATAATGCTTTATAGCAATAATTATAACACATTATAACGCATTTTAACATGACTTAGGAGGTCAGGTATTATAATGTGTTATAACTGTTAACAACAGTTGCCTTACATCATCTATGTGGGCATTGTCAGTGAGCTGTTAACAGTTATAACACATTATAATACCTGACCTTGTAAGTCATGGTAAAATGTTTTATAATCTGTTATGATTATTGCTATAAAGCATTATGATTATAACTATAGTTATACAGTGCTATAACCTGATTATAACGCATTATATATAGATTCATAATGCGTTATAGAGATAGAGGTTATAGAGGTGTCAAATAAAGTGTTACCCTTAATTCAACATAAGTTTAGCCTCTAAGACAAAAGCTCGTAATTTTAAAAAATTGAAATCTGCCCACATTTATTTATCAAAAATATTAAAATATAAGCCACAAACAAAACCAAGTACTTATGTTAAGAAACTTATCTAAATAATTCTGCTTTTCTCACAAAAAGTAATACAGTCCTCTATTTTAACTTGTTATAGCTCAGGTTAAGAGTTCCATCTGTATCTGTTTAATAAAATATTTTGACAAGAAATAAGAAAATAAGAAAAAGTCACTTGGCCAGATCGTGTTTTTTTAGACAACTTCTGAATCGGCACACAGGAAAGTTTAGCAGCAGTTTATTGGCTCTGATGTTGGTTTGCTTCCAAAGATTATAACTAAAATTTAACCAACATAATCTCATGAAAAAGTCATTTTAATACCTCAAATCAAATACTCATTAAATACTAAGATGAAGACTTCACCAAACGTCTGCTGTAGTTACAAGTTCTTGTCACACACAAACTATCTTAATGCAGAAAAATTGCAAAGTAACAAAGTCATAATTTTTGACCTATTTTACCTGTTTTCTATCTTTCAGTGCTTTCAGTTTTATCCAGATTAAGTCATCAAAAAAGCTGCTTCGTATATGATTAAAAGACAAAATTTGGCTTCAGGTAGCTGCTGTAAATCAAAACAATCTTCTGAAGCCCCTTTTTTCACCACGTTCCAAAATAAGCCCCCACCTTAAATCACTTTTAACAAAACTGGATGACTTTAAATGTTGCTTTGAGGCCTTTTACACTCCTCAACCTGTCACCTGAAGTCTTGAAAATTATTTATAGTTATTTATCAGTCTGTGTTTTAAATCTTCATCTGTCTCCTGAGTTCAAAGAAAGCCTCTGTAAAAATCCAAACATGTCATCTCGCCTTCCGTTTCCTCGCTGAGATTTCACATCGCGGCTGAGAGGTAGACGGAGATAAAAGAGGCTCATGCTGTTGTAATAATGAGACTTTTCTCACTCACCTCTCGGGAACACTTCTATGGACATCTGAGAGAGTTTTGAACATGAAAATAAACCAATTTTTCTTCTTGCTAATTATGTCTCATGAAAACAGCTTCTATCTGTCAGCCAATTGAACAAGCTGTTTCCCTGGAGCTGGGTGGAAATCTCTTCATAGCTTTTACTTACTTTGGCTCTGCTTCTATCTTCTCCCTCAGAGATCATCTATAACATATGGTCGTGCTGTTATCTGTGTCATGGAGGAGTTATTTTCTACCCTGGTCTCAGTGAGTAAAATACACTGTGCTCTGATTGTGCTGGGGGGTCTCTCATATATCACTTTGCAGTGTTTATAAGTTACTGCAGGCCCATCAAATTATCACCTTTAGCGATGACGGCCCTTGGGATTTGGCTCTGCATGTGCCACCGTAGCTGCAGATTGCAAAGCAGCAGGCATGACGAGCTGGAAAGCCGCTACCTGCAGCGGGCTGGAGGTAACAAGCGTCAGCATTATGCAACCACCCTGACACCTTCCCCTCCCTCCTCTTTCTGTCCTGTGTTACAGAGCTAAAAATACAACCAGCAAGGCAGCAACAGAGAAAAATGCAAAAACAGGAATGCTGATGGGACGGGCGTCTTTGGTTGCTGCTCGCCTCTGTGGTTGTGGTGATTTGTGAGACAGGGATGAAGGGTGCAAGAGGTGGGCACTGTGGGGCTATTTAGACCCCGGAGCCTCCCAACAACCTTCTGAACTCAGCGTCACCTGATCTCCTCAGCTGAACTCAAGCTACTGTGGCTCTTAGTGACTGCAGGGGAGGTCAGCAGGAGATGTGAAAAGTAGCCAAACACATAACTGCAAGAATTTTCAGGTACATATTAAAAGATGAAAGTTTGTAACTGTTTAAATCTGAAAAAAGTCATGACCTAGAAACTTCCAAACTGGCTTAAAATCAAACCGATATCCCAGAATTTGATATTACTCATCTAAGTTTAATCAAAGTCTATAACGGATGAATGAATCTGCACTGATTGGTTTGTTTTATAATCCTTTAACCCTCCTCCTGTGTGAGAGTCTGCACCCACCGTTTTTTATTTTATTTTAAATACTTGACAGGACTACTTTAGTTATTTTTTTATTTTTGCATCAAGACTTTTTGATTTTACTTATTTATTTATTTTTTATTGCTATATTAAAATTTTGTGCTTTATGTAAAGTGTCTTTGAATGTCATGAAAAGTGCTATACAAAAAAAAAAAAAAAGAATTATTATTAATTATTATTAAAAAACAACGTCGGGCATGTCCAGACATGTGAGATCAATTCAGTATAGATGTCTGTATGAGGGGTATACTGACAAAGAAACACCCAGAGGACCACTACAAAAAATATTACAAGCAATATTTTCATGGACAATGAAGCCTAACAAGGTAACCTAGAGATTAGGACCAAACTGGATGATAGAGAATTAATTTTAGTGGAATTTACAGCTGATTCAAGACACGGGTCAAAATGGACCCTTAACATGGTGGGTGCATAGTAAAAGCTAACACAGGAGGAAGGTTGATACCATTTTTGAAATAGCTGTAGGTGTGACAGGCATGTATAATAACTGTAAAGAAATAACCTGGTCTTGTTTGCTTTTGTAGATCATAAAGAGACGGCTCTGTCCACCTGAAAACTTTAGCAGCCCCTGAAGCTACCATGTAGATCCTTTTGGTGTTGGGAAACATGGCCTGGGTTGTAGATTTCTCCGTTGTCAGACGCCTCTCCTCTGGGATCATCTACCAGTCAGAGTCCAGAAGGCAGACACTCTCTCAGCCTTTTAAGAGTTTGCCTGAAATGTGTCTTCATGTATCTCCCTCTTTCCCCTCTCCAAACCCAATGCAGTAGCATGGATGACTATCGTACATGACTCTGGATGCAGCTCTACTATATATAGATCTACACAACTGCAATATATCTTAATTTCATTTTTATTATCGACACAAAAACTCTCTATTAGTCATCAAACTTCACACAGTTTTCCCTTTTTTTCTGGTCTGTAATAATTCAGAGAGCTGACTTGGTTCAATATCTCTCCATTTGTAACAAACTTAATTAACATCAGCGAAGTTATTTTGAAGATAAAGTTTCAGGTTATGAACATGTTGAAAACAGAGTGCAAAGAAGTGTCACAGCAGCCAGAGTTTGTGTGGTTAGAAATTAATCATCCTCACTCCAAACACTCGGGTTGTTCTGTAAAAACAGGGGGAAGACAGGCCTGTTTACAGCTGTGTCAGATACGACACAGATAAGATAAGGTCAGCGCTGAAGGAGCCTGAAGCTCAATATTAGGATTAACCTGAAACTAATTGGATCCTCCATTCATTAATTCTGGTTCTTAAAGGCGCCTGTAAGGAGTTTACTCTCTGACACAAGAAGCAATTTGTTTTACATTTTTGTTTTTCCTCACCAAAAATAAGAAATCCAGAACCCACCGTTAAAACAGTTTCCCCTTTGAGTTCCATTTATTACAATAAGCTTTATTATGAGCATTGCAATCTGCTAACACACACGCTCGTTCAGCGGTTGTCCTTTCTATTTCCGAGTCTGGCCTGCATTGCGGGGCTCTGGGGGCGGAGCTAGCAGTTGTGATGTAGGAAATCCCACTTTGTCTGAACCTTCCATTTGAGTCTACCAGAGGTTCACTGGGATTTAAATGCAGAAATACTCAGAAATGCAATTTCCCTCTTATTTTTTTCATGATATGTCCTGTAGCATCAGAAAAATGTCATATGTACATGTAAACAACAAGAAAAACATGATTTTCTTCAGAGTGGGGATGACAATAGGGTTAGACTTTCTGTCTGACTCCCTCTGGGATCCTGAATGAACTTTTCAAGGTCCTTTTCTGTTGTCTAAGTCAGAGGTCTCCAACCACCGGGCCCTGGAGAGGCACCGTTCAGTGGATCAATTAGTACCGAGCCGCAAAAAAATAACAATGATTTAATATATATATATATATTTTTTTCATCTGTCCACCCAGTGTCTTATTTTGAAAGACCACCACTTCTGCCATCGCCTCACTTTCGTGCTCGACTCTTAGGCACGTCATTTTTCTGCTTCAGCAACACAAGCTAAAATTAAGAACCGCTCGACCCGAAGAAGCGCAAGCAACACACAATAAAGTACTAAAAAGAATACAATAGAATAAAAATACAAAAATATTTAAAGTATAAAAGAAATATTTACAAAGGAGTAGCTAAAAAAATGTTCACCAGTTAAACTTCTTTGGATGGAGGACCCAAATGGAAGTGGATGACTCTTACCTCCTTTTTTGTCTATGTCCAAACATGTAGAAGTTTTGATTCGACCTTTAAAAGTCAATTACCAACCTGATTCTGAGCTTGTGAACATACAGAGCCATGAAAACACAGCTACAAGCTCAAAAAAAAGGCTTGTATTGACAAAAGCTTATTTGTTTACAGGCTTTATTAAACCTTCACCCAGATGTGACTCACTGTAAACAGGCTCTCATGTCCAGGGGGGAGGAGGGGAGGACCGGGTCCTGTCAAATTACTCTGATTTGCGAGCACATCAGAGCTTCCTGTTACCACCTGAAACGTAATACAGGTCTGAATCTGTCAGCTGTGCGGGGTCACTTATTACTCTTCAGTGTATGAATGTGGACCACGCAGAGAGATGCCTCTGGGATACTGTGTCTTATTAGTTTTCCAGATTAGTGTGTACATAACTCTGAGATCAGGGGATGTGAGAGGAGGCACACGGCCAAGTTTGATCATCAAACTGGGGTCTGTTATCTGCTTCAGCTGAGCAGCCTCTGTTCTTGTACAGTTAAGACTCACATTCTTACAGACCTCACAGACAGAGAGGGCAGGTATCCTTCTCTGTCGGACTCTTTTCGACGAACTGAAAGTGAAAAAGAATTTGGCTCAAGATGCTTGTTTTTATTGTCTCTTACATTCATTACATTTATAGGTGTTGGCATATAAAACAGGATTACATTCAGATTTTTGACACTTTACATTTATTAACCCTCATTTTCTTTTATCCTGGAGAGAATTATGCTATAAAAAGTAAGCTTTCAGTATATATTAGGTAAAATTTAAGCTCAACTACCACTTCTGATCCTGCCTATTGATATCTGCAAGGTAAGGTTGGAATAATCCGGATAACTGTCAGTAAAAATGTGTAATCCTCATCTTCTTCTTCTTGTTTTCTCTCAGATTAATGCTCTTATTTCCTCTTTCATATCAGCTGGTCTTATTCTCGCACAGCCGCCCTCATAGCCGGGCAGGATGATTGGCGGCGGTGGCTGTGTGCTGCTGGTGTTGACTGTTGGTGTCACCGGATACTCAGACTCAGCCCTCGATCTGCAGAGCCGCTCTCAGTCTGATTGACAGCTCATGTTGCTGAGCAGCCATGTGCCGAAAGTCTGCTTAGAAAATCTTGCCAATTATCGCCCATAACCTTGAGTGTGTGATTATAGTTTGACATAATGACACACATATTATCACCTTCAGGTGTCAAATGTGGCCACTTTGGGGTGAAATTATGGCAACAATTGTCGGTTGTCTAATAAAGTCAAACCAAAATAAAGAGCTCAGAATAGAACAACAGGATGGTGCAACATTAGTTCAATCATTCACTATTAATGTTCAGAGTCTGTTTATTTGTATTTGTTGTCCAAAATCAGTTACGATATTTGCCGTAGTTTTATTGAACAAAGAGGGATACATTTAGTTTGTGATCCCATACGTCTCTCCAGCTTCCTCCCACAGTCCAAAGACATGGTGGTGAATCGCCTGTTTGTTTAGCCCTCCTCCTGTGTTAGAGTCCGCACCGACCTGTTTTTGTTTTTAACCCTAACCCTAACCCTAACCCTAGCCCCAACCCACACCTAACCCTAGCCCCAACCCTAACCCTATCCCTAGCTCCAACCTTAACCCTAACCCTAACCCTAGCTCCAACCCTAACCCTAACCCAAACCCTAGGTAAACTTTTCAAAAAACTTCCCCCAAAATTAGGTTCTATAGACTCCCCGTGCCCTGAAACGTGCTCCTAACACAATTCTGGAAGGTGAAAAATTGGGTTGGCACTTAAAAAATTTTTCAAATTTTTTTTCCCATGCATTCCTATGGGAAAAAATCAAATATTTTTAGGAACGTCCTAGAGACTCGGGAGTTGGTTCATTGCACTCAGAAAAATCCTAGCTCCAAGCCCAACCCTAACCCTAGCTCCAACACTACAACACTGCCTGGGTTTCTTACGAAAAGTGAAACAGGCCTACAATTCAGAGGCCTGTTTTTAACTGAGCTTTTGTGTTTATGTGTTTTTATTTTCAATGTGCTGATGCTCTGTGCTTACAAATGTTGTCTAAGCACTTTGTAAACTTCTGTTTTTAAAGGTGCTATATAAATAAAATTATTATTATTATTATTATTACTAACCCTAACTCCAACCCTAACCCTAACCCTAACCCTGGCTCCAACCCTAACCCTAACCCTAACCCTAACCCTAGCTCCAACCTTAACCCTAACCCTAACCCTAACCCTAGCCCCAACCCTAACCCTAGCTCTAACCCTAACCCTAACCCTAGCTCCAACACTAACCCTAACTCCAACCCTAACCCTAACCCTAACCCTAACCCTATCCCATGCATTCCTATGGGAAAAAAACAATTTTTTTTAGGAATGTCCTAGAGACTCAGGAGTTGGTTCATTGCACTCAGAAAAATCCTAGCTCCAAGCCCAACCCTAACCCTAGCTCCAACACTGACCCTAACTCCAACCCTAACCCTAACCCTAACCCTAGCTCCAACACTAACCCTAACCCTAACCCATGCATTCCTATGGGAAAAAATCAAATTTTTTTAGGAACATCCTAGAGACTCGGGAGTTGGTTCATTGCACTCAGAAAAATCCTAGCTCCAAGCCCAACCCTAACCCTAGCTCCAACACTAACCCTAACTCCAACCCTAACCCTAACCCTAACCCTGGCTCCAACTCTAACCCTAACCCTAACCCTAACCCTAACCCTAACCCTAACCCTAGCTCCAACCTTAACCCTAACCCTAACCCTAACCCTAGCCCCAACCCTAACCCTAGCTCTAACCCTAACCCTAACCCTAGCTCCAACACTAACCCTAACTCCAACCCTAACCCTAACCGTAACCCTATCCCATGCATTCCTATGGGAAAAAAACAAATTTTTTTAGGAATGTCCTAGAGACTCGGGAGTTGGTTCATTGCACTCAGAAAAATCCTAGCTCCAAGCCCAACCCTAACCCTAGCTCCAACACTGACCCTAACTCCAACCCTAACCCTAACCCTAACCCTAGCTCCAACACTAACCCTAACCCTAACCCATGCATTCCTATGGGAAAAAATCAAATTTTTTTAGGAACATCCTAGAGACTCGGGAGTTGGTTCATTGCACTCAGAAAAATCCTAGCTCCAAGCCCAACCCTAACCCTAGCTCCAACACTAACCCTAACTCCAACCCTAACCCTAACCCTAACCCTGGCTCCAACCCTAACCCTAACCCTAACCCTAACCCTGGCTACAACTCTAACCCTAACCCTAACCCTAACCCTAACCCTAGCTCCAACCTTAACCCTAACCCTAACCCTAACCCTAGCCCCAACCCTAACCCTAGCTCTAACCCTAACCCTAACCCTAGCTCCAACACTAACCCTAACTCCAACCCTAACCCTAACCCTAACCCTAACCCTATCCCATGCATTCCTATGGGAAAAAAACAAATTTTTTTAGGAATGTCCTAGAGACTCAGGAGTTGGTTCATTGCACTCAGAAAAATCCTAGCTCCAAGCCCAACCCTAACCCTAGCTCCAACACTGACCCTAACTCCAACCCTAACCCTAACCCTAACCCTAGCTCCAACACTAACCCTAACCCTAACCCATGCATTCCTATGGGAAAAAATCAAATTTTTTTAGGAACATCCTAGAGACTCGGGAGTTGGTTCATTGCACTCAGAAAAATCCTAGCTCCAAGCCCAACCCTAACCCTAGCTCCAACACTAACCCTAACTCCAACCCTAACCCTAACCCTAACCCTGGCTCCAACCCTAACCCTAACCCTAACCCTAACCCTAGCTCCAACCTTAACCCTAACCCTAACCCTAACCCTAGCCCCAACCCTAACCCTAGCTCTAACCCTAACCCTAACCCTAGCTCCAACACTAACCCTAACTCCAACCCTAACCCTAACCCTAACCCTAACCCTATCCCATGCATTCCTATGGGAAAAAAACAATTTTTTTTAGGAATGTCCTAGAGACTCAGGAGTTGGTTCATTGCACTCAGAAAAATCCTAGCTCCAAGCCCAACCCTCACCCTAGCTCCAACACTGACCCTAACTCCAACCCTAACCCTAACCCTAACCCTAGCTCCAACACTAACCCTAACCCTAACCCATGCATTCCTATGGGAAAAAATCAAATTTTTTTAGGAACATCCTAGAGACTCGGGAGTTGGTTCATTGCACTCAGAAAAATCCTAGCTCCAAGCCCAACCCTAACCCTAGCTCCAACACTAACCCTAACTCCAACCCTAACCCTAACCCTAACCCTGGCTCCAACCCTAACCCTAACCCTAACCCTAACCCTAACCCTAGCTCCAACCTTAACCCTAACCCTAACCCTAACCCTAGCCCCAACCCTAATCCTAGCTCTAACCCTAACCCTTACCCTAGCTCCAACACTAACCCTAACTCCAACCCTAACCCTAACCCTAACCCTAACCCTAACCCTATCCCATGCATTCCTATGGGAAAAAAACAATTTTTTTAGGAATGTCCTAGAGACTCAGGAGTTGGTTCATTGCACTCAGAAAAATCCTAGCTCCAAGCCCAACCCTAACCCTAGCTCCAACACTGACCCTAACTCCAACCCTAACCCTAACCCTAACCCTAACCCTAGCTCCAACACTAACCCTAACCCTAACCCATGCATTCCTATGGGAAAAAATCAAATTTTTTTAGGAACATCCTAGAGACTCGGGAGTTGGTTCATTGCACTCAGAAAAATCCTAGCTCCAAGCCCAACCCTAACCCTAGCTCCAACACTAACCCTAACTCCAACCCTAACCCTAACCCTAACCCTAGCTCCAACACTAACCCTAACCCTAACCCATGCATTCCTATGGGAAAAAAATCAAATTTTTTTAGGAACATCCTAGAGACTCGGGAGTTGGTTCATTGCACTCAGAAAAATCCTAGCTCCAAGCCCAACCCTAACCCTAGCTCCAACACTAACCCTAACTCCAACCCTAACCCTAACCCTGGCTCCAACCCTAACCCTAACCCTAACCCTAGCTCCAACCTTAACCCTAACCCTAACCCTAACCCTAGCCCCAACCCTAACCCTAGCTCCAACACTAACCCTAACTCCAACCTTAACCCTAACCCTAACCCTAACCCTAACCCATGCATTCCTATGGGAAAAAAACAAATTTTTTTAGGAACATCCTAGAGACTCGGGAGTTGGTTCATTGCACTCAGAAAAATCCTAGCTCCAAGCCCAACCCTAACCCTAGCTCCAACACTAACCCTAACTCCAACCCTAACCCTAACCCTAACCCTGGCTCCAACCCTAACCCTAACCCTAACCCTAACCCTAGCTCCAACCTTAACCCTAACCCTAACCCTAACCCTAGCCCCAACCCTAATCCTAGCTCTAACCCTAACCCTTACCCTAGCTCCAACACTAACCCTAACTCCAACCCTAACCCTAACCCTAACCCTAACCCTATCCCATGCATTCCTATGGGAAAAAAACAATTTTTTTTAGGAATGTCCTAGAGACTCAGGAGTTGGTTCACTGCACTCAGAAAAATCCTAGCTCCAAGCCCAACCCTAACCCTAGCTCCAACACTGACCCTAACTCCAACCCTAACCCTAACCCTAACCCTAGCTCCAACACTAACCCTAACCCTAACCCATGCATTCCTATGGGAAAAAATCAAATTTTTTTAGGAACATCCTAGAGACTCGGGAGTTGGTTCATTGCACTCAGAAAAATCCTAGCTCCAAGCCCAACCCTAACCCTAGCTCCAACACTAACCCTAACTCCAACCCTAACCCTAACCCTAACCCTAGCTCCAACACTAACCCTAACCCTAACCCATGCATTCCTATGGGAAAAAAATCAAATTTTTTTAGGAACATCCTAGAGACTCGGGAGTTGGTTCATTGCACTCAGAAAAATCCTAGCTCCAAGCCCAACCCTAACCCTAGCTCCAACACTAACCCTAACTCCAACCCTAACCCTAACCCTGGCTCCAACCCTAACCCTAACCCTAACCCTAGCTCCAACCTTAACCCTAACCCTAACCCTAACCCTAGCCCCAACCCTAACCCTAGCTCCAACACTAACCCTAACTCCAACCTTAACCCTAACCCTAACCCTAACCCATGCATTCCTATGGGAAAAAAACAAATTTTTTTAGGAACATCCTAGAGACTCGGGAGTTGGTTCATTGCACTCAGAAAAATCCTAGCTCCAAGCCCAACCCTAACCCTAGCTCCAACACTAACCCTAACTCCAACCCTAACCCTAACCCTAACCCTAACCCTATCCCATGCATTCCTATGGGAAAAAAACAATTTTTTTTAGGAATGTCCTAGAGACTCAGGAGTTGGTTCACTGCACTCAGAAAAATCCTAGCTCCAAGCCCAACCCTAACCCTAGCTCCAACACTGACCCTAACTCCAACCCTAACCCTAACCCTAACCCTAGCTCCAACACTAACCCTAACCCTAACCCATGCATTCCTATGGGAAAAAATCAAATTTTTTTAGGAACATCCTAGAGACTCGGGAGTTGGTTCATTGCACTCAGAAAAATCCTAGCTCCAAGCCCAACCCTAACCCTAGCTCCAACACTAACCCTAACTCCAACCCTAACCCTAACCCTAACCCTAGCTCCAACACTAACCCTAACCCTAACCCATGCATTCCTATGGGAAAAAAATCAAATTTTTTTAGGAACATCCTAGAGACTCGGGAGTTGGTTCATTGCACTCAGAAAAATCCTAGCTCCAAGCCCAACCCTAACCCTAGCTCCAACACTAACCCTAACTCCAACCCTAACCCTAACCCTGGCTCCAACCCTAACCCTAACCCTAACCCTAGCTCCAACCTTAACCCTAACCCTAACCCTAACCCTAGCCCCAACCCTAACCCTAGCTCCAACACTAACCCTAACTCCAACCTTAACCCTAACCCTAACCCTAACCCATGCATTCCTATGGGAAAAAAACAAATTTTTTTAGGAACGTCCTAGAGACTCAGGAGTTGGTTCATTGCACTCAGAAAAATTCTAGCTCCAAGCCCAACCCTAACCCTAGCTCCAACACTAACACTAACTCCAACCCTAACCCTAACCCTAACCCTAGCTCCAACCCTAACCCTAACCCTAACCCATGCATTCCTATGGGAAAAAATCAAATTTTTTTAGGAACATCCTAGAGACTCGGGAGTTGGTTCATTGCACTCAGAAAAATCCTAGCTCCAAGCCCAACCCTAACCCTAGCTCCAACACTGACCCTAACTCCAACCCTAACACTAACCCTAACCCATGCATTCCTATGGGAAAAAATCAATTTTTTTAGGAACGTCCTAGAGACTCAAGAGTTGGTTCATTGCACTCAGACAAATCCTAGCTCCAAGCCCAACCCTAACCCTAGCTCCAACACTGACCCTAACTCCAACCCTAACCCTAACCCTAACCCTAGCTCCAACACTAACCCTAACCCTAACCCATGCATTCCTATGGGAAAAAATCAAATTTTTTTAAGGAACATCCTAGAGACTCGGGAGTTGGTTCATTGCACTCAGAAAAATCCTAGCTCCAAGCCCAACCCTAACCCTAGCTCCAACACTAACCCTAACTCCAACCCTAACCCTAACCCTAACCCTGGCTCCAACCCTAACCCTAACCCTAACCCTAGCTCCAACCTTAACCCTAACCCTAACCCTAACCCTAGCTCTAACCCTAACCCTAACCCTAGCTCCAACACTAACCCTAACTCCAACCCTAACCCTAACCGTAACCCTAACCCATGCATTCCTATGGGAAAAAAACAAATTTTTTTAGGAACGTCCTAGAGACTCAGGAGTTGGTTCATTGCACTCAGAAAAATCCTAGCTACAAGCCCAACCCTAACCCTAGCTCCAACACTAACCCTAACTCCAACCCTAACCCTAACCCTAACCCTAGCTCCAACCCTAACCCTAGCTCCAACCCTAACCCTAACCCTAACCCATGCATTCCTATGGGAAAAAATCAATTTTTTTCAGGAACGTCCTAGAGACTCAGGAGTTGGTTCATTGCACTCAGAAAAATCCTAGCTCCAAGCCCAACCCTTACCCTAGCTCCAACACTAACCCTAACTCCAACCCTAACCCTAACCCTAACCCTAGCTCCAACACTAACCCTAACCCTAACCCATGCATTCCTATGGGAAAAAAACAATTTTTTTTAGGAACGTCCTAGAGACTCGGGAGTTGGTTCATTGCACTCAGAAAAATCCTAGCTCCAAGCCCAACCCTAACCCTAGCTCCAACACTAACCCTAACTCCAACCCTAACCCTAACCCTAGCTCCAACCCTAACCCTAACCCTAACCCATGCATTCCTATGGGAAAAAATCAAATTTTTTTAGGAACGTCCTAGAGACTCGGGAGTTGGTTCATTGCACTCAGAAAAATCCTAGCTCCAAGCCCAACCCTAACCCTAGCTCCAACACTAACCCTAACTCCAACCCTAACCCTAACCCTAACCCTAGCTCCAACCCTAACCCTAACCCATGCATTCCTATGGGAAAAAATCAAATTTTTTTAGGAACGTCCTAGAGACTCGGGAGTTGGTTCATTGCACTCAGAAAAATCCTAGCTCCAAGCCCAACCCTAACCCTAGCTCCAACACTAACCCTAACTCCAACCCTAACCCTAACCCTAGCTCCAACCCTAACCCTAACCCTAACCCATGCATTCCTATGGGAAAAAAATCAATTTTTTTTAGGAACGTCCTAGAGACTCGGGAGTTGGTTCATTGCACTCAGAAAAATCCTAGCTCCAAGCCCAACCCTAACCCTAGCTCCAACACTAACCCTAACTCCAACCCTAACCCTAACCCTAACCCTAGCTCCAACCCCACACCTAACCCTAACCCTAGCTCCAACCCTAACCCTAACCCCAACCCATGCATTCCTATGGGAAAAAAACAATTTTTTTTAGGAACGTCCTAGAGACTCGGGAGTTGGTTCATTGCACTCAGAAAAATCCTAGCTCCAAGCCCAACCCTAACCCTAGCTCCAACACTAACCCTAACTCCAACCCTAACCCTAACCCTAGCTCCAACCCTAACCCTAACCCTAACCCATGCATTCCTATGGGAAAAAATCAAATTTTTTTAGGAACGTCCTAGAGACTCGGGAGTTGGTTCATTGCACTCAGAAAAATCCTAGCTCCAAGCCCAACCCTAACCCTGGCTCCAACACTAACCCTAACTCCAACCCTAACCCTAACCCTAACCCTAGCTCCAACCCTAACCCTAACCCATGCATTCCTATGGGAAAAAATCAAATTTTTTTAGGAACGTCCTAGAGACTCGGGAGTTGGTTCATTGCACTCAGAAAAATCCTAGCTCCAAGCCCAACCCTAACCCTAGCTCCAACACTAACCCTAACTCCAACCCTAACCCTAACCCTAACCCTAGCTCCAACCCTAACCCTAACCCTAACCCATGCATTCCTATGGGAAAAAATCAAATTTTTTTAGGAACGTCCTAGAGACTCGGGAGTTGGTTCATTGCACTCAGAAAAATCCTAGCTCCAAGCCCAACCCTAACCCTAGCTCCAACACTAACCCTAACTCCAACCCTAACCCTAACCCTAGCTCCAACCCTAACCCAAACCCTAACCCATGCATTCCTATGGGAAAAAAAATCAATTTTTTTTAGGAACGTCCTAGAGACTCGGGAGTTGGTTCATTGCACTCAGAAAAATCCTAGCTCCAAGCCCAACCCTAACCCTAGCTCCAACACTAACCCTAACTCCAACCCTAACCCTAACCCTAACCCTAGCTCCAACCCCACACCTAACCCTAACCCTAGCTCCAACCCTAACCCTAACCCCAACCCATGCATTCCTATGGGAAAAAATCAAATTTTTTTAGGAACGTCCTAGAGACTCGGGAGTTGGTTCATTGCACTCAGAAAAATCCTAGCTCCAAGCCCAACCCTAACCCTAGCTCCAACACTAACCCTAACTCCAACCCTAACCCTAACCCTAACCCTGGCTCCAACCCTAACCCTAACCCTAACCCTAACCCTAACCCTAGCTCCAACCTTAACCCTAACCCTAACCCTAACCCTAGCCCCAACCCTAACCCTAGCTCTAACCCTAACCCTAACCCTAGCTCCAACACTAACCTTAACTCCAACCCTAACCCTAACCCTAACCCTAACCCTAGCTCCAACACTAACCCTAACTCCAACCCTAACCCTAACCGTAACCCTATCCCATGCATTCCTATGGGAAAAAAACAAATTTTTTTAGGAATGTCCTAGAGACTCAGGAGTTGGTTCATTGCACTCAGAAAAATCCTAGCTCCAAGCCCAACCCTAACCCTAGCTCCAACACTGACCCTAACTCCAACCCTAACCCTAACCCTAACCCTAGCTCCAACACTAACCCTAACCCTAACCCATGCATTCCTATGGGAAAAAATCAAATTTTTTTAGGAACATCCTAGAGACTCGGGAGTTGGTTCATTGCACTCAGAAAAATCCTAGCTCCAAGCCCAACCCTAACCCTAGCTCCAACACTAACCCTAACTCCAACCCTAACCCTAACCCTAACCCTGGCTCCAACCCTAACCCTAACCCTAACCCTAGCTCCAACCTTAACCCTAACCCTAACCCTAACCCTAACCCTAACCCTAGCCCCAACCCTAACCCTAGCTCTAACCCTAACCCTAACCCTAGCTCCAACACTAACCCTAACTCCAACCCTAACCCTAACCCTAACCCTAACCCTAACCCTATCCCATGCATTCCTATGGGAAAAAAACAAATTTTTTTAGGAATGTCCTAGAGACTCAGGAGTTGGTTCATTGCACTCAGAAAAATCCTAGCTCCAAGCCCAACCCTAACCCTAGCTCCAACACTGACCCTAACTCCAACCCTAACCCTAACCCTAACCCTAGCTCCAACACTAACCCTAACCCTAACCCATGCATTCCTATGGGAAAAAAATCAAAATTTTTTAGGAACATCCTAGAGACTCGGGAGTTGGTTCATTGCACTCAGAAAAATCCTAGCTCCAAGCCCAACCCTAACCCTAGCTCCAACACTAACCCTAACTCCAACCCTAACCCTAACCCTAACCCTAGCTCCAACCCTAACCCTAACCCTAAACCTAACCCTAGCTCCAACCTTAACCCTAACCCTAACCCTAACCCTAGCCCCAACCCTAACCCTAGCTCTAACCCTAACCCTTACCCTAGCTCCAACACTAACCCTAACTCCAACCCTAACCCTAACCCTAACCGTAACCCTATCCCATGCATTCCTATGGGAAAAAACAATTTTTTTTAGGAATGTCCTAGAGACTCAGGAGTTGGTTCATTGCACTCAGAAAAATCCTAGCTCCAAGCCCAACCCTAACCCTAGCTCCAACACTGACCCTAACTCCAACCCTAACCCTAACCCTAACCCTAGCTCCAACACTAACCCTAACCCTAACCCATGCATTCCTATGGGAAAAAATCAAATTTTTTTAGGAACATCCTAGAGACTCGGGAGTTGGTTCATTGCACTCAGAAAAATCCTAGCTCCAAGCCCAACCCTAACCCTAGCTCATACCCTAACCCTAACTCCAACCCTAACCCTAACCCTAACCCTAGCTCCAACACTAACCCTAACCCTAACCCATGCATTCCTATGGGAAAAAAATCTAATTTTTTTAGGAACATCCTAGAGACTCGGGAGTTGGTTCATTGCACTCAGAAAAATCCTAGCTCCAAGCCCAACCCTAACCCTAGCTCCAACACTAACCCTAACTCCAACCCTAACCCTAACCCTGGCTCCAACCCTAACCCTAACCCTAACCCTAGCTCCAACCTTAACCCTAACCCTAACCCTAACCCTAGCCCCAACCCTAACCCTAGCTCCAACACTAACCCTAACTCCAACCTTAACCCTAACCCTAACCCTAACCCATGCATTCCTATGGGAAAAAAACAATTTTTTTTAGGAACGTCCTAGAGACTCAGGAGTTGGTTCATTGCACTCAGAAAAATCCTAGCTCCAAGCCCAACCCTAACCCTAGCTCCAACACTAACACTAACTCCAACCCTAACCCTAACCCTAACCCTAGCTCCAACCCTAACCCTAACCCTAACCCATGCATTCCTATGGGAAAAAATCAAATTTTTTTAGGAACATCCTAGAGACTCGGGAGTTGGTTCATTGCACTCAGAAAAATCCTAGCTCCAAGCCCAACCCTAACCCTAGCTCCAACACTAACCCTAACTCCAACCCTAACCCTAACCCTAACCCTAGCTCCAACACTAACCCTAACCCTAACCCATGCATTCCTATGGGAAAAAAATCAAATTTTTTTAGGAACATCCTAGAGACTCGGGAGTTGGTTCATTGCACTCAGAAAAATCCTAGCTCCAAGCCCAACCCTAACCCTAGCTCCAACACTAACCCTAACTCCAACCCTAACCCTAACCCTGGCTCCAACCCTAACCCTAACCCTAACCCTAGCTCCAACCTTAACCCTAACCCTAACCCTAACCCTAGCCCCAACCCTAACCCTAGCTCCAACACTAACCCTAACTCCAACCTTAACCCTAACCCTAACCCTAACCCTAACCCATGCATTCCTATGGGAAAAAAACAAATTTTTTTAGGAACGTCCTAGAGACTCGGGAGTTGGTTCATTGCACTCAGAAAAATCCTAGCTCCAAGCCCAACCCTTACCCTAGCTCATACCCTAACCCTAACTCCAACCCTAACCCTAACCCTAACCCTAGCTCCAACCCTAACCCTAGCTCCAACCCTAACCCTAACCCTAACCCATGCATTCCTATGGGAAAAAATCAAATTTTTTCAGGAACGTCCTAGAGACTCAGGAGTTGGTTCATTGCACTCAGAAAAATCCTAGCTCCAAGCCCAACCCTAACCCTAGCTCCAACACTAACCCTAACTCCAACCCTAACCCTAACCCTAACCCTAGCTCCAACCCTAACCCTAACCCTAACCCATGCATTCCTATGGGAAAAAAACAATTTTTTTTAGGAACGTCCTAGAGACTCAGGAGTTGGTTCATTGCACTCAGAAAAATCCTAGCTCCAAGCCCAACCCTAACCCTAGCTCCAACACTAACACTAACTCCAACCCTAACCCTAACCCTAACCCTAGCTCCAACCCTAACCCTAACCCTAACCCATGCATTCCTATGGGAAAAAATCAAATTTTTTTAGGAACATCCTAGAGACTCGGGAGTTGGTTCATTGCACTCAGAAAAATCCTAGCTCCAAGCCCAACCCTAACCCTAGCTCCAACACTAACCCTAACTCCAACCCTAACCCTAACCCTAACCCTAGCTCCAACACTAACCCTAACCCTAACCCATGCATTCCTATGGGAAAAAAATCAAATTTTTTTAGGAACATCCTAGAGACTCGGGAGTTGGTTCATTGCACTCAGAAAAATCCTAGCTCCAAGCCCAACCCTAACCCTAGCTCCAACACTAACCCTAACTCCAACCCTAACCCTAACCCTGGCTCCAACCCTAACCCTAACCCTAACCCTAGCTCCAACCTTAACCCTAACCCTAACCCTAACCCTAGCCCCAACCCTAACCCTAGCTCCAACACTAACCCTAACTCCAACCTTAACCCTAACCCTAACCCTAACCCTAACCCTAACCCATGCATTCCTATGGGAAAAAAACAAATTTTTTTAGGAACGTCCTAGAGACTCGGGAGTTGGTTCATTGCACTCAGAAAAATCCTAGCTCCAAGCCCAACCCTTACCCTAGCTCATACCCTAACCCTAACTCCAACCCTAACCCTAACCCTAACCCTAGCTCCAACCCTAACCCTAGCTCCAACCCTAACCCTAACCCTAACCCATGCATTCCTATGGGAAAAAATCAAATTTTTTCAGGAACGTCCTAGAGACTCAGGAGTTGGTTCATTGCACTCAGAAAAATCCTAGCTCCAAGCCCAACCCTAACCCTAGCTCCAACACTAACCCTAACTCCAACCCTAACCCTAACCCTAACCCTAGCTCCAACACTAACCCTAACCCTAACCCATGCATTCCTATGGGAAAAAAACAATTTTTTTTAGGAACGTCCTAGAGACTCGGGAGTTGGTTCATTGCACTCAGAAAAATCCTAGCTCCAAGCCCAACCCTAACCCTAGCTCCAACACTAACCCTAACTCCAACCCTAACCCTAACCCTAACCCTAGCTCCAACCCTAACCCTAACCCTAACCCATGCATTCCTATGGGAAAAAATCAAATTTTTTTAGGAACGTCCTAGAGACTCGGGAGTTGGTTCATTGCACTCAGAAAAATCCTAGCTCCAAGCCCAACCCTAACCCTAGCTCCAACACTAACCCTAACTCCAACCCTAACCCTAACCCTAACCCTAGCTCCAACCCTAACCCTAACCCTAACCCATGCATTCCTATGGGAAAAAATCAAATTTTTTTAGGAACGTCCTAGAGACTCGGGAGTTGGTTCATTGCACTCAGAAAAATCCTAGCTCCAAGCCCAACCCTAACCCTAGCTCCAACACTAACCCTAACTCCAACCCTAACCCTAACCCTAACCCTAGCTCCAACCCTAACCCTAACCCTAACCCATGCATTCATATGGGAAAAAATCAAATTTTTTTAGGAACGTCCCAGAGACTCCGGAGTTGGTTCATTGCACTCAGAAAAATCCTAGCTCCAAGCCCAACCCTAACCCTAGCTCCAACACTAACCCTAACTCCAACCCTAACCCTAACCCTAACCCTAGCTCCAACCCTAACCCTAACCCTAACCCATGCATTCCTATGGGAAAAAAACAAATTTCTTTAGGAACATCCTAGAGACTCGGGAGTTGGTTCATTGCACTCAGAAAAATCCTAGCTCCAAGCCCAACCCTAACCCTAGCTCCAACACTAACCCTAACTCCAACCCTAACCCTAACCCTAACCCTAGCTCCAACCCTAACCCTAACCCTAACCCATGCATTCCTATGGGAAAAAATCAATTTTTTTAGGAACGTCCTAGAGACTCGGGAGTTGGTTCATTGCACTCAGAAGAATCCTAGCTCCAAGCCCAACCCTAACCCTAGCTCCAACACTAACCCTAACTCCAACCCTAACCCTAACCCTAACCCTAACCCTAACCCCAACCCCACACCTAACCCTAACCCTAGCTCCAACCCTAACCCTAACCCCAACCCATGCATTCCTATGGGAAAAAATCAAATTTTTTTAGGAACGTCCTAGAGACTCGGGAGTTGGTTCATTGCACTCAGAAAAATCCTAGCTCCAAGCCCAACCCTAACCCTAGCTCCAACACTAACCCTAACTCCAACCCAAACCCTAACCCTAACCCTAGCTCCAACCCCACACCTAACCCTAACCCTAGCTCCAACCTTAAATGCTTAACAGAACCACTTAATTTAGCTTTAGTGCATCAAGACGTTTTGACTTTGTCAGGAACCTCCATTTCAACAAAATAAAAGTAAAAAAATTGACTAAATTATAAAATGCTCTTATTAAAATTGTAGCACTTCTTATGCTAGAGTCACTGTTGACCCGGTTAGATTAATATCTAATAATTAGAGCAAAAATTAAAATCATATGTTCACTTCCAGGCACCACTGACAGTCAGATCCTCTTCCAATCATGTGAGATTTAGGAAATATTCATTTTGCCATGTTTTTCCCTGCACAAAAAACAACGTCGGACATGTCTAGACATGTGAGATCAATTCCGTATGGATGTCTGTATGAGGGGTATACTGACAAAGGAAGGCCCAGGGGCAATATTTTCATGGATAATGAAGCCTAACAAGATAACCTAGAGATGAGATCCAAATTGGATGATAGAGAATTGATTTTAGTGTAATTTACAGCTGATTTAAGACATGGGTCAAAACCGATCCTTAACATAGTGGGTGCACGGTAAAAGCTAACACAAGAGGAAGGTTAAGTGAGGAACCAGGATAAAGGTGTAGGATGACTTTAGCTTCTGCTGGAAATACTGGCATTTAAACATTAGTTTGAATAAAAGCTGATAGCACATTTTCATGTAACATTTATCATGATAGTAAAATATTTAGAGAACAATCTTAAAAATGAAAACTTTACATTTGTAACAATACAGTGAATAAACACAAAAAAGGGCAAGACAACAAGCTTTTGACGTGCTTTTATTTTGATATTTTGCTGTCCTGCATTTAGGTTGTTTAGTTCCCTACATTGCAAGTGTATGCTTTTATTTTGAAGGAAAAGCTACTTCTGGTAGATCTTAATTTATGAAAAGATCACAGAAGAAAGGTGGGAAAGTATTAAATGTTCACTTAAGTAGTAACCTAAAGAGACAGAAACTGTCACGTTGGACTCGAGTTCTGCTCATTTTTAGTTCAATATGAAGATTTAATCTTTTAATAAAGACGTCTGTCAGGACAGCCCGAGATTGAATGAGGAGTCAGCCTGAAGCAAACAAGTCGGCTGTGTGAGCTTCATTTCTAACACTTATTACTACCAGACTATAAAATGGTAGCTTGGATGAAAACCTTTTGTTCTATCACCTTTTTTTTTGTCAGTTTTCATGTTACTACATTATGTTTATAATCATTTTACGTCCTTTATGTCGTTGACATGCTCTCTGGTAAAAGCTGCCCCCTTATTTTGTCTGTGTGTGTGAGACGGGGAGTTCAAACAGGCCTTTGCGTTCACGTTTCAAAGTTCATAAAAAACAAACTCACATGTTTAGATTCAGCACTTTCTCTGATTTATTCATCAAGCATAGATTATGTCAAAAACAGTGACGACCACAGATCATCACTGCTGTGGATGTTGCTACTACAGCCACTTCAAATGACCTTCATCCGTCGATGTCGGCCTCTGTGTTCAGCCTCCCGCCCTGTCTTCATAGTACATTTCATTAAACTTTGATAATTTCATGGTTCAAACAGACTCTGTGGACTGATATCACTTCATAAAATTCATAGGCGGCATCCTAAAACAGTTTCTTTTAATCCCCTTTTTGTCAAAAATAAAATTAAAAAAATCATATTTACAAGAAAACGTAAACATTCGCCACTCATAAGACGCTACTTTTGCCAAAAACATCAGAAAGAAGATTTGAAAAAAGGGGAAAAATATGAATCTGAACAACGTAGATGCGCCCAAAACAACTCTCACACACAAGTAGTTCAAAAGATATATAGATGTATATATATGTATGTTTCCATATATATTCTGTATATATGCTTCTCTACAAAAAAAGCAAGTTTACTCTCTCTATGAGTAAATACATTCTACTCTACAATCACTAAAACGACAGTGTACATTCCCAACCAAAATGCTTTGATCGTTTATCAGGAGGATATTGGACTTCAACAATCAGTGGACCAAGATCGCAAAGTATGCAACAACATGCTCTGTGTGACTGCAGTATTGTGTCTTGACTTGTTTGTGTTTGTGTGTGCGTGTGTGTGTGTGTGTGGTAGCTTCCCATTCCCTCCTGTTTATGTGTTTGACAGACAAACACACATTTTCCCCTTCGACACACATGCACACACACCAGGGAGAAAATGATCTGTTAAGCAGCGGTATGACTTAGTCTCAGCAGTCGAAACATGATCCTGGATCTATTTCTGCAGCTCTGCAGAGTTCAGAGCGACTCATGGATGGGCTCGCCAGCTTATCCTGCAACTCTTCTCCCTCTGCGCGGAGATAAACGCAGTCCCAGATGTTAAACCCGACTTTCTTTACTAAAGCAAGACTGAGAGAGACAGTTCCTTAGTAACCTGGTGTTGCACCTGTCTGGATGTTGGATATCAGGTGGCGTGCTGCATGGTTTCTCACATCTGAGACTGTTGGGATCATCAGATTTGTGCAACAAAGGCTTCAGAGTCTTTGGTGTCTGAATAAATCCCATCATACAAAACAAACCAGAATCCAAAATCATCCCTGCATCAACTGCTTTCCTTTTTTTTTTTGACCTTCGACCTGGCAGGGGGGATGAAGAGGTACCTTGGGAGAAACTGTACCCAAATCATCTCCAAATTAAAATCCATAAAGACCTACTTCACATGGCAACAAAAGCACTCACAACACTCCAACTTGTGAACATATTGCAGCATCTCAAACGTGCAAAGCTCCTGCATTTGGTGCCAAAATATTGTTTTTGATGAGCGCGCTCGTCCTTCTTTTCCCCTGACAGCAAAGCTTATACTCTGCAGATAACTGCGGCCTCTCCCATATACAGACTCATAAGCTAAACCCATTATATGCAGTGCTACAGACAGCTTCTTATAAAGCACCCAGGATAACATACGACGGAGATGACAGTAGATTTTCTTTTTTCTCGTCATGGCTCAGTTCCTTGAAGTTCAAACGAGCTTGAACCTCTTGTGTGACTCTCTCTACATACAGTATAGTCATATGTGTAATATTCAAACCACAGAGAAATGAACGTCATGCTGTCTCTATGTACTCGGATCATACTGTTGGAATATTTACATAAATAATTACATATTTGCTTGCGTCTGTGTGTGTGTGTGTTTGTCTATTTGCATACGTGTGAGTGTGTCAGGTGGCCCTGAGAACAATGTGGGTGTATTGTGCTTCTTAGATGTACAGGTGTAATTGTTGATCGCCGCAGACAAACATCGTTTGTGCGCGGGAGTGGGGGTGGGGGGGTTGAGAATACAACGACTGCTGCTGTTTTCCCGTTTCTTTTTTGGTGATATTTGAGCAACAGTTCTGGGGTAGCAGGAGGAAAATCCATCAGGAAACTTGATTTGACCTGAGCCGGGCACTAAATCAAAAAAACAATGAAATCTTTCAGGATTTACTAATAAGCACTTTTTTATTCTTTTCTTATTCTTATCCTCACGAACTTTCTTAGAGCAAGATTTGGAAGCAGTATACAGACTATATATTTCTATAACTGCTCCTTAAGTTCAATTTACATGAGTTCCAACTAAGACAAGGCAAAGAGCCAATTACAGTCAGTGATTTGGGGGTTGGCACCAAGGGTGGCCAGTCATATTTTGGGCCTAAGCCACCCCTGGCAGCCACTCTAGTTGAGCCCATGCTACAAGACAAAAAACAACTTGAAGCTTCTTTTTTAGATAAAATCTGATTTTTGGATGGCTCCTCTCTTTTTGACCTGAGCCAGGCACTAAATAAAAAAAAACAAAATCTTTCAGGATATACTGATGTGTACTTTCTTATTCTTTTATTATTCCCATCCTCACAAACTTTCTTAGAGCAAGAAAATAGGAATTACCTTACTTTTATCTGTAAAAATCTCTTTAGGGGTTTTATAAAGAGAGTGCGCACAAACTTCCAAAAATGAATAGCCTTTATTTACACCAATCATATCTACTCTACCAATTCTGAAGCAGTATACAGATAATATATTTCTGTAATTGCCCCTTTAGTTTGATTTACATGAGTTCCATCTAAGACAAGGCAAAGAGCCAATTACAGTCAGTGATTTGGGGGTTAGCACCAAGGGTGGCCAGTCATATTTTGGGGCCTAAGCCACCCCTGGCAGCCAATCTAGTTGAGCCAATGCTACAAGACAAAAAAACAACTTGAAGCATCTTTTTAAAATAAAACCTGATTTTAGGACAGCTGCTCTCTCTTTGCTGCAGGACAGAAAGATTTAGAAGATCTTTTGTAAGTTTCTTTCTTAATGTTTAATAAATAACAATGATCAGGCCACTCCCTAACCAGGAAGCATCAAACCCCCTGCATAAACACATCCACCAGGCTGTGAGGGTGTGTTTGAGACCGGCTGTGTTTCCCCGCGCTCTACATGAGGCTGTCCAGCCAACAGAGCGAGAGGAGGACAGGGTCAGCGGTCGGGGTGACTTCTCCTACATGTCTGTGTAGTCGGAGGGGAAATGAAAAGGTTGCTCATTGAGGTATGACTGTCTGCCTTATTAATGTGGGCCATCTGGACCGAGAGGAGTGGAGAGTAGAGAGAGAGAGAGAGAGAGAGAGAGAGAGGGCAGAGGGGAAATTAGGAGAAATTCCTCCTGGATAGAGACGCTCTGTTTCCACATGGTCAAGCCTCCAGTTATTCACCTCCATGTAAATTCCACAGGAGGATGAGAAGTTGGGGCAAAAATGCCAAGAATCTGAGGGGATATCCTTGAGGATGCACAACAACAAATCTGCACCGCCATGATCTGTAGTAAAAGAAGGATCTAGTCTCTAAAGGATGTTTTGATTTCTTATCACTGCTGAGTATCAGAGGAGAAAGATGACCCGGGCACTTAATACACTCCTGTAAACACCAGCCTCATACGGTTCCTGCATGTAAACAAAGATTACCAAATAAAATATTGATAAGGGACACTGAAGTGGCAGCATGGGTGTCATTACGGGTTTAGATAGACCAGTAAAACTTAAACTTTGTGATACTTTTACGGCTGGGCGTTATAGATTATATCCACAAATCTGCCCTGATGAGAGCCTGAGGTTACTTCAGACAAGGATGTGGGTGTACCAGACTAGATATGGGAATATGTCCAGTTGTTAGAGGAGAAATAGACAATCTTTATTGGCTAAATTTGACCAAAAATGGGTCAGCTTGACCAGTTCCTCCTCAGAAAAATGAAAAAAAGGCATCCAAACCTGAATCCTACAATCACAGCTAATCACAGGTTTACTAGTGTCCGTCAGTCCATCCCAAATTTGACTTATTGTTTTGTAAAATTGGCTCCGGGTCGACGGTGAGTCTTCACTCTCTTTCTCAGATGTGGTTTTTTGTTGAATCGAAGCTGGCACAAACACCAGAGATCAAGCTGGTGCCCAGATCAAGGCAGGCGTGAGGAGAATCAAAGCCTTTTGATGCACATTCTGTTTGATTCTGCCTCCGCTGTCTGACATCTCATCTCTATCAAAGGCCAAAAAAAATAAATAAATAAAAAAGCACAGCAGAAATTCATGGGTGAGAAAAGTGTGTCAGTGGCCGCTTAAAAGCCCCAAAGGTATCATCAAACTCAAACAAAAGCCGACTTTAGTTTGGCTGACAATATATCAAAAGATCAATCACCTGTTGAAAATGTATCATAGCAGAATTAAACTCAGACCACCACTCGTGAAGGCCGAATTCAAACCCAACGATGAACCTTCTCTTCATTTCTGCCCCCGAAATAGTCACTCAACAAGCAGCTGTGATGGCTGAAACTTTTGATCCACAAATACAGACACTATCCAGGCCGTCTCTTTCTAAAATCTCGGCCTGTAAACCTCCTGGTAGGGAGCGGTCTGAAAATCTTCTGGTTGTGTCTTTCTGCCGTGATCAGGCATGATTGACCGTCGCATCCTCTGCAGAAACCTCATCACATCAGCTCCCTTTAGGACCCGACCAAGGCTTTAAAATATCACTCCAAGAGCCGAAAGATTTCCTCTGAGTAAACCCTCAAACACGAAAGCGAGCATTACCTGCACGATAATGTGACACACATGCGCAAACATAAAAACCCAATTCAGAGTCCTACTTTCACGCTCCTTTCGCTGGGCTTTACCTGCAGTTTGTGCCGTTTCAAGGCCATTCAACAACGCTGAATCTGTCTCCAGTCACATCACATCCATAATTGCCCTTTAAGACTGGAGGGAAGGGTGTGTGTGTGTGTGTGTGTGTGTGTGTGTTTTTGCAGAAAGAAGGAACAGAAATGGGAGAGTAAGAGCTGTGCTTTTGGTCCCAAAGGCGAGCGGGACAGAGTTGAGAGTCATTCACAGACTGATGTTACGTTTGATGATGGTCGCGGGGAGGAGTGCGTACATCGTATCATACATTTACAGTACTGTATTTGTAACAACAGTATTCCCTGACAGCAGTGAGACTATAGAAAATGTGCTTTCTGACAGGAAAAAAGTTGGAGCGAGTGTGTGTGTGTGTGTGTGTGTGAGATTAGGTTATAAGAGTGTGAGCACCTCTGGTCCGGGCTATGTAGACAAACCTCGGGCAGCAGAGAGCGTGCTCAGAAAGGCTCAGAAAGACATCAAAGAAGGAGAGAGGGGAAGTTCAGAGGATAGAAGGAAAGGAAAGGAAAGGAAAGGAAAGGAAGCATATTATTCTAACAGCACAGGTTAATAAGAATACCAAAGATAATAATAATATTGCATCTCCTAGGTCTAGCTTCAATTGCTCAGTGTATATAAAATTGGAAGAAAGCTATACTGTGATATAACAGTTACATTTCACTTTATAATTCTAAAATAATTTATACCAACAATAGTTATATTTTATAGAATATTTACATAAATACATGGTCATATAGTAATATTATTGTCAACACATCGTTATAGAAACATACACCATACATATATGTGTATATATTCTTGTTATAGCCACACGTACACACACATACAGTGAATATACAATCAAAATGAGCTATTGCAATGCTGTGTGGGGTAAAACTCTGTCTGACATTCACATCTTCTCAAGTAAGTACGCTTGAAGAGAGGAGTTCACGTGTATTGCTATAAGAAAAAATCAGCCCAGCCTCGCCAGCAGTCACAGCTGAATGTTTCTCGTAAAATCCGAGTATTGCTTCGTGTTAAAGTTTCTCTCTGAAGTGAAAATCTGGGTGAAAGTAGAGAGAAGAAAACAGACAGAGGAGGAGCTGGGAGCCTCCCGGTCAGCAGGTCAGACAGTTTTCTGCCTGGCTGGATGATTTCCAGCGGACTGATCAAACTGAAACAGATGTAGATCTGAGAGTCCGTCACCTGGAGAGGAAAGGCAGCCCGCTCAGACGGACGGCGAAATCAGGTGTCCCCGTGTTAACAGACAGGTAAAGAAGGGTTTGAGAAAGTACCCAACAACCTGCTGCTTCTAGAAGTCAGAGAAGAGATCCTGTGGACCCAGGTGGATGATAAAAGGAGCGATGGTCCGTGGCTGGTAGAAGGGATTGTCAATGAAAAGGCCGCCTGAAGAGAGACGAAACACAGAGACAAAGAAAGCACGACTGATTACAAAAACACTGCATCCAGAAATCTGACAAACAAAACTGTCAACTAAAACGGTTTTTGCCTCTTTGACTGGATGAGTTTGACAAGGATTAATAAAGTAAACCAGAGTAATTCTACTGACTACTTTTTTTTAGGTTATCACAAGTCTTTTTAGAGAGATTTAGAAACACATCTGTAAGCACTGTTTTCATTTTCTCTCATATATGATAATAGGTAAGTATAAAATTAAACACTTTCATTTTTTTCAAATAGGTCTAACCTGAGATTGTGTCATTCATGGTTAAGGATTAAAGGGTGTTTCAACATCCCAGTGAGGTTCAATTTAAAATAAACCAGACTAAGGGCAGAGTGGACAGGTGTGAATGTCTCAGACAGCCCGGGATACTCCAGGAGGGGCTGAAAAAGCTTCCAGAGACGGACATCTTTGCTTCCTTGCTCATTTATCTTGATTCCGGTTTTGTATCATAAACTGATGTAAACATGAAGTTGGAGCCACGAGACAGTCGGCAGAGCTCAACCTTAAAAAACTCAAAGGAGGGAAAAACAACAAAAACTCTACTCTCTAAAAACACAGATTATACTCGGTTATACTATACTAAAAAAAAAATACTGCAAAGATGAGAAAACAGAAAAGATCAACAGAATGCAACAAACGGTAAAGTCGACTTTCAATCCTGTGAGATTGAAGAAAATCATTTCAGCTGTAAAAGATTTGACAAAGTCTTGATGAACATCAACCAACCATTGGACAAGATAGTGGATCCTCTCATCCAATGGCTGCGCCTCACAGCTGTAACCATGGAGACGTCATCAGGGGGGGGTAATCTCTCGCTGGTGGGATGACCAGGACGTTGCGAGGAGCAAACATGACTCAGTCTGGACTTGCTTTGACCTTTGAGTAAAATTCTTCTTTTCTTCTTTTTAAACCTTTTTATTCTTTCTTCTGTATTTTCATTTTCTGCTCTCATTCCTCTGATATCAGACCATCTTACAGAAGATTGTTTCATCTTAGGAACAAAGACTGGAGGGATGGTTTTGAGTCCTTATTTGAGCGACATACTGGAGGCTACTCTTTTTATAAGGGGATCAAACATGTTCACATTACAGATACAATGAAATGAAAGAATGAAATGGAACAAAAACATAAAAATCAAATTAACACGGGTCCTTTAATGCTCCTTCAGATATGCAAATCAAGGTGTAATCTCTGCATGAGGAACATGTATTGCCTTGAGGTCACTTTGGAGTGAATCAGGACCAAATGAATTCAAGTACATCCCTGCACTAAGCTCCAATATGTTGCAGCAAAAAGGCTGCAGTTGGCCTACATGAACACATATGAAAGATCTCTATACTGTAGGTAATTCCCTTTGATAGCTGCGGGATACCTGCCAGATATTAATCTATGTGAGGTAATGAGATCGTGCAGCTGAATACAAGATGCAGGATCTGAGTGGAGCTCTCTAAAATTCATCCTTTGCCTCCTCCTTGTCTCTCTGAATTCCTATAAGCTAAAGGGTCAAAAGGATGTAACAAAACGCACTGAGATACTCTGAGAGATTGGAATTCATTGTGTGTGCGTGCGTGGATGTGGAATATGTCAGCTAAATGTAAGTCTGGGTCAGAGCTCTCTGTGCAGGTTGAATGCTAAATAAAAGTGTGAATCCTTTTCAAGTCAAACTCCGACCTAAAAAGTGCAAATTATCCAAACTACTGAGCTACAGCCTTTGAGTCAGATACACACGAGCAGCGCTGAGGCTTTAAGTACAGATAAACTTTATTTCTCCTTAACAATAATATTTATCTATCAATCCTTCACACAGCTTGTCTTATTATTTACTTTGTACAGAGAATGTCTGTTGTGTGTCGCATATTGCAAAAGCTACTCTCTCCCTGCACAGAAACAAAAGACTGATATACACTCAAAGTACGAGGTCACAATTCACAGTACAGATCCTTCAAGTTTACGCTTATCTCTTAAGAACTTTAACCTGCAGCATTGTTTCAAAGACATACGGGTTCATAAAATACAAACAAAAAGCGCCTTAAAGAGTCCTCAGACCGAGTCCTTAGACCTCTCCCCATCACTGAAATTGTAAAAAAAAAAAAACAGACAGGGTTTCCCTCATAGAAAATGAATTGTACAGTTTGGAAAAAAGCGTTTGGTATGTTTAAAAAAATAAATTTGGTGCGTGTGTCTCCTGTGCTAAAAGAAGTGGTAGTGGGGGACGGGGTAGGCGGGCACTTTCATGACAGGCAACAGTAGCATTCTCTTGGGCAAACCTAGAGGGAGACATGAGAAGAGCACAGCTCTGCGTGAGACCAGGGCAACAAATGATTAAATGTTTGTCTAGTCTCGGGCTACACACTACGCTACATCTAAATCCAACAAATGACCCTACACGACACAGACGAAGGAGTGTGAGAGCAACGTGAGTGTGATGTTCATCAGCGGTTACAGGAAGGAGAATGGTAGAGATTCAGAGCCAAAGAGAAGAAGACAAATCGCCTTAAAGCCTTATTCATGAAACTGAGCGAGCTGTTCGCTGAGATCCGTGAATGTGGAAACTTTCCACAGACTCACCTGTCAGCACCTTTGCCTGAAACTGTGTTTTTGTGCAGCCCCTCTAAGCAGACAACAGTGAGACGTTCAACTTTTTATTAACTGGTGATTAAGACATTGGTAGATCTCAGAGAATAGCCTCATTAAAGTTTCCAATCATGGAGAAAAACACAGATTTAACACCCAGGTTTTAATTACAGGATTAAATTGGGATAAGTGAGCAGAAGAGGGTGTTTGCACCTGCTCAAGTTAAGTGGGAATGTTATGCTTCAGCGTTTTTTGATTAACGACTTTTAGGATATGATGTTCTGTATCTCACAGTTTGTCCGATTAGTGTTCTGGATTAAAGCTCCTGTGAGGAACTTTTGGTCTGGGTTGACTTTGGCGCCCCCAAAGGACAAAGTTATATCTCTTAATCTACTGATGATCTTGTCTTGTGCGTGTATGAGATGTGTTTTCTTATTACCCAGCTTTCTTACTAGTAACCCGACCTTGTGAAATACTTGATTCTGATTGGTCAAAACTCTCTTGGCAATGCTTAGCAACAGCCACACTATGGGCCGCTTAATCGCAAATGCCACACATCAAATCAGTTTGAGGTTAAAAGTTTGGCGTATTCGGGTCACTATTTATGAAATTACTGTTTCCTGTTGACAGTGTGACAAAAGCGCTGCTATCTGATCATACTAGTAAACCACACAGAGAGCTCTAGATTGGTGGTTAATGGGTGACTAGTTAGCAGCAGAAAAATAAAAGATGAAGAGGCGAGACGGCACAAAAATTAGCATGGGATGTCAAAACTCAAAAAGAGCTGAGTCAAAGATATGTGGATGGAAGAAAACTGGACTTAAGCGGAGTTCTGAGACTGGTTAGTGGATATAGAACCTAAATGTTATAAAATATTTAACATCGAAGTGGAAAGATGCTGAGATTTAATCCTAAAACAAAAATATCAAATTTGATGTTGACCTGTAAGTGTGCTGGTAGACTACCCTCGTTGTTGTCCAGGTAATAAACTGTAAATCCTCTCAGAGTGGGAAAAACTGATTCTATTTCACAGAACAACTGGGTTACTATCCATCACCTCTAATAATTCTACGTCTTTAAGTATCTGACAGGAATATGCTCTGTGCATTCTGATTCTATGGTTTTATAGTGTGGTATAATTTTCTGTGCTTTCAGGTATATAGGAGTCTGTGTTTTATGACATGGTGTCCAATATTCTATGATATACTGTTCTTTGTTTGGGGATCTGAGTTTTTTATGTTCTATGGCGCTATGTTCTTGTTTTACGACTATTTCTTTTGTGTTTTATTAAGTAGTTTTCAGAGTCTCAGCGATGTGGTGAGCCCAGCAGCAGCAGATGAGAATGAGTTTAAAGCCAAAAGCAGCAGCAGACAGTGCCAGAGCAAAGTGAAAAAGCGAGGATAAAGCCTTATTTCCTGAGATAAAGAGGGAGGGAACCTCATATTTTTCTGACCAGTTTAGACAGCTTTTTGTTATTTACAGTACTTTCTCTTATTTGTCGCTTCTCTCTGCTGGAGCTCTGCATCAAGGGTCCACAGAGGAGTAAAAAGAAAATACAGGTTTTAGATCCAGCAGCAGGTTTACGCTGTAAAACTAATTGTTTTGGTTGTCCTCAAGGAAAAATTGAACAGAGACAAAACTCAACGCAGAAACATGCAAATTTTGTTGTAACTCTAAATTAGCAATAGTAAAATAAGTCAGTAAGTTCCTCATTGAGGTTATTGTTCGGATGAAAATGATCTCGTACCTCAATGTGCAATATGTATGGATATGTTCCAGGACAGGTTTGCACATAATTTATGCTCCCTCCTTAAGAAAGAACGTGTTTTATCACCCATTTAATTAGCTCCATTGGCTGGGCATGAAAGTGAACGACTGATGCAACACGTCATGGCCGATGAAATTTAATAAAAGAGGTAAAAATGAAAATATAAGTCAATGAAGCTCACTGGTTTTCACGAAACAGAAACAACCGTCGACTTCGGAGTGTTTTAGTATCGTGAGTGGATGTGGGAGACTGAAATGAAAGACCCCCATGTGGACACAGAGATTCAGCCCTACTATAAACAGAAAAACTAAGGGGTGCTTCATATGCAGAGCTGCTGGGAACCCAGAGGAGCACTAATCGTCTGCATGGGCCCCAGACCAGTTTCCTTCAAGCACACAAGACCTATTCAAACCCAGAGCCGTAGGGATGGACGGAGAGGCCTCCCAATACTATATGTGAGCACAAGGCTGAGCCTGTTGAGGTGTGAGAGAGGCGTATAGGTGCATAGGCAGTTAAATTTCATGACTGGTGTAGATTTTAGCCTATAAATGTGTGTTATTCCTGTATGTGTGTTTGTTTGTGTATGAGAGAGCTAAGGGACAGAGCGCTCCCAGCAGTGAGGATATAGGAACCCCGAGCAGCAGTAACATGACAGGGGCCGCAGCTCTGCTACCGTGTCTTAAGTAACAACCAGTAAAGGGAGGAACTCACACTATGTACCCTGCTAATCTGAACAGAAGCGAAAATGAAGGCTGCAGAGATAGCACGTCAGAGTTGATCAAAGTCCAGCAAAGCATAATTTGTCAGTTAGAGGTGGTCGATCCAGGACTGCAGGACTTTAGGAGTGTGTTTTTAGAGATTTTACAGATCCCAAGGTGAGACTTAAGGGAGCTTTTTATGGACATAAGAGATGAGGGAGTGGGCAGCAATAAGCAGATTAATTCATAAGTAATGAGGAGATAGTTAGCCAAAGCAGAGAAAAAGTCCCAGGACAGGTTGAAGTAGGTTTGAAATAGTCGAGGAACTGAGGGAATAAAAGGGGAAGTGGACAGGAAGAGTCATGTTGTAACATAAACCTACTGAAGAAACATTCATCTACCCTCGGATGGTTAGCAGTTATGTTATGTTTAGGAAGGGAAGTGTGGTAAAGAGAGAAGGTGGAAGAGGGTCAGGAGCAAAACAAACACGGAGCACGTACCGTATGCAGGAGCAGCTGCTGCAGCGGGGCTGTAGCCATACGGTGTCCCGAAGCCTGTCAGGGGAGAGGTTAGAGTCAGATTCAATTGAGCGCTTGTTTTAATTCCTGGCTGCACTTTTGAAAAAAACTTGAGAAAGTTTAAACGAATGAGTGGAGATCTGTGGGTTCAGCAGAGTAGAGTGGGAACTACACTTTCACACAGATCAACAGAGAAACACAGTCATCAAAAACTGCAGACTCATTTAGATTAATAGCATGATTAGCATGATTTAGCATGATTCCCTGATGGCACAGTTTATCAGTGAGCATTCATGCATTGATGTAACAAACGCCCACTGAAATGTAAAGTACTGTGTGGGTACTTTTCAGTGCTGGTGATATTTGAAACACAACTGCAGGGGGTTAGAAATGGATAGCTATTGGAAAAAACAACAACAACAACAAAAACAAACAAACGATAAAAGCAAGCAGCCAAAAGCAGAAGATAACAGAGCCGACAGCCAAAAAAAGTCAACTCTGACAAAAACGGAAATTAAATAAATACATAAAAAAAAATAAAAAAAACGTTGGGGGCAGGAGAAAGAATTGATACAGCATAGTATTGCAATATTTTGCCTGGTGATATATCGCATCGTCTCATTGACCAGGTATCGATTTTTTTCAAATTAATTGCTAATATGAAGTCAAATCTGTGATAATGGAAAAATAAAATCAACTGTTTGTCCAGTGAGGTTGGCAGAGGTGACATAATAGGGCAGGAGAAAGTTAGTACAACAAATATATAAAAAGTTTGCAAGATGTGCTACATGAAAATAAAATACAGCTTAAATAAGACAAACATAAAGGAAAGACAAATACTAAATTAGCTTTAGCATTAGAAATTACGAAATATTTGTAGGCGAATTTTGACGCGCCTGACTATACACATCAAGCCCGATGCAATTTTGCGACTTTCTGGGGGGAAAAAAGATGCATCCTGGGTGGAAGCAAGAAGACTGTCACAACACCAGACTGACTGTTTTTCAGTTCAGATTAGACACTAGTGTTGAGATGTCTGTCTGTCATGATAGCATGAACTGAGTCGGGGCCAGTACCAGATAAGCAAACTAAACTATAATCCATAAATGTAAGGTAACAACCGAGACCTAATGGTGCTGTGACAGCAACGCGACTGAGTTTGAGACAGTGAAAATACATATGGTATGTTGTATCTGAACAGGTTAGCTTACGAGCTAAAGTTATTTAGCACAGATGAAAGTTAAAACAAAGACGTTCAGCAAATTGCTAAAGCACACAAACCATCGTCATATCAGAAACCTGATGCTATGACTCTCCACAAGTTGTCCTTCAGGTCGTTATCTTTGTAATATATGTGTCTTTTATCAAAAATCACTCTGTTCTCCGACACGTAAACAATCAGCCAGTCGGCCATGTTGGATATACCAGTGAATCAGATGTCGCAACAACAAGCAATCTGATTAGTCAGAAGTGGACACACAGTATGCGAAACTTAAGAAAAATCAACCATGATCTGAAAAAATAAATGCTGCAATATCGCAGGACGGGAAAACATCGCTGATGTGAACGCTTGTATTGACAGGATACGGGTTTGAAAAAAAATATTGACGTCTGAAATAATCGCACGATAAAAATGGTCCCGGTGTGAAAGGACCTTAAAAGTTGACAAAATTGTATGAATCACAATATATGGTATTACAATCCTCACTGTGTTGCTAAATGTTAAAAATCGCAAATATGGTATCGTGGCCCAAGTATCGTGATAATATTGTATCATGGGGCCACGAGTGATTCCCACCCCTAATAAACATACAGAAAACAAACGAACAAAAAACAGCGGTCCTCTCTCTACCTGGTGTGACGTATCCTGGAGCAGCTGCACTGACGAAGGCTCCTCTTGCCAGGGCGGCTCTTCCTCTTCCTCTGGCTACCTGAGCTGCCACTGCTGAAGCTGCTGCAGCTGCCGCCAGGGCTCCTTTAGTCTAAACACAGTCAGGCAGATTACATGAACGCGCTGCCAAGATTGATGCAGAATTTAGACGGACATGTTAATAGAAATATGTGTGTGCAGAAACAGTGAGTGGCATTCATTCAGAAGAGTGGCAACCTCACAAGTGTCAGGTATTGATCTGCTCAGACACTTGTTAAAGGATGTGCTATTGATTGATGTAAGTTGAACAAAGTGCACTAATTGTCCCCCAGCTCTGCAATGGTGAGGACAGCCATGCAAACGCACTACCTTTAGAGAGTGGCTCTTATAGAGAATACAGATAAAATGCTTCGATTACATGTTGTAGATTCTTCATCTGTGTGTAAATATACGTGCTTCATGTGTGCGTCTCCTTACCTGAGGCAATATCTTCTTTTTCTTGTTCGCAGCTGCGTTGGGACCAGAGAAGAGTTTTTCCAGAGCTGCCAGAGCGGCGCTGGCCTTTGCTACTTTTTTGTTGGGGCCTGCCCCACGAAACTTCTGCCCGTCGACCTCCACCTGACATGCACACACACACACACGCACACACACATACAAATACATTTATCAGTCATCAGTAACTCAGCTGGCGAGTCTGACTGAACAGGGCGGCTTGTTTAGTGAGGCCCTGCTGTCAAGCAGGCCTGCTAATCAATCAGCAGAGCGATGGAGCAGCCAGGCATGTCGGAAAACAACACACCCCACAGAGAACCGGCCTGCTCCAGGAACCGGGTTGACTGATTGACTGTACCACAGATCAGCCTGTTTTCAAATGTGTGGTTGTGGGACTTTTTTTTTTTTAAGTATATGCATCTCCCTCCGTATGTGCGTGTACGCTCGGATGCTTTGCTCTATATTTTTCTGATTATGTCCTCGTCTGTCAGATCTAAACATACTTTATAACTTCTACAGTTCTCACCTCCATGACAAAGCGTTTGTCGTGGCTGCCTCCACTTTCAGAGATGAGTTCGTATTTGAGGCCTCTTCTCTTTTCATTTAGCTCCATGACGGGATTTTTTCCACTCGCTGTAAGTATGGGGCCCTGAGTTCGTACCTTTGGACATCAAAAAGAAATAAGCAGGAAGTTAGATTAAATACAGAAAAAGACATGGTAGTGAATATCTAATGACACATATTAATAATGCATTAGATTTCATATAGCGCTTCATCAGAGACCCTCAAAGCGCTTTACATTGGAAACATCATTTACTCGCTCACACAGTCACGATTGGTAGTGGTAAACCAGACTGATGGAAACGTGGATGCCAGTTTGCACCTACAACCTCTCCGACCACCACCAGACAACACTCACAATCATACACCAGTGGAGAACACACACTGGGAGGAAGGTGGGTTATGTGTCATGCCCAAGGACACAATGGACAGACTCGGGATAAGGGGAATCGAACCGCCAACCTTCCAGTTATTGGACGACCGCTCTACCTCCTGAGCTACTGCCGCCTGCATCTTAGCTATCTAGGTAAGATGAGTAACTGCCAGATTTAAAGTTTATTTTGGGGCTTTTTTTGGCCATACCAGCACCCCCTAACCCCAACATTTCAATCAGCTCCAATCAAAATATCTCGAACTTTACGCTTAAATACTCATACTGAGCGTCGATATACCTCCAGTGTATTGGAACTGTCCGTGGAGTGTGTCGGGTTATTGCTGTGGTGTGATGACGTCTCGCTCTTCCCCTCGCCGTCAGACTTCTCGTCCGAGCTCATGGGGTCCAGGTCTGAGTCGAAACCTGTCGGGTAGCCCATTGCCTGGAGAACCTGGAAAGGTGAGTCAAGGATACAGGACACAATCATTAAGTTGCATGGAAATATTCACAATGCTAAACAACATTGATAACCCGTTCAGGCTCAATGAATAACAGCGATACCGCAGCATGTAGTAACATGACCCGGTTTATCCTAACAATTACAATGAAGCCTTTACGGTGTGAAGCTGCACAGAGTCACGAGTCCACTGTAATGCTTCAACAATACACAAAACGAGAAAGTCATGCAGGACATCATGCATGCATCAAACGGCATTGTATGATTGTGTTACAGCCACTGAACCCGCCACAGTGAGTGAGTGAGGGGCATGAAGGATGAGAGGACTGGACAGGAAGAGAGAAAGAGGGAAGGAAGGAAAGATCAAAAGGTGAGAGAAAGAAAGTGAGCAATGAGGAGAATTAAAAAAAAAGGGGGAGAGATGAGGAGAAAGAGCCTTTTATGGGAATAGAGCCGATGGCGGATTATCCCGGCTCTGTGCTCTGGAGAGCCTCTTTGTTCACAACCACTTTGGGATTACATGGATTTGCCCACCTCCATCCATCCCTCCTTACACACTTACACACACGCACACACAAACCAATCGGCAAACACAGGTACAAACATATTTATAGAAACACACAGGTGTCACAGCAGATGAAGCCAATAAAGTTCTCAAAACAACAACAACAACAAATCATCTCTTTTTTTAACCTTTTAAATCAACAGGTCATTTTCTTTTCTTACCTTGACGGCGACGTGAAGCTTGGCGGTCTTCTTGGAGGATCCAGATGCCTCATAAACCGTTCCATCTAAGTCCACGGACATGGTAAAGACCGGCGCGTGAACCGGGCCCGACTGGGACAGCAGGCGGTACTGCAGCCCCGGCCGGATCTGGTTCAACCGCATCAGGGCGTTCATTGGCTGGTTGGAGTCTATGGCTTTACTATCTAGAACTAATGCAAACAAATAGGTACAGATCAGAGCAGATTAGGACAGGTTTAATAACGGACTGTGGCGAGATTAACAATTACTCAGACAAAATTGGACAGATTTAGCCGATTTAGAGAGACTGTAAGACATAAATCCTAATTTCTCAAACTTTTTGGTACACTCCCTCTGTGTTTTCATTTTCTTCTCTTTCCTAAACTCCTAAAAGACGCCTCTCTGTCTCCATTAGAAGTGGTTCATCTTCTGTTTGTATGAAGAAAGAGCTGGGGATGGTTGGGTGGCCTACTAAAACGTTAGCAATCAATACTATTGATCCACCCCAGGATAGAAGGAAGGTGGAGGGGAAAGGGACACGGGGAAAGATGGAAAGAAATAGAGACAAATGGGAGAAAAGCAAGCCTAATGGATCTCTGATGTCTGTTGCTATGTTTAAATGATTTAAAAATTGTCAAAAAATGTATTTTTCTTTAATATATTTAGGATTGTACGAGCAGTTCCCATACCTTTCCTCAGATTCCTCTTCATCTTCTTGATGAGGTCTTTGTCATCCATCATTCCATCCTCGTACGGCCTCTTCAAACCCAAGCCTGGGGAACAAAACAAAAAACAAGACCATTAACAAAACTGCTGATCATTTAGGTATTACAAAAGATGTAGAAAAGCAAAGAGAGAGAGAAAAAAAAGGCAAAGAACAAAAGAAACGATTTGTGGATGCAAGCGTTAAGAAGTAGCCTCACAAATGAGATCAGCAGAGCAGACAGGCAGATGAGCAAACAGTCAAACCACGAGGAAGACATACTGTATAAGCTGCTTTTCAACATGCACCTTAATCTGCAAATGCTCTGGCAACTTTCCACCTCGGCATCATGAGGCATGAAAAGGCCTGAGTCGGTTTTCCACGAAAGTCGCTTTGAAAACTTGCCAACCCTCTTGTGAACAACAGCAGAAGTATTCCTGCATAAAGCTCTCCACAGGTTTGACCTTTTTACCCGGGCCGCGTTTTTGGTGGAGCACCGGATCTTAAACTCTGATGTTCAAGCCCAGTTTCATAAGAGTAGACTTGGAGTAAAATGTTGACTGTTATTGTTTTATGAGGATCTAAATTTGTTTAAATTTGATAACTGCAACTAGGGCTGGGCCATAGACTGTATATACTTGGACAACTTGGTTCCACCTCTCGCCTGTATACGGATTTGAGGCCAAAAAGCTCTCGGTAATGCCGCGTTTTTTCTGTATTTCCTGAAACCAACACTGCGCAGAAGCGTTGCACGCTCTCCACCACTTATGCAGTAGCATTGTATGCATTTGGCGGAAGAGTCGCCGAGATGACGCTCGGCTCAAACAGCGTATCCCCCGGGTGAGCTACGCAATCCTTGTACACCCATAGGCTGTATCAAGTGTCAATCATAGAAAACATGAACCCTCTGATAACTTTTAAAACAGAAAAAAGAGGACTTGAACACAAACCAGTCTTACAAATACTACATATCAACATCACAACATCTGTGTCATTAACTTGTAAAGTTTGTCCACAGCTCCATAAGGATTGCTGGAGGGGGCGGGGTTTATGACCTATACTACAGCTCGTCACCAGAGGGTGCTGTTCTCGGGGTGGCGTGAAGTTGTGTAATACTTCTATAGCATCAACATTTAATATTCTGAACAACGTCATACGCCGCATGTTAGAAACACTGACAGAGCTTTCAATAAAGTTGTGAAGGAAAACCACCACGAGCGTGCAGAAAGGTCACAACATGTGTAAAAGCCGCCTGCCTGACCACAGAGAAGGCTGTACAGGAGGTTTCATTAGAGAAAAGGGCAGACGGACCAACAAAAACAGCCTCACAGACAGATCTTTAATCGGTGTGAGAAATTGTTGCATCCAGACAGAAACTCTGATGGACAAGTCAGACATGTGAGGAATATACAGGATAGAGGAGAGAGATAGAAGTGTAGAGTCCACACACCTTCTTTATCTGACCAAGGGTATTTCTGTGAGGGTTTATTTGAGGGGAGAGGATCCATCTCCAACACCTTGTACATCTGTCCGAATGCCATGAGTCTGAGGGAGTGCTGTCAAATGAACACAAAGGAGAGAAAGAAAATTTGAGAAGATTAATTCAACTGTGCCGAGTGTATAAACATAAACAGAGGAAGTTGATTTGCTTTATTCATACTCCAGTAATTAAATATCCGATCGAAGTGCAGTAGGATCTTTCATTTCTTGATTGCATTTCTGCGACCTTTAGTGCCTCCCTAATGCGTGCTCCTTTTCAACACTTAAACTCTCTGTTTCCCCAAATCTCTCTGAAAATTAAACCTCAAGTCACAACTCTGGAAATTAATTTCCAACATTGTCCTGAAGCACTTCACTCACAAGCTGACTCACTCATAAATTAAAGTCAAAAAAGGGGCAAACACAATCTTTAGACTTTGATAAGGAGCTCTAGTGAAATGCCCTGCAGTGTGCACTCAATATCTATCATAGTTTTATATAGACGTATGGCAATAATATTCTTTATGAAGACAGACTCCTCAAAACCACAAGTTTTCTCCTCATTTTAAATAATCCGTGTTATTAAAAAGCAGAATTTAAACTGCACTGGAACAGTTTTGACACCGGATGTTCTCTGATTTCTGTTTATAAAAAACAGCCTGTGTGCAATGCAAAAGAAGAAGAGCATAATCTACCATACAGCAACCATCAGCAGTCATCTAATGAGGATTCAGTTTTGATTAATTTCAATGAAACACATAACTGCATGCAAGAGCAGCTAACAAGCCACTCTGGTGCAGTGTTTTGTTACCATGCAGCACAGCCCCCGGAATAATCTCCAAGATGATGAGAGACTGGGCCCACACTGACCACGTTTGAGTCGAAGCTAAAAACAATTTTGCAAAGGAGAATTCATTTACAGCTGACAGCTAAGAGTTGAATGAATTTGAAGGAGCGCATTGAAAAACAAACTTTGGTGTTAAGGTTGAAAACTGGGAGAGAGTTGAAAAATGATACCTATCTTTATAAATGTTAGGAGACTACTCATTAACATAAAAGCACATGTTTGAATTACCATAATATATGCTGGTGCAAAATCTGGTGCAAAAGGGCAGAGGCTTGGCTGCATGTATGCATGAATGTTTGCACACATTTTGCAGCTCAACTCTTGGGACTCAAAGATTATAAACGTAAACATGCGTTTCGTGTTTCCTCCGTAATATGGATAACACAAGGCTGACCGGTATATGGAGTGATAATTTACCGTTCGCCATCTTCTGTACATACCCTGCAACCATGCAAACAACTGATGAGATAACCCGGATCGCACACAGGGAGCTCCTCTGCTAATATAAACCCATTAGGGAAGTGGAGTGTCTCAGATATTCATGAGGCTGCGAGTAGCTCATTGACAGAACAGCTCCCTCTCTCCTATCTGCTCTTGTATCTCCTCCAATACAATTATCCCCATTGACATTCAAGCCTCGTCCAGGCTGCCTTCAAAGGAAATGGTCGGCAGAATTCACTAAGCCGTGTGGCTCAGAGGCTGCCCCTGCTCAGCCGAGTGTGTGCGTGAGGAGGACATGACGGCACGTACGCACACATGGCGCATACACACACATACTGTCCTCAGGGGTGTCAAGGATGGATTTATGGCTCACAGTGGCAATAGTTTCCCACACTGATCATTAAAATTCAGCAGCACACGTCTATGTCAGGAGATACACACTTGCACCCGTGTGTGTGTCTGTGTCTGTGTAAAGAGAGTGTGTGGTTGGGGTGGTGATGAGGCCTTTCTGTCTGGTAATAGGCGTGCTGTTGCCGATTTCAACACACTGACAGCTCAGGGCGGCTACAGCTGGGCGGTAACAACTGTGTCCTTAAGTTGACGTGTGTGCATGTGTGTATATGTGTGTGCGACTGTGTGTATACCTGTGCGCTGTAAGTAATGGCCTCCGCCTGCTGGTCGGTCATGTTTGATAGTGTGTTTGTTGGCTCCTTCTCACATGGGTCGTGTAAACCTGGACCACCTGGAGGAGGAAGACGATGACACACATGCAAACATACAGAAAGTCAGACGTTGTCACTTGAGTGCTGACAATTCTGCTCGGCGACATCTAATTAGGCTTCCCTGACGTGGAATAAGCAGCGGACATACTGCCCATAAATAATCCCTGAGTGAAAAGAGCAGCAATAGAAAAATGATGAAACCGCTAACCTAATTATATTTGTCAAATTTGAGAAAAAACTCAAGAGCTATCCTCCCACTCTGACATTTAACCGCAGATTTGATCGTAAATCATGTCATTTGTTTACCGATTTTAAATGAAATTTATTTTCCGAGGTAATTTTAGGTGTTCTGTTTGTTTTATTTCCTCCATTTAATTATAGTTTTCAAATGGTATTTTGACTTTTTATTATAGTTTCTGTTTTTCCAATTACACATTCATAAAAGTATTCCCTCAGTTCGTAAGTTTTTGTTTTAATGACATTTTCTATTCATAATTTATTCTTTGATCAGTCAAAACCTTAAAACAACAGTGATTAACTATTAATAGCGGAGGTGACATCAGAGACCACAAAATCACATCATAACAAATAAATTATTTGGTAACACTTTACTTGACGCGTATCTCTATAACGCATTATTAATATATTTATTATGCATTACAATCACATTATAGCACTGTATAACTATAGTTATAAACACTCATAAGTGATCATAATGCTTTATAGCAATAATCACAACACGTGATAAAGCATTTTATCATGACTTACAAGGTAGTACAAAGTTTTTTAATGTGTTATAACTGTTAACAACTCACTGACAATGCCCACATAGATAATGCATTATACATATATTTATGATGTTTTATGATTTGATTATTAACTTGTATAACTATCATTATAAACACTTATTAACTATCATAAGGCTTTATTACAATATGCATAACACATTATAATACCTGACCTATTAAGTCAATAAAATGCTTATAATGACTGTTATGAATGTTTATAACTATAGTTATACAGTGCTGTAACATGATTATAATGCATTATACATATATTTATAATGTGTTATACAGATAGGCGTCAAGTAAAGTGTTACTTATTATTTTAATAAAAGTTTGAATTCATGTGTGTGCCAAATGTTTGTATCTTCAAATGTGGCTGGGAAATATGTGGGATACAGTTTGATGAAAGGGTGAAAATGCAAATTAGAATCCCTAAAGGGTGAGCGGAGCAGTGTTGTGAAGCAGCAGTGTTGTAAAAACACTTTTCCAGTATCCTTAATAACACTTGTAATAACAATTTTGTGCATGGGTTGTGTGGTGGGGGGATTATATTGTTTTCATCAATTTTCTGTGTAATTTTTATTAGCGATACAGATGTATAAAAGAGTCTGATTGATTGACTGATTGATTTAATGAGGAGAATTTCTCGACTTCAATTTAAAAATTGAAAATATTCTGTCATGTTACAGATACACTGTTACATGATCAGATCTCTTTCCGTGTTACTTGAGCACTTTTAAAATAAACTTTGAACAAAATTCAAGTAAATTTCCTCTTTTTCCTCAGTCAGTATGGTTGGTCCCTGGTGTTATAGTCGCTGGTGGAGTTTTGCATTCAAACCGCATCTCTGAAAAAGTCAAATGATGCTCAGTTTTCACACTTTGGGGTGTTGTTTTTTTTTCAGAGATTCACAGCTTTTCAGCAGCTCCTTATTAAGATTCTGCCAACGACGTCTTCCCTCAGACAGCTGTGCTCTGCTGGGTCATTTATAATGCCCTGACCTCTGATGTTTCTGCTCATCTGCCCAAATTTAGCATGCTCCCTTGTGCCATTCACCAGCAGTCCTGAGACCTATTTAAATATTCATGCATTCATTCAACAAAATTGTGTACCTGGTAGCAGTATGCCTGAGGCCAGACACTCCATGACTCGGCGCAGGGCCTCTCCAGCTCCCAATGGTCTGTTACAGGTGGCAATCGCCTTCTCACAGATGAGCTCTAGAGGCTGAGAGAACACACACACATACACACAAAGATGAACATACTAATGTAAAAGAAAACTCTGGCTAACAAGGAGACCAGATCAGATTTTAATGAGGCTCTATATGCTTTTTGTAGTACATCAAATTCTTTAGCACACACCTTTTATGCAAAACAGTTCATTTATATGTGACATCTGAGCACAACTTTTAAATCCTCACATAAAAATGAAGCTCTCATTATAGCAGAGGAGACGAAGGGTATTTTGTAATGATGCACAAAACAGCATAACAATGTGATCAAGTTCAAGGGGGCTGAACATTGGATTTATCACGGCACAGGACTCACCCATCCCTTGAGAGGTTCCCAAACAGGATGTCTATTACACATGTCTCTCAGTATCCTGAGAACGATAACGCAGGATTTGAGGCCATTCACCCGAGCCTGGGAGATGTACAGGGATGGGAAGAGAGGGCAGAGAAGGATGGATGCAAGAGGGAAGATTGGAAAGAAAGAGAGAGGAGGGGGACAAATTGAGCACAGGTGGAGTGGTTTTTGTGAAAACATATGCAGATAAAAATTTGAGTTTCACCACAAAGACACATAATAAGGTGACTGTATTTGACTACAACTCTTCATGAGCTCCCCACAGAGGATGAATAAAACATTTCTAATAAAGTTTACACAACTAACTCGACTAAAAACATTTGGCTAAACTTTTCTGTCTCTAGAAAATATCTACAGTTTTTTTTTGTAAGGCTTAATTTTTTTTTTGTCAGTAGGGTGGGTGAGTGGGGGGAATAGATGGGAAAGGGTATGGGAGGGGAATCAAAGGGAAGCATTGACATAATGTACAGAGCAGGCAGGTTCACATAATAGCAAAAATAAAAACAAGTATAAAACATTGCTTTTGTAGCCTCACGATGCTTCTTAAGCCCACGGTTTCTAGTTCAGTCAAACATTCATACATAAAAAAAAATCACTTTTTCATACAGTTTTTAAGATATGTGTGTTTAAGCTCAGGTGGAAGATTTAGGATTTTATTCAACTTTTTTTCTATGATGTTGTCAAAAACATCTCAAAGTCTGAATCTGAGATTTAAAACCACACAAATATACAGTATGAACATCAGCCAATTTGTCTTTCATGCTCGGATAATTTGAGATAAATCTCGCTCTGAATTAAAATACATGTTCTATTTTTATACCCAGTCCTGGTTGGTGTAAACCGAGTGGGCGTACTAAGCACTGCAGCATTAGCTGACGGTGAGTGTCTCCGCTCTGGGGTGAAAATCGTCAGGCTACAAAAAGCATCAGGCAGGAAGACAGGAAGTGAGTGGGTGCCGACCTGGAACCACTTGGCGTGTCGCAGCGCTGCCAGGGCCAACAGACATCTGTGTCTATCCAGCACCTCTCCCTCCTCCTCCTCCTCCTCCTCCTCAGCCTCCACTCTGTGCGCAGCAGCACCCAACACTGCCACAAAACAATAACAACCCAATATAGAAAACGTGAAACGCACACACGTCAAACCTGAGTGTGTGTGTTCAGGAACTTTTCTTTCATTTTTTGCGTGTGTGAATGTACGCAGACACACACTTAAAACCGTGAGTGAATGCACACATACACACACACATGCATGGATATTTTGGTTACATACAAGGCGCTTTTCATGCCAGAAACTTGTTCCTCTCCTTTGATGAATGCTCATAAAATCCTCTTCAATCTTTCCACATTTTTTTTTTTAGATTTTCAACACTGTGATCAAACAAACATGTGTTAAATGCATCACATGTCTGCATCCTTGGCATTTTTCAGTAATGCCCCGGATATCTGTCCCGTGTCGTATATTCACACGTGTTGAAAGCTGGACAAACTTTTCAACAGTGATGAGGTAGCGTACATTCATCCATTCACCGAGTAAACAGTGAAAGGAAGAGCATTCAAGTTTACAAAGGAAGAAACAACTTTTTGGGATGGAAAGCCTCCCACAAACATACACCAAACAAATACTTAAGGAGTGTTTGATTTAATGTGTGGGCGTTATTGGGACACACACGTTTCCCTGCGCCCAGCAAGGTAAATCAATCTCTCCTTCATGTATTTGAAGAGGATTTTATATATTTTGATTCAGTCTGCACCAGGCAGGAGTCAAAATAGGCGATCATCTGCATGTCTTCCTGATTTACTTAAGGTGCACTTGATTTCACAGACGTATTGAGAGAGGGGTGCAGAGGAAGCAATTCCTGTCTGGGGTGAACACAGAATCAAGCGCTCCTAAAGTGGAACTAAAAAAAAAAAAAGATAAGAAAAAAGGAATCTAAGATAGTTTTGGCCCAGTCTTGGACGAACACAACACAAGAGGGATCAAGGCAGGGTTTAGTCAGAGCATCGTGGTGGTAAAAGAGGAGCATTCTTCAGCTTTTTCTGAGTGAGCGTTTGATTCATGCTGCCCAACATATCCGGCGGGGTGGAGTTACTTTACTCTTTCCTGTGCGGATTCAAAGTACACGGTATGGAGGGCGAGCTGAATCAAACACGGCTGTATGTGAATGAGTGCAGCTACAGGGGGTTGCTAAGGAGGGTTCGCTGTGTGAGTGTGAAATAAAACCCACGGGGAGTCCCTGAGGTTCCTGTAATAACACTACGAGGTAACTATTTTCCTTATCGCTCTGCTGTCAATAGAAAATCCTTCTCGAGAGGTATTAAGCTGAAATGTCAAATAGGTAGCAGACCACCCCTGATCATCTGGCTGCTCCCCCTGTGACTGATGCATGCAGGGGTGTGTACTCCTGTTTGGTGCATCTAAAGTTAGTCGGAGTGATCCCAGCTGGACTTCCTCGATCTTAGTCTCTTTTTTTTGTCTCTGCTGGCTGCTGCCTCCCTCTCTTAGCACTCGTTTTAATAATTATTTCCTTCTCTGTTCCTGATGCCATCTTCTCTATCAGTCTGAAATTAAAAGCCATCCTATTTTTCTAATTTCCTGTCGCGGCATACTCCCTTCCTCTAGCGTAGAGCAGTGAGCTGAATCCCAGCTATGAAATATATGTGTGGGAAAATAACCGATAGGCAGAGCTCACTCAAGCAAATGTGACTTTTCACTCGAGTAAACAGGCTAAAATTCAACCCTTTTAGTAGTAGTATAAGCTAGCTAGCTATCGATTGAGCTGAGATTTATAAACAGGGGTTTTAAACTGGAGACATGGCATGCCAACACAACAGATTATTACCATTACCTGACCATTTTATCAAAGGGAACCGTGTGGATGTAGTCAATGGTTTTAAAGAGCCCAGAGGAGGTGCTGATATAGGATGTCACCGCCGCTATTTATGCCTGCTGATAACGTTTAAAACTGCCAGACCCCACCTTTTAAGATGTGACCCTATTAGACCGGCTGGCCCACATCTCTCAACCTCTGTGGCTGCCGGATAAAATCAGAGCAATTAGACACACCAAAATGACAGGTATCTTTATCCTTAGGGGAATAAATATACGACTCTGCGCGCGTGACAGCGTGGCCCTCATGGTGTATGATAGAGAAAACCAGAGCAGTCTGGCGTGATGGACGGCTAACCTTCATGCTATCTCTCATCCCTCTCTGAGACCTGAGTGCCTAGTTGGACGGGAGCCACAGGATGGATGGGCAGCTCACTACAGCTTGGTTATTGATTTCACTGCCCTGCTGGCCTTGCTCTCTCATCCCGCCTCCCACAACCAATTATAACCAGTTCCTGCTACCAATGAAAAGTGGGGGATGGGAGGGGAAGATTGTTATTTGACTGAACTTCAGTTTAGTGTTTCAGCTCTGATATTTGTTTCTTTTTTTCACTGGTTAATAATGTTATACCTTCTGTTTAAGGAAGGTGAGTTTGAAATGTGACAATAAAACACAAAATGATACTATTCCCATATAAATGTGTGTGTTTGTGTGTGTGTGTGTGTGTGTGCACTTTCCTACCTATCCAAGAGGGGAACTTGGCGTCGTAACACATTCACCAAGAGGGGACCGCATAGCCAACAGGGGACATTTTTTTAGGTCCCCTCTTAGTCATGCTAAAATCATGTGTAACACACTCTGGTGATTTTTTTTTAAATTTTAGCCAAGTGGGGACCTGAAGATGTGTGTGTGTTTAAGTCCATGCGAGGCTATCCCCCTGTAGGCTGGGGCCGGAATTACAACGACCCTTTAGCACACATCGTTTTACACACACTCCCTTAAGGTGTGAATGGTTTGTACTGAAGGCAGCCTTTCAGATTGCAGAGCGGCTGTTTAACAGGTTACTGGGTGCAGAACATGTCTCTTTAAAGATGTTTTCTATTCTGTCAAGGATCAGTCTACACTTCTGAAGATGCATTTTTTTTTAACATGCACATTACAGAAAAAAGCGACTTCCACTTTTTGGAATGACAAAGGTTCTCTGTTGGTTGGTAAATAGTGACAAAAGTTCCCACTTAGATAGTACGCTGCGACTTCCCACTCCGCCATGGATAAAAAAAAGAAAAAATAAGTACAATTAAAAAGTAAAATGACAATGTTAGATATATAATTTTGTTCAAATAGGACTTTTTAAATGCACATTACAAAAAAAAGGGAATTTTACTGATTAGAATAACAGAAGTTCCCTGTTGGCTGCTAAATAGTGACAGGAGTTCCCTCTTAGATAGCATAGAGCGTGTCTGTGTGTGTGTGTTTGAGTGTGTGCTTGTGTGTGTGTTTCTATGTGGCCTGAGAATTGAAAAAAATCCCATCATGGGGCTCCTACCTTGCCCGTTCTTCTTGTCCTGCTCCTCCTCTTCTTCCACCACCTCCTCCTCCTCCTCTTCCTCCTCCTCCTCCACCCCCTCCCCATTCTCCAACTGCTCCTGCTCCTCCTCCTCTTCTTCTTCCTCTTCCTCCTCCTCCTCCTCCTCTTCCCCGTCTTCCCTCATGGCAGGTGAGGTGAGGGTAATTTTCAGCGTGAGTTTGGGCTCTGTTGTAGTTTGTACCAAGATGGCCGCCTCGGGCAAGGAGCTTGTGACCTCGTATTTCTCTTCTGTCAGCTTCTGTCATGTGTCAGACGGACATAACTGGGTGGTCAGGGGCCAAGGTCACAACACGACACCAGAGCAAAATACATCAGAACCAGCAGCTGCAACAGCATCACCGGGTACCACATCTCGAGTCTTTCTCTCTCTCTCACAGATGCAGTTTCTTTCATCCATTTTTAAGAAACTCTCTGTTTGTTTATCTGCTGTTTCTCAGCGTTAGTCGTTCATGCCTGAAACTGCCCCTCTGTATGTGTACTGTGCTTCTTCATTCAGCCCCCATTCTGAAGGAATCAATTACTGCTGACCTCTGCAGTCAGGACTAATGATTACTGATGATAATGAATTCATGTCAGCGCATAGTGCAGCCACATTTGTAACTTGATACACATATACATCCGAGCACTTGTGTGCTTACTAACAAAAATAAATGGGGGAACAAGTACTACAGCAGCAGACAGGTTTCACAACAACGGCTCGCAGCATCGCCCACTGAGACACTTAAATAAGCAAACACGACAGGCAAGCACAGGTAGGCACTTACTCTTAAAGCCTCTAAAGTCACAGACAGGAATAAATACTAAATAAACAGAGGGATGAGTTAAAATGCCATAAGTCAAGTGGTGACCCTTACAGGAAATGTTTGTATGATGTTTTCCAATTGCATCTGCAGTGTGTGTGTGTGTGTGTGTGTTGGACTTGTTTTAACAAGCAAATACTCATGTTCCTGTGTCTGCAACTGGCTCCTGCTTTTGAACACAAGTTTGTACCTGTATTATTTATGTTGGTAGGCAGTTATCGGTAACACTTTACTTGACGCCTATCTCTATAATATATGTATAATACATTATAATCACGTTGTAGCACCGAATAACTATAGTTATAAACACTCATAAATGATCATAATGCTTTATAGAAATAATCATAACACATTATAAAGCATTTTATCAAGACTTAGAAGGTCAGGTATTATAATGTGTTATAACTGTTAACAACTCACTAACAATGCCCAGATAGATAATGCGTTATACATATATTTATGATATGATTATAAGTTGCTTAAAACTTGTATAACTATCATTATAAACTCTATGCTTGATTTGGTTTCAGCCAGGTTTAACTTTGGGAAGGAAATGAACAAAATGTAATTCAGTACATTTTCTCCTAAGTAACAAACACATGCGCAGGTGTGTTTCCATGTTTTTGTCTGACACAGCTTAACTGTGCAGGATGTCACACTAGGCTATCTACATCCCAATTGGCTCTGATGAGAAAATCAGAATCTTTGGTCAATGGGCCGAGACATGAGATTACCTCCCTGCCCACACACAAAAACAGATGCACACACACACTTTTCCCTCCCCTGCCGTTCTCCCTCTCACACCACTTAACTGCTAAAGAGAATGAGCCGAGTGGAGGCACAGAAGCAGAATTTATTCATTGAATAATTTCAGCTCTAACAGGCCAGGATGGGGAGATTTTGTCACGTTAGTGGGTAATGTTAAATATTTCCACAACTTGTCCAACAGACTTTTAGGCAAAGGAAAAATTCTGTGAGCTACCGGAGTACATGTCAAACTTTTTATGTAAGGGATTTACCAGAAATGCTTTCGATAAATATATAAATAAATAAATTATTTATTTACTTACTAATTTTGTTCCTCTTTAATGTACTTGTCTAATTCTGTACCCTTTATTTATTTATTTCTATACATATATATATATATTTATATATATATTTTTTTCCTTTCTTTCCGTTCTGTATCTCTAGGGAATAACAGGGAGAGTGGGAAATTATGTGGCTAAAAAAAAAAATAAATAAATAATAAAAAAGGGGACATTTTTCTTTGGTTGTCATATTATTGTGAAATAAAAAAGACGTTTAAAGATAAAAAAAAATGCTTTTGATTATGTATCATTAGAAGGGAAAAAAATACTATTTAAGTCATGTTTAAAAGATAAAATATTTGCACATTAATCTCTACATTTTGTCTTCATTTTGTGTGCACTGCAGATATCTGAGTATTTGGTGTCCAATATGTGTGTTCACGTCGAGAGCTTAATTTCTGATTCATGACTTGTTAATGAGGAAACATGACACCGAGGAAGTGATGAGACTATTTATCACACATGACTACAACACCTCTCAACTTCTCACTTGATATTGCTGTCATTTGCCGACTTGTTGCCAACACTCACTGTGCTTCTCTGCACACCTACACACAACTTCAACAAACACTCATATCAGCGAGAGCCAGCAGAGTCGAGCACGAACACTCATGAAATTTGCAATCATTTCTAAAAGGTTTGATTTTTGACATCAAAGTGGATCTTGCGATAAAAAACTTCAATTTTTGGTTAAATTTAGCAAACATTTTCGTCACTGGTGTGGTAATTTAAGACTCCAGTACTATTGTGTTTGTCAGTAAGTTAAAAAACAAACAAACAGTGAAAGGAGACAAAGAAACAACAATGTGTGTGTCTCCAAACTTCACATCTTACCTCTATCTGTGTGGGCAAATTGTGACAGACAGTGTCCAGCAGTGTCTGCGTTGGTTTGTCTCTGCACATCAGCACAAGCTCCAGGTCCATGTCGCCTTTGATCAGCAGGCCTTTGGCCACCAGGCCGATCCTCATCACGCCACACAGCACGCCACCACAGCTCGGCTCTCTGTGTTGAAGAGAAAAATCAACCACAGGTACGTTTCTTTGACTGCTAGGGCCAATACATTTCAGATCATAGCTAATAGATTAAAATGTTACCTCCCTTTTTTAAATAAAATTTTCTCATCTTCTGTCAAACTCTTTTTCTTTTTTTTCCTGGATGTGTATCAATATTTAATGTAGCCTTTTGGAAATAGCTGTGAGCGTAACAGATTCAAATACAAGGTGCCTGTCAAGACAGCAAAATAAGACCTGACAAGGCAATTTCAGACTTAAATGGAAAGAGGTGAACCCTGATAAAAGGATTCATGAGCATAGCCAACCACGGAGAGTGTGCCCTGAGCTTGTAAAGAGGTTAAGTTTGTTAACTCTAGTGCCAAATATGTCCACGCAATTCCCACTAGCATGTTTTATAAAAGCAGACAAGTTTTTCCTCAAAAAATGTTTTTAAAGCTCCCTGAGGAAATTCCTGAAAAGAGTCAGACTTAAACAAACACAAAAAGCACCTCAACCTTCCTCCTACATGATGTCAAGTTGTTGAACTTTTTCGATGGAATAACCAGGAAATAACAGTGTTTTAAACTCTGCTCCTCTATAGTGTCACCTGTAGCTGTCGGTGGAGTCCTCCGTTTTTTCTCCAGGCTCATCTCCAGGATCGTCCTCCTCTGTGCTTTCTGCGGGTTGGCCGTCGACCTGGCTGCAGGCGTCGCTGCTGCTCTGATCCAGCCAATCAGAGACGTGTTTAAGGGCGCACTCCACAGTAGACACTAGCGTCTGCACGGCCTCCAGCTCCTGCGTGGAGGGGTAGATGGTGGAGTGTTTCGCCATGACGTGGCGGTCATCGTTACTGAAGGAACGGAAGGACCTCTGAAAAAAGAAAAGAAAAATAAAATAGTAAGAGTGTTTGAAAAACCTTTTAAATTATTATTTTTTATATTTTCAGCAAGAGGAATGCTGGAGACGGGCTTTCAACAGCAGATTGGGTTTTAATCCATCAAATTAAGCTTCGGTTCCCCCATTGGAGACTTACAGCGCCCAACCACACAACCAAAATATAAAAAAACACATCAAGACAAACGTTTGCACAGACGGGTATATCGCAAACCAACAGCAGAAAGCTAATTAAAGACAAACACATCATGTGTGGGTACAAATGGATTTTTGTGTGCGTCTGCTTTTATGCACACTGGACACGGAGAAATCAGTTCTCAACTCAGTGACCCTGTTATACTTGAATATCCTAGAAATTTCTTTGTTCACTATTTTTTTCTCCACCTGTTCAAACTCCATTAGATCTTCTTTCGGCTCTTCAGCCCGCCGTTGCTCTCAGTAACTTTCTTTGGGGTATGAAGAAGAATCAAACTTTAGAGGATTGAAATCGTGTGGGAGGCATCAGACATCTGACAGAGAAGTAGAAGGACGCCACAGATGCCGAGGAGAAAATGAAGAGAAAGACAGCAGAGATGGGCCCCACTGATGAATCTTTAAAAAGGCAAAAAAAGGGGGGAAACGTTTATGGGAGACTCAGCTGACTTCAAAGATAAATGTGAGGCGAAGCATCGATAGAAAGCACCAGGTGTAACTGAAGCTTTTGTGACTCACGCTCTGCAATTAATACCACCCAGATGGGTCCCTTTGCTAATACACACTCATAAACAAACCCTTTATGATTTCTGCTTCAGCTGCTTTTTTTTCAAGTGTCACAGCTCTGCAGTGGGTGGCTGTTAATGTTGCTAAATGTTTAATTGAAAGCACTTTGATATAATTTACATATCTGACCGGTAAGAATTAGCACTAATGTAATTTGAACAAAGTGAGCCAATGGGGGCTTGTGGTAAGTATTAATGCACAAAACAGATGACTGGATAATCCTAATGCAAGTTTAATTACATCCAAGTGCATCGTAATGCATCATCCAAGTATTACAGTTGCACTAATACATATAATGTAAATTATGAGGGTATACTGTATAATTAATAACAGAGACACCCCTATAAGTGATGATAAATGCATTACAACTCTTTTCATGATGAGTTATTTAACATCAGCACAATTTTAGTCGAACACTTATTTGTTTTTTGACCTCGCTGTGAAAGATACCTGATTCTGATTGCTCAACACAACACAACTAGGGATGCACTGATCCGATCCAGCCTTTTTTTGCTTCTTTTACTTAATTTTTCTCTTAATACATGGAAGTCTTACTTCTTTTTGCTGTGTGCTAATGTGCAATTTGTTAGTAAGTAAAATTACATCTGTGTTAATTTGTTATCTTTTTTTAACAAGGCTAAAGTCAAGCCTGATGCCTTCACTCACAGGGCGAGGTTCATTTATTTACCAGATCGGTATAAGATATCAGCCGATATGCTCATCACAGTGATCAGCTGTGAGCTTATTTACTCGATCAAACTTGGCGAAAACGTGCATCACAACAGCCAATCAGAGTCCAGCTTTTCCTGCTCACTTCTGTAAGTTGCTGGACAAGTAAACAGAGTGACCAAACGTGGAGCTGAGGGCAGTAAAATAGATGTCAGCTATGACTTTGAGTCATCCTCCAAAGATGTTATTGTTGAAAAGAAAAAGTTTTTTAACATCTTGTTTAGTATTTATCTACTTATTTTTTTAGTTTTAAGTACAGATGCTTTAAAACTGACAGTTTAAAAAAAATCCTGATAATAATCGAGATCGGACAATATGGCAAAGTATATCGTGATCATCTTTTTGGCCAAATCGCCCAGTCCTATGCTCAGCCCAGGTATCGGTCTCGGATTGGGTTGGAAAAAAATGGATCGGTGCATCTCTAACCACAACGCTGGTGATTAACTCTGAATAGAAAATGCAACTAAAAAGGACAACCTGATCTCACAAAATCAAAAAATTAATTCTAGTTTATATAACCACTTGATCCCTTATTCATCTATGACTTTTAAACACACAATATTAATCATTATATGTTTTTTTTGTTTGTCTTTTTACAAGCCTTGTAATAGTGGTTGGGCTCATATCTCAGTCATTTACACGACCTCTTTGTTAAATTGGGAGATATAAATATATCATTTCAAACTAATGACACGGTGTTGTTACATCATTACTTGTCGACCCGAATCCAAAAGCAAAAAAGGTTCATTTTTTATCATTAGATGTTATCGCACCGCCTCAGGGAGCTTAAGGTGCATAACTCAGTTCAACACAAGGAGGCCGCTCTCAACAAGCCGCTTATCTCCAAGAGCCACATTTCCTTTTATTCACTACACACACTGAGTCAAAGAGAGCCACACACCAGGTAGGCTAAGTCACACACATATGGACACACATGGAGTAGAGATGACCTTTTCGTAGTAGCAAAGATAGTGTAGTTTGAGCCCTTTCAACCTACTTGAAATACTTGAAACCACTGCATGTTTGCACATTTGAAGACACAGACATGAAAATAACACAAGTACACACACACACTTCAATCCAGCTCCTAATTGAACTGGTGACATTCTCGCTCACCAGACTGAGCGAGATAAAGCCATTTACTGAACAGAGGACAAGCCCAGCACAATGACTGCAGGCTGACAGGCTGTGTAAGCTCAGTATGCAGAGGGTGGTAGAAACATTTGGCAAGGGTGACACATTGCAATCCCGGCGGGACTCAGCGGTGATTCTTCTACACTTTGGCAGGGCACGCTGGAGTGACATGAAGTGAATTAAGACACCCTGTAAGAAGATGCAGGGATTAAAAATGTATGTATGAAGCGTCATTGCATCATGTCTTAATTTGATCAAATGACGTGCATCACTTCGTTTGACATTTTGAGGGCAATTCATTCATTTATGTAACTTGGAAAGCTGTTTTGGTTCAAGGTGTTGAAGGTTCATAATACGTAAGAGGAAAAATAAAAATATCAGTTTTACTATTTTTAACAACAGGAAGTGAAGCAACAAGAGCTTCACAGGTAATTGAAATAGAAAATGAAGCTTGAACTATCTTTGACTTCTTAAAATAAAGCAACAAAAGATTTGATTTATTAATATTCAGCTTATTTTGTTGATGCACAAAAAAGCTTCAGATAGCTTTTGATCTTACAACCTGATTTATTTTAGATTATTAGGAAAGATCTTTCTCCTCTGAATTATTTATCGGCTCTAAACAATAAAACAACGGTCATATTAATACAGGATAAAACAACAATCATTAGATTAGGCAATAAACCGTACTGCTACAATCATAGCCTGCTGGTATCCAGGAGAGCACCACAGTCTCAGGTGAAATATTGCTTTTATACAACAGTTCAATGAGTGTTCGGTTTTGAGCCGCAGCAAACTTGTGTTACTTTCAGGTTCATATCAGCCGTCACTGTGATGGTGCCGGTGCAGACAAACATAAGTCCCTGTGGGGTGCAGCTCTCGGAGGACCCTTATTCAAAGAGTCCCAGAACTGTTTGGTCCAAAAACACCTTATTTTGACAAACATGGAGTCCCTGTAGTCCAATTAGACCTCTTAGTCAGAACAGAGGTGTTTAATAAGCTATAAGTAATTTCAACAAGTTAATCTTCTCTAAATATTTTGGCCTGAGCACAAAGACCATCACTAAAAAAGTGATAGCTGTGTGACTGTGTGTGTTTAAATCTGTATGTGCCTTTCTACTTGTGTGCCTTGTCAGAGCAGTGTTTAACAGACCGACGGTCGGAGATTTTATGAGCCGTCGCTAATGGGAGCTCCTGCAGCCATAAACCACACGGCCAAGAGAGTTCTATGTTTTTGTGTGTGTGTGTGCGAGTTTGTGTGAGGAGGTACTACTTGACCGTGGGAGTTGTTGCCCAGCCACTCCGATCGCCATGTAAATCAGAGCAGTTAAGGAGGACTCACTGACAGGAATCGACCTCCCAGATCAGCGAGTGCCCAGATAATGTTGCAGACATTTAGACAAGTGACGCTATAAGTCAGCTAATGTTGCCAAGAGGAGGATGGATTGCAGGATTTTGCAGTGACATGCTTATTTGAGAGGAAGGCTGAGGTGAAACTTTATGTTTGACTCTGTGTTTTTCATTATCTCGTACATGTTTAGTTGATACAATTTATATCTTTTGAAATTACTGCACCTTTTACTGGTGCAATATTTCAAGTGATAAATGAAAAGGAAGCATTTTTTATTAAAACCAGCTCACTATATGTGGTAGGGCCGTTCTACATACTGAAAATAATGCTGCAGCCCAGTTGTACACGGATGTCGAGATGTCTGAGCTCCAGGTCGGAAATTAATCTGGTACGCACCCCAGAAGTCAGATTTCTGACTCAGAAAGTCGGACAATCCTCACCAAACCCGACTTGACGACAACGTCACATTTCAAGATGGCAGCGCAGTGCATCAACTGTAAAGAGTAACAGTGAAAGCTCTTGTAATGTATTGTTTATTAGCACTTCTGTTTTGTTTTTGTGAAATTAAATGAGTGGTAAAGTTGTACTGCCCAACGTCTGACTGTGAACACAGTGCTATAGTGTTTGTTAGAGTAAAATACTGTGTTATGCGTTGTTTACAACTTGTATAGCTAACAACAGCTGACAACCACTAACAACAGCCGACAACTGCTAACAACAACTGACAGCGGCTAACTACAACTGACAATGGCAAACAACAGTTGACAATTGTAAACAACAGCTGACAACAGGTAACTGCAGGTGTCCATCTTGGTTTTCCAAATTCTGACTTATTAACTGGAACACCATCAACTCGGATGTAATGTCATTCCCAGCTCCGATATCCGACTTCCGAGGTAACTAGGATGCAGCAACTTTTTTTTTATCTACATTAAAGCTTTTTATTTATTCTGTATGATAAATTCAGACTCTTGTGATGTGTTCACCCAAATGCTCTTATTGCGCTAAAAATTAAACTGTGATAAATTTTGTAGCTCTGATATCTGGCTATAAGATATAACCAGTTGATGCAGGGATTATTCAGTGTTGATATATTTTAACCTGCCGTAAAGCTCTGCTCACACTGATGACAGATGGACCCTAAAAAAGATGCACACTCAATCTGCTGGAGGCAACACCTTGCTCGTCCTTGAATCCACCCTGAACCCCTTGTAACCTTGAGGTCAATTGCACAATATGTCCTGCTGTCCGAGGATGCATGTGTAAGAGCAAAATAAATCATAAATGATGGTTCAGTCACAAAGGACCTCTATCCAGATGCCTGTATCAACCCCCACTGGCACTTACACAAATTTAGACTGTGTCCAATCTCAGCGCGTTGACCTACAGATGATCCTGGGCTGTGATTATTCAGTTAAGCTGTCAAGGGCCAAGGTTGTTTATTAGGGAACATATTCAATATATTGAATATCAAAGATCGGGGTAGATTTGGATATTACATTTTCATTTGATGCAGCAAAAATAAAACGGACAACAAATCTTTGACCAAGTGTGCTGGCTTAGGAAGGACACAGACGCAGTCGAGCCAACCAGACGGGTTGTTAATAAGGTCACAGTTTATCCATATTATCTAAATCGCTTTGATTAGAGCTAAAACTGAAAGTGAGCTCGCACAACATGTCAAAAATACTCTTCTTAATTGGCTAATCCAGGGATTTGTTTTAAACCTACCTGATCGCCTCACTGCTCTGTTCTAATATCAGAGATTAACCTCCAAGGTTCAATGTTATTACACGGGAGCAAGGGTAGAGCCAGACTCTTGTGACGGGACGGCCAACCGGGGCAATGATTTTGAATTTTAAATATATTAACATTTATTACCCTCTCTATCTCTTATATCATTATATCTATTTTTACTATATGTTTCATGACGTTTCATTTATTTTGGATCTTTTTTAAAGTGATAAGAAGGAGGTTACACATTTTAAGGATATAAAAGAACAGATATATTTTCAGTTTCATAGTCAAGAGTACTAACAAATTCAACAAAGCCATTGGCAGCCCAGTGCAACAAACCACAAAAGGTGAATTTTCATAAGTCGTGCATCTAAAAAGGCAATATTAAGTCATAGTTTAGGATTCAGGATTTTGGAGGTGGCCTCTGGGGCATCCAAACAAATTTTAAAGGAAGCACATAGTACCCCCTGACCACCCCTTCAGTAACCCCTAACATCTCCTGATATCCAAATGTACCAAAATGTCTCAACCCGTTTGCCTTGCTGGTTATAATTCCAGCATTTTTACCTTTTTTTCTTAAATTCGCACCATACAAATCTTGTTTTTATATTATTGTAAAATATTCTTTAGCAGTCAAAATACATCATAGAGTTTTCACATCGTTATTTAATCAGTGACAGGATGGAAGCGATCATTAATTTAGATTAAAAACCTGGATACAAGCAAACTGTGTTTCTAGAGCTTAAACATGTTAAAAAATAAAGCAGAACGTTTACCAAAAATAAAAAAAACTTACAACTTTATGAGGGCACGGCTAAAAGAGCATGAGGACAGCTACAGTCTGTTGCCTGTCAACTAAGGAATCCCAAACAGACACACACAGATAAAACTGTTTAATCCCAGCTAACTGTGAGCCACCAGCACACACCCTGTACTGTGTGTGTCTGTGTAAGTGTACACATACCTTCATATAGCATTGTTGCATAGTGCTTTTAGACAGCACACTTACCAATTACCCTCCATTTCACGCTCCAGTGAGGCCGACCGGCTGGCAGGCCTATGTTACATAACCACATTACACAGCATTTACAACTCAGTGTGTACAGAACTCATTTGTCCACACACCAACACAAGACAACTTTGTACACATCACAGAATAAATGCAATAAATCAGTTATTTAACACAATTCTCATGTGTCATATTCACATTATATGTATCACAAAGAATATCTGCCTCGCATACACACACAGATTACTTCTATCGCTTTCATCCATCACCTCCCATTCTGCTCTAATGCCCTGCAGTAAAGCCATTTCAGTCCAAGGTGTTGTGGTTAGACACGCACCCTGTCAGCAGAGGCTATTTCACTTTAGAGGCTGCAGCAGAATCCAACGACTTTCCTCTCCATCGCTGCCTGTCTCTTCCTGTCTCATCTTGTCTCTCTGCGACCATCTGCTATAAATTACATGACCCAATGCCAAGGACAAGACTCACTGGAACAATATCAGCTGTGATTGCAGGAACACTCTGTTCATGTCTTATTGTTTCTTTACAAATATCATCCTATTGCCTGTTATTTATATATCACCATAATAGGACATGTCTATATATGTGTGTGGGCATAAAGCGGGTGTGCTTTTATTTCGCCTAAACTGCATGCAATCGAAGTTGAGATGACAGCACATACTTTGAGGTATTGTGAAAAGAGAATTGGAGATGACAGAGAGAGGGGGATGACGGAAAAAGCCTCAAAAAGTAAACAAACAAGGTCGGAGAAAGCTGAGGGCTTGATTGATAGGGATACAGGGACATAAAGACGAACTGGTTTTAATATTTCCCTCAGGTGCGTAAACAATATCTGTTTGTAATGAAGTTGACGACACAGTCTAAACACCTCCTGAAAAAAAAAAAAAAGCACCCATAAATACCAAGCAAAACAATTTCAGAAGTGGTGTCTGAGAGGATGTCACGCCTTTTTAGTCCAACACAAACCAAGCAAAGCTGTAGCAGAACAGAAAATTCAAAAACTTCAAATACCCGTCGCAAAATAGTCTAGGAGTGAGGGGAACAAGCAACACACACACTCACAAAAATAAAATAAAATAAAAACCCCTTAGTGCTGTCTCCGTAACATCCAGCAGCCTGAGGGAGATTGCATTAAAAATTCATTCAGTGATTTATCTGCACTCTGCTCGGCAAGCCTGCCCTCCACACTCCACTATCCTGCTTTATTGTGCAGTCACACACACATACATGAGATTAAAGGGGGCACATACATCAGAATTTTAACGGAACATCACATTTATGAAAATATGATACCCCTTAAAAAACAAATAGTTCGACTCAAGTGTCCTGACATGATATATTTTAAAAAGTATTTAGAAACCTGATATAAAAAAAAGCACATCATCAGCGTATAAACTCATCTGAAGTTCGCTGAAATCAAACAACTTTATGATCTTCTTTTCCAAACTACAACATCAACTGTCTGCTTCACACTTAAGTCATGTTTTTTTTCAATCTATGCTCTTTGCCCCCTTAAAAGTGTCTGCATTGTTTAAAAGGTTTATTGCCTCCCCATAAAGTGCTATAACCACTAAAAGCAAGCAAGCTGACTTTGCACCATTTCGGGGCATACTATCACAGCGCTGAGTGTTGTGATTGAGGGGGAATACCAGAGAGCAATAATAAAAACATAAAATGATGTCATGGTAAAGACTGAGGGAATAATCTAATGACCGCTTTTAGAGCCTTTTAGTTTTTATCTAATGGTTAAAGGTTATGAGACAACGACAAAGATATACAGCAACAGAAGTGAGCCTATTTCCAGAGTTGAGTGTATTTTGCTGAAAGATTAAAATTCTTGGTTGCGTCTTGTTTGGCTTTTCCTGTATGAAGACTTGCTTACAGGGAAAAAAAAAATCAGATTTAGAAAACTTCATAGATTAAAGTCAGGGACTGGAGAATACTCAGAGAATTTGCTCCTGTATGTCAGGCTAAGTCTGATCCATTTTAAATGCCGGTATCTGTAAGAGAACAACTCTACAGGCTATAAATCGACTTTGACAGGTGGATATATTGAACTCGTTCAAACTGTGTGAAAATGAGGAATGAGGAGTCAGACAAAAGTGGACAGTATATGTGTTCATTAATATGAAAAATTCAGTTAAAAGTCGATAAAAAACTGTTTGGTGTTTTGTGGGATTAATGCAGTGACAGGCTCACCAAGGTCACCAACGGTATTTGCTGCGTCACCATAACTCAAGACTAATCACAGCAGGCTACACACACACACACACACACACACACACACACACACACACACACACACACACACACACACACACACACACACACACACACACACACTGGTCTCATTACCCTTGGTTATTTATGAGCTCAACCCTGTGCCCTCTTCCGCAGCGTCCAACCTCAGCATCTTCAGCAACATCTTGTTTTCTCTCAGTCATTCATTTTTCTCCTCCCCCACCCCCTTTTTCTTTCTCTCTCTCTCTTTCCATTCCTACACCCAAACCACTCTAGCACTCCTCTCCTTTTTGGACTAATTTTTCCTTCTTCCTCCTCTTGTTCTGGTTTTCAATAATTCATCTTCTGCCCTGCTCCCCCTCCTCAGGGAAAAGGCTCCCACTGTCACGGGCTGAGGCCATTAATCAATCCCTCGTCTCTCTCTCTCTCTCTACCTCCACCTCGCTCTGCTCTTAACCTCCCTTCTCTTCCTTATTTCTCCCCTCTACACTTCTCTTCCTGCTTTCCACATCCGTTATGCTTTTCATCTGTCATGTTTCTGTCCATCAGTTATGTTTTTATGGTTTTATCGCCCCCCACTTGTCATTCTCCCCCTCCAGTAGGCGCTTTGATCTTCTGAGACGCCCATTTCCTCCTCTTTTACACTGCACTTCCTCTTCTGCAGCTTCCTCCTCTCGCCATGAGCCGTGGTGAAAAAAACATTTTTTTTCTGAACTCATTAATGATAGTGTTTTGAGTTATATAAAAGAAAAAATAATAACAATGAACTGGTGATTTTTGTTTGACATCAACAGAATAAAACAGGAAAGATACAACACTTAAGAATAATTGGGGGTAGTGCAACAAATATTGTTGTCTGGAATGATCACAGATCGAATCAGATTTCCCTCCAAACTGACAAACATTGTCTTCACTTTATGATTGAGATTCTCTATCATCAGTATGGGATTGTATAATGAAGATTCATGTGTTTACCATTGCTAATATAATGGCACACATGCATTTTCTGTACATTGCAGTACTTTAAAAATTTTGGCTGTGAAAATGCAGCTTGTACGATGAAGAACCTATAATTTTATTTTTATTTTTTTTAAATAACCAAAGGATTAAGTGTCCATTTTTTTGCCCTGGCAGAGCTTTTTTGATGCTCTATTTGCAAATGTGATCTTGGCATTAATTATGTTTTGGTGCTAGCAGCCTCCTCTTCACCATCATTAGTCACTCAAACCAAGAAGGGGCGGGACTTCTGTTGTCGACCTTCACAACAACAATGGTGGAGGTCCAAAATAATAAAAATAAAAACATGGTATGGGTAAAATATCCATGTCTATGAATTGCTTGAAGTTCTTTCTTAAAATATTTCATTGAATTGAGACAATGTGAAGCATACAGAGAACTTTAAAACAGACTGGAGAAAGTGCAGCAGGATAGCTTTTGAAAAGAAAGTCTGTTGGTCAGAAGTGCTATGAGTCTATTTCCAATAACTTGTTTACATCATTTAAAAGTGAATTTCAAGTTGTGCTTTAATGAAGGGAAAAATGTCTTTGTTTCATATCGACAAAAGAACTGTTCTCTGCTTAAATTATTCCCACATCAAAACCATGAAGTGTTTTGAATTAAGGGAATAGCGAGTGCTCTATTTGATGCGCCCTTCAATTTTAAAAAGCAGGAAAAAAGAAAATAATGGTGAATTTTTGTTAACTGACAATTTCTTTTTTACAGCATTCATCATATCAAATAATCCAGCTGTTGGAGTTGGAGACTCAACAGTCTTTTCAGGACGAAACATCAGAAAACTAGTAACTTCCAGTAACTAACCTGGTTTTCTGTTTTAACTACTCTGTTTCTTTACACTAATCCTTCTCACTGTTCTCCACTTCCTGTCATTATTCATCCCCCTCTCCACCTCCCGTCTTCTTCATGCCTCTGTCTTCTCCTTCTCCTTTTTACCCGAAGATAACAGATACTCTGTGCATTTCCTCTCCCCAAAAAGCTCTCCCCTCCTGTCCACACTATCGCTTTTATCGGGTATCTCTTTCTGACACTCACACTGTGTGGTCATGTCTTCAGCCTGTTATCAGATTGGACTCTTTCGCCCTCTAGTCTGAGGAGTCTTTCTCAACTCTGCTGTAGATAATCCACCACCATCCCAATGCACAACAACACAACCACTCACACATATTTACCACACGCACAAAAAAAAACTTCAAACAGAGAGGGTATTACCATGCCTGCAGGAGGAGTGGTCACACGTTTCCTTCCTTCTGACGCCCACTCCTGGAGTTGCTGGGCGTTTGGTGAGGGGGGGGGCGAAAGTAAGGTTATCGGTCAGGAAGTTGCTGTCAAACCGTTTCCCCTCCTCATGTGCTCCTCTGTAACTCTGGCCACCACTGAACAAGAGGTTGTACTTCTAAAAGATAAGAAAAGACAGGGGAGAAAGATAAGGGATGTGGCGTCTTCACAAACAAGAACTGCTGTTTTTTTAATGATTTATTATCCGAGAAAATACTTGAAAATGAAGCAAAATGTGAACGAGAAGGAGACGCATTGTTGTGTTAACAGCATCAAACGCATCATTTTCAACCTACATCTATTCAGCTAGGCAGAACCCAAATCTCCTCACACCTTTAGTTGACCCAAACACTCTCTCACACACACACACTGACACATAATCTTAGATGCAGGGGTGCAGTCTCGGTCCTGGAGTGGAATATCTGACAAAACTGTCGATTGACCCGTGTGGAGTAAGACAGATGTACACACACACACACACACACGAGGCACACACACAAGCACATGCGAGCATGCACACAGGATTTCATTCATTTTTCATGAGCTGGCAGTGATCTGAGGGAGGGGGAATGGGGTGTAACACAAACGTACTCTTGTTCTCATACACTGGGTTACACACTTTAAGCCTTAAACACCCACCTCTGTTCTTACACACACATGCGAACTACACATAAAATGCTTTTTGTCCTGTTCTTGTGAAAAAAGAAACACATAAATGTGCATTAAGTGAAGAAAACAGAAGGTTGTTATACGAAGCGTGTACATCGCGTTTGAATAGTCAAACATAAACGCCAAATCAATTTCACTGACAGCTCTGTGAGTCCACACACTGGTCATCATGAATGCACAGTGACATTTCCACCCACTTAATCCATGAAGTGGTGACAATGTTGTGTGAAACAATAATAATGGGATTTGTGCCTTACTCTTAAACACTGTGTTTTACTTTGGAGCACTTCTGATTCACCCTGTGATGAAAACTAGAGAGAGCGCCAGGAAACAAATTGACAGCACAAAACTCTGAGCAGGATTTAAAATTACAGTGTTTAGCGCTTGGCAAGGGCCGGATCATTGAGCTCCAGAGTGCTCCTTCCAATACAAAGTGAGACGGTAATGGTTCTAACCTTATCTCTTCCTGCCTTTTATTCCTTTCAGGGAAGAAAAAGCAGAGGTGACAGTACAGTAATAAAGACAGAAAGATGTCTGTGAAAACTCTGGAAACACAGAACCAAGAAAGAAAGAAATCCAGGGACAGTAAATTTATTAAACCTTTTTCTTTTCCATTCCTTTAATGATTCATGTAACTTCTAAACTTCCAGCTCATCTTAGTGCACCGTAAAGTAAAAAACCATAAATCTAGTGTTGCTATGAAAACACTGCAGGCCAGTTTTATCAGTGCAGAGCAAGCAGAAGTGAACAGATACACAACGTTTCTATTCACAACTTGAAATGTCAACAGCATCACCGCCGACAGTACACAGAAGCATCTGGTCACAGTCAGACCAGAGCAATGACATTTATAGAGCGGCGCAGGTCTGCATGTGTGCACACGAGAGTTTCAAACTGGATTTTCGCAATTTCAAGAGTCTGATGGTGGAGAAGGTGTGCGGGAATGCAGTCATGTCATTGTCTGTAAATATGAACTTATGTTAATATGATGAGGTATTGGTATATGTAAATACATAGAACTGCTGACTATTACTTATTGAGAAAGGAGAAGGGGTAGGATTAAATAAGCATTTGCTTCTTCCTACTCCTTTTCGGACATGTTAACATTGTTATGTTGTTTTGACTATTTTGATTTGGGGTTTTTTGTTTTCTTTGTTTAGCTTGTTTCTTTATTTTTATCATGTCCGAAATAAAGCCTTCAATCAATCAATCAATCAATCAAGTGTGAATGTATATGGTACGGATGGGATATTCAGTGAAATGTTCACTAAACTGCTGTTGGCTTTAGCTAAATATCGAACATTTCCACCAACTAGATTTAACTAAAACCTTTATAGTTAAACTTCAGAAACCTGGTTTGATCACAAGCCGAAAACTCTGTTATTCTAATTGAAACTTGTGCTGCAGATATCAAGAAATCTGTTTACCCAGCAGACCTATTTCAACAGGCTGTTTGTCTATTAAAGGTCAGGAAATAACAGAAAACACCCATTAGTCTCTCAGATTACAACGCTGTGGTTTCAAATGTCATGTTTTTTTTCTGAGGATATTTAGTCGTAATGATATAAAACAGACACTGAAAAAAAACAAAAACACTTTCAGACCTTTTTTTGTTTGAAAATGACTGAAAGGTTAGATCAAAAATGGCACAGGAGAAGCCAATTAATTGTTGGTTGCTTAAACTATGGATTAATTCAACCCCTAAAAAATAGCTGAAGATATAAAAGCAGAGGTAAAACGTCATATTTAAAATTCGTTAAATTTGACCTGCACAATCTATGGTTTTTACACTCCATCTGTGCATTAAACAGCCTCTTAAACAGTCTGAGTTTCATCAGCTGCAGACAACATCTCTGTCTGGACGCTGTCAAGGGACAGAAAAGATAAACGCACATGTGACGGTTGCTCTCTCTTGGAACAGACCGGCCTCTCAGTGAATGCTCAGTGGGACCAAGCGAGGAGGAGGAGGAGGAGAGAGGAAGCAGTTAGAAGAGAAGACAGGGAGACATGGGGTGGAATTGAAAATGAGCATGAACACAAGGAAGTAGGACGAGGACAGCGGGCAAATGAGGCAAAGAGAGAAACTATAAAGGCGAATGCGGAGCGGCGCAGGGGGGCAGAGGGGAACCGGATAAACAGCGAGCACAGATATTGAGCCGGCCCCCCTCGGGCAAACAGACTTGACCAGAGGCTGCTCCTCATTTTCTCTCCAGCTCTCCCTGGCAGCCGGCCGGCCACACCGACAATTACCTCCGCCACACACCTGGCAGCGACAGTGCCTGTGTGTGTGTGTCCGTGCTCTCATGTTTTGCCACTTACCTTACAGCCAACACTCCTCGCTTGAGGGGGGGCTCAGCTCACTTCCAACGCTGGTCGGCCACTTAGGATTGTGTGCCCATGATTATAGCGTGTGCACACAAACACACACACAAACACACAGACACCCTGCTAGGAAGTGTAATCACAACGTGCCAGCCCCCTTTCTATTCTCATTACCAGAATAATAGAAAACAGCACCAATTCCATCTATTTCCTCTCCTCCAATGACATTTCTCCCCATTTATTTTCAATCAGCTTAGTATACATGAATGAAAATAACACCTCACATCTCTGTATGAAATTAAATGAGTATATTGTTTTAATCAAGGCATAAAACAGAGGCCTGAATACCAGGGAGTATAACATGTGACTGATTAAAACAGACGGTATTAATAGCAGATGGAGCCGTCGTGAAGTGACCCATAGGTTTTGTTTTGGAGTTTGAAGCCTTGAGTTTAACATCTTGGCTGCATCTTTTTGGAAAAGAAGTCGCTCTAGAGTGTGGCTTAATAAAGTTAAACAGGCTTTTGGTGGTCTAGCAGTTAGTTATAGTTAACTATGAATTTTTGCCAAGAATAAGAAACTCGTCCTGATGGTGGCCTACAAAATAACTGAGATTAGCGTAGTGTATTTGTTTTTTGACAGGGACCAGGCACATCACAAGCTCTGTAATCCCATATTTCTAGTGAAGAAGGGGAACCACCTTCCTTACTTTTATAGCCTTGCACAGTGTTAACTAGCACAAGTAGTTACTTACTCACTGAGCAATAGACATTTTGTTTTTTTAGACCTAATTTCAGCTGTCTAGATTTTGTATATTTTTAAACAGAATTTAGACATTGTACTTAATAATAATAATGTACCTATTACCCATTATTCGATAACTATTTATTTCAAAAAGCAACTGTGAGTTGCATATACGATCTCTAAGTACTTAACCAAAATAATTATGATAGTCGTTGAGCAATATACGTTGTAGTATAGATACAGCCTAGATTTAGACTTGGTCTAAACTTGGTCTAAATTTAGACGTCTGAAAAATCTTTAGACCTGTGGTAACCTGATTTTAGACAAGCCATCTAAGCTACATTTAGACGTCTATTAGACCTCTTTTAGACCAAAATATGCTCAGCAGGCACATTTACAGCTGTTGAAAAATAACCAAGTCATGAGACACTCTATGATCTAACCCCGTACATAGAGCAGATATATGCCAATTAGCAAAAACAGCGCTGACAAATATTCTACACATGACATGCTTCTTTCATGGCATGCTGGTCAAATAAACCCAACAGTAAGTAAGAGTGTGTGATAGTGAAAAAAAAAAAATCACAATATTTTGCACCCCTCACAAGAAAATTGTTAAATATTAACTAATTGTGTTTGTATCTACAGAAGTCTTTTGGAGCCGGCCTCATGTGGCCACTCTTGGAACTGCAGTTCTGCACTGACTTCATCAGATTGTGAGTTTGCTGCTCGGTGGCCTACAACATAACCACTCTCTTAACCACTCCCTCTGTCTTCCCCTGGGTTTGACGCTGGCCGTGTTAACACATGCCCGGCTGTGTGTGTTGCTTGTAAATAATAATAATAAAAAAACTCACTTCCTGTTTGTTGTTAAATCCTCTTGTGGCTTTCCCCTCGTCAGGCTCACCCTGGACAATTATTTCATTTCTCCCTGCATTCAGCCTTCATCCCCCCCCCTGCCTCCAGCTCCCATCAGAACCTATCTTCCATTTTTCCCCTTCTTTTTCTTATTAACGCCATTCTGGTGGGTCATTAATGTGTGATTGTGTGTTTTCCTCTAGAGAAGGAGAGAGGAAGGAGGGAAACTGCCTCATTAATGCTGGTGCTGGCTCTTGCATAGTTTTGCTCATAGCACACACACACACATACAAACACGCACGATCCTCATTTTGGTCCCATAGTCACTGAATATAATTCCTCTACAAGTTTATGCAGAGAGTGAAAAACACAGTCACAGAGAGACACACACACAAAGTGTTGCGGTGTGTCCTTCCTGTGACGAGAGATGGTGATTACGTCCTATTTTCCCCACAGAGATGAAAGAAATCAGACAGAGGATGGGAGGCAAGGGATAGGAAGTGATTGAAAGATGAAGGAGCGATAGCAGAGCTGGGGAATTTGCTGAGCTGGCACTGAGCGGCAATTTACACCTTTCTCATCTGATAAGCATCAAATAAGACAAGAAGTGAAAAAGACAGAGAGAGAGAGAGAGAGAGGAGACAGAGGATTGATGAGTGCCAGAGAGAGAGCACTAATTAGTGCGAGAGGAGCTGGTTTTCCACAATGTATTCCCTCTGTACAGTTTTGATTATCTGGTTTATAATTTATTCATCTTTTCCAATCAATCTGCTTTCAAACTCTGTAAAATGTTGTGGACTAATGTTTCAAGGGATGCATCCATCGGCCACAGATCAGTAGGATGCCAAAAATTCATGACTGCCTTTATTTCACCGTTCGGACATACCAGATTATCTGGAAGTGTAGCTTCACATTACAGCAACATAACCGGAAAACTATAAATGTGCTGTCCTAATGCATTAAAAACAGCTTACAACATTTTCTATCATTTCATTGATCTGTTGACGGTCTATTGACATTCACATCCCTGTTTAACCTGGACTAGTTTAAATGTATCACCAATTCAGTACCTCAGTGGTTGAGTAAAAACAGGGAGGAAGGAGTGGGGAATAACATGCAACAAAGACTGCAGATAATAAGATAAACCCAGGCCGACCACATCAAGAATCACAGCCTCTGTACAATCCAAACACTGAGCAAAACCAGCGCCTGATTTATCGACTCTCAAAATTGTCCCAATTATCCAATCAAAAAAAAAAATCTGCTGGGGCGCTGTGATGTTTATGTTGTGCCCCTTTGGACAAAACCTGTGGTGTTTTTTTTCTAGGACGAAGGCTGCATCTTTGACAGCACCATCGCCCCAAAGATGAGGCTCTTTGTTAAGAAAGCAAGAATTGAAATACTGATATTCTGCGTGAAATTGCTTTTCTTTGCTTCATGAAACTTTTTAAGCATGTAGAGTTTATGAGGTTTTGTTGATTTGCAGCCGGGTTCAGTAACTAACAGGAGGTTAAATCGAGTTATATCTCTACCGTCGATTTTGCTTTAAAGTAGATTCCTGTACTTGAGTGAATATTATAATTTTTGGTCAGTAAAGGTATGACAAATCTTCTTAAGGTGACTGGCTTAATGCATGTCTGTACATTGTTAACACACGTCACATTCTCCTTTTTTTTTAACCAACAACTGTACCTAAGTCTCCTAACACTCAGTTAAAGTTGACCTAGCATGAAGCCGGTTTTTGAGCAGGTGTAAATATAAATGATATTTCTGGCTGTTAACTCTGAGTGTTACCCTGAACTTATTTTGAAGCTTGACTGTTGATTTTTCTCTCACATGGACATTCCTGGCTTAGATATTTTCGGTCTCATGAAGGCTCTGCTCGGCCGTTTCTATTTCTGACCGAACAAACATACACCTGAAAACCTATTTGAGAGTGTGGGCAGCCTCTGTGTTATATTAGCGCAAATCCGTGTATGGCTGACTCTTGGGTTATTGGTGCCATAATGTTTGCATCTGGGAAAACATCTGCAAAAGTGTGGTAATGATTTAGGTAAACATACACGGACATGCACGCAAGCGCGCACACACCTAGTAGACACAAATAATGAAACTCGCAGCACCAGGTGGCGCATAATAAACAGAATGGATGCAGAATCACGCTCCTGTGCACCTCTCTCTCACCACCTCTGTTGTGGGAAAGCATGCGGTGTGTAAACAGGTGCTGGGTGGCTGTTTGTCTGGGTAGATCTCTACTGGAGGGAGGCACAGGATAGAGAGACCGTAATGGATGGAGAGACAGGCCGCCGAATGATAAACAGTGTTACAGGAAGGGCTTTTGCTGAAAATGGATGAGGCGGGTAGAAAGATGGAGACAGAAAGAGGGGAAATGAATGCAGAGGAGAGAGCGGATGAAAACTGTGACAGCTTCAGTTCTTGAAAATGTAAAATGCGTTTGAATTTTTGGGGATATAAAGATTCTCTAACAACACAAACGTCCCTGTCCAATCTCTTCATTAAAGCATCTATTTTTTGTTATTGTACATGTCCCCTTTCTTTTGATCCGTCTTTGTGCAGCCAACAGAGCAGCTTTAAAGCTTTGCAGTAAAGCAGACTTTAAATGGACAAGATTATAATCAGGCTGTTAAAACAAAGGAGGTCAAAATTTAATGGTAATCTGTACCAGATAAAGCTGGGTTAAGGATATCTTTTAAATGCCTCGAGGCTCACTGTGTAGAGAAAAAAGCCTGGTTGACAGGTTTGATGATAAGTTTGGAGGTCGCCTCTAATTGCAAATAAAGAGAATTTAAAACTTCCTGCTGGCTGATGGAGTTAATGTAAAAGTAATAACATTGTACGTATCAGAAGCACTTTATTTATGCCAGCAAAACAAATAATAAAACTGAGAGAGGAAGAGGGCTATTTCACAAATTATCTTTGTATTGATCTAATACCAATAACCTAAACTGAGACTCCAGATTTTATCATCTTTGCAACAAATTTTAAATTTTGAGTTTTCATTGTCAACAACCTTTTTCATTCTCCTGTCCCTGGTCATCTTTTTGTGTCTAATTCATGAAATTAAGTGCAGGTTTGGAATAATCTGCATGTCTAATTGGACTTCTGTCTCAGCACCTCCACGACCTTTACCCTTTTAATGAAAAAGTCATTTTTTAATGAGACATTTTAAACAGCACACTTATTTTTGGGTTCATTTTTTTATTCTCTCACCACTCTTTTTTTAAAGTAAATGTCACTTCTATGAAACTCAGATTAGAATAACTACACTATTTTTAGTGTTTGCTTGAACTGTGGTGTAATTAAAATCCATCAAACTTTCTCTCTTTCTTAGATAACACTGTCCTGGTGAAGTATTTGTCTTGCACATAAGAAGACGAGTGGAGCAGAAGAAAAAGACGGTATCAGGGGTCTGAAAATGGTCAGAGGACCAGGAGATGGATTTGCTGCTGCTTCTAAAGACAGAATTGAGACAAAGGAGAGAAACTTGAAAAACAAACAGTGGCAGACACTTGCTCCCAAGGGGAAACCTTTCAGTGATACATTTCCTTCATGCCTTCTTGCAGCTGAAGGCAGTAGTTGGACATTTTGACCCTCCTCCTCTTAGGCCATCTGGGGTCAATGTGAAAAGCATTTATCCAGTTCTGAAGAAGATCTAAGAGCTAGTCCAGTGGTACTTGTGGGGAGCCTGAAATCAACATGCCCTCAAGCAACAAGAAGAGCTAGTATTTCACTTAAAGTTGACAGACATGGCCAGATAAGCCATTTGCCGTAGGGTTGCTTTGCTGTAGTTTGCTATTAAGCTTCATTTGGTCCTATAAGAGAGGAAATCTGCCTGAGACTTGGAGTTATAACAGTCCTCACATTATGACAGAAATGCTCAGCCAGGAGCCGAGACACCCGTTATGGAGTGACTGAGGAGATCATAATCAGCACCTTTACTGATACCCTTTACTACAGACAATGGGTATGTATTCATGTAGCTGGGGGCAACGTTAGTAACACCATGCTCCTTTTTCAACCAAACTCCCTACTAACTGGATACATGACAGAGAGGAGGTGACATACAGTGGGTATTTTCTGCATTATGTCTCATTAATGCAGGACAATGCAGCAGGCTCGACACATGCTGAGAGGATATTAGAACACGGGGTGGCAGCTACACGGTGTCAGGTGTGTGTACTACATTTTTGAACGTGTTTCGACTGTCCCCCTTTCTCGTACATTTCATTTTCATTCCTTAAACCCTAACAAATCACTCTTTTGTACATTGAGAGTTTGTCTTCTCTTTCATGATTTAATCTATTCCTCTTGTATTTTTGCATTTTCTCTGTTTTTGATCTCTCCATCCATTCCTCCACACCCCTGCTGATGTTGATCATCTGCCACAGGGATTTATAAATAGATAAAAAAAAACAGACAAAGCAAGTGCAAATCACAACCTGGAAACACTGTCAGGGATTGGCCTAGGAAATATATATAGTAATTTAAAATTATAGCTCTTGATTCAAGTCCTCATTACAAGAAGGGACCCTGCTGGTTTTCATTCAAGCTTTATCAATGCGACCTCATGGCTGGGGGTCTAAGCACATGCAGGCCCATGCACATCTACAAGATTGTACAATATTTAATTCATTTATACTATTTCTTTTGCACTTAAACATTTAGTGAAAATAGAGCTGAATATTTTCAGCAAGGGGGCAAAATAAGATTTTCATTCTGAAGGTTAATCTCAAACTCATATAGAAAGAGCTGCTTCATAAATAAGTGAAAATGATTCTCCACAGTATCAGAGTGGACTCGCATGTACCAAAGCAATTAGATCTCCTACTGACTACCACACTTGCCTGATTTCCCCACTGATCTGAACTTATACACCTGGTCTGTTTCAATTTATCTCCACTTTCTGCTGTTTTTCCTTGTTCATTTGTTTAGCCTGAAAACAATCACTCTATCCTATCACACATTATTTGGTTTTGGTTTTCACATTCAATTTTGTTTGTCACCCTTATTTGTTTCTCAAATTTGTTTTCTTTTCTGTGATGGGATGCTGATTTAAGTACTTCAGGTTTTATTCGCATCAAAGAGTACTGAATTATAGAACAGAAGTCCTAAGACAACCAACCTTAGTTTTATCCCTGCGTTTTGCTGTTTTTTTCTCCACCGTTTTCACCTACTGCAACTCGAACAATCAGAATCGGCACAGAATTCAATAGTCTAATGGATGATACTTTCAATTAGGTATTTGCTTCTTGAGGGCCAGCAATGAAAATCCCATTCAGCCGATTGTAAGACAACTGTAAGACAAAGTACTTACATGGTGTTGCAGCCCAGATGCAGCTGATAAATGTAGATGCTCTGGATACAAACTATGAGAAATCACTACATCTTGGTTCATTGATTAAGACTGTTTTTCTAATCCATAAGCAGGACAAGGTGAGGGTCAGCGTTGATGAACCCAGAAGTGATCCCTCAATCCACTAATGAGTCTCTTCTCATTAACACTTCCTTTTTCCTGTTTTAATAGACGCGTTCATCTATGTTCTGTGAAATAAATATGGTGAAAATAATACAGTATCTTTGCTGTTCGAGGCTCTGTCTTGACTGGGTCCGGTTTAAGGCCAGGGGAGGTCAGGGCACAGAGTATTGATGAGATGGCAGAAAGCAGAGAAAATGCTGACAGTGCCTTTGCAAGGGAGATAGATAGCATTGACAGGGGAAGTGTAACTCCCCTCGGTCGATTATTAAAATGGAGAGAAAGCTTTGGTGTGTGTGTTTGTGTGTGTGTGCAGTTCCTGCTGACAGTGGGTCAGACTGGAGAGACTCAGAGCTTCAGATTAACAAGGATACACATTTATTCACATATCTATACACTGATTTATCGATCCATGTATGTATGTATGTATACATCTGTCTGTCCATCTTTCCCTGTGATAGGTAAAGGGTAGGTTTCACAGTACATCAGGATTCAGTATCTGATACAAGGCTCCCAGTGAGGATGATATCACCATAACGTGATTCTGCATAAATAAATACTAAACAATATTTCTTTGTCAGAAGAACACAAAACATTCCTTTACAGAAAAAGAAACATAAATGTCATGAGTGCTTCCATGGGGAGTCATTAGGTAGTGACAAACTGAGTCACACAGAGAGGAAATATAGCTGGGAAGCTATTATTTTAAGTTAAAATGTCAATATTTAGCACCAGTGGTATGATAATTGTGTTCTGTATTCCCTTAGCAATATTTTGTCGCTTCTTCTAAGTGCATTTGTGCTTACAGGAGCTTATAGGAGCACCATATCATAACAGAAGTTATCTTAGGGCAGGAATGTCTAGAGTCTACTGAGAAGAATCTTGAAATCTTTAGAAGTGACAGTTTGTAGAAATGAAAGTATTTAGAATTCAGATTTTAGATAAAAACACTCGACTACTCAGTTCTTAAAATTTGGATTTGAGGACAGAAATCTCCTGAGATGTACATAATCATCTTCTTTTCAAGTTTTTACTGTCAAAAACATCCACCAATACAACATCTTTTCCACACGATAACCAATCTTTACATCTTTGTCTTCCAGCCGGTGTGTTTCACACAGCGTCTCAATGAATGCCAACATGCATATGTTACTACCTGCACCCCAGAGGAACCATGGCGGTGCAAGATGGCAGCGCTCTGTGGAAGTGGACATATTCCAATAAAGGTAGGTCCAGTCTCAGTAAATAAAAACAAAATAATCAAGTGATTGTAATTCATACTTGTGAATATTATATTCCATTTACATAGTCTTTAAATACTCATAGAACCTTTAAAACTCTCACAATTAGCAACTGTCAACAGTCATCATTTGGCCATATTGACATATTTACAGGAGTATCATCTGCATACAGTCATACAATGATAGTTAAAGGAGAAACTATAAAGTAAAAGGTATTAGCCTGAGCACAGAACCTTATAGAACTCTGTGACAGATTGTGAGAGGCATATAGGAAAATATTTTTGGCCTTGTACAAACTTACAATTACTTTAAATTTTGTAAACACCAACAACTAGGTACTAATATGTGTCAATGTGGGGAATAAATACACTTTCCCAAGGCCAGAACTGAAACAAGCTTCAAGTGTGTGTTTGTGGATGTGTATATATACGTGCACACTGAAGTCTCCTGCTGTGCCCATTTCAGCGGGAACAGATGGTCCTGCCAGGACTCTACCGCCACTCCACAGTCCATGGTCTGTGAGAATACTTGTGTGAATGTGTGTACGGTGTGTGTGAGTTTGTGCATTCGTGCTGATGATTTTTCCCAGTATGAATCTACGCCACACTTCCTGGTACTGAACCTGCTTTACATGCTGCCGACATATGAACACAGATACAGTGACCCTGATTGTTGCAGTGTAAATGATATCATCTCAGTGGTCTTTGGCCTACTTGTTTGTTCCATTGACAGTTAGCGGTTTAATCCTGCCTGAAAGGCTCTCCGGTACTAAGCTTGTGTTTGCAAAAACACAAAGCTGTCATACTCCACCCTTAAGTGTGTTTTCCTGGGCAGGTTTTTGCATATTCAAAGGAATAAAATCTATTATTCATGTCGAAGACAGCTGTCATGTTTTCAAAAAAAACTCATGGATTTATACTGAATTCTGTCTAATATATCACCAAAAGAGAAAAAAAATAATATCTACATTTATAAACAAGGTTATATTATGTAATGAAATTCATGCTGGCAATGTTAATAAAACTGCAATCCATTACATCAACGTTTGACTGAAATATTACTGGTTTTGAGTGCATGGGGACAACCGCGGTCATACAGATGTGGACTAATTCCCTAATGGGCTTCTAGTCAACACACACACACACACACACACACACACACACACACACACACACACACACACACACACACACACACACACACACTATGAAGTACTGCTAAGTATGCCTGTGGTGAGCTCATTCCCTTTTTATCTCTGTGTCCATTTTCATTAATAAAAGCAGTAGTGTGATGCACGGAGAGCAGATGAGCAGATTAGTAAAATGTGTTATGAAAGCTAAATCACAACAAAAGATCAAGTATTTCTAAGAAAATGAATTTGATGGAACAGACTCCAAATGAATTCCTCTTGTTTCAGGCATTTATTTAAGAATACAACAAAACTGACTTGGGAGTTTCATCGTCTATTTTATTATGAATGTATTTTTGAATATTTCTCAGTCTTCAACCACTGCATTGCATGTCTGCATCTCTGATCCTCGTTCAAACAGTGGAGAAAAAGGCTTGAATGCAGATTGCTTCAGCCTTTGGTTGAAATGTATTTATGACTACGCCAAATATTGATTTTTGGCAAAATAAAGACGAAAAAAAAAGTTAATTTCCAGCCCACAATACAGTATGAAACACATCCAGGGCGTTAAATTCCTCACTTTGATTCACAGAGAGACAGACAGACACACACAGTAAACATGTTTGTGTTCTGATATTAGTATTCATGAAATATGTGCTACATCAGGCAGACTCATTTCTCCCCAACCCCCCTCTAACATCTTCATCTGCAATGCTGTAGCAGGAGCCGATCACTGACTCCATTCATTCCAGCTCTATTTGGGCAGTGTGCTCGATATGGCGGTCTTATTACACACTTCCTTCCTTACCGTCTGTCTGTCTGTATCTCTGTCTGACTCAGGGGAGAAGATGCAGGGAGAGAAAGAGAGAAAGGAACAGGAGGGGGAGAGAGGAGAGGAAAGGTAGGATTGATTATTGGGTGTACAGTATGAGAGGGAAGAAAAAGTGTACGGACGGTGAGAAACAGAAGGAATGAGGGAGGAGTGGGTAGAATAAATAGAACGGTAGAGGTAGAAGGGTTTACAGTATGCCTCGAAAGAAAAAAGTGAGAAATAAGTGCGAAAGGTTGAATGACAAGGTATGAATGATTTAGAGAAATATAATAGAGCTATAAGGTCAGATGTTGAAGGCTAAAAAAGAGTGAACGAGGAAGGAAAAGTGATGAAATACTGAAGAGAGAGAGCTGCAGAGGGAAGAGAAGTATAAATATGGATGAAAAGAGAAAGGTGGGGACAGGAAGGAAGGAAGCTGGGACACGGGGGGATTAAAGAACAAGAGAGGGTGTGAAGGTTAAAAAATGAATAGAAAGAAGGGATGAAGGGAGGTAAGAGGAAGAAGAGCCTGGGCCTAATCCCAATTTCCTCCCTCACTGACTCACATACTTTGAGGCACAATCTCAGTAAGTGTGGAGGTGCTTTATGCTCTAATGCGGACTTGACAATGCCAAATTACCCACCTTCCATGAGTCCCAATTTCTGCTTTCTTGCCTTCGGTTTTACTCAGAGTTCATTGTGAACTCAGTGACGTGTAAAACATCCCTGTCCAGCCCACACTTAAATGTCAGCAAATGGTTGTAAACTGAAGTACTTTTCAATAAGTTTGAACAAAAAAAGTGACCGAAATGTTGAAAAAATGGAGCATGAATGTGGACATGTTTTCAGTAAATGCAGTTAATCTCTTATCTGATCATCCCCACCTTTAGAGTTTTGTGTATTTTCTCAGCAAATATTCAATAAGAAGTAACATCAACATTTTTCTGGCTCTAAAGTTTGCCAAAGTCTATTAAAACAATGTATATTTACACACTGGAGAGGAGACAGGCTTTTTCTTATTTAGATGATGAAGCATCTTGGTTCTTGATTGAAAGAGGGTTTAAACATTTCACATCCTTTCTTATACAAACATGAAGTTGCAGGACATTTAATTTTGATGGAAAATCAATGAATTTAAATTACTTAAGTTTTCTCACTCACCATAGCTATGCTATAAACTTTTTTAAAAGTTCATTACTCATACTTCCAGCTTTCTGTTGTATTACCCAGTTGCTCCACTTCCAAACTTAACACCTTGAGTCTTTTTTATTTTGACATACTAAGTTTTACTATCTCCCAAAGCACCCCTTGTTTCCCCCCGACAGTTTCTCTTTATGACTCATGATAATACTGAAAAATACATAACCCATAGTGCACTACTAAATGCTTACATCCTTTGAAATCCTTGCCCCTGATTGGCTGTAATCTGATCTGATTTGTCCCTATGAGCAGATCAGCAGCAGTTACGTTTACAGACACTGCATTAAAAAGATCTTTTTCACCTTCTTTTCTTTACTTAAAGTCAGACCTGACAAAGTTTGCACTTTTACTATTTATAAATCTGCATCACGTTGTAATCATTTCAGCAAACATAAGACCCTTAAATAGTGGGTTTCCTTTTTTGGGTTCATAATGAAGCCAGTGTGAAGTGTTTGTGATTTTACAGTTGAACTACCACCTACAGCTGCTCTGGGTGCTATGTCGGGGATTGTAATGGACCAAGAAATGACGGCGTTTATGTTGCAGATGTAAATGCTCTACAAAAAAAGAAGTTTCTGCTGGCTGCAGCGGAGCCACTCAAAGATGGGATCTGTTCCCAGAATCAAACCTCTTGTTGTTAGATGTTGATAAATATAATAGCTGATACACATCTGTTTCAGTTTACTTATCAAAATGAGCAAAAGGGATTGGAAAAAGTATTACCAATGCAAGAGGGTGCACATATGAATGCACAAGAACGCACTTGCACCACATGACCACACACATGAAAACAGCACACTTGTGCTCTGAAGCAGAGGTCATCTCTCTTTCTCTGCACTGTGGCTGCCCAAGACTCTCCTTAAGCTCAAACTTATTCTGCCTTCTCTCTGGATTTGTCCTTTGTTCTGCTTTGTCCTTGGTTCACCATCTGCCTCTATTGTGTGAGTGATTATAGTCCAAACAGTTTCAGCTCTAACAGCCATAGTCACTAACCAGCAAGAAAGCAGAAGCGATAATGAGAGTCAAAAGAAAGAAATTCATCCCCAGGTTTAGTATTTCTCGGCAATTAGGTCACGTAGTTCTACACCAGCTCTTAATTGAACTCAAACCAAAACAACATCATGACTCACAAACAGCATCTCCTTTGCTTTCAGATACTGGCATGCTAGTTTGTGTGCGTGTGTGTGCGTCTGTGTGTGTGTTTGAGAGGAAAAGGAAAGCATTAGATTGCAACAAGGCCTGAGACAAAGGAAGGAGAACAGAGTGAGAAAGAGATTCAGCCTCAACTTTTCCCCTTGGGATTGGTCGCCATGGCTACAGAAGCATTTTCAGCCGAACGTGGGACAAACACGAGGAAGAAAGAGACAGATACAGACAGAGAGAGATAGAGATAGATAGAGATAACATGGCGGCAATGGTGATACTGTCATGAAATGTTAAAGCGTGCAAATTTAGATCTAAGAGCTTGAGATGAAGATGAGGGAGTACTTGTAGATGAGCAAAGATGATGAGAGCTACCATCTAAGCTAACAGTTCAAGATGTATTAGTGAAAAGACATCTTCTATATATAACACGGCTATGAGGTAACAGCACGACACCTGATCTGAAGCAGAAAACACGTAACAGGGCAGGCAAAAAGCTGTGACCCAATACGCACTCGAAAAACCCCAATGGAAAGCAGAGACCAACGAGAACAAACAGCATCAAGAGACTAAAACATCTCACCTTACAACCAGAGACAATCAGACTGCATCTATATTTCAAAAGCCACGGAAAAGCTGCAACAATGGGCCGTCATGATGCAAGATTAGTGGAGGGCACCTCTAATGAAAACACAAAGGGTGTGAGGTTTCCACGCTGGCAGGCGAACTATAGTATCACCTGAGGCCAATTTGTCTGAAATCAGTAACAAAACTTAAAGTAAGAGTAATTTAACTTAAACGCTGGTTTACTGAATGCCTTATTAATAAGTAAGTGAAGTTCAACAGGGACTCTGAAATACAGACATCCTAAAGGTGTAAACAGGATCATTTTTAATGTTACAAGTTACAAGCAAAAAGAAAGACAGCAAAGGAAAAGATAAGATTGAACTTTATTTCAACCTCTCCTCGTAACTTTGCCTCCCAGTCAGACTCTCATCTTTTTCACCTGTCTCATCCTCGTTTGTATTTTGACGCCTCATCTTCACGAAGACACCTTAGGCCCTCAAAATAGATTAATTGGTGTTAAATAAAACTGTATATAATGATATTAACATTGTATCAAACAGGCAGCAGGAAATAAAAAGTGAAAGATGTACTGCATATGGTGTCGATGGATCGGCCAAATTGTATTTCCTCATTTCAAGACACATAAAAATGAATAAAAAACATCCAAGATTAATAAGTCACGTTGAACAAGATATGAAATGTAATATTGCAAATCATACAAAAAAGCAATAAGCCCAGGATAATGAGCATAATACAGCCTGATATTGAAAGGCAATCTATGACAGAAATGTTGTTATTCATGCTCTGAAGAGTAGAACTGGACAAGACATGAGAACTCATTAAGTCGTACACAGAAGTTGAATGGTATCAAACACCAGGGATAATATAACAGCTCATTTAGTTTTGCATATGATTACAAAGAAATGTAGTGACTTGACAAGATATGAAAAACCATTTAGTACTGCACGTCACATGACGAACTCTGTCTTCCTGCAGAGAAATTTGCACTCAGGTGACTACAAATATATAAAGAACTACATATGATATGAAAAATGGGATTTTTTACACAAGGTGAAGAAAAGGTGACATTAGCACACGGCATATGAAAGTCTTCTAAAGTATGAAGAATCATGTGGTATTGCACATGTGCACACAGAAATACTCATGATGAGAAAGGTCACTGAGAAGTGCACATAAAAAAGTTATTAGGTGACAATGTGATATAAAAGTTCATCTAGCACTGGAAGTAATACACGCCTCTTCATCTGTTTTATTTTTTCAGTATTACCTTTAAAATCACGTGTTGTGCTATACGACCTCTTAAAGTAACTTAACTCATATTATTTCAATATCCAGACATTATTTTTACTGCTGCATATTATAGAAAAGTCAACAGAGAGTGGCGCAGCGGGTCACAGATTGTACATGACACTTATTAACTCAGGGCTTATTGTGAGGACCGATTATTGTGCCGTGACTTTAAATATTTTGCTTGTATCAGCTGATTTTTTAAAAAATGTTTCCAAGAACAGAGAGAAAGTATAAATTGAGCTCAACAAAGGAAACTATGGTCTCAATTTTCCTCTGTGATAGGTTTGTCAATATTTGCATAAAGCGGAGCCATTGTTACAGGTGATGAATTATTTATGGACACTAAAGGAACGAGACATGTAAGGGCTGGTTCTGCTTGACAGGGTTGCTATGGTCCTCTAAAATGTGTGTGTTTGTGTATCTGCGTACAGAGGGGGGTCGAATGAGTGTCAGTGAGACAGTGTGTGAAAAAGAGAGAGAGAGTGATGCGCTCTGCTGCGCTCACCGGCAATGTCACTGCTTTCTCAAGGACACTGCGGCTAAGGGGCAAGAAAGAGAGGAAAGAAGGAGGGAAGAAGATACACGGAGGAAGAAATGAATGAGGCGGAAATATATACAGACTTATGGGGAGAGAGGTGAGGTTGGATAAAGAAGTTAAAGCAGAGACAGCAGGAATAGTGAGGGTGGTGGAGGCAGGAGGTGATGAGTAAAGTGAGAAAAGAGGAGGGGATGAAAAAATGGGAGGCTGTGCATCTGTGTGGAAAATTCTTGTTGGAAGGGCGCAAGGTTCGCAGGATGTTAAGTTATCAGAAAAGTTTATTTTTGCTGTTATGCAATCAACAGTAATGCCAAAGCTAGTATCCACGATTGTTTATGCATCGTTCATTCCTTCTATCTAATCTTTCACATTGATTGATAAAAAGAAAAGTTCAATATGGCCTTTGCAGTTTAAAAAAAATCTATAAAAATACTCTTAAACCGTGATCCAGCATGTCGGAAAGTAACAGATTCCACCACCGTTTGCCATTAATGATAAATATTGCATCACAAGCTCGGTCAATCTATGTTATGGATTTTCTGATAGTCCATGACTCACTGACAAATCTCTCCTGAATCACTTTTCAAGAAATAAACTTGCTTCGATTACAACCGAACAGACTACCCTGAAGAGCCCACAGAGCAGCATCAGACACGGCATCAACTACACTCACTATGGATGCCTGTGATCCACTAAAAACCCCACAGCAATCAATTATTCATACATAAACACACGCACGCAGACCCCAAAACCTTCCCACCGAGATGATGGTGGGGAAGGCCGCAGGGTGAATTCTATGAAAGCTACTTTACATACATAAGTAGGCAGTTTAGCAAAGTGGTGAGTGAACTTGGCAGCCGCTTGGGCCACAAACTTTGACCAACTGTGATCAAAACATGGTTTTAACCTAAAAGGATCCTCAGTGTGCATTAATACAAGAGACCAGACCTCAAGATAAACGTAGCTTTCTAGTTAATGCAGATACACAGATGGGTAGGGAATACAAATAAGATGGTGTGAGAAGATGTAGACAGAGAGGAGAAAACAGAAACTAAAGGCAGTAGGTGTAATGATGTCTGAGGGAGGGACTGTGAGGTAGACTTCACTTTGTCATTAAGTATTTACTTTGAAGTTTAATCAATCAATCAATCAATCAATCAATCAATCAATCAATCAATCAATCAAAGTTTATTTATATAGTGCCAATTCACAACAGTTGTCATCCCAAGATGCTTTCCAAAGAAAAAGAGCAGGTCCAGACCACAATCATTGTTTGATGAATTGGCAAGACCCACTTGTGTAACCCTTAGATTTACATCCTTTCTTAACGCTCAGTGGCTAAAAACAGCCACTGACATTGACTGCTGTAAAAACATATTGGATTCATATTTTTCCAGATTTTTTTTTCATATATCTCTTAATTAACTTCTGCTCTATTCAAAAATAGTAAATGTTTAATTAAGAATCCAATCTTTAACCCTTTAAAGACCCATTTAAAACATTAAGTCACTAATATTGGGAAAAAATGGGAGGAAAATGACTGATTTTTATTAGATTTATTTTCTACCATATCAGTGACATTATGTTTTGAATGGACTCTCAAAGGGTTAAAAAAATGTTTTTAGATGAAACATTTACTAGTTTTGATCAAAGCAGAAGTTAATTAAGAGATATATGAAAAAAAATATTAACCTAATATGTTTTTACAGCAGTCAAAGTTAGTGGCTTTTTTTAGCCACTGAGCATTAACAACGGATGAAAATTTGCCCCGCGTGTATTTTTGACCTGGTGAAAATTTTGAAGTCATATTCTCAAAGTGTCCATCAATATAAGCATCTGCAGAAAAAATCATCCCATTTGCTGCAGTAAAAAAAAAGTTACATGGAAATTAGTGGCTAAATTTTGCCCATAGTGGCTGATTTTAGCCACAGCGTTACACAAGGGTGCGACAGATTTGACCCAACATGTAGAAACCTTGGGAATTTTACTGGCAGTTGTGTAACTTGTGCACCAATATGTAAAACAACGACAACAACGAGGCATTTTCTTGTTTTTTTTTTTGTAGCAGGAAAAATTCACAAAAAGTCCAGGATAGATTGTGAGCGCCAACAAAGGGAAGCTGCTACTTTACATCCACCACAGCCACCCGCTCTCGACACCCTCTCGCACCAGCTTGGTTTGAGGTTGTTCCGGGCCTGCCTGCTTTGACAGATGATAAAAGGAACCTCGAATGGTCAGCCGCTAACAAAGACAGGTTGGTTAAGAGCCTATTTGTTCTGATGTCCGCACACAAGGTCCCCTCACAAAAGAAAGGGTCTGTATTGATCCAGCGTTCAACAAGGGGATGTTAAAAACCATAAAAAAAAGATACATGATTTAGAAAAAAAAAGAGTGAATATGGAAAGAGTCAGCTGCATTAAAAATGTACAAAAATTTTAAAGAAAAATGTGACAGGGATGTTATTGAACAAGGCGCAGAAAACAGAGACCTGTTTGCACCATCTGCAGGACTGACCTGTCATTCAAACTTCAACCAGCAAATATGAATCATAGCTTAACATCCAACAGTAATTATGTGATAGTCATTGTTGGGTGAATACATTAACTAATTATAGTACCTATTGGCCCTATTGGCCCAGCATGACAGTGTTGGAGATGGCTGTGATATTGTTCTCCAGCTTACCTCTTTTTTTGTAAATAAACCCCCCTGTGGTATTTTTACCGCTTGACGTGAGTTCTCACTGTAACCACATTTCTCCTGAGTCTAGCCCTTTAATTCCTGAAACCACAAATTATGAAAATTCCATTTTTTTGGAGCTTAAATGTTTATGGTTAGTATGGTTATTTGCTATTTTTGCACAAATTTGACTTGGAAAAAGTAAGTATTTGTATCAAGACAATCCTACCATCCTTTAATGCTGCCCAGGAGATATTTTCACTCAAGACTTCTCTTCTATCTTTAACTCTCCAAAAATACGAACCTCAGTTTGATGGTCAATAGACCTCCTACCACCAGTGTTTTCTCATGGTCATGCCAACTTCACAGTCTCTTCATGAATTCAGGCAGATAACAGAAAACATAACTTGAACAGACAAAGGCACTCGCACAAATACACACTCAGTCTGCAGCTCAGCAGGGGTGTGAACCAACCTCACCGCCACAGGGCTTGTCTTGTTTTCTGGCTGATTGAGCGTCTCTGTAAACAATGAGCTGCCGATCTTGCAGCCACACTGAGTTCAACATGGAGCGTACAGAGATATGGAGACAGAGAAATAAGAATGGATTCGGTTATTCCTTCCACTCACCTCCCTCTGCCCTCCTATTTCTTTCTCTGCCCTCGTCTCCTTCAGCTTCTCTCTGGTGCTGCTGTGTGTGTGTATGTGTGATGTCAGGGCGTCAAGGCAGGCAGGGTTCAGCACCTGAGGAGACAAAAGTTCAAAGGTAAGTTGACATCAGGACAGCAGCTTTTAAGGATCATGTTCAGCTTGACTTAAGTCACACGCTGACCAGCTGACATCAGATAGACGGTTAAGTGAGCGACAAATAAAGGTTTGATTGTGTATACGAAAGAAATCCAGGTGTCATGTTTTTCCTTTTGTAAACACATAAACTAGGCAGTGCACATGCATGCATCTCTGCTTTTATATGAGAGCTGGTTAAAGAGAGGGAGAGGCAGAGAGAGAAAAAGGAAAGAGAAGAGCTTAACGGACAGTGAAAAATGAGAGGCTGGCGGTTAAAACGTCCATTAGGGCACTCTGGCAAGTGCATCTTTAATCTCTGTGCAATAAGAGTAATTATCAGAGTAGGACTGAGTCACTTATGCACGCAGTAGACACTCATTGTTATATTACTTTCTCTTATCTGTCATATAAAAATCCCCTGAAAGAGTGCCACAGAGATGGTGAGGACACAGGAGACACTGGACAAAAACTAGTGGAAAGACAAGACAAGATAAAGAGCGGAATAAAGCCAACAATCAAAGACCACTGAAGTGAGACCTCACCCCTTGTAGAAGAAACAAGCCCTCCTTTTTGACATGCATATGTTCTCTAGCATAAAGTTAAACTCGCATGCATTTTTACATTTGTTACAGTGCTCACAGATTACAGGGAAAGAGCCAAAGACACACAAGAGTATCACAGATTTTCAGAGGACGTTCTGGTTAATTCCTCTAAGACATGTCTGACCTTGAAGAGAGCTGCCCAGTAGCTTGTCTGCTAAAGTTTCCCAACTAGGACGCTGTGCAAGCCAAGGCTCATAGAAAGTGCTGCAATGTGACACTTAAAGACACATTAGCATCCAATTCAGTCTTAACAGGAGCTTTAGCTGATCAAGTGTGAATTTCACCTACTGAATATATTTACACAATAAATAAAGTTTAAAAAAGGTGTGTTTTCAAAACTAACCCAATCACAGAATTTACAGGTAAATGACATAAAAATATTGATTATATTATATTATACTATACTATATTATATTATATATTTTTCTTATTCTTATTCTTCTTCTTATTATTATTATTATGATTTAATATACATATTGAATTTCCCCTCAGGAATAAAATAAAGTTTTTCTTATTCTTTAAAAGTTACTTTAATCAAGTTTGTTTTTCTTACTGAATGTCAACAAAAATCCCAGATAGCTGGACTGTCAGGCTTTTTTGGGAAACACAAAACTATTTTCAATTATTAATTAATCAATCAAATAGTTCAATATTCAATAATTTCTATTTCTTTGCTCAGATCAAATAGTGTGATGATTTTAAGTGTAACAGAGACTGTGATAAATGTAAATATAGACCCCACCAAAAACTGCTAAACTCCAATGATAAACCTGGTAAATTTAGCATGTCCTGTGCCCTCAAGGACAATAAAGTTAAAAGTTGAAGTTAAAAGCATAAAATATATTTTATGTCAAAGGTAGTCCAGTCATTTTTTGTACAAAATCCTCCTGCTGTGCTACCAGTATTACAATCTGTCTAAAATGTTATCCCAGTATCAAAAACTTATCAGTTTCTTGCCTGTACACAATACTGGTTGTATGGCATAACACCAACCCTCTCAGATACTGTGTAATTAAACGTCCCTCCCTGTCTTGTCTGGCAGCGATGATCCTGACAAACTGGAAACAACAAACTGACACTGGTTCACTCTCCTGCAAGTATGAGCCACTGTCACACAGCCAAGAAAATCAAAGCAGAACAAATCTGAAGTATTTGCTTTGTGTTGTTTGGAGGAGCAGTCACACCTTTAATGATACAGCATTACAGAGGTGGGTGGTGTAATGGTGCAATGCCACAGTCCTGCAGGATAAACTGGTTCCAGGTTGCATTGTGATTAAAAGTCTCTGACAAACACACACGTCTGTCTCAAAAACACTCTGCTTATGGTTGTACAAATACACACACAAGATCACAAACTCAGTCACGCACTGAAGTCTTTCTCATAATCTTAGACTTTCTATTCCTCGTGTGCTGCATATTTGAGTAACATCTAGACCGTCACTGACACTTTTCATTTAATCACATCTGGCTTTATTTCTCTGCTTTGTCTCCAAACACCTTGTCTAGTTGGACAGCTACCAAACAAGCTGCAACAGGATGGGTGTGATGGAGTGTGAAAAATGGAGCTTGGTGAGAGTGTTGACGTTTGTCTTATTCTTTCTGGAAAACAGCAGGAGGAATATGAAAGCTAATATGTCAAACAAGGATACATTATTCAGCATTTTGTGTCGTGGACAGTGACAGAGAGCTCCAACTGGTGCAGTAAACAAAATCTGGATCTTTGAAAAGCCAGGCTACAAGCAAAAATGGGTTGAGAGTGAAAAAAAAGGAAAGCATTACAGGCAAATAAACGGTATGAAAACGGAAGTGATACCTGGCTGATACATTAGATGAAGGTGAATTTTGATCAGATCATTTTTCACACTTCCATCAGGCACAGAGAGTCAAATTAAAGCCTGACAGAGTAAGTTAATTACAGTTTTCTTGATGTGTCACAGGTGTTAACAAAGACATACTGTCAGTTATTGTCTCCAATGATGGATATTTATTCTCCACAGAGTGCTCACAAGAAAGAAAAATGAACCTTCAGTCAACAGCGTTCCTCAGTATGTCAAATTTCCACATCTCACTGGATAAGTATTTCTGAATTTAATGAGAAGCTCGGTGTCAAACGGAGAAGCACCAGTGCAGCAGAGTGTGCACAAAGACATCATTTCATGCTGCAGTAGATGGCAGCAGAAGTGGATCAGCTTGTCGAACAAAACCTGGAAGGAATGATACTAATTTCTGACAGACATTTTCAGTAGGGAAGAGATGGGAAATGTAACTAAAAAGTACCCATCTGTAAGCGTGTTAAGTTACAAACAAACCTAAAACACATGAATGCCCAAATTTACAGACCACCACATAACGTGCAAGAAGGATCTGTCCATCCAGTCAGTACATCTGCTTTCTCATCCCTCCATTTGTGCAACTACCCAGATAATAGTTTCTGTTTCTGGTTTATAAACTGCATGAAATCCCCTTCTTACAATGAAACAGACGTCTTTAAAGCTCAGTCACCTTCAAACTCTTCACAGACAGTTTGCAAATCATTTCCACTTCTTTAAACACAAACACAAAAACTGAGGTGCACACTTTTAAAAACAGGAACTTTTAAGTGATTTCACATTTTCACATCTTCACTACCAAAGAAAAACTGTTCAGTTTGTATGACAAACACCTCCCTGGAAACACAATGTCCTATGCTGTCACATCATAATGACTAGCTGCTTTTAAAGCAATCAGCAATTTAAAATATACCATCGATCACACACAATGAATTGGAGCATCTAAAAATACATGTATTCATGAAAATTTCAATATTATATGATTACTTATGTCAGAAAGTGAAAAATGTAATCCTTACATATTTTGAACTCATGAATTATAATATTTTGTTTGTGAAGCTTGTCACCCACAGCTAAAAAAAAACAGCTTATAGGATTTAATTTAGATTCCAAGTTATTAAAAAAAAAAAACAATTTCAAGTTACTCCAATTTTTGAGATGCACAAATTTTGAGAAATACGTATTTCACGATAATCTCACAGATTCAGGCCATTGAATTAAAGCGCCCATAAGGAACGTTCTGCTTGTGTCCACTTTGGCGCCCCCTGTGGACAATGCAGTACCTGCCTTCTCTTTGCTTATGTTGTTCTACACACACTGTATAAATAAAGTTTTCTGACTAAAAATCCCCCCATGCTTTCTTTAACAGACAAATGAATCTCTCACTCTGAATCTTTGCTGTAGAAAATGAAAACAAAAAAGATTGTTACTTTACCTTGTAGTTCAACTCGTTTAAACAAACACCTACACCCACTGAAATAACAAACGAAGCACATATTTTTACTTCACTTCCACTGAGCTGTCACTGTCTATTGTTTACTCAACTGGAGAAGCTGTTCTCTAGATCTTTGTGTTATCTGCTGCTATTTTACCTTTAATATGATAAGATGACACTGCTGGTTTTAGTCTGTTAAGTCTTTATCATTGCGTAATGTCTGGCACTGTGCTCTTTATAAAGGTCATTGGTCTATTCACAATGAAAAACTCAATCTTTTCATTTTTACATTTCTGCATTCCTGCAAAAACGTGTTCACCAACACTTTCTATGCATTGACAGGAGACTGACATGTCTTATAAGGCACATTAGCTGATCTCTGTGTAAAAAAACACCAGTTAGCTTTTATGAAAATGCTAAAGATCATTCAACTTGATGTTCAATTTGTTTCATCGTTCATCCAGAGAAATAAAATTAAAATGGTAATCCCTTTTTTTTGTGTTATGACGTACACGCTTATAGTAATTATATGAAGGAGTATAACCTCATTCTCAATTTAAAAACATTACATGTAATCCTAATCCAGATAATCTCCACTGTGAATCCTTTTCATTACAGTGACGCTCCTGCACACACACACACCTCCAGTTTTTAAGCACTGGGTAACATAAAGGGCAATTAACTGTTTTTAATTAATTTGAAAGGGAGTCATTGTCTTAGCATTTTGTAGCCCAAGATGCAGAAAATCAAATTCTTCAAGACAACTCGGATATAAACACAAACACACACAAATCCACAGAGTGTAGGGGACTTGAAATTGGTTCTCCGGTTTGGTCTCAGTATGATATGAGGCAGGTGGTCCAAAGATCTCCCTGACTTAACCCTGGTTCAGATTCCAATCAGGACACAACCAGAGGGTGAAGGTGGGATAGGCCATGGTTGGATGGAGTGTGGATGGTGGGTGACAGGTGGAGAGAATATGAATACATGGATGGGGGGGTACAGACAGAGACAGGAGGCTAGCATCCCTCACAGGAGGCAAAGCTAGAGGCATACAGGAGTTTCAGGTTCAGCCTGTTGTTCCTCATCGTATGACCTAGGAAGCTTTGCTCTGCTTCCTTCCACTCCACAATAAAAGTAATTTAGGCTTATACAGATAGAGCCATTGCAGAGTAATTTACAGCCAACAGCATTTCTTTAGTCCCAGGAGCAAGTGTTCGGGGATATCAAATAGCCTTCTCTTGTAAGGAGAAATGATTTAATGACCAGTTCAGCTGAATTACAATTCTGGAGTTGGAGAATAAGCCACTTATCTATTCTACTACTCGTGCAAAGTGAGTAGGCTTAAAATGATTACCCTGAACTACAGGTTTGATGCAAGAAACATGAGAGAGTTTCTATAAATACTGCGGCTCTTAGCAGATACAAACAAAAGGAAACACTCAGCGTTTTTAACGGATATGAACAAAACCTTCAAACTCTCAGAAGACTTAAAGTGCAATTAGAAACAGAGGGATTTCAATTTGGAAGGGGAATATAATGCCTTTTCAGCATTGTATCTGTCCACCATTTATCTAAAGTCTCCTCCACTCTACTTTATTTACAAAAAAGTAAAAGAAAAGCAGATAATGGCATCTGAACTAAGTAAAAAATATAAAGCAGTAACTTTTGTGATTTGCAAAAATGATTGATTAATGAAAACTGACAGTGTTTTAATTCTAGGGTGACCATATGCCCCCTTTACCTGGACATGTCCTCCTTTTCAGGAACTGTCTGGCTTTGTCTGGGGAAGTTTATAAAATCCTTCAAATGTCCGTGGTTTTTTACGTAAGTTTCAAGTTTGTGTCACGCGGACTCACTGAGTTAGAAGCGTGTAAAAGACACTCGATCCAGCCCGAAAAACTCTCAAAATTAACGTGCAGTTGTGTCCTCTTTTTGGGAAGTCAGAATATGATCATCCGACTTAATTCTGGCTAAGATTCAGTGATACAGAAAAAGTCTGTAGAGGACACACACACATACACACACTCATACAGTCCGAGTCACTGACTGTGATTGGATGTCTACAAAGATGCGTCTGTTTCAAACATCACCAAAGAGCCCCTCTATGTGATCCATACAGCTGCAGCTATTGGTGCTGCTTTATGGAGAGCTTGTATTGGAGAGCTTGGTTCCCTAAAGTCACACAAAGTAGTTCAGATTCAGTTCTTGACAGGGGCTGAAATGTTTAACACTAACCTTTTGAACAGCATAAGTACCCTACATTTATGTATGCACTCAGAAAGTGCAAACAGCCACACTGGTGCAGTGTAGGTGGCAGGACTTAGACATCCTGTTCAGAAGCACAAATAAAAGGTGACACTCAGAGGAAAGAGCAAAGAACTCCTTTCAGAGGTGTTCTCATGTGTTCTACCTCATAAATATGCTTCACATGAAATCTCATTTTTGCTGACAGCAGCACATAAAGCAGGGAGGAGTGATACGTGGTGAATGGACTGCACTTACAGTACATGACGCTGACTAGTCATTCGTCCAGTCAAAGTGCTTTTTGATACACAGCATTCACATTATTCACATACAAGGTCTAACACACTCTCAAACACAACTGGAACATTTCGGGACTTACTGTCTTGCCCAAGGATAAGGAGCCAGAGAGAGAATTATTGGTTCTTTTCCAAAGCTACTGTGAACCAAGAATAAAATACCATGAATTATGACCCGCCTGTGTTTTACTCCATTCTGATTGGTCGAAACGCTTTAAAAAGGTGGTTTATTTTCAGCAGCAAAAGTCGTGCTAGTGACAACCTGATCACATTATATCTACGGAGATGAGTCCAGCTTATTTCATCTGTGCCTGTTTATGCTGTTGCAGAAGGTCGGGTATTTTTTCAAAACAAAATGTAAGATTTTTGGTTAAAGCCCAATGTGTTTTATCAGTGGAGATAAGAGGAAAAGTGTACAGAAACACTCAGTGGGTGTTACACAGTATGGGCTTTGGTAGTGTTGAAGGAAAAGATAATGTCAATGGACTTTAAAGGTAAAAGGGCAAAAGACTCAAAACAGATGCTGCGGTCATTTTAAGCATCAAAACAAATGTTGTTTTGTGAATGAAAATGTTAAATCAACTTTTGATTCAACCTGCAAATAGGCTGGGAAGAATACCATTGCCATGTTTGTGCAATCTGGAGGACTTTTTTGAGCTGGATACTTGAATCTCTCATGCTCACCTGAATTTTGTTGTTAAAGGGATATTCCAGCGTAAAATAAATTTAGGGTTAATAACCCTTTGAGAGATAACTGTTGCCGACCGCTTGCTTCTCTAGTTATACCAACTTTTGTGACTACTGCACAATAGCACACAGCGGTCTCAGGAGCAATAAACAAACCTCAAACAAAACGCCACTCCATAGCCACAAATAATGCTCAGAACAGCACCAAACTTCATCAACAGTACATATAGGGTCCCAGCACTAGCACTAGCCACCAAACATCTTTTTAACTTTGCCTAATTTCTTTGGCAAAAAGAATAAGCACAACTCACCTACTCTCCTCCAGCAGTTTCTGTAGCGAGATCTCAGGCCAGTCCATTACGGACTGCAGTGGGGTTACGTAGCTCAAGGAAGAACATTTATGATCATTACTTTATCATTTCCTTGAAGTAATAGTCAAAAAATTAATCATTATGCACTGCAGACGAGGTAGTTCTTCTGCCTTAGCGTCTCGGTCTGATTGCATTTCCATGAGGAAATGATTATAAATGTCTCTTAAGATCTCTAAAAGCCTCTTAAGTCATGTAAGAAGTTCGTTTTATTCTGATTTAACACAAAACTTTCAAAAATCCCTGCTGAGACTTGTGGTCAGTCTTGTAAGTCCCATTTTATCAGTGCAATATTGAAACTGAAACGTATTCATAAAGCAGTGCAGCACTTTCATTAACACGGATACAACATACAGCAGACACATGACGCACCTGTGAAACCAAAACATGCACATACACTTGTCCATTTGTGAAACATCAGGCTTATATGGTGTATTTGACAGCTCCTTCAGCAGCTTTGTGTCTCCACTCTGAAGAGCATCATTCCATTCAATTAAGCATGCAAGTGTGTATTCAACCAGTGAGTGAATTTCTGAGGGTTTTTTTTTTCCAGGTTTTAAGACCGTGCTGCAGTAAGGAATTGCTATGCTAACCCAGATCTATCAAAGCCGCTTGACAACTGACAAAGAGCTCAAACAGAACATGAAAAAGGCGGACAGACAGGAAGGGGAATAAGGGAGAGAAGACTTGACTCCTCGCGTTTTTCTCACCCACTCTCGTATGAACACACACACACACACACACACATGCACACACACACACACACACACACAAGCACGAAACAAGGAAGAGTGACTAAGTCTCGCCCTGGGCTTCATACAGTACCTCTCTCAAATCCAAGCCTTGCCCAATCATTTTCCTTCACTCCAGGTTGCCATAGCTACAGCCTGCTTTCTTGTCTGTACTTTGGGATGGGTGCGACTTCACCACTGTGCATGTGTGTCAGTCCGTGTGTGTGTATGTGTGTGCACGGTGGTAACCCCAGCAGATGGAGTCTTAACACTTCCTCTTCGTCAACCTTACATTAACACTCCAGTTGGACATCTGAGACAGGAAGGTGCGAGGTAGACAAGAAGTGAGCGTCGTCACTGAGAGGAGGCAGCCGGAGAGAAAATGAGTGAAGTGTGGCGCATTCAATTTCCCGTTCACGTCTCTCCATTCAAAGCCTGAATCTAAACACTTGAACTCATGTATGAGGAGCAGAAATATGGATGGTGCTCCTCTCCTCCTGCAGCCCTAGAGCCTCAAGTATGATTCATATTTTCTCAGTCTACCATACGTTCCATAATAACAACTAATATTAACAAGAGTGACACAATCAATAGACTGTATCAAAACCATAAAATTTAAAAAAGATCTTTTTTTGAGGGATATATTAAGTTAAAAATACCCATCCTCTTCAGTAAAAACTGTATCTAAGAATCTCAACTTACTTTGAGAAATATTGATTAACTTAAGATAAAGAAACCACACTAGAAGTTCAATGAAATCATCTGAAAATAGTGATTGAAGAATCAGTGAAGAGGATGAATAACCTGAAATTTGACATCATGGTCCCCCTTGACCCCTGATGCCACCCCAAAGTCCTCAACTCTGCAACTCAATCTTGTTACTTAAAAGTACAAAATGTTTAGATGTCTTCCCAGTTAGAAGTTTGGACACGCCCCCTGACACCATCTTCAGGTGGAGGATAGTTTTGAAGGTATGACTGCTGCAGCTTAGTTTAAGACGGGTTGCTACACACACATCATGTAGGTGAAAAGTAATCACAAAAAAAGTAGGAAAACAAGATCAGACCTCAAACTTTCTAAATGCTCCCTAAAAATCACTAGATCACATTTCAACCCAGTAGTCCAGTTACTCATACAAAGAGAGGAACTGTATTGAATGTAAGGAATTCTGCATTTATTTTCTATACAGTATATACTTAACCATGAATTTGTTGTTAGTTCCCTTATATTTATTGCATTAATTATGACGTGTGCTGCTGACCTCTTGGCCAGGTCGCCCTTGTAAATGAGATCATGATTTCAATGGGATTTTACCTGGTTAAATAATAGTTAAATTAAAAAGATATATACAAGTTTTCATGATCATAATAATAAACCTTACTTTTTAACTTTCTCTATCAGGACCCCCATTAGCACCAGCATAGGCATTAGTTATCAAAACTAACTACTTCAGATTTGAAGCCGTAATATAAAGTATACAATTCAAAATTATGTGGATATCTGTTGATGAGTATGCCAGCTATACATTATTGACTCCCTTAATGAAGGGACAATATAATACAGTCAATGAACGGCTGACCAAATTAAAATGTCAATTAAATGCAAATTGATGAATGGTACAAGGATCTCGAAAAGTTCATTGCTAAACTACAACAACAAGGTATTGCATTATTTTTGATACTGTCACGCTTCAGTGTAGCTCATGAGAAAAAGACTGTATTTCTGTGTGTGTGAGTGTAAGAAAAAGAGTTAAAAAGAGAGAGAAATATAAGAGAACTCCACTGTAAACTGCAGCGAAAAGTCAGGTTTAATAGAGATGGAACTGTGTGCATGTGTGTGTGTTTGTTTGCTATCAGGTAGATGACAAGAATGATATAAACACTTGAGGATCAACATATCAGTAAAACTCCCACCATCTGCCCCCCGGCAGCCGACTATAAACACAGTGTTCTCTTACTCTGCGATTTCTTTATCTCCCTGCATCGCTCCACTTTTCTCTCTGTTCTCGCTCTCTGCAGTCCTGCCATCCATCATCATTAGGAGGGGAATAGATGACCTGTCTACACCTGCAACCACTCTCAGTCCCTTTACTCTCTGGAGGGAGGGAGGGAAAGAGAGAGGGAGAGAGAGAAAGAGAGAGAGAGAGAGAGAGAGAGAGAGAGAGAGAGAGAGAGAGAGAGAGAGAGAGAGAGGAGGGAAAGGCAGAGCAAGAGAAAAAGAGAGAGGGAGCAAAAGAGAAGAAAGACAGAATGAGTGAAGGGACAGAGTGGGTTGTGGGGCCCTAAGAAATGGGGCAATTTAATAAAAAAGGTAAGATTCAGATAATTGAGTTGGAAAAGATAATGGTAATACAGACATATATAAAACAACGTCCTGTCTGTTATTGTTATGAATATATATATCAAAGTTAATATGATAATATGTCCACTCCAACGTCTATTATAAGCCCTCCCACAATCGCTCTTCTTACTAACAATTTCACACTTTGCTCTCAGTGAACAGATTTGATCCGTTTGTCAGAGGGAATTATATTACATCCATGACTTATGGAAACTTTCTCTGCATCTAATATCACTCTAGTTTTACAAGAACTGCACGATAAATCACAGCTACATCTCGTCTACATTGTGGGTGTTTCCAATTCTCATACACAGTAAGGTCAGTCGAAAAACAGCTTCTTGAAGATGTTGTCAGGCTCAAAACCTTAGGTGATAAAAACAACAATTCTTACTCTGGATGAACAAAAAACGATGCATTTGAGTATCAAGTTTGTTAATATTGATGGTCCTTTATTTTTTAATAACCCCGCGTTGAATCGGTTTGTGTTTGCAATCTCATGTTTGCAAAATATGCCATTGAGCACAGTGATTGTTGTTTTGGTTTTTACTTCATGGTTTTAGCTGTTTTTTGCTAGCTTACGCCGGGAAGTGAGCTGGAGAAAAACTGTGAAATATGAATCACACCTGCTCCACAATGAACTGGTAAGGACTTCCCTTCTTTATTCAGCTCATCATCTACATAAATGTGGATTAAGTACTGTCAGGATCAGAGCACAGCGCAGCTCTGTGCAGCAGAGAGGACGGCTCATCATAGCGAAAGTCAAATGCAAAAGTTGAGCGAACTTTGTTGACATTTTTTCGCACTTGACATGCTATTTATTAAGCTATCCCTTTAACGCCTTTTGTATCATATTTGATACATACTCTTATGATGTCTATCAAATCAATATGATCAACAAATTACTAAAAAAACACCTGAATACAGTCCGATTGATGATAAAAATGTCCTCTTGTAGTTTTTCAGTTTCCAAAAACATCTAATGCATCAAATGAGATAAATGTGTATTTGTTCCATTTTAAGGACATTTTGATTTTTTTGGTTTTCATTAGTAAGTGAAATAAACATTTCAGCTCCAAAAAAATTTGAATTTTCTGGCCATAAATTGTGGTTTCAGGCACCAAAGGGCTATTAGTGACCATAATCCATTTCTAGTGAGTCCTTTACTTTGTCTGCAAAAAACAGAACAACAAAATAAAAATGATCACTGCAGTACGACACCTCATTGATCAAGTTTAGTAAGACGGGGAACCAAATACAAGTTCAGGTTTAAACTTGCCAAACCTCTGAGTGGGGTTTTCATCCACTCATTTAAAAGAAATGCTCATTCTGACAAACTGCTCTGACAAAGCAGTTATCAAACTGCACCAAGTGTGACAACAGCAAATAAATGAAGTCCCGAGTGTTTCATTAAAATCCTGCTCTAACTTCAAAACCTGTTATCTTGATTTTATTATTTGCTTTTGTTTGAGCGTGTAATTGTCCGCTCGACTTATGAGATTATACTAAACGGTCTAATTCAGAGAGTTGATGAACCTTTACTCTGCTAAAGAGGACTCAGGATCAAAGCCAAACAAGTGGGAGAAAAGAGGAAAGGATAGCAAAGATGGAGGGGTAGAGGGGTACGAGAAAGCGTCGAGATGAGAGGAGGACGAGCAAAGGACACAGTATTGTCTCCTGTTAACATGTAAAAATAACTCTGCTGCCTGCTGCCTGTTGGAGGAGCTAACTGGGTCAGAGAATTCCCAGAGAGAGAAAGAGAGAGAGAGAGAGAGAGAGGGGAGGGAGAGGTAACACATTGATTCAGTCTGTGGTATCAGTGTGAAGCAGAAGTCAGTCTCCCTTCCTTCACCTTAGGCTGTTAAAGCGCTCAGTGCAGACCCATCCCATGCATTTGTTCGCCAATCTCTCCGTCCATCCTTCCCTCTAATAGCCTGTCTTCCCATCCCACATCTTCTCGTCTCTGCCTCTCCTGCGTCTCCACCCCCTTTGTTTACACTCTGATCTTTTTCTCCCTCTGCTAATAAACACATCCTCGTGTTTATCAGACACACTTGCTAACCTTTGTCACGTTTGGCTCCTGGGCTCTTCCCTTTCAATTAACCCTGCTTTCCCTTTTCTACATATCTATTTTCTCTCACTCTAAACGCACATTTATAAAACATGCAGCCAAAAAGGTGAGTTAAACAGTCTGTAATAGCTGGTCTCTTTTTATTTTTACACCATGTAATTTACCTGCACTTAAGAAACGTGTCCTGAACTGATGGTGACGGTGGTGGAGCTGACACAGATTGAGAAGAATGCGACGAATATGGTTATAATGATACAGTCCGTACAAATCTAAGTGCTCCAATTGAACATTGAAATACCAATGTCAAGAAATTACTCAAAATTTTGCACCAGTCCTTTCTCTTGATTTTCAATATGATATGATGCATAGACATGATACAGTAGGATATAAGCGATACAGCAGGAAACCGTACAAAAGAACATGACGCAATATGACATGATTCAAAGTATGAATCATTATGTAAAGCAGGATATGATACAACACAACACCATACGATATGATATGAAACAATATGTACCTGATCCATTTCCAACAATACTGATCATATCAAAATACTGCAATTGTGGGATAATTGATCAACTGCAAGACCAGAACATTATGACACAAAGGGGATATCACATGAGAGTGTGTGAAGACTACAAAACGCCTCTAAAAGTAAAAATTCATGATTGATGTCATTGGTGCCACCTCAAGGAGTCATGAAGTATTGACACAGTGAGTCAAACTGGGAGGAAACTCTCTTTATAGTGCCGCAACTATTAAAAATCTATATTTGGTGTCAGTGATACACTCATTGTATCATCATGACAATAATAATTATTGATTTTATATTTTAACCCTTCCCTATATTAAACCAATACTGTTATCAGCCTCTTATGGTGCCCAAAATGTGGCACTGGTTATTATGAAGTATGCCAGCCAATGTGCTGATGCTACAAATGTCTATAAATGTATACTGAAACCCTTAAAAATCAACTTGGTTTCAGGATTGTAATGATAACAAATGACAGTTTTGTGCAAGCTTAAATGATTCAAGAATATATGATTGCATAACTGGACAATAACAGCAAGTAAAAAAAAAAGGCTATTTAATATTTAAAGTATTTTTTTTTTCATTCACTCTTAATAGCTTCAACACTGAAATTCTTTCCTTCAGTTTTTAGTCTATGGGGAGTAATCTCATGCACCAAATATTTCATGCTCTGCTGTGTTTCTGGGTGTTTTTTCCAGTTTCCCCAGCCAACACCACAGCTATAAGTGTAACCCATAAACCATACAATGTGCAACGGTCAGCAGTCCTGAGCAGTAATTAAAATCTTTATTGATGAAGAATGCTGTGAGCATACTAACTATCTTACAGACTGTTGTTTTGGTTTTATGAAAATTAGCCAGAGCCATGCACATTTGCACTCAGGGACTGTCTAATTGTTTTGGAAAAGGTAAGCAATAATAGAAAAAAAAGAGTATGCAAATAACTCCTCAGTGAAGGTCAGTCTGCCGCAGAGCAATTAAACTAACCTTTATTTCTTTATTCGCTTTATCCTTGTTCCTGCTTCATCACAACCTTCTGGTTAACTATTTGGAGATTACCTTAACGAAATGAACTTCCTGAATATGAAAGTAAAAATGTTTCCAAAGTTGAAGAACTCAAAGAGGCCTGAATGAAGTAACCTGCAGGTTTGGTTCAACATGGGCAGGGCTGATTCTTGGCTGACTTGGGTCCGCAGAAATAGCTTGAGCTGACTACAGCATATATAATGTACTGCAGCAGCTCTCCAGGGTTCCATGTTTTAGCATCTAATCCAACTCCTCTGTGTGTGTCGCTTCGCAAGAAAAGTGCCATATAAGTCAAGGATTGTACTTGTCAGGGCGACAGGGATGGTGCAAGGTGTTGGTGCTGTGTGTGAGTTTGTCTCCTATGGTGCAGGGTTCACTGCAGACGTTTACATCAAGGTAAATGCAGTCTATCCTAATGAACATAAAGGTAATGTAATACTTGTGCTGCAGAGGCCTGTGGCGGAGAGAACAGTGCACTACAGTGTTGCTGCAGTCCTATGAATAAAGACTCAGGGGCGCTCTGCAGCAGGTTGATACCTTCAAAGTTGTGCATGTTTTTATGCTGAAGTGGAAAAGTGAAAATTTGCTGTTTAAATGTTAGCTTTGTATTAAACTGAACTCAAATTAAAGTACAACATTTAAGAAAATGACTTGCTTGACTTCGTGCAGTCATTTAAAGAGGAAAAAATGTTAGTAGCAACTTTGTGTTGTTATGAGCTTGGACTTAAAGGGATATTACGGCGTAAAATTAATTTAGGGTCAAACACACCGTAACATCAAGTTAGACACCCCTTCGGGAGATGTATGTTGCCAACCGCTTGCTTCTTTAGTTATGCCAACTTAAGAACTGACCACACGATAGCAATACACATCGGTCTGAGGAGCCATAAACAAACCTCAACCAAAACGCCACTCTATAGCCACAACTAATGCTCAGAACAGCACCTAACTTCATTAACAGTACATATAGGGTCCTAGCCATAGTACTAGCCACCAAACATCTTCTTAACTTTGCCTGATTTCTTGAACATAGAGACTAAACACAACTCACCCACTCACTTCCAGCAGCCGCTTGTTTGTACGGGGACCTCTGGGCAAGGCCATCGACTACAGCGGGTTGTCGCAGCTCAAGGAAGAACATTTATGATCGTTTCCTTATAGAAATGCAATCAGATCTAGACACTAAGGCAGAAGAACTACCACGTGTGCAGTGCAAAATGATTAATATGATGATTATTACTTCAAGGAAATGATAAAGTCATGATCATATATGTTCTTCCTTGAGCAGAACTTGCAAATTTGCAGAACTTCATTCTCAACTCCCAAGGTGACAACTCTTTCTACAGATTCTACAACCAAAGAGCATCTGCACTTTAACTGACACAGGTCATGTGTTTGGCGGTATGTATTTATTTACTTTTATTGCCACACTTGCAAAAGAAGTAAATGATCTCTAGAAAATCAGTCTGGCAAACTGCTACTGAATGCTTAATTCTGTCTGCGGCTTTAAATCCAATGATTCCCAAGTTTAAAGTCCGAGATCATAAAACAATAAAGCCATTAAATTACTGACCAAGAGGCTAGTAAAGCTAAAATCTGCTTTCTCGTGAGACTCCACTCCTGTGGAAACATTCAAGTTTAACACTTAACTGCATCTACCTACTCATCCTTACAGATCTGTGGGTTTACATTTAACAGGAAAGAAAGGTTGAGTTTAAAACCCGGCTAGAGCCGCACAGAGTAAAAACAATGTAAGTCTGCCTTCTGATAACAGTCCTATTCAGTCAGCAGTGCTGAAATGACCATATGGTTTAAATGAGCCTTGCATAACACAAGGGGCTGCATGGTTAACCTTTGAGGAAATGAAAGAGGAACTGCCCATTTAGCGTGCACTCAGGGTATCTTTGGCATTTAGATACGCAGTAGAGGAGAATTTGTATCTTAAAACAGCATGTTTTTTAATATCAACCAACATGAAACAATTTCCTCAACTGCTGCACAATTTTTTCTGTGATCGGTCACTGAACTCAAGCTAACATCAAGTATTTTACCTTCAGTACACAGAGCAGAATATCAGTAGAAACCTTATAGATAAGATGCTGAAATAAAATTGTAAAAAAAAAAAAAATGCATCATGTCCTGAAGAGTATCTTTTTTGAGCTCTGACACTAAACACAATTATACAGGTGGGTCCTGCTATGGAAAGATAAAAACTCTCTGTTTTCTACTACAGCGAAAAAGACCTCCTGCCAGCCCGTAAAAATGAAGAGAGCTCTTCACAATTTTCCACCCTCTAAAACGACTACATTGTGCTGCACTACAAATGAATCCAGAAAGAAAAAAGGGCCAAACCTTAACTCACTATTATTGATTACCATTGTTGGCTTGGTTTCTAGATTATCATCCTGAAGAGGAACTGCAGGAAAAATATTGAGTAACTTAGCTGAGACAGGATGAATAAGGCCCACATCGGCTAATTCAATGTGTCTGAGCCCATCTCTATTTCATGCACCTTTAATTTCATTTAGGAAGCAACCCGCCTCTCAAGTTGGCTTCTTGTTTGGACTAGCCCATCTAAAGTCAATAGCAATACACTCTGCATTTTGGCATTGTGGTATACAGGTCTCACAGGGGAGGTCTAATTTTGTCTGATGGGTGCAAAGCTCTAATGGTGAAGGGAAGCTGTCAAGACAGCCCAGCACATTTCAACACTGTATCTGATTTTTTTTCTCCTGTATTTTGCCTGAAATTCATTTCCTGCCTTTCTCTTTACAGCCTATTTATAATTTCACCATTTGGTAACCTTTGGTAAAATATAAAACAGGGTTCAACTGAAGCCTGCTCTCCAACTGGCAACACCAACTGAGCACCAACCAAATATCCTTTAAATAAAAAAACAAGGTTTTCTTATTTGCCACTGACAGACTCAGAAAGTTATTTGAAATGTCAGAAAAGGGATGAAGTTAGACCTACTGGGATTGACCTCTCTGGTCTAAGTCTATGTACACATTGGCAGAAGGGACAAGCAGTCATCAAGTTCTCAGAGCAGCCAACAAAACAAAATTGGCTCTTCAACTTTCTCCATGTTTGTCCTGCATCTGCAGAAAGGCATGACTGCAGATAGAACGGAGCATTGCAGAGGAAATTAAACTTCACCTTCACTTCAACTGCACGGCTCAATATTTTTCTCATTACTAAAACAATTTAAGTTAATTTTCGTTCTTCCTCTCATATTCCTGTAGAACAAAACATTGCCTGAATATGAATTCCTGTTGTGTTTGTCACAGAAGGTTTCCTCCTGAGGGGATTCCCGCTCCCACCTGAATCCATCATCCTTCCCAAATCGAAGCTCCAATAAAAACAGTCGTATTGTGAAAACAAACGGAAAGTATCGAGTCATAGTCTGAGACACGGAGTCCAGCTGAACAATACTACAGCTTATTCTCTGAAAGTTGTTGCCCTGAGAACGTCAGAGACACACAGATTAAGATAAGCAGTTTCAAAAACAGGCCTGTCAATACGGCAGAGATAAGCACATGCATGTCAGCACATTACAAGCAAAAAGTCTCTATCTTATATCAAGTAACTGTTTAAACCACAGTTAAAACAATGTGGGTCAAAATAACAACACAGAGCCAACTAGTCCACAAACAGCAACAGGTTTTTATCCAAGGTTTGCAACGCAGATGCACAAGAAAGCTTTATTTTCACCCCGTCTGACACACAGGTTGGGTTGGTTGCACTAAAGGAAACACGGTTGAAGTCAGAAAAAAAAAAAAAAAATTTGAGCTAGATTCAAAAATAACACAATACGGGACCCCACCTCCAGGCTACTGAGTGAAAGCTGTGGGTTTTTCCTGTCAGTCACCCTAGGATAACTTTGTGTTCTTTTGTACTTTGTCAAAAACAGCAGCTTTCTCAGTTATTGGGTCCTCATTTCATGCAAAAGCTCAATTGCAGGTCTGAGACAAAGAGAGCCATGACAGAGTGCCGATATGTAACTCAGTAGGAGGAGAACAAACTGGTGAGGATGCCTAACTCACAAGGGTTTGAGATGGAAATAATTATCTGCACTCTGTCAACTGAAAAAAAGCACTCAAAACCAAAACAATCCTTACTCACTTTTCAATAAAGTGAAGAATTTCAGCACCATGGAGAGCAAACATCCTCATTTGAATGTTTAAGGCTGCAAAGTTCTTTAAATTACAACAGATCACATCAAAGTTCTCAAAATAATAAAAAAGCGTCATTAAAAATATAAAAACAGGGAGTTTTAAAGCACATTGAGGGCAGGCTGATTTCGAAACACTTCCTAAAGTATCCTCTCTCAGGTCACAAGTTCTCACTGAGAGCCATGGGAAAGATTGCTCTCTGTGCTTCGAAATAGTGTTTCCAGGTTCAGGTGACATGCTTTGACATGTCTTATTATGGTAGAGAGGGGAGCTTTCTCTTCGGGGAGAAAAGGCTCATTTCTTCCATACACTGCAGCATCAACACATTGTAAAGCAATATGAGAACTATTTCTCTTTGATAGAAGGCTGTGGGTCACTATCACTGGTCTTTGTGCTGTTATCTTTCCCATTTGCCGCTCATTCAAGCTCCAGCAACAAATCATATCAGCTCCGTTTAGCAGCTCTACGCTCGCTTCTCTTTGAGATGTAATTTTAAATTTATTGAAAACTATAAAAAGCCCCCCAGCGACATATGAGACCACTTTTTATCACTAATGAGCTGAGGAACTTTTCGCTCCTCTAAGCAAAGCCCAGCAGCTTGTTCCACAGACTGAGCCGGGGTTACTGAGTCTTTGCTGTCAGCACTCTCTGGCTTTGTAACTTCCTGCAACAGAAACTCGTGCTCCCAAGATCCCGACATGATATCAGCGCAATGTGACCGGGTCTGCTGAGACTGGGAACAGAAGGAGGTGATGCAGGGACACTGGTAGGCACAGCTCAGCCTTCTGGATGTGTCCCTTCTCCAACTCAGTAAGCCATACACAAAGGCAGGTGCACAAATGGAAACCACGATGTCATGCCCACACATAATCATCTTAGAAACAAGGATTGCAAATCACACTGAATGTGTGCTTGTGACAGAAAGCAGCCCATTCATACACCAAAGTAGTCAAAAGCTGCAGCTTTGTTAGAGGCACAAATCTAAAGAAGGATGACAAGTTTACATAAGTTGCTTTTCATGAGAATGTCACGTACTAAACACATGATTTCATCTACTTATGTTAGTCCTGTTCAGTTTCAATATTTACCTTTTTAGGTTACTGGTATTTGCACAATATCACTGATGTGTTCCATTGAGCTTGATGTTTGTTTTCTTCTCATCTACATGCACTGCTAACAAATCATTGCAATTCACTTTCACTTTAAATATGACCCACTGGAAGTGCTCAATCCAAGCTGCAAATTAGTCACATCTGCCGATAATGTGAGTTTCCAATCACAGGTGTGCCCTGCATGTTTCCACTGGAGTGATGTGTTTGTTTTAACAGTTTTCCAGAGTTTTGGGGCTGAAGAGAGACAGACTGTTTGGAGAGAGCTGTGTGGGAGCTGTCGGACTACAGCTCTAATGAGCTCAGAATAAAAAGCCACTGAGGTGGACTACAATGTTTTATACCAATATGCGGTACTTCCCACAGAAGCCTGGGTATGTAAGTAAAAAAGTTTTTGGGGTACATACACCGCTATATTATTTACAAAGCTTTTCTACTGAATAAAACCTCAAACATTGTTTCATTATTTGTGTTGAGTGGTTTATTTATTTGACTCTTTTTCTTCCCACACATAAACCTACAGTTGATTCTCAAAATGTGGTAATCAACTCATCTTTGGGCTAAGATACAAGTGCTGATATGCAGTCAACCAAAATGTTTACACCACTCAAACTCAAGACTAGATTTTGATTTCTTAAAAACAGGTAAGAGGAAAAGGCCTTTCTATACATTTCTTGCTCTTTTGTCCTCCTGTCTTCCTCCACACACGTGCAAACACACATGCACATGGCAGCTGGCTAAGTGGTGACTGAGTGTGCGTATGCAACTCAGTCGGATGAGTGTGCTGGAGTGAGACGATGATGTGGCTCCAAAAGATCTCAAGAGAAATATGACGGCACTTCCCTGCAACTGCAGTGTGCCTGCTCACAGACACGTACCCTGTGTGTGTGTGTGTGTGTTTGTAGGTGTGCATGCTGCTCTGTTGCATACTCTGCTTTTTATCTCTGTCCTCTTAGCAAGCACAACAAACACAGCTGGATACACCTCGGTTACTCTGAGGCATACGACACAAGTACTTTATGCGCATCCCCTCTGCATCAACATGTTTGTATCTAAGTGTGCATCTACGAGGTAAAACACACAAGTCTTGCTGGTATCATTCTTTTTTTTTCACAGCAGTACCTTTGGTACTGTACATACTTTGCATTTTTGAAGTAGATTTTAAAATAGAATCTGAAGTGTTTTGCATGTTGTTTCACATCATAGTTGACGTTTAGAGGTAACACAAGTCTGGAGCATGAAAAAATTATGATAAAGCTATTGGGGCTGGGAGAAAAATATTGATTCATATAAGTTTCACAACTTTTTGTTTTACAATTTTTAAATTGATTTTTACTTTCAATCTTTTTTTTTTTAATTTAAGAATAAATCTTAAAAGCTGAATTACATGTGATGTGTATTTTTGAAGAAATATGGCAGACAATCATATTCATTCAACTGTTTCACTGGTGTTAAAAATGCAGACTAAAAATCAAGAAAATCAACAATATTGCATAATCGCAAATTAAATCGAATCGGCATCAAAAAAAAATTGGGAGAAAAGGATACCGTCCCAGCCCTAAAACCTATGAAAGAAAAGGGCAGAAAATGAGCCCAAAAAAAGTGTTTTAATTTAAAATTCCCACATTTGAAAAGCTTTAACCTGAGTACTTTGGGAATATTAACTTAGTAGTGGATGCGCTGATGGATCTGTTCAACATCAGCATCTGTTATCTGGATAAGTTCTCTGTTGGGGAAATTTGGTCCATCTCTTAGAAATTCGTCCTTTAATACCTCTGAGTTGTATCAGTAATGCAAAAACATTCTTATTGGTATCTGCTATCAGCTAAAATTGTTATTTGGAGCTTTGGTATTGCATTGTGTTGGTTTCACAGTCAGTGCAAGTCTATGCAGTTATCATCCCTTTTAATTGTCATCCATGTGTTACGAAAAAAAAATTCTGCATAGGTTTACATGTGTCATCCTCAGAGCCCTTGTAATTTTCCATCATATCTTTGAAAAATGTAAAATATTCCCAATTTCATGCCTTCTGTCTGCGATCCTCTTCCTCTGACAGTGTCTATGTCAGTGTGTGTGTGCATGTGTGTGTGTGTTTAAGAGAGACACAAGACTCTCATAAATCCTACTTTATTAGATAAACATCCTAATCAGATTAAGAAATCTCTCACACACACCACATGCATGCGCACACACAAGTACAAAGACCCCACCAGCATCTCACTGATAATCTCCATTACCAATTACTGGTGATACGCCACAGCTTAACATGAAAGCAGCAATTAATCTGCTAACACCGGTCAGTGGGTCATTATAGCAGCAAGACACTATCACTTGCAGGCACGCAGACTGTAGACACACAGAAAAGAGCTTTGTACATGGAATTTCCTTTAATAGTTTTGGTTTGTTAATCTTGTTTTTGTTTTTTTTCTTAATGCAAGGAAGCGACAGACAAGAGCTAGACTTCACATCCAAACTATGAAAACAACAAGTGCCTCTTTGGATTGATCATTGAAAGTTGATCCACGCAATGATTCTCTATGTTTGGTTGTTGATGGCAGATTGTGCCGGATCAGAACAGACACTTAAAAACTTAGAGCAAGCGCTGGCAGTAGATTTTCTATTTGTAAGCAAAGAGCGTAGCCAAAAGCCGCTCATCTGCTCTGTTGAAGTTATTAATAAAAAAGATGAATGAAGACAAAGTGGTGGCAGTTGCAACCCATAAAACATCATTTAACACTGTAATAAATGACCAACATACTGGTGGTCTTTACTAACTATAACAATTTTAAAACCAAGATATGATTCAATCTTTTATCGTATAAATCAGTGTAATAAATCACAAATATAGGTCTGAGACTGTGTGTGAATACAACATGTAACTAAACGGTGGAACATTTCCAAGTACAACAGCTTGTTTGGGGCAACAGAAGGCGCCTGCCTTGCCCTGTGGCACAAGGTCAGCGACTAGATTCAACCAGATTTGTTAAACCATACTGGGTTTCAGACTGGACACCTTCCAGCCAAAGTCCAAACATGGACCGCTTGGTTTGGATAAATAGTCTGATCTTCCAGGAAGCCTTAACGAGGGCAAGCTACGGTTTCCCTGATCTAAGCTCTTTTCGACGCAGGGCGCAGACCTGGGACATCGAAAGACGAGAGTGTATGTGTGTGTAAGAGAGTAAGGGAAGACAGAGAGTTCAAAGTTCATCGGGGATCTGGGTAAATTGGTTATCAACATGTCTGTCCTATATGTGTTAAATGTTGCCGTCAGCGTGTGTGTGTGCATGTGTGAGCGTGTAAGCCACACACACGGCAGTGCAGAGAGGTGACACTCAGTGAGCCTCAGTACTTGAGTGATAGAGCAGATGGGCTTCCCATATCCAACTGTCAAACTGTCACACTGAAGATTTCACCCAATCCATTCACAGCATCAGTGCATGTCCATGTGTGAACCTGCATGTCACAGTCTGAGAGTCTGAGAGATGCCAGATTCTGATTCATGGCATGTAAAAAATAGCTCAGCCAGGTAAAGCGACTGCCACGAGCGGTAGTAAAGCAATGATTTACTCTTCTGTAGAGAGTTTAAGTCTGATTTTTTTTGTCAAGAGTTTGTTTTTGCAAAAGAACACAAGAGTTTTGGAGTGAAAAGGATGCTAATGTGCATTTTCACCAAAGAACAATACACAGCAAGGGTACAAAAAAGGAGCAAAAGATCCTTTTCTTATTTTTTTTTTTTGTTGTATTTTTTTTGCAAAATGTGCAGTGAGGGTTGTGTTTAAAACACGGTGTTCGCTGTCTGTTTATTTAAATTGATATTTTAATCTGTTTATATGTGGGTTGTTATGATTTTTCAATTCATAATTTATAGTTTGTCATTTATTCATGAGCACCAACATGAAGCAGCTAAATATGGACAGCCCTAAAATCTGGGATAAATGTCCCCAGGGAGACAATAGAGAGTATGATACAATGCTATACTGTAGTTCACTGTGTTGTGTTGAATTGAATCCAACTGTATATTTCCTAGTGTTATATTGTATGGCATCATATACACTGTATTGTATATTGTACTGTACACTGTCAATCCCATATCAGAGTCCGTAAATACAAACGATTATGATTGTGACCTTCATAGTTCTCATTTAATGAATTTTAGTATTACAAAGCAAACACCAACATTATTTCCTTTTTTTTTCTCCTTTATTTCTTCAATTATCTATTGACTCCTGTGTGCCACATTTTCATGAACCATGTAAATGCCTCATTCAAGTTATCATCTATGGGTATAAGCATTGAAAAAACAACTAGATGTTATCATTTATAAATGTTCCACTTTCATGATTTGGCCTCCTCTGCTTTTTATTCATTTACTTTATAAGTTTCTTTTAAGAAATAATTTGTAAACGCATTGAATGAACATCTGGATGCAAAATTACTAAAATGTGTATCTTCGGTTATTTACTTCCTCTTTCAGTGTGTCGAGGCAGACTCCAACCACACACCCACTTCTTGACATAGATCATCAACATTTCTACTCGTATTATCTAATCAATAATGCTAAAAATGTAGTACTCTCAACTAGTGAAAATTACACATAATTTCTTTTCATTCAGAAAACACGCGTACATCTGTTTCAGAAATTACTTTTTTTTCTTTCTCTGTGGTTGGTGTTTTCTTTGAGCTTCTTGTCATCTCGGAGAATACTAATTTTGCATAAACCCACATTACTGGGTTTATGATGCCATCTGGAGCACTTCCCCGTGTCGGTTATATCATGTTTGACACACGTTTGATGAAAAATAATAAAAGGAAAAATCTGCAGCATGTCATTTATTCCTCACTGGTCTCCTAATTTAAAAAAACTACTCTTAAATCTTTTCTATAAACTATGCACATGCATTAATTTCACTACTGACCTTTCTAATACACTACATAAGTGATGTGGTGTTTACAGCAGCTAAAATAGTTCAAGATATCAAGCTTGATTCAGATACCATCAAAACACAGAAACAAGAGAATCTACAGCTCAGACTTTGTAACATGATGAGCAGCACTTCAAAGAAAGAAACTAAACTGAAACACAGACTAATCCCTGTATTGTGTTGGTAATACTGTACTAAATCTAAAAATTCCAGCATTTTTTATTTCCAAAACAAGTTCTCTTTCTACAGGGGCCTTTCTCTTTGGTCAAATAGCTAAAGGAAGTGCTGCAATGTTAAATGTTATAGTCCCAGTAAAATAAATCAAGTTTGAAATCTTATGATTGCTATAAAAAAAACTGTCACTTTTATGTATTGTGCAGTGTTTTTTCTGCAGTGAGTTTCCCCTGTGTATCTCCATGTCTGCAGTATCAATTTATCATGATATATGAGATGACCGCCTCTATTTTCTCATGTACCATATATAGCATTCCCTAAGTCTTTCAAATACGCAGTTTTTCTTTCTGCTATTGTCTATGATTGATTAGCATCAATTGAAACAGATTATGAAAAGTGTATTCACATGACAAAAGTTCAGCAAGCTTCTGTGACTACAGTAAGGATTTAGTTTTCACCAGAAAGTGTTTTGCATATCAAAGGCGGTATGAGGAAAATATTTAATCTAATCACAAATGTACAGAAAACTGCAACACTGCCGTTGCATGAACAAAACAAGAACACAAACCAAACAAGCCAATCCCGATACAAGCGATCAATGAAATAAATCCCTCATGATGAAGGCTGCCTTTGTTTGATCGCAAAGCCGCCACACGCAGTCAAAGTTCACGTTGGCAGTGACTTAAAGGAATCAAACCCTTAACAGTTCATTCCAGGTTCAGTGTTTGTGTGGGGTGGTGCAAGCTGTGGTGCAGGAGACCTTACATGGCCATCTCTCACACTCTCTGCCTCGGTGTCTTTTTGTTTCTCTCTCTCTCTCCCTCTCTCTCTCTCATTGCTCGTCCCTGTCACTCTGAGCTATTCCTGGATTCCACACTGAGGTGAAAGGAAACAGGAATGGCTGCAGTGGCTGCTGGGAGAAGCATTTTTCCCCATAACAAAAAAAAAAAAAAAAACTCTCCCTCTTGTTGCACATACAGGCATGCACACACACACACACATTGACAATACTCCTGTGTTAATGACTTTGATCTAATGACAGTTTGGATACTTCCTCAAATATGTCACATTTCCTCTTCCTGCAGATGAATGGTAACAGGAGTGTGTTTTCATGCGCCTGTGAGTGTGTATTCATATCTGTGCCTGGCGAACAACACGTTTAAAAATGAGACACGGTCAGCTGGTCGGATCTTGGGTGCAGATGGGTCCTTTATTATTGCCATGCAGAGGAATATTCAAAACAGCAGCACCCGCTCTGCTATCTGCCCTTTGTTCTGCCTCCTCCTGCACCGCACCACACCACAGCACCACTGGGACTCTCCCCAACTCCCTGTTGTGCTTACTGGGTCCTTGGCAGCCAGCTGCCATATCAGCCAATTAGAAAAGCTTTTACTAAAGCATAAGCCAATTGGATTAGTGCTTCACATCCTTGCCAGATGAGACCCCCTAAATGTGCTGCTGTATGCTAGAATCTGAGAAGTGGTGGGCAGACTCCTGTTTCGCTGACAGCACCGGGCACCAGAATACACACACACACACACACAAACACACACACATACACACTCACACTGTGCAGGGTCAATCCATGACATGACTGCGTCTCCTCTGTATCTGAGTGTGTGTTACTGCGGTTCTAAACTGTTTAAATCAAACACAGGACATAAAACAAACCAGGAACAGAGCAGATGAGCGAGCGTGATGCTGCTTTGGGGTCGTACATAAAACAGACGCATACAGGGATGGGTTTGCAGAAGAAAAAAAAAGAGTAGATGATGCAGACGCAGACAGAGGTGAGCAAAGAGGCAACTTAAGGAATGAAAGGGTTTGTTTCTGGAGGCAGTTTTTATCAGGGTAACTCATGAGGACGTGTATTTTTCTTTGCTGCATAGGTTATGTGAGGTGAGTAACTGACTGAACTTGATTTCAAACAAACCGAGAAGTGTTTGCTTACCTGACTGGTAGTGCGGAATGGACTAGAACAAATTTACATAACAATACCGTGATTTTCTAGTCGTTGGCTGTTATTCAATCATAAATCAACTGTCTGCATGTGTGTGTTTGTCTTTGTGTGTATGCATATTGACAGTTTTCTGTGCTCGATCTGATTGAATGGGTCCAAATCATTTCAAATATCCAAAGCCGGTAAAGTAATCCAAACCCAAATAGGGGTGTTCAAATATCTGAGTTAGGTAAAACACAAAAATCTACAGGTGTATTTTATATACGACACCAACTACAGTTTTGATCTGTTATTATGCTTTGGTTCCACGTTTTGACCAAAGAGTGTTAAAGTTTAACAGAGTCATTTCAGTAAACTTTGGATATATTGTCAGGATTTTATTTTTTCTTTCATTCTTTTGTCTTTACTTTTCCGTATTCTCAAAATTTCGAATAAACACTTCTAATAATTAAGTTTTAGTTTGTTCTACTTTGTAAATATAAGAAGCAAAAGAGTGTGGATAGCAAACTTTGTCAAAATAATGAGAGAAAACTGTGAAAAAGGAAGAAATAAGTAGGAGATAAAAATCTATTTAAAAAACTGCAACAGAAAAAAAAAACAAGAAGCACAAAAAACCAAGAGGAACTGTCATTAGATCATGAAATACTAAAGGTGACAGAGACAGATTGTTTATCGGGTTGGTGTAATACCAGCTCACTCTTCCTCCTTCTCATCCTCTTATCTGTTTGATGCTGATAAAGTTCACTGCTGAGTCGATGCGCAACAGAAAGAGTCTGAGACAGAGTCCAAAGACGCTCGAGACAGCGTAAACACTTAAAGTGCACAGGTACATGTGCAATTGTGCATGCAAACACACTCTCTTAACCTGACTTCTGCCTGCTTTATAAGGCTGCTGCTGGATGTTTGTCCATTGCAGAAAAGACACCTTAATACACAAAAAAATCTCAAAAACACACAAATAAAAATGAGAGTTTAGAGACATCATCTACTTCTCTCCTCTATGCATTAGTGATGTGCCAATACACAATTTAAGCCAAGTACTTAGCAACCTAACCCGCTTGTAGTCTTACACACGGTGTCAAAGCCTCGGTAGCAAAATGTACAAACAATCCACCACAAAAGTAGTCCCAAATCCAAAACAAACTCTCGAATTAAGTACGTTAATGCCAGCCTAACAAAAACAGGAGCATTAATAGAGAAAATGAAGAAATTTTACGACAAAATGCGTGGCCACCCACAATGCATTGCGGCCACCCAAAGCACTGTTGGATTGTGTCCACTCTGTGAACCGGAAACAGTTTGAAGAAGAAAAAAAGGTGACGCACACGTTCCAACTGCCAACCAACGTAACGATGCAGCCGGACCAAGAACAGTCGGAAACTGAGAATGACGAAACGTCTCGGCTGTATCCATCCTGGACGTTTTACGGCTTCACAAAACAGACAGAGCAGGTAAACCTGACACCAATCTGCAGGTTATGCCGTAAGGAAGTTGCAGCGTCGTTGTGTAACACTTCAAACCTACGTGCCCTCCTCCGTGAACACCATCCAGCATCGTTCGCCCAAATCAAGGTAAAAACAACATGACTGCAACAGGTTTGGTCTACTCTACTGCTTAGTATTGACAATGTTAGTGACGTTTCTGCTAACTTTAGCTCCAAAAAGCTAATGCTCCCAACGTCGCGTTAGCCTCTTGCTCATATTGTTTGTGCATATCATGCTGTGCACAGAGAGGTGATTTCGCATATTTTTTGCCATTTTTAATAACGTTAAAAGCAATGTGCTAATATCGTGATAATATCGTTAATCAGGATATCAGATTATTCATATCGGCACATGCCTACTATGCATTCAAGGTCCACTGTGCGCAGTACAAGAGGAGCATTCTACAGCTGTAACAAGCAACAACAAGAAGGCATTTTCTTTCACTCTATACATCAACTCCATTTGAGTAAGTCCTGGTCTTACAACAAAGACACCCCACATTTCTTTCCAAGCAGGGCAGGTGTGGCTGTGTGTGAAGCGGGGACACCTCTTGCACATGAAACAGGGTGGAGCAGGGTGGAGCAAACAAAAATAACCCAAAGGCAACAGACCATTAGTCAAGCTCGGAGACCACCAGGCGTTAAGACCTGATAAACTGGCTCAGTGAAACCTGCACTGGGAAGCAGCAGACCACAGCGGAGGCCATATACAGCTCAATTAGTGGATGGTAGATCAATACAGAAAATAATTAACAAGGCATTAAAATTGCAAAAAGAGCTGCCAAGCATGAAACATTGCAGGGTTACTGTTTGTCATGTGAAGGAGTGAAGACCTTTGTACACTGACAAGTTGATTGGCCTGTTGTGATCGTGCTGAGTTGTTCTGAGAGCGAGAAATTAAAGGTGTTATTCCACGATTACTTTACAGGTTGAGGTATGCCAACAAGCTGGTTCAGCGAGAACAGAGAGCACCTCAGCGTTTCCTTCTTTCACTGTCATCCACCTTAGCACACACACGCACACACAAACAACCCCACAAACAGAAGGTGAAGCCTATTTTGAGGAAATGACTCCAGCGATGCAAGAAGTACCTCAATTACACACTTTGGTTCCCTAAAACAGCACCTTCTGATAAGGATTCGAAAAAGAGGAAGCGAAATAAACAGGTTACAGTCACTAGAAGTGGTTTTAACTTTTGGTAACAACGGCAATAGAAGACTTCAAATGCCTGAGTAAGAATTTGAGAACATATTTCCAGGCTTAAAAGGACCTCATTGTGTTGTGAAACGATGGATATCTCACAGCACAGTGCGGAAGTAGACGATCAGACACCTGCTATAAAAGATGAGTGGTTGAACCGCCACCTCTTCTCATCTTTTTTTTTGTTGTTGTTGTTGGGTTATTCAGTTTCAAATATCTTCCGCAAACACAGGTTGAAAATATTGTAACGTAACAAGACAGCATGAGGAACGTAAACGTCTCATCTCGCGTAACGTTTAAGCTCCTCTTCTTGTCCTTTTCAATGTAATAAGCGAAAGTAAACACGGCAGAGCAGATAAGAGAGCAATAAACGAAGAAAGTGAGATAAATTTGACTTCAACACCCTTTTTCAGGAAAGACATTAAGAAACGTGAGGAAAATTAACAAAACTCCTGGTATCTCTCTGTGGGGATGACAGCGCTGACTGGACATGCACGTGAAACATTGTCAAAATACAGCGAAAAACCAAAGAGAGAAACAGAGATCTTACGGTGTTTGAAACAGCCGCCGAGGGTTCACCTACTGCCACCGAAACATAGGAATCCAAACAGGCAACAAAAACAAAAAAATCCGAGCTCAGTCCAACGAACGAAAGAGAGAGAACCGCTTTGGGCTGTCACCGTCCGACCGCAACGAGGTAAAGTCAACGACTGCGAGTGAGTGACTGAGTGAGTGAGAGAGAGCCAACGACCAGCCGAGGCAGCGAGAGCGAGCGCGAGCGAGCCCGGAGCCGCCTGCTGGTTTCTCTGCTCTCGCACGAGACAGGAGGAACAGAGGAGAGAGCGGTGTGTGTGTGTGTGTGTGTGTGTGTGTGTGTGTGTGTGTGTGTGTGTGTGTGAATGGTGGAGGGAGTGCGCATGCGCGGACCGTGGCCGATTCATTCCGGTGGAGTAGGGCTGCAAAAAGGCAGAAAACCTGGCAAGACAAACGCAATATATGTCTCTGTATATTTATTTATTTATGTGGGCTTTCTTTCCCCCCCGAGGAAAACAGTGAGAACCAGAAACAAAAACTACGCAAACTAGTACTGCGGATACAAGTGGCAAAATTATGACAGCCCAATAACTCCAATAAAACGAATCTACTCTTGTAAACCCAGGACAACAAATCACGAATTGTGTCTGATTGTTACACTGCGTACTTTTCATATCGTCTTCAGCAAGGACTTTTTATACGATCAGTCAAAAAGTAGAAGATTGATAGAAGATTTGCACCACCAACATTCTGCATCTGAAAGTCATTTACTTTTTAATACAATTTGGAGAAGCAGAGGAATTCTCATCCTCAAGAAGCAGAGTTTCCCTCAGCTGTCGCTTTTATTTCTAAGTTAATAACATATATCATATACAATACAATATATAGTAACTTTATATATCTTTATTTGTACTTATTGTACTTATTTTATCTATTTATCTCTTTATTCTACTTATTTTTACTTATTTTATCTATTATTTTTCTCTTCTTTTTACCGTATTTGCACTGGAGTACTGTGACAAAAGCTATTTCTCCTTTATTTTACTTATTTTTACTTATTTTATCTATTATTTATCTCATTTTTTACTGTATTTGCACTGGAGTACTGTGACAAAAGCAATTTCTTCTTTATTTTACGTAATTTTACATATTTTATCTATTATCTATCTCCTCTCTTTACTGTATTTGCACTGGAGTATTATCAAAGTATTTCTGATTCTGATTAAATACTCAGTTGTGTGATTGATCACTGGTCAGCAAAACGACCATAATACCACAGCCTTGCACCTCAATTTTGACCACTATTTTCACTTTTACTCCCACCACTATATAAATAAGCACATGACATCTTTATAGTGAATAAAAAGGGAACTTGACTAAAAACATCAATCTGGCTCTTTCTCGGTAAAATTCTGGATTAATCGGGATAAATGTGGGTCCAGTTGTAGATCTGTATCTTGACAGTGAATCTTGCTCCATCCAGGAGAAGCACCACTCTCTCCCAGACAGCCTTATAAATAATTCAGCAATAAAAGCTTGCCTCTGCCTGCCTGGTTGCATGCAGCAGCAGCAGCACTATAAGAAGAAGAAGAAGCCTCTCACTCCGCACTCTCTCACTCCCTGCTGCTCGCGGCGTCAACCTTTGCGGCCGGTACCCATTAAACAAAATCTCGGAAGCAAAATAAAGTTCCATCAACATTCTTGTTTCGCAAATGGCTGTGGCCGGTCAGCCGGATCAGTCAGGGATTACAAGGCCTCTGTCAACTATCAATAGCCTCATGTGCACGCGAGAGGCGAGGTGGGGGGGAGAGGAGGGAGAGAGAGAGAGGGAGTTGGGAGGGGAGGAGCAGACGGTGCAGAGCAGCCAGGCGATGCTGCTGTTTGTCCTGTCCGTGGATCGGAGGAGAGTACAGAATCAACACGCACGCGACGACCAATTTAATCCACAACATCCGGTGTCAAAGAGCCCCCGTTTGACCCGCGCGCTCTCCCCCCCGGAGACGCCGAGAGGACGTGAAGGTGGAGGGAGTGTACCGCCAAGAGAAAAAGCAATTTACCTGCACAGCGCTCCTGTTCAGCCCGCCGCCGCCGTCCTTATTCCCTGCTCACTGTGGCTTTCAGCGCCGCCGCTCACTCCAAGCTGCTCGCCGCTCAACGGGAGTTTAGACAACGGGATTTGTTCACGTGGTCACGCTCGGTGCCTCTAATTGGCGGAGCTGACAGGGAAAGCTGCTCGCTCGCACCTGTACGGTGAACGGTACAACACGCAGGGAGGGAGATAGAGGGAACAAATTGGTGCAGGATATATTGCCTGTCCTTAAAGTTGACATCCCTCCCCCCACACACACACACACACACATACACACACACACACACACACACACACACACACACACACACACACACACACACACACACACACACACACACAGTCTCCCACCTGGTATGAGTGAGTGTCTATGGGAGCCATCGTACCTAATGTCTATTTATGACATAACTTCTGAAGGTCAGACATGTACAAATCCAAACTCAAATCTCCCAGTAATATATTCTTGTTGAATTCATCATGATTTGGCAGTCCACATTACAAAAACAAGAAATGCGTAGAACAACAGCATCACTTTCAGGTTCAGGACTCTCCGGCTCTAAGTTTTTATCAAGTACGGCCCATTCTAGACTTAATATCACCATTCAAAAGGTGGCTACATCACTCTTGGCTGCTCCAAGATGAGTCATCTCAGTGCTGCTGATACTCCCAACTACACCAATGCTCAATGCAAAGAGTAGAATGAAGAGAAATGAACAATACCTGCCCAAAATGAATGGGAACTTTGAAAATACAAACATGTCATGACACATAGGCTACTTTTGAGGTTAGGTGTCCGTGTGGAAATGTCAGAGCTTTGTTTCTCCAATCATCAAACTCCAGATCTCACTGGATCCAGAAAACTTGGCATGCATAATGTTCGTCATGCTGGTTTCCCCTTTATCCACTCTCACTGTCCATAAGGGTTTTACCCTTGATTTTCACCTTATCCGTAAGTGCTCCGAACCAGATCGGCGGTGATTTCTGCCGTACGCCAATTCTTACCAGGTCCATTTGTGAGGTGAATTTCGTGGCAGATTACAGACAACGGGAATCGCGAGAACTCAAGAAGGACCCACGGGTTCACCTGCAGTCCCGCCATAACAGGTTGTCTTAAGCCACATTGGCTAACCATATAAGCAGTAGATTGTGTCCTTCCAGAGGAGGAAATCTACTTCTAGACTTATAAAATCAGCATCTCCTCATCTATGGTGTCATCGGGGTAAAATGTCTGTGAATCCTTTCACTTGTTCATCTCCGCCTGTTTGCATGTGTGAAATACAATCTGCCTGAAACATGGAGTGTCTGTGCCCGACTTCCTTTCCAGCACGGGTTAATCTGTGCTGAATTTATACGGCATGCTCCAGCGTCTGGAAAAAATAGTACTGTTGCGATCAGCTGAGGAGTTCGGCGATCCACAGCGGAACGGAAAGAAGCCGGTGGAAATTGACACATTAACTTGAATGGTTACGATAAGCTACGATTGGTGGATACAGCGTTTTCGTAGCCGTTCCGGATGCGGTGGAAATTGCCGGTTAGTATTCCCACTCCTTCCCAGTTTTGATTGGCTGGTGATGGAGATATGACAGAAAAACTCAGAGAAGTTCAGCTGAGAGTATAGTTACAAAATATAAATAAAAAATACAGCATACACAGCACATTTTTGCACAGTGAAACAGCTCTGGTTTTCTATAGAAAATGAGTACTTACAAAATACCCCACTAGTGGACTCAGGCCGTTACACCTGCTGTCTGTGCAAATGGTTGGGAAAGGAGGTAGGTGGTGGAATGATGTTATACAACTGCTGCAAGTACTTTGAAAGTTGTAATGGAGACACATTGAAGAAGTCTTTTACATGATGGGATGCATATAGTGAACAGTTTTAGAGTTCATCATAAAATAATAAAGGGGCTTCATCACAGCATTGAGGCAGAATCTCAGTGGGAAATAGGTTCAGACAGTTCAATGCTGCTAACACACTGTGATGAGAATTTTACAGCTGAAAAACTCTTCAAATGATGGTTGTAGCCTCTGTTGAAAAGACACTGAAAACTGGTGCAAAAGTGGATTTGTTTTAACCTATTCGAAGACTATTTAATGTCTATGTATAAGCCCAGATTTGACAGGAAATCTGCATCTTTCCCAGGGGATTCACACATACATGTTAACCAATGTCAACCTTTTAGAAGTCTGTCTTGTATGAAATGTGGCCAAAATAATTGCATTGCAGTGCTTTTCCATCACCATGGAAAGACTTGAAATAAGGCATCACAATGCTTTCTAAAGTCTCCCTTTACAACTGTCAGCTGCTCACATTGATCCTCCATCTAGCCTTTGCAAAGTTCACCGCCTGTCAGTTATTAATTAACTCCATCAGCATCCAGGGGTCTTCCTCCCTTCATTGTCAGAACCACAGCTTACGAGCGCATGTGCAGTCGCTGTCTTTCTCTGTTGGGAAAGTTTGAACCTGCTCTTTTAGCTCTCTCTTTTAGCTGTCTTTTCAACATCACACATCCTCCAGAGTGACAAAGTTAGGATTTTGTGTAGAAACTGGAATGATGTTTGATACAGACATGGTTAAAACTGTTAGAATTAACGCTTCTAGACCACCCTTGTAATGTAGTGTCAAATCACCATGTTTTTAATAATTTCAACATTGAAAGTTGGGCTACTGTTAACCTTCTATAAAAGAGTGCATTCCCTGTGAGACCATCTGAATACATCAAATCAGATTTGGCTCTGAACACTGCTGCTACTGTATCATCAACAACACTGACAACAATCGCCACACAACTGTCACTTATGGCAGAGGTTACTGGCTCTCTTATGACATAATGACACAAAGCCCTACTGACATATTCACATGTGCAAACCTGTATCTACAACCTTTTAACACAGACCTTTGTGCACAAGAAGTGTGCGAAATCTTAATCCACTTACTTTGGCACGGCTACAAACAATCAACACATTATTTCATGTATTTACGTGAAATCTCATTACTCGCTGTAATACCTCAGGCAAAATATCAGCTCGCCTGCATGAAAGAAGCGTGTGTACATGTTTTGAATGCAATTTAGTTATGTAATGGTGCAAATTGTGTGCATGGGTGTTCATATTCTAAAGACCTAATAGTAGGAGTCACTGAGCTATAAACCACCTGCTAAAATACACAAAATAATAATAGTAATAGCAGTGTCTTCAGGCTGTTAAAGTCTGTCTGGATGTAATTATCTCTTCGTGTAATGATGGTCTAATCAGGTCACCATTAAACAATCTCTCTTGAGAAAGCAATTTCATTATAGCCATTAATAATGCTTTTATAGGACTAATGTAAAGGTTTACGATGATTATGTACTCAGCAGCCATTAATGTACAGGATTTACTGTCATTTGTGCTTCTATACTCAGAGGGTAGCCCACTTGTTTGCCTGACACACACACAAGCACGTAAATGCACAAACACACCCTTTACAACATATTTGATCAGAGGTTTTAATAGCGTACTTGTGGTTGAGGCTTCTAAATGAGGCAGCGGTGAACCATTGGATAAAACCCATACCCCAATCCCACTTTGTACACATGCACACCAGTACACACCACACATCCTCACATCCAGAAACACAGTTATTCATCTACCTACTGAGGCCATGGCATAGTAGCAGTCAATGGTGCAGGAGTATTTTTAGATTTCATGTGGGTTGCAGATGCTGCTCTACTCAACCAGGTCACAGCAAATAGAACAGTGTTTTCACTGATACCTCCAATGTCTTTGACTACCCAACAATTACCCCATAAAGGTCTGCAGTCCCACATATATAGTGTTGTTATTTAAAAGAAATTTGAGAACAGAAACTGTGATTATCACGCTACTTTATGCACCAGCACAGGTTGCTTTCTCCTCTTTCTTCTTTTAACTCTCAGATTGCATTTTTCCTCATTGGTCCTGGCAGATTAGACCAAGACACTAAAATGGCCTGCAGGCTGTTGGCAGTGATACGGCTCTATATTTTTCCCCTTCTCAGTTTTTGGCTCGATTTAAAAGCATGTTGTTTTTTCTAGGCCAGCTAAGGGCATTTATAATTGACTGGTGCATGAGAAATATGACACAGTTACAGTACCAACTGTTGAAAATTTACAGTGAATGTTGCAAACAGCACAACTCCTCTCAACCCCAGAAAAGGCAGGATGTTACTCCTGTTTCTAAGCTGGAGGGGCTTCCCTTTTTTTTGGAGTCAGGGGGTGGAGAGTTATTATCTCCGAGAACAAAAGCAGAAGAGCAGGGAACAGAGCAATCCCCTCCTCCTTCTGTTTCCTTCCATCCTTTCCCTTCATCCGCCCCCATCATCCCGCCATCCCCCATCCAACACAAACGCCTGCCATCTGACACCCCTCTTAGGAGTTCCTTTTTAGAGTTGTCTCCACGCACACACAAACACGTCGTGAGGAAGAGCTCGTATGTTCTCAATCCAAGACAGCGAAACAGGCCAGATCACACAGGGAGAAACAGACGGGTGGACAGACAGACACACAGCCTTTCTGCAGGTCAACCAGGCTAGTGTGGAAGAAAGTGGCAGAAGCAGAAAGCCAGAGACGGACTTTCTGTTTGGTGGACCATGGTGCACCGCAGGTCGCAGAGCCGTTGCTCTTTTGGTGTGATGCCACCTGGCTGGACACAGGGAGTTGTGTGTATGTGTGTGTGAGGAGTCTTGCTGGGCCGGACAGGACTTGGACGCTTGGCAGATGGCGGTGCCAGCGTGGCATGAGCCGGACACGCACTCATGGATGCACACAGACTGCTCAGGTCACCAGGAGGACTTTCAATAAAGTTGACTTTTGTTTCAGATGTGAGCCAGGTAGCTTTGTTTCTCTCTCCTCCTCGCTTATTAGGATTCATCACCACCCGAAGCATGTTCTAATAATCTTTTCTAATTAAAAATTCCTGTAGATTTATGACAGGGGAGAGGACATGTCACTGTCAACAAAGGGGTAATCAGTCTGTTAAGTGTCTATAAATTAACGCCATTCAACACCAGATAATACCGCTGTCAAACAGGTGTTTAGAGGATTTTTTAAGCCTCATTTTGTGGTCAATGTAAGTTTCTTTTTTTTAAATGATCTTGTT